CATGTATCCCCAGATTTTCTCGTCGGCGTGTGGTAGGCAGTCTGCGCTTCGGCATTCGTTGACTCCTACGCCCGCCATACAGCGTCGGGGCCAGGCTGCCTTGGGTTTAACCCTCAGCCTGCCCTCGTGAGTGCGTTGGGTGTCCCACAACATGCCTGCGGGAGCGTCGCCGCTGTCGTATACCCATCTGATGGGTAGGGGTTGCATTCCTTTTTCTTCCCTCGTGGGCCAGAAACTGTTGCGAAATTTGTCCTGGAAGTGGTACCGACATTCGTGCGCGATGCACTGGAACCAGGGCAGGTAGATGTGACTTTCTTTTCGTGGGTTCACCCGCTCGTGGTCTTCTGGCAACAACTGGAATCCCTCCGTGTTGTTCTCGCCCCGGAAACCCCACCATTCAAGGTCGGAGGTTTGTCGCCCGGTGCGCACGATGTGCTGATGTCGAGTCCAGTATTCTTCCCAGTTCTGTTGTTTCCTTCCTTTCGCCGCATTCTGCTCCTGTGCGTAGTCGAAAAGTTGCTCGGGATATCGCACTCCGTTTTCGTATTCCTCCGCCTCTTCGGTGGGTCCATCCCACGGTGTGTGATGCGGAAGTACCTGGCGGATGTCGTCCTGCAAGGCCTGTGCCTCTCTTAATGTCTTTTCGACGTGATCCCCGGCCCTGTTGTTGGCCTCGGTGATCTCTTGGACTCGTTCTCTGGCGAAATCGAGTTCCGCGCAAAGTTGTCCATACTGGTCGTTCCTTGCTTGGAGAAGCTGCTCGAGTTCTTCTTTCTCTCTCGACAACTCCTCGATCCTTTGCCGTTGGCTTAGGACCCTCTGCTGTAGGAAGGTGAGGTTCGGGCTGACTCCTCCTTCACCCTCGTGGGTTCGCCATTGCCCGTCCTCTTGCTGAACCAGGGTGATGCCCCAGTCCTCAGCGACTTGTCGGATGTACCGCGGGGGAGCCAGTTCTCCCTCGTCATCCGTTTCGATGAAAGCGTGATGGGCGGTGTCATTCCCCTCCTGGTGGTTGCTGCTCCTCAAGTCTTCTTGATCCGAGTCGGTGAGTTCATCGTCCTGCTCGATGACTCGGTCAATGTCGATTTCGAGGTCGTCCTGCGTGTAGCTGGCGGCTGCGACCTCCAGAAACCGGGTTCTTCTTCCGACCGTGTCTTGGTCGATGGTGGCGGCTTCCTTCCCTGGAACCGGTCTCCACTCTTTCTTGCTGCGGCAGTCACGTTTGAAGTGACCCTTCTTCCCGCAGTTGTAACAGGTGATGCCTGATTTGTCCTTGGCACCATCTCTCTTTCCTGCCCATTGTGCCTGGGCAGCGCTGACGTCCATGGGTCCCGAGTGCGTGCCGTATGACGTGCTCTGGTGCTGGCGTTTCTTTTTGTCGTTGGGCTTGTGGTAGCCTGCGGATCGCTGAACCTCGCTGCCCTTCTTCTGTTGTTTGCGGGCGAACTGTCGGTCGTCAATCTTGACAGCCATGGCGATGTACTCGTCGAGTGTGTCGGGTCGGCTCTCCTTGTAGAGCTCGTCCTTGACCTCCTCCTTCAGCCCTCCGTAGAACAGGTGCATCAGCCCCTCGTCGTCTATCTCTGCCTTCATGGAGTCTTGTCGGAAAATCGTGGCGTAGGCGGTGGCTGACCTAGTCTGCTTCAGCCGTCCTAGCCGTTCCTGGGCGTGCAGCTTCTCGTCCTTGTCACCGAACACCTTCTGAATCTCACTCTCGAACTCGGAGTAGTTCTCGAAGACTTTTTTGGTGAAGGGTTTGTGGATTGCTCCGCCGAGGAAATCACTCAGTGTTCCCGTGAACCACTTGAGGGCCTTGTCCTTGAGTCGGGTGGCGGCGTATCTGGTCTTGGATTCCTCAGTGGCGAACTGGTGCGAGTTGTGGTCGAGATAGTTCCGCATCTCCGTGATCCAACCTGGCAAGGCTTCCTGGTCGCCCCCGTACTTCTCGGGTTGCTCCAATTTGACCTTTGTCTTGGCCGGGTCCTTGGTGTGGACCTCGGTCGCCGCAAGTCGGGCTGCCAATGCCGCGTTGCTGGCCTTGGTCTTCGCAAGCTCTTCTTCAGTTTCATCGAGTCGTTCGGTGACTCTCTGAAGCGCGGCCGTGATCTGGCCCGGCGTCGGTTGAGTTGCCATGTCGTTTTACCTTCGAGCCTGAACTGTAACAGATCAAAGGGAGTTAGCAACGTGTGACGAACCTGTCTCTGGACCCGTCCTGTTAGGGTTCAGTATCGGTCGAAGGTATTCTCTCAAGGGTGCTTAGGTTCGGTGCAGCCAAAGGGTGCACAACAAAGACTTGTCTCAACAGTAGGCTCTCGAGCTTGTAGCGAACTGTAGTTGTGATTGCTAACTGGAGAACTCCCAGAGCTCTCCAGAACGAGTGACTATATACTATCTAATTTCTGGGTGCTTAGTCTGCTCAGTTGCTGAGCACACTGAGCACACTGCTCACCCTGCTCAGTCGCTGAGCACACTGAGCACACTGCTCCCCCTGCTCAGTCGCTGAGCGCACTGAGCACACTGCTCCTTGGTCATGTTAATGATTGGTCCGGGGCGCCCCGCGCCCCACTCCTGTGCTTCCAGCTCAGTGGCCGTGACACCTAGGGAAGCTCCCTAAAGATCAGTTCCAGTTGCTCCCCAGACCTAACCTCAGGTCTGAACAAGAGTGTTTAGCTAGGAATTGAATCTTTGTTCGCCTGTAAATCGCCTTAGTTCCGCAGCCTGTGTCTATATCAGCATCTTCTTCAGTAATTCTCCAAAGAGTTTAGTTTCTAGTTCTTCAGTTAGAGACCCTTAATAAGGTACTAGCGGCTATATCCTGAATAGGTAAGTTGGTATTATAGGATATTTATTATAGTATTACTAACTATCTTAGCCTTTAGACTCTAACTAGCTAGCTCTATAAAATAAGTGAGATCCTAACTATATTATTAATTGCTAAACTATCTATAATAGCCTATAACTATTACCCGAAAAGGCATTTATTAAAGAGGGGGATATATAGGGTATATAACCGGATATATAGGGCAGTGCCGGTATAAAGTAGGACCTCTCCTATAATAAACTATATTACCTTTATAAAAAGATAAAGAAGCTTATAACTATCTAGTAATTATAGGGGATATAAGACTAAATAGCTGGGCTTGCTATAGTGTTAACGTCTCTATCGTAGGTAAATATAGCCCTATAGCTATTACCCTCCTAGAATACGATAGTAATGCTAACACTACTACATTTCGCTACCTAATAATAGCCTTATAGATATACCTATTATAGTAGTTTACTACTACCGGTATAAATATAAGGTATATAGTGGACTATCGATTTATAATAATAATAATAACCCCCCTAATAATAATATTACAACTGGTATATCTGGTAGAGTAAGCAGGGTATACCGCTATCTAGTAGGTAGGGCTGGCGGGGTATATAGGGCTGGTAAAAAGGGGGGTGGCGGGTAGTCTGGGCTAGCAGTATTGTAAATTGAAACAAAATTGATTTTTATTGTATTTTTAAGTATTTCAGCGAAGACTGCGTTTTCCAGCGATTTAACAACTATCAATAACTTCAAAGTTCGTTAAAGTTGTCGGGCGCGATTGATGGATGCCCAGGCGCGCGGATGAAACGCCCTGCAAAATTTTGGTGGGAGATGCATGGGGCTACCTGGGCTAAGCCAAATACGGCCGTGGGCCGCCAAGACAGTCGATTATGTCCGAGAGAGACAGTCGATTTAACCAATCCGCAGGGGCGAGTCGAGTCTCTCAGGGGGGCTCTCGATATTCGCGCGGCAGCTTCCGTCGCCCTGCATTCCCGGGCTCGACTCCGGCCCTTCGCCGCCTCATACCGCATCGCTGGGCCGGAATCGAGGACTGGATCGTCGGCGCGCTAGTGTCAGTTGGAAACGGACCATCACGCTCACCATCGGATCAACATGGCCAGTCCCACTAGGTAGTGAGTCCTCCCCTTGTTGGTATCCGTGCATGTCTTGAGGTTCTATTAATGTAACCCCCTAAACAGAGACGAAAGCTTAAAAAAAAGTTATTTTCACTGCACTAGTTATGTAATCTCCATTCAAGAGCCTAGCCCCGTCAGTGCACGGGATCCATCACGCGCAGGAAAACGGGTAACGACACTAAGAGGAGGCAGCAGCAATCGGTCCCTGGACGCCCAGTCTCACCAACCCTGCGGAAATCGAGCCCGGTGAAGCCAACTGAAGGGATGGCGCTGGAATCCGTCACACCGGGTGGCCAACCACGGCGACCGGCAGTCGCACAATGGCTGCTTTGCCTGCATGGCTCAGCCGGGTGGCACCCGCCATCATATCGAGAGCCTATCAAACACGCCGTGGCCGGAGCGGTCTCCCGAACTAGCGGCTTTGGGGGCTTGATCCGCCCTGTTGGGATACGGGATTCAAACGGCGATCGGCTTGGGCCTTGCCGTCCGGAATCGATCCATCCTCGGTCCACGCCCGGACTCGCGGAAACAAAGCCATTGGTTCCTGTCAAGCCTCGGTTTTCCGTACTAGTAATTGTTTGCTCTGTAATTTGAGACCGTGGCATCGCGGTGGAGACTCCCCTGCCTGGAAAAGGGTGGGAAAAGGGATGATCGAGATAATTATGCTCCGGGCTAGTCTTCCATAACCCACCACCGGATGTCTTGTTTCAAAGAAGAGGCCTCCAAACGGTGGGGCACATTGACCACACACTCCAAGTGGCATGCCAACTGTAACTAGCTCCATAAATTAATGTGTTACCATGACGGTGGGAAGGGACTCGACAGGTTTAGTGGGGGTTATTCAGCACTGCAGGTATAGCATGGGCATAAATGTAGATGAAAACAAGCATCCACTTAGCTCATACTCTACAGACAGACCTATTGAAATTCCGAGCTTGGAAAAAAACACCGCCATTCTTCTCAAGACCGTAGAATCAATCCAATCAAATACATTCAAACCAGCCGGGCTTCATGCAACAAGACCCAAGTAACCCAACTCTCCAAAGGCGAAACCAAACACAGGCCAATCAAAGCGACAGCAGCGTGTCGTTCTCAATGATTCGTTCCTTGTAGCCCTCAAGGACCACCCTAACGAACGCCTTCGCTAGGCGGTCCGCGTCGATGGCACCATACAACTTGCCCGTGATCTTCGCAGGGAGACCGGCGTCGCCGGGGAGGATGCCGCTTGGACGACCGCAGTAGACGACGAAGCGCTTGGCAGTGTCCGCATCCGCAAACTCACACAGTTCCCGTTCCACTTGTCCCTGTGACGGTGTCAGTTGTGGTTGCATAGGGGGGAAGGCGAGACCACGAGGCGTCGGACAGCGCCTGACAAGACAGGGGAAGACAGGACAAGACAGCACAGCACCTTTACGTGTCGGGTGTCAGCCATGAAGTGCAGCGACTTCGACTGATCCCACTCGGCGAACTTGCCGCTGCAGAAGAGGAAGCGGAACTGCTTGCCCTCGGGCAGCTGCGGCACTAGTGTCTCCTGGAAAGCCTTCGCGGCGGCCAGCGTGTAGTCGACTTGGACTCGTCTGTACGTCTCGACGTCCGGGAACTGGGTTGCTCTGCCGCCGATGGCCCTGCCGATGATCGTCAGAGATCGATTCGTTCTTCACACCACGCTACTCAAGCACCCCCCATCATTGCCATTGCCGGCCGACCTGGCCCTCCCCATGTTCCCAGGTTAGGGGGACGGTGGGACCCACCACAGACACCCCTCGGCCCCTGCGAGCTGGCGCAACAAGTCGGGCGGGAGGGAGGAGAAGTCGTCGTGGAGAATGACAGTGGCCTTGGGGCTCTTGGCAACGGCCTCGTCCAGCGGCTTCCGGGTCAGGGCAAAGACGTGGGTGATGTTGTCATTTGCAATGCATTGCCGGACGAGGGCGCTGCCAACGAGACCGTTGCATCCTGTGACGATAACCTTCATGATGACGGCTGGTTCTGGTGTAAGCTGAGATTGTTCATGGTGCTGTTCTTATTCCTATTGCCGGCTGATGGCTGCTGTTTTACATACTTTGTTTTCGCTCCTTCTCTCTTTGTCGTCGTCGGCCTGTCGTCGCCTCTCGTTGCCTGTCGTTGCCGTTGCGGTCGGATTACCAAGAGTCCACGTCCGGATTGGTAATGGCCGTGGTGATGACGCGAGTGTAACCCCCGCGTTTTTGCAGTGATCGACACGCGTCCAGACCCCCTGCCTGTGTGCCGGGCGTGCCTGCCAGGGTGGGCAGGCTTTGATTCCATACGGGAAGGTTCACATTGCCGGGGCTCCACTATCCGGGCAACTTCAAGCTTGTCGGGCAAGCTGCCGCCCGCGATCCACACAGGCCGGGAACCACTGCCCGAGTCCACTTTCCCCTTTCCCATTTCCACTTCGACATGGCTCCATTCAGGGCTCCGTCGGAGTTCCACTCGTTTAAACCCAAATGCAACTTATCAGGACACCGAACGTTTTCGGGATTTCCTTATTGACGAGGGTTTAGAGAAAGGATGGATTGATGAATTGATGACCTCGCGTGCCTCGGTGGAATGCTGCGATTTTCGGCGGAGATTGCACCGATCCCTGCGTGCGCCGCCTCTTCGCCTCGCTGCCTCGCCGCCAACATCGGGCACAAAACAGGGCCACAAAAAGCCGGGTTTGAAGGCGGCAGTCGCGCTTGGCCTGTTTGGACCCAGCGTTTCCGAGCGGCGTCGGATTTGTTGGCCCTGCCTCGTGGCCCTCGTGGGAGCTGACGGGTCTTCCTGCAGAATATTATTCGACCGCTCTCCTCGATCGACGAAACAGCAGATTACCGAGCCCGCTCAACGCCCATTCCCGCTGCCCTGGTTCGCCCGGTCCGTCGGGTCTAAAGGCTTAAGTCCACCCTTGAAGACCCGCGCACGGTACGCTCAGCAGCCACAGTCTGACATGTGGGCTGTTGCGCAGATCGATTCTGACGTGTTGGGGTTCTGATCCTCGAGAAACAGGGAGAACGGAGAGAGAGGACTCAGAGGAGAGACACACGCTCCCTACCAGAAGGAAGATGGAACCCGGGCACGGAGAGAATAAGCAACGCCCGCTGGCCCCAGTCGGGTAGTGCACTGCGGAGTTCATTGATGGCTGGCAGCTAGTGAGCGAAATTCGAGAGACTAGTAATTACCGCCGCGCAGGGGCGGCGCAAACACTCCGCTCCCAGGTTCTCCCCGCGTCCTCGGCCACAGCCGCACGCTGGTGGCCCTGGCTCGATCCTGACCCAAGCTTGGCCCCCACCCTGTTGCCGGTCGGTCGTTGAGAACCGGCTCGTCCAGTCCAACTCCGTCCAGTAAGCCGGCTAGCCGTTTCAGGGCCGGTGTCCAACCCGGCCCGAACAGGCTCCTCTTATACGGCGTAAAAGACCAAAAGGCGGGATGAGTCCACACGCACCACACTGGACCAACCATCTGCCCCAACTGGACCACATGCAAACCGTCAACATGCAGGAAAAGCTAACGATTATCGACGTGCCGTGGCACCGCCAGCCGCTCGGCTTATCAACGTCACAGTCCGCCTGCTCACCTGGCGGACGTCCATACTCCCCATACCCTTACCGGGACCTACCCAAGACACCGGGTGAATGGCCCCCTTACCCCCGCAACAACACCAAGTCCACGCCAGCATCAACGCAAAAAGGCCACGGCGGCAACTTCCACCTCTTCTCCTACCTTCCCGCCGAGCTCCGCCTGCAGATATGGCGCGAAGCCATGCTCTCGGCATGCCAGCAGGGCCGGGTCCACCGCGTCCGCCTCGCCATCACCAACTCGGAGCCGGACTCCCCTGAAGGAAACAACAACACCAACAACATTCCCCAATCACAACCCAAACCAACCCTCCACATCCTCCCCACCCCACACCTGGTCTCCTCCACCCGCGCCACCCGAGCCCTCCTAGCAAGCTGCTCCGAAGCCCGCCACGAGCTCCTCTCCCTCGACAACAACAACAACACCACAACCACCACCATCACCAGCACCACCCTCCCCAACACCCTCCCCATCTCCTCCCCCACAAACCCCCACCACAGCAGCACCGCCGGCATCCTCCGCCTCAACCTCGCCCACGACCTCCTCCTAATCTCCGAAATCTCCTCCGCCCTGCTCTTCACCCTCTCCGACGCCCGCCACACAAACCCGGCCCTCCTGGCCCCGCTGCGCGGCGCCCGCCACCTCGGCCTCGACGTCGCGCCGCTGCTGGACGAGGCCGCGGGCTGTGCCTTCCTCTTTCCGGGTGCTGCAGTGTCGCCCGAGGTGGAGAGTGCGTTGGTCGGGTTGGTGGGGGGCGGGTTTGGGGCCGCGGTGGAGGGGGTTTATTTGCTGGGGGGGAGCGCGCGGGTGGAGGGGGGGGTTGTTGGGAGTGGTGGTGTGGGTTCCCAGGCTGGGAGTGAGGGGGGAGGGGAGGTGGGGGGTGATGATGGGCAAGGGCAGGGGTGTGTCTTTGCTGGTGGGGATGGGGATGGGGGTGCTGTTGGGGTGGGTAGGGAGTGGTATACCACGAGCCCGTTCTCGTCGTATTATGTGGATGGGGAGTATTACTCCCGCTTGACCAAGACGATGCGGTTTCTGTGCCAGTTCAGGCAGGCGATGGATGCGCCGGCTGTGGTGACGGATTTGGATGATGAGGCCGGGCTGGAGAGGCTTGAAGATGTGAAGTTGAGGTTGTTGGGGCATTACGTTACCAGGGAGGATGGTGCGGAAGCGGAAGGTCTGGAGTTGTCGAGCCCGGAAAGGTGTCTTGAGTATGCCCTGGGGAAGGAGCCGCGCTGGGTGCAGTGGGAGTGGGTTTGCCAATGCCTTGACTGTTAGTTAGGTGTGGCACTGGGGTTCATGGTAACTGGCGTTGGGGTATGGGCGTTAGGTTCTTTAAATTGGCATAGCGATGGCTTCTTGTTCCGGTGCCGGGTGGCATCCCACATTTAACACCAGTGCTGGTATTACTGGCTGATTACCTTAATACTTGCGTTGGAAAACGAAGGCATTCTTCACTTTAACCAGTTCGGTTGCTCTTGTTTCCCTGAGTGCCAATACTACGCATTCGAACTCTTTTGTTTGTCAACACCTCCCTACCTACTAATCAAGTTGGCTTATCGTTTTTCAGGAGTTTATGCGGACAGAAAACTGCACGTCGGCGCGGACAACGGTAGCATCAGCATGCCAGTCGAGAGTCGGTAAGAAACCTCCGCTTGGTATGTCATGTCTTGGTAAGGCACTCCCTAAATATTACTTTGGATGTGATTCATATAAGTGTATCGGATGCTACGACACATTCTCGAGCCACATGGGCGGGATATTGGTGCTTCTTGGAACACTAGAGTCAATTACCATGGAGATATCATGTAATATCACAATCAACAAGCGTATCTTGTACAGAACAAAACACACAAGGTCTAATCATCTGCCTGCCAGTCGCTAAAATCACCTCTGTCGGAAGTTATATCGAGCACGATTATGCCGTCTGGTAACCTTGCCGACGCCACCTCTGCCGACGCTTCCCGTGCCGGTGCCCTCGTTGCTGGCACTCTCTCCGCCGGTGCTTCCCCTACCCGAGCCACCCCTCACAATCTTTCTTCCCGTCACCCGGCCGTGAGTCCGCCGAGCCCTAGTCGCCATGAACTCGATCCCCTCGTCCTCACTGTCCTTCTTGACATTCTCCTTGTCGTTCTCCCCGTCGTCTTCGCCCTCGCCCTCGCCCTTCACTTCCTTCTCTCCGTCGCTATAGCCCGGCTGATCCAACATCTCCAAAAGTCTCTCATAACCCCCACTTGACTCGCTCTCTCCGCCCTCGGTTTCTCCTAGCTCCCGGTGCTTCGTTTCCTTCACGTCCTCGATCCTCTTCACGATCCGTGAGAGCGCAAGCAGGATAGAGCTTGAGCGGTGCTGGAATCTCTGTCATCGCTGTCAGCTTCTTTTTGCACCTGCAAACCAGTAGCAGTGGAGCCATACATGAGCAAGATCCGCCACGACCCGGACCATATACCTTTCTGTGTAGTGCGACTGCAAGTCGTCCAGCGTGCCGTAATTCCACGACTTGTCGGCGGGGTATGCGATCACCGGCCTGACATTTTCGTCATAGTCGGTCCTGGAAATGAAGAAGAGACTCTTGTCGATGTTGCGGATTGCATTCGTCAGGCCGAGATAGGCGGGGTCTTCCTCGTCGCTGTCGGGGTGCAGGTCCCTGGTCTCGACGGCCAGGACCGACCCGTCCTTCTCATCAACGTGGCGCATCTCGACTTTGGCGGAGAAGTCGACTGTCTTGCGGCGCTTAGCGGAGGATTCCTCGGCTTCGTTCACGTGCGGCTCTGTGGGAAGTGTGGTGCTCATCTGGAGGGATACAAAGTGTAGGAAAGGGTTTAGGATAATGGCCAGGTCCGGGAAGAGTTTTCTGCTAGAAGAGGAGGGGCAGGGACCCGCGTTCTGGGGGGCCATGGTGAATGATAATTCCTAGGCGCGTGAGTGGCCGGATCTGCTGGTGCCCTCAATGTAGCTCTAGGCTTCCCTATGTTCGCGAGCTTGTGCACCTGCGGGGGGCCGGAGAGGAGCCTGGGGAGGAGCCCGGGCATGTAAACTGCCAGTTTAGAAACTAGGTGCTCATAAGGCAGAGCTAGGGTTGTTATGATCGGTAGGACACGACTGAGATAATAACTTCACCAAGGATGCCCTCAGCTAGGCTTTTATTGATGCTTGAGTGAATTCAAGGACCCTCTCGGACGCTCAATAAAAACCTGAATATTGACCACGCACCAGCTCTTATCAAGCTCTTTGTACTCGCCTCCCCGGTTGGCTTTGTTCGGTAGCCACCTTGGCTTCCCTGACTTGGATTCCTTACTCGGTACTAAGCTTTGTCACCCGTGAATCCGGGGGAAGCCAAGGGTGTCTCAGGGGGCGCCTATTAGGAAGAGGAGTCTTTACAGGAGTTTAGTCCTGGGTGTGGCTAGGTAGTTTGCGACTTTACCTCCATGGTTTCATGCATTCCAAATTTTATCCAACCCCTAAATTTAGGGATCATCTCACCACAAAATGTCGAGGATAGAACGAACACCTTGATCAGAAATCTAGGGGCACAAATGCGAGGAAGACATTCTTCAAGGCGAGATGCCATTTACACCCTGTAATTGTGAGTTGACTTGTGTAGCTACTAATTCTTCCAGGACTACAGTGATTAAGACAGAGAGTTGTTTACACCATCAGATATCTCACTTCCGGCAACACTGGGACTTAGTCTTCCTTATTACTGTCATTGCTGACTGTACTTTCCATTTCGAGCCTTTTGATTCAAAACCAGCGGGATTGACTCCCTGCCCTGATAAAGCTGCCCACCACTCCCATATCCAAGGAGCCAATGTCTCATTCGCGGCGCAATTCGAGAGCATGTCTGAAGTGAAGATGGAGCTCTACGAGGAGGATATGAACTCTCCATCATCTCCTTCATTCACTGAGAATCTTTTCACTCCCTACCATCATGCCTATGAAAAGTACCACGGCCATACTGCTTTTGACCACCAATACCAGTAGAAGGCCAGCCACCTAGCACAGACATTGCCAACAATGTCCCGTCGGAACTGGGGTAGTTGAAGCAGATTCCTCCGACAAATCCCGGCTCAGGTTCGGGAATCATCCCGGTGACCGGCCCTTCTAGTGGGTTTGCGAAGGAAGTGACACGTTCTGATCATGATTTATGGAAGGTTGCCGCTAGCTCGGCGTGGCTTCGTCTTTTCTAGGAATGTTGCAACGACTTCAGCCTCAGATATGTGGAAACATGATCGCTCGATGGGTCTTCACATATTTGGGGAGGGTTCCCGTCGGCTGGGGATTGACACCTAGGATGGTGACAGGGAGTAGAGGTCTAGACCTAGGTGACCGCCGGGGTGTAAGAATCTTCAGGTCTCGTGGTCGTTGGGAATCATGTCGGCCGATTGAGAAATGACAAGTCGCATCTCGCAGTTGCGAGACAGATCGAGAGGAGGCCTCCGTGATCACAAGGTCTGCTAGAGCCAATGGGCTTCTGGAACTTTTAGGACACGAGGATCGGGGCCGGCGGGCTTTCCCAGACACAGGAGGTCGTGCCTTCGAGAAAATAAGTGGGCGAGCCTGGATGGCCTGTCGAGGAAGCGGGCAAGTGTCGATAGCGGCACCGTAAAAGGTTAGAAAACATGGGGAAGCTCACCCCATCCCACCCCGTTTTACCCCCGCGGGATCCGATGGAGGGTTGACGATGGCTCACGTGAGAGGTGCTTCATGCAAGGGATCGTCGTTTCTTTCCGCTTCAATTTCCGTTGTGGAAATTTGGACCGACGAGGAATGGAGAAATGACAATTGCCGTGTTGTAACTTGTTGGGAATGTGGTCACGTTTGTGTGTATGTATGTACCGTGTCGCCATGTTGTGCTGGCTCAACGTCCTGGCAAGCACATCAATCTACTGTTTAGAATCAGTTGAGCCTCTGGATGCAAGAGGGTTGCTCTCGCTTCTACCCCCCGCAGACGACCAGATTGTCGGAATTGGGTGGGGACGGCTTAGGATCGTGGGAATCGTGCACCTTCCGAGCGACCAAAGGAACGAGACCAAAGGATCGGCCACGATTGGACGCAGCTGCACGCTGAAGCTTGTCGGAATTTGCCCCTGCAGCTTCTCTCGAATGGCGGGGATGGATGCCATTGGCGGCAAGGGCCATGCGCTATCTCAGCTTTTGCCCGAGCGTGGGGGTCAAGCCGACCGGGAAGCTTCGACTGACGGAGACCCGGCCTCAGCCGGCTTAGGTAGGTTGTCCCTTCCAGGTTTTGTTTGCCCTCTGCCCTGTGGTTGCCGTTTGTGCAACCTCACACCTGCCTGGCAGTGCCTGGTTTCCGCTCGTTCCCGGACCTTTCTCCATTTCTCCATCATTTTCCTTTTTCCAATTGCCGAATTGACTTCCGATCCTCGCGAAGTCTGTTGTTGTTACTCATGAGTTCCACGTTGTTTGTTACCAGCAACGGTCATCCTCACCAGTATCCCGATTCAGCTTTTGTATGGCGTCAGACATCGTCATCGTCTTGGAGGTTTGACAACTGAGACCATGCCGTCGAGTGCTCCGGTCGCCCATTCGTCAGTGACGGTACGGTACCCCGGGGCACAGCAGTCAGCGTGGCTTGTATGCACATGTGTGTGTGATATACCGGGGAGCGTTCCCGTGATCACATCAGACGCTCAACTGGCCTGAAACATGCCACGCAGCTCCCGTGGCGCAATTCCCATTTTCCTCGCGTCTGGAGGCGTTCCGGAAGTTCCCCGGTGGCTGCAATACTTGCTTGATCTGAACCCCCACGCCGGCCAAACGGGCAACTGGGTATCGACGCCCCCTTACGCTGGAAGGTCACTACCCGGTGCAACGACAGAGCCTCATCCGGCATGGCTGGTCAGCGGCCGCTCGCTGATCCTTGTTTTCAAGGAAGGTTATAAGACAAACCTGATACCCTCCGACGCACTTTCTGCCATTGTACTTCCACATCCAACTGCTTATCCATCCCACCCGTGGCCCCTTTTTGGACGACTTGATCTTCTTTGTTTTTTTAGTGGCAAGGCGTAAACTACCCCTGAGTTCACCTTTTTAGAACCACCACCAACCCAGAACCCCTTTTCAGCCCGTCTCCTTTTCCAGACCATCGGATACCACCCGTCAGAATGGAGTCACCACCACAAGACAGCACCCCAACCACACTCACCGACTTCCTCTCCTCCAATCCACCCCAGACCCAACAACCAACCCAACAATCCCCCGCGCCCCTCCCCCGCGGCGTGTACGTCCCCATGCCAGCCTTCTTCCAGGCCGCAGCCACCGACAGCAACGACCACGACGGCGGCATCGACATCGCGGCCACGCAGCGGCACACGGCGCGGCTGCTCGCCGCCGGCGCCGCCGGCCTGGTGGTGCACGGGTCCAACGGCGAGGCGGTGCACCTGTCGCGGCGGGAGCGGCGCGCCGCGCTCGAGGCCGTCGCCGACGCCGTGCGCCACGACGCCGACTACGCCCACGCGCCCGTGCCCCTCGTCGCCGGCTGTTCTGCGCAGTCCGTCCGCGAGACGGTCGAGCTCTGCCGCGAGGCGAAAGAGGCCGGTGCGACGCATGCGTTGATCTTGCCGCCGGGGTATTATCGCGGGCTGATGGATGTGGAGGCGATCGTGGGGTATTTTGAGCGCGTGGTCGAGAAGAGCCCGCTGCCGGTGGTGGTGTACAATTATCCGGCCGCGGCGAATGGCGTGGATCTGGACTCGGATGTGCTGTTGCGGTTGGCGAGGATGCCGAGGATTGTGGGGGTGAAGCTGACGTGTGGGAATACGGGCAAGTTGGCGCGGCTGGTGGAGGGGGTGCCGAAGGTGAGGGGGGGTCGGGATGACTTCTTTGTCGGGGGCGGCAGTGCCGACTTCATCCTCCAGGGCCTGGTGGTCGGTGCCCATGGGACGATTAGTGGGTTCGCTAACCTCGCGCCGAGGGCTTGTGTGAGGATTGGGGAGCTGTTTGAGCAGGGCAAGCTGAAGGAGGCGAGAGAGCTGCAGCATGAGGTCGCCAAGGGGGATTGGTTGGCGATCCGGTATGGGTTTGTCGGCGTCAAGGCGGCGATGCCCATCTTCCACGGCCCGAGGGAGACGTCGTGTGCCGTGCCCAGGTTGCCGTTCAAGCGGCTGGAACAGGACGGCCAAGCCGTGAAGGAGATACGAGAAGGGATGGCAGGTGTGCTGGAGATTGAACGGAACCTCGCCGCTGAGGCGGGTGAGAAACGGCAACATTGGAGTATTTGAGTATTATTATTAGATAGACTTTACAGCGCAAGCACCCCTTATTTCTAACTCGAGCTCTTGACGAGCCATTCCTTACATTCAACCCTCTTGGTTGCCTGGAGTGAGTGAAGACGAGAAGCCCGAAGAATCTTTGATTTGAGCTCGTGTTCTCCATTTGATTAATCAAGCCCACGACCACAAAAGTGTCGCATATGACAATTCTGATCGACCACCGTGTTGGGCCGGTAAGGCTTACATTCCTTCCATCTCGTTGCACAGAGGTAGCTCTGCCGTTCCGTTGGAATAAGTGATGATCATTGGATTTGATGTCGAGTGAGATCCAGTTCCATGATAATATGTGAAATGGTGTCTTGGAAGTATTCCCAACTCCTTAGCTACGCTTCAATGCCATTGATCCTCGGAAGGTTGCCGTTATGCAACTTTGCATTCACCGCGATGAAAGTTCCTAAACGTCCATTACCCTTGTCACTCTCGGGATACACAGCATACGTGACCGCCTAGCTAAAGCAACATCACCGCCAACTCCAACAATACGAGCGTACATGCCCATATACATGCCTAATGCAACGGGCTTACACAGGGATTCCTCCTTTCACCACCACCCCCCGTCCTTCATCAACCCCCACGCAACCGAAGCAAACATAACCAACGAAAGCAGCACGACCCAAAACCCAAACCCAAGGCAAGACCGTCCCGCCATCAGACGGGTGTCACGCTCACACAGCCTTATGCCCCCCCACGCCCGCGGACCATCCCGCGGATCACTCCTGCAGGCGGCCGGGTGGGAGTGTCGCACAGAGGTGGCGCCACTCGTCCCCTGACCGAAACATAAAGCAACATTTCTTTTTCCTTCTTTTCGAGCACGGCCGGCTTCCGACGACGTCCAAAAGTTCGGAGCGTGAGGCTGCAGTGCCTGGCCCCCCTGTCCCGCCATGTGGCTGCCGGCCTGAAACCGCTGACCGCCCGACGGCGTGGGGGTCGGAGTCGGAGTGTCCAGGGGATGGTGGTGCCATTCTAGAGTTCCAATTTCCTGATACGATCGGGAGTGGTGCCCGGGGAGGACGCTTAGTTGGGTAGTCCGTAAAAGCGGTAGGTTCTTCGTCTACGGATGAGTTGACTCGTCACTACAACACAACCATTCTGCGGCGTTTAGTGGATGAAGTCTTTGGAATTCAACGACGCCCCAATCTGATTTGGGGCGTATGGTATCATTAATCACTCCGCTAGCGCTAGCTCCTCAGCCGGGCAACCCAGGGGGCGCCGTCTCGCCCGACGCCTGTGCCCTTTCACCCCACCACTCCACTTGCGCCCGAGAAGAGCGGGCGGTTAGGAAGGTTCCCCAACGGCGCCGTGGAAAGGTCGCTAGCCTGCTCTGCTCCAATGGATGTGATCACGACGAGAACGCCGTGCTTATCCTAGACTGCGACGCGGGGGTCCGTGGTGCCACGATGTCGTTGGTGAATGGAGTACCACGCGCGGACAGAAGGCGGCTGATGGGCTGTTGCTCTTGGTGTCGAGCCCGCTGGGTCACACCGCTTTATCCATCCCGTCTACCTCGTCTTGGTAGTTGTACATGTCCTCGTGACTTTCTGATGGTTTCATGGTGGATCGTAAATAACGCGTCGCTGGCCCCGCGACTGTATGTGGGTGCTGCTTGTCGATTCGCTCCGCCGTCACCCCGGCGGGAAGCTTTGTTTGTACCGCGCGAGCATGCTGTCGAACGACCCAAAGACTGGCGTCGATGTTGATTTCGTCCCATTGTTCGTGCCGACCCCCACGCTCTCCGTAACGAAGAAGGTCTCATCGGGTGGATCAGCATCGCTCCCCATGTTGGCGGTAGCCTGCCCCGTCTGCTCGTTGATATCGCCCTCGAAAGCTTCCGCAACGCTGGAGTACTTGGCGCCCGCCAAATACTGCTGCAGCGTTTTTTGAGCTTTCTTTCGGGGCTTCAGTAAGCCCGCTTTCTTTTTCTTCTGGTATCGATTGATCAAAACTTGGTCCTGGACGTTCTCTGCCGGCTCCCAGCTGGGATTCTGATCCTCGGGCCAGTCTCCTGCCCAGAGAACGAGGTATCTGTGCATCTTGACCCCTTCTTCCATAAACCATTGGTCATCGAGTAGTTCCTTGACCTCCCATTCCTCCGCTGCCGGTTCCTCTTGCTGCTCGACCTTTGGTTTCTTCGGTTTTCGCTGCTTTTGCGACGAGCTTTTCCCATTGGATACTGGTTCCTTGCGTTTTCTCGCCGATGAATCGGAAGCAATAGTGGAATGCCCTGCGGCACTTGGTGTCGAAAAGCGCGAGGTTGGATCTTTGGCGTGACGGCTGGCCGTGCCGGACCCTGATGCAGTGTTGGATGCCGGTTTAGCTTGCGGCTGGACAGCGGGTAACCACGGCGTGCTGCTTTGCTGAGCATGACTGCCGTGAGGGTGAGGCCTCGAAGATTCGTCAAGGCGCTTGTGCTGGCCGAACGCATGCGCCCAGGCTGGGTGTAACCCTCCGGGCGTGGGAGTGACCTGTTGTGGAGGAGCAGGGGGTGCAGACGAACCGGAAGAGCCAGTTTCCACGGGCGCGATCCTGGGCCTCACAGGGAAGGAATCTTGTGCAGGCTGTGCCAGGCTACTAGCTCGGGACGGTGTCTCTGCGGAGGTGGTATCGTAATGTAGCGCGAGCCGGTCCACAGACTCCGAATCCACCATATCGTCTTCGAACCCCATACTCTCAAACCCAATTTCCTCATCCAGTTGGCGGCTAATCGCGGCACCATCCGACTCCTCCTCACTAGTGTCTTCAGGTCCTTCGTCGTCTAGTACGTCGCCCAGCTTCCTCTTCTGTGGGGTGGACAAGGACGGACCGGCAACCTGTTCGGCGAGAAGGCGAGCTTCGTCTGCCGAGCCCACTAGCGGCATGCCGAAGTCCTCCATAGGAACTTTAGGGGGCCGACCGGGCTTCTTCTTTATCGGAGCAGCTTGTTGCCTTTCGGCTAGCTGGCGTGCCTGCTCCTGCTTCTTCTCCAGATTTTGGTATTCCCAATCTTCAAGCTCGCGCGGTGAGACATAATCCAGCACCTTGTTGCAGGGTATTAGGAGTTTCACCGCCGGCAGATCGGTAAACCCAATATGGTAGTGGACTAAGCGCCTCGAGGTTTCGGTCATGTCTTTGTCGGTGGGGAGGATAAACTGGTCGATGATGTATGCGGTGGAATCTCGGGGAGGGACCAGCGAGATCCGGGGAGGCGGTGGCCCGGAGCCCGGCACATATTTACGAATCGAGTGAAGCGGTATCTCGATTGTCGTTTTGAGACGTCGCGGGGGTAGTTTGCCGTCCATGACGTGGGTTTCTCGGTGGTGCTGCGCGACGCGCCCCAAGATGCGCCGCGCGTCTCAGCGCCCGCAAGAGGAAGAGATAAGAAACGAGAAAAAATAACAGAACAGAGCCATCAAATTGGATTTAGAATTGGGCCAGAGGGACCATGACCGCACGCCGTAATGGCGGCAAAACTTTAATTGTTCTCGCCTTGAAGGGAGTTGTGTCGTCGATCGTGAAGCTCTGCAGGTGGGTCAAGGATAACTAAGCTATTTCCTCGATACTTACCTAATCTTGGCAAAGAGCTGGGTTAGGAAGGAACTCGCCGTTGCTTCAACCGACTGTGTATTCTAAAGGAATCTATTATATATCTAATAAATAATATAATATAATAAATAAAACAACTAAAATATTCATAAGAGGGAGTGTAAAATTAGTTCAAAATAAAATAATACTAATTCTTAATATCATAATTTATATTATTTTCTTATTATTTTTTATTTTCGCTTAGTAGCAAATAACTGCCGTAATTATGAGTTTGTAATTTTAGTATTTTACGTTTATTTCGTATTGAATTGCTAACTTACATCGACAGCTTGCAAGCTTTTTTTTTTCAGAATTTCAAGCGCATCAGGCCATGTTTATCTAATTCATCTTACATTCAAGAATACGCCTTTGAGAGTGGTGTTCCGATTCTGAAGCCACATGAGAACGTTGTGGAAGCTGCATTCCCGCACGCTTGCTGGAGCTCTTATCGCTTGTTATCGCCCAAGCTGGCCGAATTGGCATCTTGGCGCCTGAGGCTGGAAAATCGAAAGGTGGGATGGGTCTCCACCACAGCTCTGGCATCCATCACCAGAACTGCAAGGGCAACCAACGAACTTGCCGCGAATGAGCAATTGACTTGCTCAACGCTGTCGATTCAAGACGCCTCCCCACTCACTCCGATGTGAAATTTCTCTATTTGACCAACCACATTAAATTATCTGAACTACATCGCAGTTCCTCGCGCTCGACCGCACCACCACCTTGCGCAAGATGCTAGCTTCCACCACAACGACCATGCTCCGTGCGGGCGCTGGTCGCTCCGCAGGCGCTCTGCAGCCTGCCCTCCTGCGCAGCGTTACCTGCCCGTACGCCGCCGGGTTAACCGTATCCCCGTTCTCGATGACCACCCCCGCTCCGAAGCAACCACAGACCCGCCCGCTCTCGACCAGGCCGACGCCCTCCTCCCTCATCAAGTACCGAGTCGCCCAACCACCGCGCCGCAACTCCTCCAGCCACCGCCAGCCATCCCAGCCGGCCGCGACCCAGGACGCCGCAGCCGACGCCAGCGCCGCGGAAACAGCCGCCAAGGCCGCGGCGACGGCGCACCCGGAGCAGGCGGTGCTCGACTGGAACACCTTCTTCCAGCTGCGCAAGGCGCGGCGGAGATGGCAGTCCGGGTTCAGCGTGGTGGGCGCGCTGGGGAGCGGGTCGGCGGGGGCGCTGGTGCTCAGCTCGGGCATGGCCGACAGCGTGGTGAGCCGGATCCCGCTGGACCCCCTCATCACCCTCGGGCTCATGACCATGAGCTCCGCGGCGCTCGGCTGGCTGGTCGGGCCTAGCCTCGGCTCGGGCGTCTTCAACATGCTCAAGAGCAAGTACAAGGGTCCCATGGCGGTTAAGGAGAGCGAGTTCTTCGCGCGCATCAAGAAGCATCGCGTTGATCCGAGTGCGAGCTCGGTGCGGAATCCTGGTGGGTGGCCTTTTCGTTCCTTGTTGTGTTTTGTTATTTCTCGGGGATGGTGTGTAGCTAACGTGTTTGCAGTACCCGACTTTTACGGCGAAAAGATCTCGAGCGTGGCTGGCTACAGGCAGTGGTTGAGGGACCAGAGGTCATTCAACAAGAAAAAGGGAGGGTCGTTCGTATGAGCACCCGCTAAAACGGCGGCAATTGTCTTGATAAGCGAGAATGTGCTGTGGCACGGCTCGGAATACACAAAGGGTAGCCGACATGAGTGTGGTCCAGTCTATCACGTCTTTTATTTGTTCTGGAGTTCGCGGCTTCTCGGTTGTAACATAGTCAGCAGGACATCTCCAGGCAACCAGCGAAAGTCTCCTCTTGGTACATAACCGCCGGCATCTTGTGCTGAACAGGCCGACATCACGCCCCAAGCGATCATCGTGGGTACTAGCGTCAAAATGTCCACTCAGGTGGAGGTCATATATACGGAAACGTAGGATCAACCTCCTCCTTCCAAGCCTTCATGCCCCCCATGATATCCACAATCCTCCTCTCGCCACCGTTGTCCAGCCCAAGTTCTTTCAGCTTCTCCACCGTCTCTTGTGAATCCAACCCCGTCCGGCAGACCACGAAGATCGGTGCATCCGAGTCTTTCGCGTCTGCCGGTAGGATCTCACTCGCAGGACTTCCGTCCCGCTTGATAGCAGCCGCTTTCATCAACAGTTTAGAAAAGGGGGTATTCACCGCCCCCTCGATGCTCCCAAACGAGAAGTGCTCCTTTTCTCGCGTGTCGATGAGGATATGCTCCGGCAGCTCGCCGCTCTGCTTGGCCGTGTGGTACGCGGCAGCAGTGATGCGCTCTTCCGGCGGGAGATCGACCTTGGACGTCGGCACGCTGCAGAACTGCACGTAGTCGGGGACCCCGGCCTTGATGCCCTCCAGCGTCAGCGTCGAGTTCTCGCCGCACGCGAAACAGTTCCTCTTGCGCCCGCCCATCTTGAGCGCGCGGAAGGAATACGGGCCGACTGCGCTGTCGAGGTCGTACGTGTAGATGAGCAAGGTCGGTTGCTGCAGGTTTCGCTCTGGCGTGCTGTCGGTGGTCGGGGACGGGATATGCAGTGCGGAAGCGAGGATCTTGATGGCTTCGCCGGCTTGTGCCACGCCCATCATCCCAACCACCGGACCCATGATGCCGGCTTCGCCGCAGGATACCATGGAGCTTGGTGGTGGCGGCTTTCGGAAACAACACCTGTAACAGGGAGCGTACTTGCCGTCAACTCGGCCCTGTGGTGTCGGGGGGCAGTTCAGCACCGTGAGCTGACCCGACTTCTGGACCGCCGCGGCGGAGACGAGAGGCTTTCTGAGAAGCACGCAAATATCGGATATTAAATACCGTGTTATGGGATTGTCGGTACAGTCCATGACAAGGTCGTATTGTGAGATGATGTCCGCAGCGTTCTGGGGGGTGAGTTGGAAGGGGTAAGGGACGTAAGTAGGGAGTGGATTCAGGTCCTCGAGGTGCGTTATTAGGCTGTTGACTTTCTTCACTCCGATACGGGAGGTGCTATGGCCGACTTGACGGTGAAGATTGGAGGCCTCGACTACATCGCCGTCGACAATACCGATGATCCCTATCCCTGCCCCGGCGATATACTGAGCAGCCGGGCAGCCAAGGCCACCAGCTCCTATTATGAGGACCCGTGAGTTGATCAGGCGGAGTTGACCTGAGAATGTTAGTTGCCCACTTCTAATACTGTGCGTGTTCACCCACATTACCTTCTTTCCCCATTCCAGGAACGATCATCTGACGAGAGTATCTCTCAAACTCTTCGTCTGTGAGGCGCCGGCTGCCACCATCTGCTCCAAGGTTTGTAGCAGCCGTGGCTTGGCCGTTGGCAAACGGTTTATCTGTCATATCCGCATCTATTGCTTCGCGTTGCACCATCGTAACCGAAAGCATGCAACCTGCGAGGAACTAAAAAGATATTCTGCTTTTCTTCACGTCGAACACCGAATCCCTGCCCCTCTTCCGCGCTCACTGGGCTCTCAAGCTTGTGACAAGAGATAGTGTATGTATGGGTCAAATCGCCAATATTGAACCAATGGCGTCAAGGCCCGTCGTCAAACTTGGAACCTCGGAGGCGCTTGCTCGCAGAAAGGATCCGAGATGCCGATTGTGCCGCTGTAGGGCTGAGATGAATTGCCCCTCCCCCACCATCATCGAGATCCTGGACGTCTTGGCGAGCAGCCGAGCCCGCCTTGTGGGTCTGCGAGGAAAGCGGTGAGGCAGTGCCCCACTAAAAAGTCCAATCGCCGCTGCCACACCCCGATCCCAGCGCATCGATTGCGAACTTCAAGCTCGCCATCCTCGGCCACAAAGCCCGAGAACTACCACCAGCACCCACGCCTTCATTCCCACCCTCCAAACCTGAACCCCAACCTAAGCGGCCAAACGGCAACAACTCACAATGGTACACCCCTCCCCTCCATCCCCCGCACCCCACTCTCATCCACTAACTAACAACCACCCCCCCCCCTCCACAGGCCCCAACAGCGCCCGCCCCGGCGAAGCGCCTCACCGCACGGCAAAAGGCGCGCGCGCGCCTAGCCGACCCCCTGCTGCCGCGCAAGCTGCACCGCGAGAACAACGTCGTGTCCGACGGGTTCATCGACTCGAAGCGCGACAAGCGGCTGATCAAGCACTCGTCCTTCCTGTCGCGGGTAGCCAAGTCGTCCAACAAACCCGGCATCGGCGCCAAGCGGCAGCAGCGGCGGCGGGCGTCCAAGAAGCTGGTGGCGACGCTGGACTCGCTCGGGGACGCGCTCGACGACATCCGGGTCGGGATGGACGAGGAGGCGGCGGCGGGCGGGGGCGCCATGGACGCCGAGCAGGCCGCGCAGGGCAAGGTGCGGCATAAGAGTCTGAAGAGCAGGCCGGGGGCGCTGAAGCGCAAGGAGAGGCTGGTCAAGGGCGAGATGGAGCGGTTTGGGCGGAGTCTGGCGCAGCTGGCGAATATCTCGACGACTTCCGCGGAGGGGACGACTTCCGCGGCTGCTGGTGGGAGTGCGGCGCAGGAGAAGATGGATACGGAGGGAGAGACACAGACCGCGGGGGCGGCGGCGGCGCAGCCTGCTACGGCTACGTCGGGTCGATGGGCGGCGTTGCGGGGGTTTATTTCTACGACGATGGAGCAGAATCCCGCCTTCTTAAACAAGACGTGAATATTAAAGGCACAATGCCAAACAGCATACAAGCACGAAAAGGCTGAGCGCTTGAAAGACGTGAATCGGCGTTGCCAACCCTTGACAGGGGTCGGAATTATGTGACGACTTGGGCCAGTCCGAAGGCTGAGCGCAAATACTGCACAATTACCCTCCCCTCGCCGTCCATATTACTTCGTATAATAACCGCTGCATCCACGCGAGCCATGATTCAATACCCGCCAAAAAAAAAAAACCAGCATCAAAACCCAGGGGTACTCGGGATCGACCCAACTCCCTAACTCCTTCGACCGCAAACGCCATCCTAATAGGCTCCAACACCGGCCCAACTCTTGATGTCCATTTAGGTCTTGCCCAACGCCCAAAAAAAAAAACAATATCGCGAACGCCGCCCAGTTGTGGCCCATTTTCGTAACGCCTGCTCACAGAACTACTAGTCGATGCGTGGTGGGTCGTTCGACGAGCTGGCGAATGGGCTGGCACTCCGGCGCCTCTCGCCCTCCTTCCGTAACGACTCGACGATTCGCAACATCTCTTTCCTCCCCCCGCGGCTGTCAACCATTTTCCCCGCCATCGACATGGACACCTTCTCGTAAGCGTTGGCGTTGAGAAGGCGCTTGATGAGCAAGTGCCTCATCAGGATGCAGACAAAGACACCGCAGTCCTTGCTGTTTTCCTGCTGGGGAGTGTCCTCCAGCTGATGAAATCGCAATGGGACGCCCAGGACAATGCTCAACCGCTCTACTCCCCTCTTAGCGGCGGAGAAATTGGAGCCACCGAGGGAATCATAATGGAATGCTACCCGGTCAATCACCGATACGAGTAGAAGGGACCAATGACTCCCACTGTCGGCGTTCCAGCGGTCGCGACTGTCACTTATTGGAAGAAAAATGTGCGTTATCTTGCGGAAGTCGGGCAAGGCCGAGGCGTCCCCTTGGAGGTCAGTCGTCTGCATCAAGAGATGAGAGACGACGGGCCGGAGAAGTACGATCCTAGCCTGCGGGTACTTGGGCAAGACTTCACGCTCAAGCCATCTAGTGCGTGTTAGATATCGGAAAACGGAGAATCCGGGGTCCCAACATACTCTTCCCAAAAAGCGATGGCCTACAATATCGTCAGTATACAGACTAATAAGAATCAAGACGGTCTGAGCATACACTATCCGTCAGCCAATCGTGCTTGAGTGCCTTGATGTCTTCCGTATCAACTAAAGAGGAGTTAGCCAGGTCACTGGAAGAGAGCCAAGGTTGGTTTCAACACGTACGGCGGATGTCGTGGTCTGATGAGAGGAGTTGTTAGTCTGTGAGACAGCATAAAACATGACCAGGGTGAACTTACACGAAAGGTATGGTTTCGGGGAAGACATTCCGAGCTATTCATCAATTAGTTGATGGTTCCACATAAGAAAACCATTGCAACAATCATCCCCGGAAAACAACTTGCAACATCTCCATTCTGCTAGCAGCGCTGACACCCAGCCGCCCTCTCGCCATAGTGCTGGATGCTCAAGCATCCCACCACAGTTTCGACCCGCTAGACATCAGTCGCCCTAGCCAATATTTTCCACGCTCACGTAAAAGGCCGAGGCCGAACAACATTCCCCACCAGAGTAGAGAAAGAATCTGTTCTTACGCTATCCCCAAAATGCCTAGCCATACTCTGCCGGAAACGCATCTTGTCGGCGGTCTGCAGTGGGGTCGGGGATGGAGATCGAGTGTCGGGGAAGGAAAACCGTGAAAGGCCGGTTGACACGTCGATTTGGGTGGCGGTGGAGTCGAGAGGACCGGCGGCGAGGGTAAAATACTGACAGCCGCGGAAGACGCGGAGGAACCGGAACTCGAGATTCGACTTGTCGGGCCCTCTAGCAAGGCTTCGCTACTCGACGTTGCTTGCAAGGAAAAGAGGGATCCGGGCGAGGATCGGCTACGTATACTATGGCCGCGGGAACTCGACGGGAAAGGGAAGGGTTTAGAGCGGTCGAGTGCCGCTTTGACAGTCTCGTCGACGGCCAATTCGGACGATTTGGCGGGGAACACGATGGTGCACAAGGCGTGGCGGCAGAAAGCGGGAGGAAAAGCGAGGCTTTCTGGGCTCGGCCACGGAATTTGGCGGCCCCGCAATGAGTGCCAATGCTTCGCGCACACCCTTGCATTGTGGCTGCGCTCTGCGGGCATGAGCAGTTTTGGACAAAAGCCGCCCGAGTAACAATCGTCAGGGACGAGACAATAGGGGGTTAAAAAAAGGATGTAAACCCTTAACAATGGCCCATATTCATTTCAGATGATACACTACCAGAACGTATTGAAACCCTGAAATTTCATCCTGATTTTCAGTCCGACCAAGACGATGATATCAATCCAAAACCGACGTCACCGAATCCCGGTCCTCCCACACCCCGGCGTGTTGTGACACGACGCCCAGTCTGGGCCAGGCCGGAGGTCCATTCGCTGCGCCTGCGCCAAGACGCTTCGCTCCGGGGAGTGGTGGGTGGGTGCGCTGGCCGGCAGTGAGACGTCACCTCTAACGCAACCCAAAATTCCGGGCTCGAGTGGTTTGAAGCCAGGTTTGGACCACCCACCTACCCTGAGAAATGCGGCCAGCGGGATGAGTTGAAGGTTCTATGGTCAAGAGTATTCAGTCTTGCAGCTAACAATTGCTGACCGCGTGGCGCTGGCGATGCGCTCATTGCTGCTGCTGCTGCGCTGGCGTGAGGGAACAACACCACCGGGGTCACATCCTGCAGCACAAACAATGGAGTCTGCAGGAGCTGCACATGCAAAGTGTTGAACCGCATAACATGGGTTCTTCATGGTGCCAGATGACAATTTAGAAAGAGTAACACAAACAGTATGCATACAACGATATTGCAGTGAAGGTATCATGTGCTCTTGCTGGCATAACGTTATCCTGGGGCAACCTAGATTTTTTCTTTGTGCCCTGCTCTATGTTGGATACAGGTTGTAATCATAGAACAAGCACGTGAGGGTCTTAGCATTCCCAGTATGCTGGAAGAAACTATTGGTATTGACCTGTGTTCGGGGTCTCGTGGCTAAGGGGTGAAGGTGGTATCGATAAAGAGAGAAACCGATGATGAGCATTTTGATAATGCGCCGGAGGCGGCTGGGGTACTTCCAGAACCGTGAGATTACGGCTACCTATTGCAAACTTATCATTGACCATGGAAGGAAGAATTAATCGCTAGGTTCCTAAGCGATCCCGCCACAAAGCCTCAGCTGTTCCCCGAGCTGCCATGCAAATTGCTACTTGGACGAGGCAGTCTTCCAGGACACACATCTCCAATACATTACTAGTATTCAGAGCTTGGTCTTTCTAAATCCTCCCATTCATTATCAGAATAGCCTTTTCCCTATCGTTATCCGCCAACCAGTCATGCTAGCCCAACTTGTAACGCAGTAAAAGCCCCCCCTGTTGGGGGGGAGGAACACGACGAGAACATGTTCTACTTAGTAGGTAGCGGACAAGCATAGTGTTGTTCGCTTTATGAATGGCTACCGCACGGGCCTCGATAATGAATAGTGCCCATGACTCCATCATGCCCATAACAACCTAACCCCCTTATCCATGGAACTTATTGGTGCTTTTCACAGAACACACCTCATGATATAGTGTATCTGTGCGGTGGCAAGCCTACTTGGTGACTCACCTTTTTCGCGTTTTATGACGGAAGGACGTAAAAACCATGGCTTCTCCTAGATTTGCTTTGGGTTGCTTTGCAATTTTGCATCGGGAACCGAAAAGTCCACACCTTGAACTTGCCGCCATTCTCGACACACCACAAGCTCACTTTTGATATTCGGTCACATTAGGTAACCAACCCAACCTTTAACATGACCCTTTCAAGCATTGTCCGCGCGCCCCCTCTGCGGGAACTGTCTCTAGCAGCTTTCGGTCCTCTCCGGCCAAGCACGCCGCGGAGGCTAAACCAACTCACGATGGGGTTCGAGGAGATCAAGAAGTGGAAGGAAGAGAAGGCGAAACAGGCCGCACTTGGTGATTCTGACAAGAAGAAAAACCCTCAGTAAGTCCAGCCCCGAATTGTTTACACCCCTTGCAGACTGCCATGACGTTCAATCAAGCCTTGGCTCTCGCCCCAAGCCGCTCTTGCAACGCATACAAGCAAAGCAAAACACACCTAACTAACACCACCGCCAGGAACACCCCATACACCGCCGCGCCGGTAAGCCAGCCGGCCTACTTCCCGCCGTGCGGCCTCGGCGTGCAGCCGCGCGCGATCCGCACCACCTCGGGCCGCACCGCGACCCCCATCACGCTCTTCCTCGCCTCGCAGGTCAGCGAGGCCGAAGACAAGAACAAGGTCGAAGTCGTCACCACGCTGGTCTTCCGCACCACGTCGAGAGAGCTCGACGCGCGCCACGCCGCGGCGGCGGCACAGACCAAGGATGACGAGCTCGACGCTCGGAGATCGTAATCCCCCCCTGCCCGCACGTCATCGGCCGTCCCGAACTCCACGCGCCGTTCGAGCCCGGCAATAGGTCGCCGCAAAACGCGCGGACCGTTAGTGTGGGAGGAGAAATCGCCATAATGACCTGATGGACCGTCTGCCTTTAGTAAGTCACTCACCCCGTTCGTGCCAAACGACAGGGCTATGGCCGCTTCGGCGTTGGTCACATAACTTTTATCCTCGGGACTTGGCTTTGGTTGCTAAATGAGTTGATCCAAACCAAGCGTTCAAGAAGCCCAACGTTTACAGGTTTGCAGGTAGTATTTGGAGGCTGCCGTGGTCTTGCCGATCTCGGTCGAGGGCAGCCGTTTGGATTCACAGTTTTGGGTTTTACCTCCTCTTTTTTTGGACAAGGAAATACTTTCAGGATTGGATTTCCTTATAGTTAGGAGTACTAAGCTATAGTGATACCTTGTGGAACTAGGTAACACCGTACCTGTCATTCAACATTCCAGCTTGATGTATAATAGATAATTGAATTTTCTCCTCAGCAAATCGTGACTTAAGTATTCCGTGAAAACCTCCGTGTGAACACCTTGACCTCCAGACAATTCCCTGACTCTTGCAAATGTCCCTTTTTGTTTCTCCCTGATGTAGGGTCCTCTCCTAGCTGGAAAGCGCTAAGGCAACAATAATACCTCACGCTAAAATGTCCACATTTCCCATGTCAGAGTCCTCAGAGACAATATCGATATCCTGAGCAGCGGCCCGGTCCGGGTTCCCCCCTTCTCTGCTCTCCTGCAGCGTGTTAATGATACCGTCTAAGAGGACTTCCAGAGCCTCGTCCGCATTCCGAGCAGGTTTGTCTGACTTCTTGGCTGTGGGGGTTGTGATCCTTTTGGTTGTGCCGTAAAGGCACTGCTTCATGAAATCCTCGACCTGTAAGTCGACCTTGCCTGGGACTTTAGGAGACTGACCCTCGGATTGCCGAACTGTTTCAATCAACCGGAGGCGATAGGTTTCTGCAAGACCATCAAGGCTATCGTCAGACTCGCTCGCGACGCCATCTCCAATTAGCCCCTCCCGGTCGCAGTTGGTTAGCCTGGTTTGGCACAGCATGACCACAGAATCAAGTTTCTCTGCAAGGACCGGCCGTCTGATTGTATCTGCTGTGTGGGCGACATCCATGTCTCGAAGCTTGTCGATGAGGATTGCCATGTCCTGTCCTGCCCCCGAAAAGATGGCGAAAGACGAGCTGGACGCCTTCCGGAGAGCGGTCAAAGTGTCTTTCTTCTCTCGGCCATGCCGGGCTCGCAAGTTGTTGAGCAAGTTCGAAGCGTTCGCCTTATAATCGGCTGCGATGTCGCGTATCACCTCCTCTCTAGGCTTTAGAGAACGGTGCAGCAGCTGGGGTAGGGTTAGCCTGTGCAGATTACTACAGGGAGATGGAAGATACACTAACGGTCACAATTCGGTGAAGAATGGCAGGCGAGGAATCATCCTCCACCACTTGCTTCCAAATGTCTTCAACTCCCGAACATTCCTCCAAGTTGGGCTCCGATTCAGGGGCTGGGGACGGCGATGGTGCCACTGGTTGTTCGTCGGAAAAGAATGCTTCTTGTATTCTCGCGGGCAAGCAATGCTCAATGCTCTGGTGGCGGTGTCCTAGCGCATCCGGTTGAAACGAAGTTGGAGGGGTAGAACCGAGACATCTACGGTCTACAGGTGGCCCTTTTGGTGATTGTTTGTCAGAACTTAGCCCTGTGTTGATCGTTATGGAGATATCTGGAGGAGCTTCTGCAGGCACGTTTTCTTGGGATCGATCCATGAACATAGGCGAATTCGATTCCGTAGCCGCACGGTCTGCGTCTGCACTTTCGCTGGACAGAGTTATGACATCGTGGGGTTTCGACGGGGCCTGTAGACAAACGTCGTTCTGTTTCACTGAAACCGGTGAAGGTTTTGGGGGCTCTGGGGAAGCGATATTCCCTGGGCCATCTGTGGTTTGAAAGGTAAACACAGAATCATTCTTGCGCGAGCGTTCGTTCGAGGTAGAACGAGCCATCGTGGGTGTAAGCTCGTCGTCTTGAGAGTTAGGGGTGCTAGACGCCTCTTCTTCGTTTGTATGGGCAGTTTTGTCGGTACTTGTTGGTCCAGCACTGGCCTTGCTTTTCCGAGGAGCATCACGACTGGACGGTTTCTTCGGTGCGGGTGTGGGCTTGCTCTTCCGGGTGATGGGGGACCTTGCCCCCTTCTCAGTAGTTCGAGCTTTGCGTTGAGGGAATGATTGACGTCCCTTAGGCGATGGTAGCTTGGCTTGTCGCTTCTTTGGCCTGGATTCCGATTCCGTGTCTGTAACGTCACTTAACTCGAAAAGGTCGTCACCGCCCGTCCCCCTTTTCGCATTGGCCCTGGTGGGGAGAGACCTAGGAGGCGCCTTGGCTTGGTTGGACACCTTTGCTGGTCCCTTTGTTGCGGTTGAAAGTGTTGTCGTTTTTCCGGGCTTGGGAACGGAAGATTTTATGGGTGAATCGGCTGCTGCCGTCAACTGGTTGGGACCCTTGCGTTTATTTGTCTTGGAATCTCGAAACTGCGATCCCCCGGGAGGGTTGCTCGATTTGCCTGGGGGCCTGGTTTAGTCACCGGATGGGGCTGTCGACATGAACGGAATATCCGGGAGACCGGACGGGGGAAGCCTAGCACAAGACTTACCGCTCGCCTTTTCTGACAGCTTGTGAGTGTCCAGCCTCTCCTGGCTCTCGTTCTGCCTCTTTTTCCGGGTTGGCGACAACTCGAGGAAGTCGCCCAGTATTTCGGGTAGGGGGTCCCTTTTTGTAGTCTTTGACGTAGGGGGGCGGGGAGTTGGTATGTACTCGAGGTCGAGCATGTCACTAACACGGGAAACTGAGGGGGACCGCTGCGGACTCTCAAAGTCAAACCCATCGATGGTCCAGGTTTCGGCCAAGTCGGCACGAACGAGGTCGACAGTTGCTGGCTGGGATGAATAACGAGTATAGTCCATCTCGAACGGTCAAAATGAATAACAGAAGGGCTTTTAGAGCGGACTATTTCCACTGCACCGGAAGCAGGGCAGATAGCAGGGACATCAGCATTCGGGGGAGTTGCTCAAGATCCGATGGGGGCCAGCGTGAGAGTCTGCGCAGTGCGGTTTTTTGGGGGACACCACCTAATTTCAACATTCAGTTAACTCCGAGATCCAACAGGTAGGTACGTCTGGGACGCGGTTGCCTCCTGTCTTGACACGCCCAGGAAGCAGGCAGAGGAAGGCGCGGGCCATTTGCCAACGGGAACAACAACGCTTCTTTACCCGGAAAGCTGTCACCTCAAAATCCAGTTCACAAGTTCCTTCAGATTTCATTTTGACTTGATTTGTTTCAGATTGAGTCACACAATTTTCAAGCTTCCGAAATACTCGACTTCCATGGGGTCGCGAGGAGGTGGAAGGGTTGCCGCACGATATCGTGTAATGTAGGGTTAGGGTTATATATTTTTGCTTCCTGGCCTCAAATGCGCTGTTTCCAATCTCACCCTTGAGTCACTCGACGGCCGGCACATGTTCGCCTTTCATCGTTAAATGAAGAGCTGGTACCTTAGTCACTCGGAGATCTCAAAGCACGCCCGGTCCGGCGGAGGGGGGTTCGCATTTCTCTCCGCTCCTCGATGGGGAACATTTTGAGACCCGGGGTCCCCTAGATTTCTCCATTGGAGAGTTTTATCGTAAGACGGCCGCAAGCTCGCCGAGTTAATAACATTAATAATCAATCCTCCGAGCCCATCAGGCTCGGACTCGGCTTAACAGCGGAGGTTTTCGTGGAGTTTATTAGTTTAGCTCCATCGAAGTCCGGACCCACCATTCTTGATTATGTGTGCACGCTGCCAGGCTGAGAAAGGAAGCGCGGCACCTGCTTGGCCCATTGTGTTACCAGGGAGGGCTGCGAGCTCTTATAAAAGCGCCGCCCTCAGATGTCGCCATTCCACTCACGGATCACGACAACCACCGCCTCGCCGGATTTCAGCCCTAGGACCGGACTTGAGCAACTGACGTTACATCATGGGGGCCGCCAAATTACCCGAAACATCGGTTCTCGCTTCCGAGCAGGAGGCGCGCATTCCCAAATCCGACGACGACACTGCGATTTGGAGTCTCCGCCATATCCAGATCCTCTGGTCCTGGGCTGCTCGACCAAAGCCAGTTCTCCCAAAATACCCCCCGATTTCCTCTATTCCCCGCACCTCTGCCGCTCGGCTTTCCAAACCCGACGTCGCTCCGACACCGTTTCCAAGCGAACCGATACTTGCGAAAGCCTTCAACCAAAATGCGCCCGTCAAGCCCAAAACCGTCCTCTATCTCGCCTATGGCTCAAACATGTGTGCCGAGACGTTTCTCGGTATGCGTGGCATCCGTCCCCTAAGTCAAGTCAACGTTGCAGCGCCGTCGCTGGATTTGACGTTTGACCTTCCGGGCATCCCCTACCGCGAGCCCTGCTTCGCCAACACTGCGCTCCGAAAGATCCCCGGCACCCCGCCGAAGTTCCCGCCAGAGCTCCCCCACCCGCCGATCGGCCCGCCAGCTGCGCAACATGAAGACGGGGCGGATAGTCGGAACGGGCCCGCGCGCCGCCCACCAGTCTGGAACAAAGGCCTGTACGGGATAGTCTACGAAGTCACGGCGGAAGACTACGCCAAGATCGTCGCGACGGAGGGCGGCGGCGCAAGCTACCACGACATCCTCGTACCGTGCCTGGCCCTCCCGCCGAGCGTGCGCGTGCCCGAGAAGCCGACCATCCCCGCGCCCCCGACACCCTTCCTCGCGCACACCCTGTACGCGCCGCGCATCCCCGACATGCCCGACACCGCCAATGGCACCACCACCACCACCAAAAAGGACGGTGACGACGACGACGACGACGGCACCCCACGGACCCCGCCCAGCTGGCTCCGCCGGCTGCTCACCCCGGTCCGACGGCCGCAGCCCGACTACGCGCAGCCGTCGGCGCGGTACCTCAAGCTGCTGGCGGACGGGGCGCGCGAGCACGAGCTGCCGCACGAGTACCAGGCGTACCTGGCCTCGCTGCAGCCCTACACGCGGACGACTCCGCGGCAGCGGTGGGGCCAGGGCCTGTTCCTGGGCTTCTGGGCGCCCACCATCATCCTGCTGATGATGGCCGGGCGGTGGTTCGCCGACGGGCGCGGCCGGTCGCCGCCGTGGGTGGTGGCGGCCACGACGGTCATGTTCAACCTGGTGTGGTTGAGCTATGACTGTGTGGGGAAGAAGTTGTTTGGGGATGGGGAGAGGACTGAGGAGGGCGAGGACGAGACGGAGGAAGAGGTAGTGAAGACTGTGAAGGGAAGGAGGGCAAGTTTTGCGAGCGGATTGAGGGGCAAGGGCGAGGTGGGTGACGAGGAGAAAAGAGCGCTGCTGGATGAGTACTGATGGGAAACGGGGTGGCGGGGAAGGCTGCGTTTTAGGCGGATACCATTTCATTACGTTAATTTCACGGCGGGATATCCGATTTTAGAGGAGTTCAATATCATCCATGAAATGCAGGACGCTTGTTCAAAGTTGATTAAAGACATAATCGCTGGGTGGTCCCTCATCCCGTGTGGGACGATGCGACCCCATCAAAGCGAAACCCGTCTACATACTCCGCTCGTAATGCCGCATTTACTGTCTAAACAGCACCGGGATATCCTTCACTTCAAATGTCCCATCCACAATCCCTTCGACCGCCTTGAAGAGCGGGTACTTGTCCTGTACACCGCGCGCCTTCAGGAAACTCATGACCTCCTTCGTTGTGGAGATGCCCTGCAGCTTCTGGCCATTCAACTCGGTCCGCTCAACCTCGTATAGAGACACGCCGCGCTCGACCGCCATCTTGGAGTAGCGCCAGTTCCGCGCCGATGTGCAGCTCACAATCATGTCGCTCCAGCCGGCGCTCTCCCAGAACGTCATCTCCTGGATCGTCTCAGGGAAGAACTCTTGGCAGAACTGGATCGTCTCGAGCATGCCCCGGCGCATCACGGCCGTCTTAGCCGTCATGTTCCAGCCGTGGCCCTCGATGAAACCGCATGCGAGGGCAACAATGTTCTTGAGTGCGCCGGCGAGCGACACGCCAACCACGTCCGACACCATCGAGACGGTAAAGTAGGGTCGGTCGAAGAGCTTCCGGAGTTCGTTGTGGTCGGCGGGGGGGTAGTCTTGCGGCACGGGGGTGAGCTCCGTTTTGCTGATCTGGCCGCGGGCGTCCCGGTGGTGCTCTCCGTTTGCCCCATTCGACCCGTTCTCCCCCCGCCGGTCGCACAGCGGTGTGTTGTACGCAATTGTTGTCTCGCACCACAGCTCGTTCGCAATCTCGTTCGCGATGTTGGCGCCGCTCAGAGCACCGCAGTAGATCCCTAGCGACTCGCTGATGTACTCGCAGATAAGCTCGACTTTGTCCTCCGTTACCGTAACACCCTTGATGCAGCTCACGCCCCGGGCGTACGGGAGAATGTGACCCTTGATCTGCTTGCAGACGTTGCCGATAAACTCGTGGGGGAGGTTGAAGATAAGGATGGACGAGTCTTTGACGGCGTCGACTAGCGAGGGGTTCGCGACGACGTTGCTCGGGAGCGGAATCTTAGGAAGGTATTTGACGTTCTCGTGGTATGTGTTGATCACCTCCGTGAGTTTCTGGGGCTTGTCCCCAACGGCGGCGTGGTGGGGTGAATCGGAAGGGATTGTCACGTTCTCCTCGTACACCCACATCTGCACATCTTCCTCAAAGATATCCGAGTGCTCCTTGGTGTTCTCAGCGACGAGCTTCGCCACCGTCGTGCCCCAGTTGCCCGACCCGACAACCGTCACCTTGTGCTTGCGCCGAATAGCGTCCGAAGGCCCTGCCATTTTTGTGGATCGGGAAAGGTAGTGAGTGTTGAGGATGTGTTTTTGAGAGAGTGAAGAGGTCAAGCTGTTTGTTGACTTCAGACGCCGGGTTTGAGTTGCTGATTTAGTAGGCTTCGGACGACCTGGTGGAGAGAAATCTGGACGGTGAGAAGGTTGGGATGAAAGTGATCGAATTGGCTGACAAGGTTTATGCCTGGGCAGTCGGAACGTGCAGCTTCCTGAGTGGATATGGGTGTGGAAATTGGTCACGTTGGGCGAGGAAATGGCAGGCGGTGACCGGTGGTGGATGTTAGGAAGGGATGGGCTGATGAAGTGGCTTATGAAGGGATTCGCCAGCAAACCAGGGGTGGTTTTACCATTCCTTTTGTATGCGGCCGGCAAGGGCGACGGCACGATCCCTCGCATTTTTAAGACCTTGAAAAGCCTCACTGGCACATGGCACACTGGGCAGCCAAAAAGGTCCTCTGTCCGTGCAGTCTTTGTGTGCATCGCCACTGTCTGCCGGCGAATTTTCTGCGACGCTGTTGGCCCATTCTGCAAGCCATGACGCAAAGAGGGGCAGAATATCCCACCGCCTTCCCTTCTCAGACGACTCCTCGTCCACAAATTTCTGGAAGCTCCCATGTGACTTCCACGTTGGTAAGGGGGCCTCCGCGACACGCCTCGGCCGAACCGATCGCTCTCCCCGTCACCGAGGCCACGGATCTGCCAAGCATCCATAAGCCCCATCGTGGCTCTCCAGAAAACGCTTCAGTTTCGGCCTCTTGCCCAATGGGCCGAGGGAGTTTGTTCAGAATATCGTAGCTTGCCGCGGCTTACCTCGCGGGTCGGAGACCGCGGACGCCTTCAGCGCGCTCTTAGCTGCGAGCGACAAGATTGTATTTTCGGCCCGGGGCCGGACATATAACTAGTTATGGTCGGTGCACCGTTGATAGCGACTCGGGCCGTTGACACCTTCCCTACACTAGTTTCTTAGCGATCGGCAATGGGCCGGTGTCAACCCACCAGCAACCGATCAGTGGGTTGAGACTGCCCATGGAGCCATGACCCCCAATGCCCAAGGGGACGCTCTGATCTCTCGTGAGTGAGAGAAGACATTAGGATTTAAGACACAGAACAACGCAGCTGCAAAAATGTTCGCGCCTAATGCTGTAGCCAACTGCTTGTTCACCTGTTCGCCCGACCAACTCGTAGCATTGGACTTCCATACTTTTCGCAAAATTTGGAGCATCAAGAAACAAAACCCCCACCATTGAAAAGATCGACATGGCAATTGCTCGCAACGCTCCCCTTTCCCAAGGCCTGGGCTGTTCGAAAGCACAGACCTGCCAAGAGACGCACCAGGGCGCTGATGTCATCGAACATGCAGGCAGGTGGGGGCGGGGGCACGATGCGACAGCAACTCAGACCGAGAGCATCGCCGTGAAAACGGAAAACTAGCAGAAAAACACCCAGTGTTGTAGCTCGCACATCTGATAACTATGCCTAACCGGAACTTTCAAGCTCTGGACGAGCAATTAGCAGTATTAGTAGGTACCGGAAGCTCAATGCGAGGCTGAGGGGATAAGATTCCCGGCCGGAGTAGCGCGTACCACCTTACACAGTACCTCCTCCCGAAGTTCAATCAATGCACGTTGCTGCGGTTTAAATATCTCGAGGCTCCACCTCCTCGCCTTCTTCCATCCTCGAGCCACCCAAACGAAACAGGAGGGGATGGCGAGGTTCCCATTTGCTGATTCATATCGGCGTGTTGAAACCAACACGTTTCCTGGGCGCAGCCTGCCCGCTGTCTGTGCCTCTTTGATGACATCGCGCCAGACCAACAGGCCCAGCAATTGACCCGAATCTTTCCAAATTGGTCGTGCAACAGCTGCAGTGCCAGCAACCTGTGCCCTCGCTGGGGGGATTTAGGAGCCCCGTGGGCGGCGTCGGGCAACATCGCAACATCGCCCGGTTTCTTCTTGCCTAAACCTACCTACTCTCTACCCTTGTCGTTGGTGCTTCAAGTTCGCTGCATTTGCCTGCTTTTGGCTTTTAATGCTTCTCTGCTCTCTCCTCAATTCCGGAAAACCCTGGAAGCTATCCTTGAATTGGCCCGACGCCACCGCTCAACCCGCCAGCTTGCACCGTTGCCACGCTTACATTTAGTTCCGAACAAACCCGTTCCCTGATGTCGAGAATTATCAGGTCAATTGCTCTGTGCCTGTGTCTTGTTTGGTGCCTTGGATCCGATCGGCGGCACCGCTAAGACCAACGCGCGGGGCGATCGACGAAAAGACTTGGCTTCCGCTACTACCTCAGTGCCATATTTAGCTTGGAGCTTCCCGAGCTCCGTTTCCCCTCCTACAACATGGTCCCAAAAACCATGGTTTCCAACGAGGTTTACCTGCTGTCGCTGAACGACGATGGCTCGCCCCAGGTCGCCGGCGAGTATATTTATTTGGCACCCAAGAATAACGACCCTTTCACCATCCGGTTTGCGATCGAGGGCACCTCGAGCATCTGCCGCCATGGCAGTTTGTGGGTCAACATCCCCGAGCAGGGCGCCGAGTTCCACCGCGACCGCTTTCGGGAGTTCAAGTAAGTGGCTTTGCTAGCGAGAGGATAAATCTAGAGTGGTAAAAACGGAATACTAATATTTCCGTCCCAGGCTCGTCCCCGACTTCAATCGCACAATCGAGATTTCCATCCCAATCTACGAAGCCGGTGCCTACGCATTCTACACCACCTACGCCGAGTTACCCGATCTAGCGAACCAATTGACACAGTCTGGCGATGATTCGAATCCCAAGACCAAGACAACACCATGGTACTACATCGACGTTGCCCCGCGGTTGGCGCTGGATGGCCAACCCCTGCCGCTCCCGGCTCTGTCCGTCTTTTCCCTCATCAGCAAGTTCATGGGCAAATACCCGCAGGACTGGGAGCGCCATCTCAGGGGCATCAGCGATCGGGGCTACAACATGGTGCATTTCACCCCGCTCCAGGTGAGGGGCGCCTCGAACTCGCCCTACAGCTTGTATGATCAACTCGGCTGGGACCCTACCTGTTTCCCCGAAGGCGAGAAGGACGTCCAAAAGATGGTGGAAAGCCTCGAGAAGAACCATTCGCTGCTCAGCTTGACGGATATTGTTCTGAACCACACTGCCAATAATAGCCAATGGCTCCAAGAGCACCCAGAAGCTGGATACAACTTGACAACGGCCCCGTGGCTAGAATCCGCCTACCTCCTGGATACCAAGCTGTTGGAGTTGGGTTCTAAGTTGGAGCAGCTTGGGCTGCCGACTGAGGTCAAGTCCCTGGACGATCTTATGAAGATTATGGAGGCGATCAAAAAGGAAGTCATCGCGGAGATCCGTCTTTGGGAATACTACGTCACCGATGTTGAACGGGATGCCGATGCAGCTGTCGAATCGTGGGTTGTTGGCAAAACCACGTTCCCTGAAGGTTCCGTCGCAGCCGGCGGTCCTGACTCTTTGCGCTCAGCAACATCGGAAGAGCTCGCAAAATGGCTGGTGGAACACGGCCTGAAAGGAACGGACCGCCTCGGCGAGCGGTTCAGGAGGAAAGTAGACGCCAACGTCGCTGCTGCCCTTCTTTCGGCCCTGTTCGGCAAATATGAAGGCGACAACGGGGCCGCTGCCGACCAAGCAGCGGTCCGGGCCAAGATTGTGGAAGTTCTCAAGATCGTTAACGTGTCATTCTACGAAGAATACGACACAGAGGTCGACGAAACTCTCCAGCAGCTCTTCAATCGGATCAAGTACGTCCGTATGGATGATCACGGGCCGAAGCTTGGGCCCATCAACCAGGAGAACCCCCTAATTGAGACATACTTCACCCGTCTGCCACAGAATGAAGTCACCGCCCAGCACAAGAAAGAGGATTTGGTCCTGGTGAACAACGGTTGGGTCTGGGGTGGCAACGCCCTTGTCGACAACGCCGGTCCGGAGTCTCGGGTCTACCTCCGCCGGGAGGTCATTGTTTGGGGTGATTGCACCAAACTGCGATACGGGGCCAGTTCGAAGGACAGCCCGTGGCTCTGGGAGCACATGACCAAATATGCGCGGATGCTCGCTAAGTACTTTGCCGGCTTCCGCATCGACAACTGCCACTCGACACCCATCCATGTCGCTGAACACATCCTCGACGAGGCCCGCCGCGTCCGGCCAAACCTCTATGTTGTTGCGGAGTTGTTCACTGGTTCCGAAGATATGGACTATGTGTTCGTGAAACGCCTCGGCCTTAGCTCGCTGATCCGCGAGGCAATGCAAGCCTGGAGTACCGGCGAGCTGAGCCGACTGGTCCACCGCCACGGTGGTCGGCCCATTGGAAGCTTCGAGGTGGACGAAATCTCCAGTGCCGAGGTGCGCAGTCACTCAAAGGATCAAGGGGCCAGCGCTACAAACGGCCAGGAATACACACGTGAGATCATCCGCCGCATCAAGCCCGTCCCTGTCCAAGCCTTGTTCATGGATTGCACACACGACAACGAAGTTCCGGCTCAGAAGCGGGATGCTCGCGACACCTTGCCCAACGCAGCCTTAGTTAGCATGTGCGCCAGCGCCACTGGGAGCGTCATGGGGTACGATGAGATCTATCCTAAGTTGGTGGACCTTGTCGGAGAAACGCGGCTCTACACATCAGAGGCGTCCAAGTTCCCTGTGAAGGTTGGGGAGGGCAAGGGCGGCATCGCAGGCGTTAAGAAATTGCTCAACCAGATCCATACCCTCATGGGCATGGACGGTTATGAAGAGACCCACATCCACCACGAAGATGAGTACGTCACCGTCCATCGCGTCCACCCTGGCTCGCGGAAAGGCTACTTCCTCATTGCGCATACCGCATTCCCCGGCTATGGCAACGGAAACGGCGCCTTCAACCCCGTTCGCCTCACAGGAACCAAAGCCAAGCACCTCGGCAGCTGGATGCTCGAGGTGGACGCAAGCAAGGAGGCGGTGGATGAGGTGCTAAGCGACAGGCGGCACTTGCGCGGCCTACCGAGCCGCCTCCTTGCGGTCCCCGGTATCCGTATGGAGGTGAAGGGTGATGACACTCTCATCACCGTACGCGACAAGTTCCCGCCTGGCAGCATCGCCTTGTTCGAGACTTGGATCCCTGCAGCGGAGCACTCGAGCGGCCTAGACACCTTCGTCACATCCGGCGCCAAGTCTGCGGTGGAGGAACTCGACCTGGTAGACCTCAACTTCTTGCTATACAAGTGCGAGGCCGAGGAACGGGATGCCAGTGAAGGCCGGGACGGTGTCTACGACATCCCAGGGCATGGTAAGCTTGTCTATGCCGGCCTTCAAGGATGGTGGAGCATTCTCCAGGATATCATCAAGGACAACAACCTCGCGCATCCCTTGTGTCAACACCTCCGTGACGGACAGTGGGCTCTCGACTACATCGTGGGCAGGCTAGAGCGTGCGTCACAGCAGACACTTTACAACCGCCTATCCAAACTTGTAGCCTGGCTACGGGAACGGTTCGATGCAATCCGCGGTATCCCCAGCTTCCTGCTTCCGCGGTACTTCGGCCTTGTTCTTCGTACGGCCTACATGGCCGCCAACGAGAGGGGCATCTCACTCATGAACAACAATATCCAGGGGGGCCAATGGTTTCTACAGAGCTTGGGCATGGTCAGTGTACAACAGACCGGTCTAGTGAAGTCCGCCTCCCTCTATCCGAACCGCCTAGTCCCGTCGCTCGCTGCCGGTCTTCCCCACTTTGCAGTTGAATGGGCACGCTGTTGGGGCCGCGATGTCTTCATCTCGTTGCGAGGCTTGTACCTTGGCACCGGTCGCTTCGAGGAGGCAAAAGAGCACATCCGGGCTTTTGCCAGTGTTGTCAAGCATGGTATGGTCCCCAACCTGTTGGGAAGCGGCAATACCCCTCGCTACAATGCCCGAGACTCTGTCTGGTTCTTCCTGCAATGCATCCAGGATTACACCCGGATAGTGCCCAACGGCCTCTCGCTTCTGGATGAGAAGGTCAAGAGGCGGTTCTTGCCATATGACGACACCTGGTTCTCCGCCGAAGATTCACGGGCGTACAGCAAAGAGAGCTCAGTCCGGGAGATTATCCAGGAAGTCTTCCAACGCCACGCTGAAGGAATGAAGTTCCGCGAGGCCAACGCCGGTCCGGGTCTTGATATGCAGATGCGCGACGACGGCTTCAACCAAGAGATCAAGGTTGACTGGAGCAATGGCTTCGTTTTTGGTGGCAACCAGAATAACTGCGGCACATGGATGGACAAAATGGGCGAGAGTGAACGCGCAGGCTCCAAGGGCGTGCCGGGCACTCCTCGCGACGGCGCCGCCATCGAGATAACCGGTCTCCTCTACAGCGCCCTCAACTGGGTAGCATCCCTCAATGAGCAGGGCAAGTACGAGCAGTCATCTGTCCGCAAGGCCGATGGCTCGGAAATCACCCTCCGGTCCTGGGCGGACCTCATCAAAACCAACTTCGAGCGCTGCTTCTTCGTCCCCATTTCCGCCTCCTCCGACGCTGATTACGACGTCAACCCGGCCGTGATCAACCGCCGCGGCATCTACAAGGACCTCTTCCGCTCGGGCAAGGAGTACGAAGACTACCAACTACGCTGCAACTTCCCCATCGCCATGACGGTCGCCCCGGACCTCTTCGACCCGGCGCACGCCATGCACGCGCTCTGCATCGCCGACACGGCCCTCCGCGGGCCCACGGGCATGGCGACGCTCGACCCCAGCGACCTCAACTACCGGCCCTACTACCGCAACAGCGAGGACAGCGACGACTTCGCCACCAGCAAGGGCCGCAACTACCACCAGGGGCCCGAGTGGCTCTGGCCCACCGGCTTCTTCCTGCGCGCCCTCCTCAAGTTCGACCTGATGCGCCGCGCCGACGGCGACGCCGAGGGCCGCACCGAGGCCTTCCAGCAGGTGACGCGCCGCTTGAATGCCTGCAAGGACATGATCCGCCGCAGCCCCTGGGCCGGCCTGACCGAGTTGACGCAGAAGGGCGGGGAGGAGTGTCCCGATTCGGTAAGTTTCTCTTTTTTTCTTCCCCTTTCTTGTCCGCGTGCTATTGTCCAGATGTGGGTTTGGTGTGTTGCGCGAGTTGGGCGGTCTTTGCTGACGTGAGGTTGCGAAAAACAGTCCCCCACGCAGGCCTGGTCTGCCGGTTGTCTGATTGACTTGTACATGGATGCCGCGGAGGAACAGGCGAGGCTGGGCGCGAAGGCGCTGCCGTTGAGATAAAATGGGATGCGGTGAGACGAGATGAATGGTTTGGATAGATGCGCCGGTGTTGAAGTGTTCGTTCCACGGATGATGATACACGGGAGAAAGGGAGCGGGCGGGTATTATTTGCAGCGTCATCAGTTATACATGAGGGTTGGATACGGTAATAAATGAAGCATTGTTTTCGCTATTTGGATCTTAAATGGGCGATATGAAAGGGGGTAAATGCGTATAAGTCCAAACGACCCCCCAAGTGCGCGTGGCTGTGGAGGGGCGACGACGGCAACCGTGTCAGCGTAAAAAAGCGCACACCCAAAGGCTTTGGGACTTCCATTGCAGTCTACTAGTCGTCAATTACGACGGACAATCGGCGTGGTTTATTTCTGCGGAAAAAACTGCATCAAAACCAGATAGGGTGGGCTGCTTGAGGAGGTGGCCGGATATTCAGGGGTAAAAGGGGTAAAGAGAAAAAAGGCAAAAAATCAAGTCCCCTCGACCGGAATCGAGCCGGTGACCTTTCGGTATCAATAAATGCCTTTACAGCCGAACGTGATAGCCAACTACACCACAAGGGGATTCATAAATTGTTGATTACTTTTGCTGAAGCTTTGACATTTAACCCCTCTTCGGAGCGACTTCTTGCGAACAAGCTCACAATCGGGTTGCGGGAGACCCATGCAAAATCTACCAAGACAACTGGTGCGATGATGGAACGAAATGTTCTATTGTGAAATGAATGCAATGAGCTATCAAAAGGTATAAAGATCGGTACGAACATGCTAATCTCTCTCGCCAGCGCTGTTTCGCGGGTAGAGAAAGAAGAAAACGAAAGCATGTCCTTGAGTTTCTCCCCAACGCCTGTCCTCAACGCCAAATGCCGAGGCACCCTGTCATGTCCCCCAGTCCCAATCTTACCCTCCCAACCATCTCTTTTGTAGAGAAAGAAAGAAACAAGGTATACCAAGCTAATTACAACGGGGTTTGTGTGATGCGACCGTGCGTCGGTACGCAAGTTTCGTAGCAGGCATGTTTCAAGAAGTCGAAGGGGCATGGCCTGTTTGTCCATTCAACCCCCCCACTCTATGACAAAAGGGAATATATACGGCGTGTAGGTGTGATGTGTAATGTGGAAACCTGGTGTTGCTGTCCTCCGTTGGGATCTTTTATGTCCGCCCCCCAAAGGCCCACTTCTTCTTCTTTTCTGACTTCTCGCCGTAGATGCCGGCGGAGCTGATCGGTGCCGGATCGAACATGCCGGGCCCGGGGACATGGACTGAGCCGGCGCTGCTGCCCTCGTTGGGTACTACTCGCCCGGATTCGGTGGCATGTGCGAGGTTGGAGTTGAGCGCATACACGCGGTCCTTCTTGCGGATGTACCGTCGGCGCCAGACGCACGCGCCTACCCAAATGCCGATGATAGCGACGACCATGATGACGAGGAAAATCACCCACTGGTAGTGATTGTCGAGCCTAAGAGGAGCATGAAAGGTCAGCACATTCGCGCCGAGTCTTTGAGATAGGCGAGGAATGGATCGACGGCCAGCGACAAAACGGCGGCATGCCGTTTCCACATTGGCGCCAGTATCTGGAAATCAAGGGTTATTCATACCAGGTCCCGCCGCCTCCCCCATTTTCTTGCGGCCGTGACGTTGCTGAAGATGTCGGCCCTGTGTTTCCGTTTCCCTCTCCGCCTCCGACATTGTTGCAAAAATCAGTAAACCAGCCCTGGATGCTGGCCAGATCGGCGGGGTTCGCTGTGCAGGCGCTGTCGCACACCCCGGCAGTGCCGGTCTTGAACGGGGCGAGCTTTGGGTCGTTGCAGAAACAGCTATCGTAGACGCTAGCTTCGGCGGTTGGGGCAACCGGGGGTACACAGGCGCCGTTAACATCATATAGAGGGCCGCATGCCGTAATGCAAGCCGGTAATGTTGCTGCGGGAAAAAGTGTGGTCTCTGCGATGACCTGTCAGTAACCTAGGTTTGTTGTGTGGACCAAGTCCGCGGGGAAAATGACGGAATGATGTCGGTTTCAGCGCGGGGGGGCCATACCCATCTTGGAGAGATCCTGGGACGATGCAGCGGTTGCGGCTACAATGTTCGTGCGAAGATCAAAATGCGCGCGCGGTAGAAGTTATGTAACAACGCCAGTCGTCACTGATATGGTTGTCGAACCACCCGGTCGAAACAACCCGACCCAGCCGTAATCCAAATGGTGGTGGCACAGCCACAAACGGTCACCAGAAAGGTCGCGGTTGGGGTTCAGACAAAGAGTTGATGTGTTGCACCGAAAACAGCGACGCCTGTTGCGACTACCGACTCAAAGTCCCGTCCCTCGTCTTCCTCCTTTTTCGGATTTCGTTTGCGCTGGGCGTTCGGCCCCGGAACGCTCGGTCGGTTCGTATTGGCGACGTAATCCCACTGCTGCTGCGGCCGGGTGAAATTGGGGTTCCTTCGTAGTCGCCAAATTGTCCTTGTTCGTCGTTCTTGTTGCCAAGCTAAAAGACGAGGAATGCAGTGTTCTTGCTCGAGAAATCGGATCTGGTTCTTGCTTGTTTGTGATATTTTGGCAATCGGTGGTGGCTTCTGGGCGTTCGTAATCGGGGCCGAAACGAGCGGAAGGGGTCCCTGGGCGACACTGAGACGTTTGCATGCAAGTCCGCTCGGCGTTTCCAATCTTGAAAACACGCAAGCCGTCGACAGGGGATAGAAAACGAATGCGACGTCGAGAAGGGAAACTGCGTGGGTTGAGAAGAAGACCAAAACGAGTGGAAGAAATGATGGCAAAGTGGGAGATGGGGATGTTGGCAACACCCGGCGGCCTGCACAACCCAGACCTGATCTTTGTGCGAGTGCGTGGGAGCGTGGGTGGTGGTGCTTTGGGCTGAGTGAGACCTCCGACGGGGCGCCAAAGGCCGCGAAGCAAGGAATTGAGCCTGCTGCCGAGCCAGATTGAGCGGCTGGTCCAGGCTTTGGAGCACAGACCCCAGCGGGGCGTCCCGATATGATTGGTGGACGGCCTCGACGGAACTCGTATGCCAGACGCGCCAATAATTCGCATTTGCGGTGGTCTGGTTCCTTGGTCCTTCTTGGCTGCCCGGCTGGGTGGTTGGGCTGGCCAGGAGCCAGCGGGCGCTGAGGAAGAGGACCACCTGAGCGCCTGTTGTCTCGGGCCTAAAGAACGGGCTGCCAATCGATTCCATCGATTCCACTTACGGTGTGGATATCCCAAACGTGAGGAAGCCGCGATTTGGGCCTTGACACTTGATTCATTGTCCTCCCGCCCAGGCCAACACTTTGTTCCTGCCGCTGCATGCTTTCGGGGTGGATTTCTGGCCAGGCACGCATGTGGCGTGAGATCCGCCCCATAAATATCGACGATGCTACCAATAATTCAGGGAGCATTTGTGCAGAGATCGACTTTCCCGTTTTGTGCCGCTCTTCTGCTCTGGTTTGGGTGCCAGTCTTTCATGTCGCAATATTGCTCCTTCCCTTGTTCGATGGCATGCCTCAATCGATCCTTCAACTTTCAACCTCCAATGTCAACTGTTCGGAACCCATGATGAAATCCGCCACCGCAAGGAAATATCTACCTTAACATAGTTGCCGAAACCTCAAACCCGCCAAACTTGCATTGAATTGGCCAAACCATGGGTGACGCTCACCGCGCAATGAACACCGCTCATTTCCATCTGCACCTTGTGCGTTAGTTTGGTTCTTGGGTAAATTCGAGGCAAGCCTGCAACATGACAATGACGCCATTGCTTTTGAGCTGTGGCAAACCTCGTGAGATTCTGAAAATGGCCAGATCACGAGATGATTGAACCAGTTCCAGCCTTTGGATGCAATTCTTACAACCCTCGACTCATAAATGCTTCATCCCCACCCGATATTATATCCGACTCCACTCGGGACGTCGCATTAAGCATAATGCTCGATTAATATCAACTGACCTCATAGTCTCGCGAAGTCATTAGAACTATAATATCCCAAACTCGAATTCGAAACACTTCGCCATGTATCCCTCCAGGACCTTGAATGGGCGCCCAGCTCGCAGTCTGTTCGTAAACGAAGGCATGGGTCAAGAACATCGACAGAAGGTTCACGCTGATTGCCCCGGTTCAGACAAGCCCGACGTTCGCCGAAACTGATCAAGGCATGTGATCGGGAAGAGCCCTGCTGACCCTGAGGGGTTTATAGCATCACACCTCCAACAGAGCTAAAGGGGTTGATTACCTAAGTCAGCAGGGTGAACCGAGTATCAAATTCATGAGGAGGCTCTTCGGGCCCTTGGTACCTTGTGAGCTTGTGTGCCAACGTACCTAGTATGCATGTCCATGTTCACCGCTAGGGCGCTGCCCCGAGGAAGAGGGCTGCCGGAGCAGAGACGGCCCCCACCACTGCTATCGCGACAATCTCGGCGTACTACACCCTCGAGTCCATGCCAGAAGCGATACGTACGTAAAGGGCGAGTCTGCTTGGTGGGGCCGCATGGCGCTCTTCTTCAGCCCACGCTAGAGGAAGTTGACGTTTTTGTGTCACCCATCATGTACCGAGACTTGAATCCTTCCCTCAGAAATAGGGGACGTGGCATTCCTGCTGTGTACACTCGTGTGGCGGCGGTTCGATGTCGACATTCGGTTTCTTCCTGGACCCGTGTGATCAGGTAACCATGGTTTTCCGGGCGTCAGGGGCTGGCTTGTTGTGAACGGCTTCTGACAACGCACGGTCATATCAGCTCAGGTGTCTCCGAAAGCGTGAGGTCGGCAGTTTCAGGTACGTACTGTCGCACAACTCCGACCGGCATCTTTCCCGCGGTTCAGCTCCCTACCCCGGCCGCATGAAGGCCCGCCGCCACAGGCCTGCGCCCAAGCCCAGCACCGGTTCCTTTCGCTGGCGATCCCGTTGTGTCAACACCCGTCGGCATGCCCCTTAGTGGCTTGTCGGCATCACGTACCTTGCGGGCGGCAACGAGCCCCCCAGATTCCCGAACGCGAGATTCGGTAAGATGCAGAGCTTCTTTTGACTCGACAAAAGGCCGCTTTGTCTAAGTAGCGGTGAGATACTTGCTCCAGTCATGCGATCCAGCTGGACTCGCACGGCATGCTTGGGAGCCCGAAGATCGGCCCACCCGACACGGAGCGGTTTACCACCATGCCGGGCATGAACCGATCAGCACATGGTCGCCTTCATTGCCAAGATGAGGCGACGGATTGTAGCTGGCGGTGCTTCGAGAACTAGTGAGCTGTTGGTGTCCCGTGATGGTGGTTTCGGCCGAGACGGATAATACCCACTGCAGCTTTTGACAATGCCCGGCTGGGGGGGTGCTGGTCGGGCACCCTTTTGAATGCGCAGTGGACGGCAAGATATCCCGCAATGCGTGGGTTGACTTGAACTTGACGAGCTTTCCCGCATGTTGTGAAACCCGGCCATATGGAAGTGGCGAGTTGTGAGACAGCGGTTTATCCCCCGTATGGTTATCTTGACAACCACCCATGGCCTGGGATTCTTACGGAGGGCACACTTGCTCGGTCGTGCGGCCCCGGAGGGTTTCTAACGTGGCGGTGACGCCGAGCTTGGGCATGAATCGAAATCTGACGCCTGTACACGAAGTGAAGATCTCTAGGACGTCCCAGTCACGATCGTCGAATCCCGATCGGGGCTACCAGAGGCCAAAGGTTCATCCAGCAATTCCGGCTTCGGGTACGTCATCCCCCCGTGTCGTTGCACGAGCCTATCGTGCTGCCGCCCATGGCTTCCGCAGATATTCGGGGAAATCTAGTGAACTTGAGCATGTGCCCATGATAGAGGACCCGGAACTACCCAGATATCGCCGAGACATTACCACGTGAAGGGCGTGGTTGGCGGCGTGCTCGGTCAGATCAGGATCACGGTGTGCGGAGCGGTTATAGACGCCATCTAGTTTGAAGTGATCGCCATGTGATATCATTTGACAAGTCCCGGTCATGGGGAAGCTGAGTCCTGCTGTCAAACACACCATGGCTAGGGTTTAGTGGTGGTACCCAGCTGTCAATCTTTCGGATGTCCAGTTCCAGTTTCCCGACAGCTAAAGAGGACCGCATGCGGAAGCAGGTTCTGTAGCCCGGCTGCAGTGGTCTCGGTTCCGGTGCAGCAGGTACTTCCAGTCAAAGGCCGTTAGTGACGATGTCCTAGGGGCGCCAGGAGGTTGAAGGCCCATGCATAGTCGATCCAGTCGCCCGCCATGGGGTTTGCTTCGATTGGCGGTCCTCCTTCCTTACAGGCCAGTTGTTGGTCTGTAGGAAGCCATTCGGAAGACCACGCGACACACGGCCGTTCGCCGCCATTACCGAAAGGCACGACCCCTTTCTACTGCAGGTCACAACCTAGGGGCGGGCATACCGCACCCAATCCCAGGCCACGACATATGCCCAGTGGGATTACGCGCTGCAAGTACCCGTTCGCCGACCTGTCGCCCTTGCCGCCTTGTTGGGAAATACTTTCGATTCCTCCGGACGTAGGGGCAATAGAAATCAAGTTTCCTTCAGCGCCCAAGAGCTGCGGCAAGCCAGCTCCGATGGCCCTCAGGAGTGTTGTTGTACGACATGGGATGCGCCGATATTTCGTGGGTGATCTTTGCGACCTCGGCGTTAAGGATGTCGAATCGGAGTGGATGAGGGATAGCGGTGAGAGTTCGAGTATGCCTTTCGGAGGATGTGGTGGTTGGTACTTGCTGATCTATCGGCTACTCGGGGTGTAAGACAGGGAATCTCCCTGATGGCACGCAGAAGACTCGGCATGTTTGGCGGTTGGGATTGCCGGCTCGGGGAAGGTAGTGGTGCTCCAGACTAAGCCGAAGAAAGCAGGCCATCGAATGTCGTACAGATATAGAGGCAGTCCAACCTAGGAAATAGCCATCATTCTGGCGGTGAATGTACCTTAGAATTGGTGTCCGTCCGAGGTCCTCGCTTTTGGGAGAGGGCTATAGCTATGCATGCAGCCCTTCCATCAAATATGCAGTCCTGCCTGTCAGTTGAGCGATCCGAGACATGCCGGATGTGACCTTCGAAGCAAACCCACAGGACATGTGAGCAACAAGCGCGCTGGCGACGGCAATGTGAGAGACGCTGAGTTCATGCTGACATGGGGAGCCATGGCCCGACGGAATGTCATCGATCGACGTCGCATTTCGTGTATAAAGTGGCGCCCCTCTGCCGTTCACCAGCTTTCCAACCCAAACCTCCATGCAGAACTCGGTCCACCATCAGCCCAACTTTGTCAACACTACAACCCAGCGCTGACCCGCCACAACGCAACATGGCTACCTCGTCTTCCACCCATCCACACTGTCAGCCATGCCCACCCCCAGCTTAGACAAGCAGATAAAGCTGACTCAAGTTTTGTAGCCCACGGAAGCAGCTCCAAGTCCAAGTCCAAGGGCAAGGGCAAGGAGAAGTCGGACAGGAAGGGGAGCTCGAGCAGAGGCAATACCAGTTCGGCTTCTAGTCGGGACCCGTATGCGGAGTCTCTCAGCAAGAACTCGGGCATAGCGAGGTACATGGAGGAGCCGCACCATGATGGCGCTTGGAACCCCATGGGAGCGGCTTCCAGTGCGAACTGATCGCACGAAAGGGAGTGGAGTAGAGGAGTTGTCGGTAATAGATGGTGTGTGGGTGGAGGCGGCGATGAGGAGAGGGTCCGAGATGAATGCTTGTCGTTCGATCCCGTGTGTGGTAGTTGGCTGATTTTGAAGTGTCGCCCGCTCTCAATCATAAATCGTTTATGCGTTCAGCCCCTCGTGCATAATCCAAGCGCTTAGTGTCTCAGCGTGCAAGATAAGGGCGTATCTTCTAGGTAGGGGAGACGTCTTAACCCAGAATCGAACGTATCAGTCCGGGCCTGCTCTGAAGCCGTTTGGATCGGATGTGCCGCTGTTTGTGCGGCTTATGTAGTGGTATCAGCAGCGAGGACAGAAAGGGGCCATGACAACCAATGAGCCCAGCTCTGTCCGAGGTAGCCGGCGATGCTTTTCAGCAGATGCGAGCCCGAGCCAGAAATATGCCATAAACTTCTCGTGTAATGGAGAAGGAGTGCCCAGTGGCCCATGATAGCAATTGCTTCGGGTGATCGTTGGGATAACAAGTCGGTGAACTTTTGAGGTACCGCGGGCGCCCTGTTTGATTCGTCAGTGTGGTTGTCAGTCATGTGTATTGATTGACCAGAACTCACCACATGAACACCATCAAATATCTCTGGTTTCGGGTGTCGCCCCACAGCAGACTGTCGAAGCCGACTTGAAGGCAGGCGATAGCGGTCATACAAGCTTCCTTGGACGGTGCGTCCAGGTCCTTCGACTCGGCCACAAGGCGTTGTAGCCCATCGCAGTGGTTCCCCCGGGGCGTGGACTGGGAGATCTCGAGCGCCCAGAGCACAAGATGTTTGATATCAGATTGTAACAGAAGATCCCAGGCAGAGACGGACATGGCCATCAGACCACGAGATATCGAGAGGAACTCGAGAAAGCGAGCCAGGAAGTCTCCAAAGTCGGTGTCGCGCCTCGCGAGGAGGTCGGCAAGCAGGTGACGGCCGAGAAGGGAGCAAAATAGTAGGAGGGCGGAGCAGTTGGTCTGGTCAATTTGAGCCCTGGCACCCGTCTCGTTATAAATAGAAACAGCTTTAGTTTGCAAGTGGATGGCGGTTTCAAGAAAGTGATCTGCTCTCTCAGGTTGGAGGACGGCTTGACGTCGAGCTGAGACGGCGAGGATCTCGTGCATCAGGTAGGGGGCCTCCAGCGCACACTTGAATAGGAGTTTCGAGGAGAAGTCGTGCATCTCGACGTTCAACTCAGGAGCGTGCTCTTCGAACTTGAAGCGGATGAGTAACTCCATGTGGCTTAGATTGACCTCGGGGGAAGTCTGGTTCGCATAGTTGGGTGATATGGGCCCTTGGCTTGCAATGTCGGGGAGGGGGACACCGGCGACGGGACTCGCGTTGCTTGCATTGCTGGTAGTGATGGCGGCAGCCAAATATGCTGACGGCTCCGGCTCCGGTTCCGGCTCCTCCTGGATGCCTGCTGCCGGTGTGTTGGGGGTTGAGGAGCCAGCCGGTTGGGTTGGATAGCTGCAATCCCGGTCTGAAAGCGTGCAAATGATGCATTTTGGCCGCTGTTCGTCACACTGTTGCCCGTGAAAGAGACCACATTAGCATTCCCGGGTAGGTAATTTGAAATTGAGGAAGTTCGGGCCCCAGAACGATTGAATTAATAGAACTGATTTATTGGACACTGAGGAATTGAAAACGACGAGAAAGAAACAAACCTTGACGTGGCGACGCTTGCACTCGAGGCACCCTGCCCGTGACTTTCTGTGACTTCGCCTCAGCATTATATGGGCCGGCCGTATTCCATAAAGGTAGTCGTTCCGTCTCGGTGGGTTGTGATGATAACTTCGAGTTACTAGTATAGTTACACAATGGAAATGGCTAAAGACTTGAGAACTGGCGGTGTTTTTAGGGGGAAAGAGTGAAACTGATTCATGGCAGGGGGGTAAAGATCGCACTGTGCGGGTCCAATACTAGTATTCGGTCTCGTTCTCCCGGTCGACTTAACCGCCTGTGCCGCGCCCTGCTCCTGTCTCATCCGGAGCTGTTTCGAGGCTTTACTCTTTACTTTACGCCGTATTATATTGACCAAGTCAGCTCGGAATAAGATACAAATTCCCAACCTCGCGACTTACACAGTAGCAGTATCGTCTTTTTATCACGTGGCCGCGTATTCTCGAAATCGAGCAGTAAAGCCCAAAGAGCAAAAGATCATCGAAGTCGAGAAAAAAACAAGACGGAGCAACAAATCAAATCAAGCAAAACGAAATTGAGCAAAACTGGCCATAGAACAAAGCATTTCCTTTTGATCATGGGAAGCCTTGGTATTTACTCTTCGCCCTGTTCCGTCCATTGCTCGATAATGATATGGGCGGCCTGTATATGCTGTCAGCCCAATTGGAAGAAAGAAAGAATAGGCAGTTAAAGAGAGAGAAAAACGCACCTTCTCACCAACAGCGTACGCCGTCGCACTGAGATGCGCAGCAGGCAGTATCGGCATCATGCTCATATCCACGACCCTCAGTCCCACCGCCCCATGCACCTTCAGATCCGACCCCACCACACCGCCCTTATCAAGCGGCAGCATCGCCGCCGTACAGCACGGGTGCATATAGCTCTGCACGGTACTCCGGCGCACGTACGCCTCCAACAACTCCTCGTCCGCAGCCGCCGCCTCCCCGGGGCCGACCTCGACCGCGCCCAGCCCGCGCAGGGCGTCGGTGGCGGTCATGCGGCGCAGGTAGCGGGTGTGGGCGACGTGCAGGGCCATGTCGACCGGGTTGGACGCCGACCGGTAGTCCAGCACGGGCGGCTCGAACGGGTGCGTCGCGTTGAGCCGCGCCGTGCCCCGGCTCAGCGGGTGCAGCAGGAGCGCGCCCGGCGATGTCCCCGTCGAGAAGGTGCTCTCCAGGCTGGGCGAGCGCGGGTTGGCGTACAGCGCGGCGAGCTGCTCGAGCTGGGCCTGGTAGCCGGCGATTAGGGTTGGGTCTGTGTTGTAGGCGGGTGGCAGGTGCAGGGCGGCGGCGTCGGGCGATTGGGCCTGCGCGCGGATCGTGTCGACGATGGTGGCGTAGTCGGCGGTGATGTTGGGGAGGGATATCCAGATTGCGCTGTTGGACATGGCCAGCGTGTAGGGGCCCTGGGCGGGGGTTTGGTTGAAGCCCGCGGCGGCCTCGGCGGCGAAGGTTGCGTTGAGCATGTCCGATGGGAGAGGGTAGAAGGGGAGTGGTTTCGTGTCTTGTATTTGTTTAGCTGACGACTGCTCCAGACATCATGTTCAGCGTTGCCACTCACAGTTCCAGGTCACCCGAGGGCCTGAGTGGTCATGCAGGTTGGAGCCAACGCCCGGCAGGTCGAGGACCACGGGAATATCCACGCTTTCCAAAAAAGCAGCCGGTCCGATGCCGCTCCTTTGCAAGATGGCCGGTGTACCGAACACTCCCGCTGAGAGAACGACTTCATTTTTCACAGAGATGTTGAATGACGGATCGCCGGCCAACGGACGCAATTCCACGAGAGGCGGGCCGGATTTCGTGTCCCCCTCCGGGTATACCACACGAGCCACTTGATGCTTGACCAGAAGATGGTAGTTGGGCCTGTCGGCTACCACATCAGCGTAATGGCCGATCCCCGAATAGGACCGCCTTGCCGTGACCGGGTGTCCCGAGATGGGAATCCAACAGAGGCCTTCTTTGTCACCGTTGGCGCATTCCTGGGACCGTTGGATGCCCATCTCCTCCCAGGCATCTCGCCCAACAAAGTGGTCCCCCCACAAAAACGGTGGGAGGCTGGCGTGGATGGGAGTGACGTTATCAAACGCTGATGTGTCCCAGGTATAGTTGTATTTACGCGCAACAGCCTCAGGCGGCGGCGTGAAAGTGACGCTCTTTTTGAAGAAGGGATAGATTCCATCCCAACTCCAGTCGATGTTTTTCTTCCGGGCATCAGGGCTGCCACTCTGGAGTCGATCCCAGGAATCATAGTCGAAGCGCGATCCTCGGTCAAAGAATTGGCCGTTGATGGCGCTGCTTCCACCGACAACCTTGCCAGCCATGACGAGGGCCGTGGCGTTGTTTAACTCCGGACTCGGAGTCGAGTTGAGCAGCCAGCCACTTGCCGAATTACTGCTTCCTCCCCAGACAATCGTCGGAGGATCGAAAACCCCCCGCGCGTTTTCAATCTCGCCATACTCCACGACGAGGACAGTTTCTAACAACGAAGGTGCACAGCCATTAGCTTAGCATTCCCATTGTTGGAGTAAAGAGCTAGCAAGAATGTCAACAAACTGTCAGGGAACGCCTCGGTGAGCCTATCCGCGACGGTCAAGCCGCTGGTTCCGGCGCCCGCTATGACAAAATCATAGCTGTCAAGGAGCTGCGAGGCTTGCCGCTTGACATTGCCCGTGATTTGAGGATTGGCACATGTCAGACGCAGCACGGCAAACAAACAGGGGATGGAGTTGGTGATTTTCATGCTGTCCGTCGTACTGCCCGCACCTGTGGCAGGATGAACTGATGAAAATGTGTAAGACGAGAATCGGGGGATGGGGTAACTACCTCCTCATATCTGACCTGTTTAACCTCTTTTGAACCCCTGAACATCTCCCGGACCCCGCTCAATTTCACAAATTGGGAGGCTGCACTATCCCTGGTTCACCAATGGCTCGGCAGTATGACACTTATCCCATGCATAGGCGGCAATGGCGCATGCGAAGACGCTAATTGGCATGCGATGCTGATTTTGGGCAGAGTCTTTGTGTTACGCACCTCTTCTCTGCCCCTGTCTGGTAACAACCGGCTTACAAGCACTTTAGCTACCGGAATGGTGGCCTACAGATTCTCAGGCTACTTATAAAGTAAGATACCTAGGTAGGTAAACAGAGCAAGGAAAGGGAAGCTCAGCAAACCTAAACTCGGTTTGGCATTATTATGAAGCCGAGTAAATTGAATCCCTACGAGCCATTCAAAGAATTGCTAGTACGACTCGTGAGAACCACCTTATTGACTTGGATTGTTGGAATAGGAGTTCCCGACCCTCGCTGAACAACAACAATAACGATGAAGACACGGGTAATCTTTTTGTTATCACATTTATTTGAGAGTGAATTGAAAACTCGTTGACAGCTAGGCAGTGAGTTGTTGAGTGAAAAAATAATATGATGGGCGTTGATTCAAGACGAATGTCCGTGATGTAGCCGCCCGGCCGCAGCAGGCGCCACGTGTTGGCCACCATCTCATCCAGACGGCCCGTGGCGTGCAGCACGCTAAATGCCAGCACGATGCCGTAACTGCCCTCCTCGAAGCCCTGCTCCTCGGGGGTAAGTTCCATGTTGTAGGTGGCGAACACTATGCGGTCGGCATACGTACCTATGTACGGAACCGCTCCTGGGCGCGCGGAAGAAACCGGCGGAAACATCAGTGAAGGTGGAGCTCTGGAAGACGTCCCGGAGTATTGGCAGCACAATACGGTGGTCCCACCGGTACCGGAACTGATCTCAAGGATGTAGGTGCGGGTGACGGTGCTGAATGCTTGCAGGTACCACCCATATAGGTGATTCGAGGAGGGATATTCATAGGACGGTATAGAATATTTCCCAAGCGTCCGCGCCTAGCCGTACTGAACCCAATTTCAAGTTCTCAGAGCCAAACGTAAGACATGCACGCACGTCCAAGCGCCTCTCCGGTATCGATGGACGGGCTGGCACGGCACTGGGCCTCGGTCAACACGCTCGGCCAACGCACGCGAAGGGAGGAGGTGGCGTGCGCTCATCGTTGTTGCCACACGGCCGCTTTATGAGGTCGGGGCCATCTGCCCGTGGGCCTTTCGCTGATTCTGTCCGACATCAACATCATATTCGTTGACTTCATTCCATCCCCGTTTCCCTGACCCAACCGCCCACAACCCACAACGGCCCACGATGGAAACAGTCTTTTGCCCTCCTCACTTCACCGACCCAAATAACCCCGGGTCGCTGACGTGGCTGTATTGGATGGACCCGTCCTGCGACAATGCCTCGAACGGCGGCGTCGAAGCCCACCTCTCCGAAGCCCGCCACTGGGCGAAGCGGGCCTACGAGCGTCTCACGAGCCGAACCGACACCGATTTCGCCCGTGTTTTCAACATCATTTTTAAAGTCCCCGTCGCCGATCCCGTTCGCTACCCCACGGGCCCTTGGTCGCAAAGTATCCGCGGCCCCCAGCTCCCAGACGAGTGGAGGACGTCCGCCGAACACGTCCTCGGCGTCCTCTACCACTTCGCCCACTGCTGGGAGCGGACAAACGAGCGCAAGAAGGCCGACGTGCGCATCTACGCCACCGACCTCGCCCAGAGCCGGTGGCTGCCCATCGGGACGACGGACGCGTTCGACCCCGTCAACCAGCTCGTCTACGACGAAACGCCGGCAAGCTTGCACGGGGACGACGAGCACGACATGGCGAGCGCGGTGTGCGACGTGGTGCGGCTGCCGGCGCGCGACGAGAACCCGCGGCGGTGCGTGCTCGAGCTGCGCCCGGGGCTGTGGACGCCCGCGACGGGCAAGTTTCTGACGCTGCGCGGGCTGAACCCGACCCTGCTGCTGGCGCAGCACAACCCCCCGCGCCGCCCCACGACCGGCAGCGGCGACCCCATCGTCCGGAACCTGGTGGTCGACCTCATGGCGTGCACGATCTTCCACGAGTTCATGCACGTCTACCTGCTCGACGACTTCGCCGAAGACAGCGGGCGGTCGGCCGGCTGGGGGCACTGCATGCTCCAGAAGAGGGGGGAGGCGGCCGTCTGCGCCGAGTCGCTTGCCGTGTTGGGCCTGTTCGCTGCGCTCGCCGACATGACGCCCGGGGGGAGGCCGTCCGGCGGCTTCTCCCTGAATCGGCAGTGGCGTGGAACCTCTGGCGGGCTGTACGACGCCGACGGGAGTGTCGAGGTCCCCGACGAAACCGAGTCTGATCCGGACGAAAAATGCGTCAACTCGGCGGTTCGCGGGGAGCTGATCTTTTACGAGGACCTCACCAGCTGAGAGGGAAGCGGGACCGTCAAGCTAACGTCGGAAAATGGATGACCAGACCTCGGGATGCGACAAACAGTTGAAAGGCACCCTAAAATAATGATTAATATTTAATCAAGACGATTAGAATGGTGAGGAGGAGGACGAAGACCAAGTTCGGGTGGAGGACGATGACGGACCAAGAGAATGTTGGTGAGGTTAGGCTGGAGGGCGCTGGGAATGGCAACCGAAGAGGGGTTATCTTGGGAAATATTCCGTCTTATTAGCGTCTCTTTGTAGACGATAGATCAATAATACTAGATTAATCCAAACCCTGCACCGTTCTCTATCTCCATAGTCCAACATACCGTTTAACCCTGTAGTGTGTAGACCTCGTCGTACTCGTAGCACAACACACCGTTCTGGCCGCACGCCGCAATGTTCATGACATCGCCAACCGTGACATTGGCGGCACTGACCCCAGCGGACAGCGGGAACTCCAGCGTCACGTTGCCACCCTTGAGGTTCTCGTAATCCATCAGGAAGATAGGGCCGGAGATGTCGGTCAACCGGGCACCGAGGTCCAGCTTCTGCCACGACCACCAGACGCGGTCGAGGTTGGCGTGGTGGAGGTAAAAGATGGGATCGGCGGGGGAGGTGTAGAGGTCACCGATTTGCCCTGTAGTCAACCCAGTCAGCCAGCAGCCCCAAATTCACATCGTGAGCAGAAAAGAAGACACGAACCATATGTACCACCCACGCCATAGTGGCCACCGCCGTGGACACCAGAGGCGTCGAAGCTGGGGCCACCCTCAACCACCCTACCAAAGGCTCCAAAGTCTGGCGCGGCCAGGGTCAGCTGCGTCTGGTTCATGGCCAGGTAGCGGCCAGCAAAATACGGGCTGAAGTCGCGCTTCAAACACTGCGGGTTGTAGGTGACCGAGTCCATGGGGCCGAGATGGACCATGTCGGGGATGCCGGCGAAGGGACCGTCCTGGACGCAGCCGCCACCGGTGCGACCCGGCACCTCCATCGGGTTGGTCGGGTCGCCGGCGACGGGGGCGCCGTTCCCGCCGAAGCCCGTGACGGGGTCGAAGATGGGCGACGCCGCCCACTGGTCGGCGGGGGTGTCCAGGGTCCAGTCCCAGTAGGGTTGGGCGCCCTGGTAGTGGCACTCGTCGCGCAGCATGCGCTCATAGACGGCGACGTAGTACCGGTGCCAGGCGAGGAAGTGGCCCGTGTAGTGTATGTCGAAGGTTTGTAGGATGTGGGTGTAGACCAGGTCGTCGTAGCGGCTGATGACGCCCGTGTTGTCGAAGGCGGGGGTGAGGGCCGGCTTGCGCATGAGGCACTTCACGGCGCAGAGGTAGGAGGACTTCTCGTGGTTGGAGAGGGTGCGCCTAGTGGGTGTAAGTGCTGTGGACGTATTGCTAGACGAAGGGAGATCTTCTTACCATTCTTTCCTCACGAGGGGTCCCTGCTGCGGTTGCTGATGTGGGCGTGCAGTGACGGGGGCGCCTGTCCACAGAAGAGTGGCAAGCACCCAACCCGTCTGGATGCCCTTGAGAAGTTGCATCGTGGAAGAGCTAGACGGTCTCGACGTGACTTGAGGGTAGTGGAGGAGAAGGGTCAAAGACTCGGTCACCCAACTCAACTCAAACCCAAGAGACAGATGCCTCCTCCCCTTCTTATCCTCTTGACGGAGAAGGACATCCTCAGCCGCTTCCTCTCCTCCACAAAAGTCTCACCAGAGGTATCCGCAGGACATCCTCTTTCGGGCATTGCTGGGCCCATTGGCGTGGTCCATTACAACGTTGACATGGGGGGTTTGGTCTGGCCTTCGAAAGTCTAAACTGGAAGGGGCTTGGTGGGTTGCAGACAGCCAACGGTTGAGCTCGAACGAACCACTTCAAAAAGCAGGTCGTCGATGGTGTGAAGGGGAGCGGTTCGTAGCGAATCGGAAACCGGCAAGCCCGTCTCTTGGCGCTGACGCCTGTCCATGTTCTGGAAGTCCTGGGCGGTCTGAAAACGATGACTTCCATGGGTTTGAAGAAAACGAGAGGAGGGCGAAGGAACCATGAATAAAGTCTTGGCGGACCTTTGGGGGTCAGCAGCAATGGATGCCGGAGGTGGGGTGCTGCAGGTACTTCGTACCTTGCAGTGCTTCAGTGCAACTCGGAAGTCACTGCATGGAAGGTTCGAACTCCAGAGGTTCCCTCCGAGTCTCGCTGTGTTCTTGAACGACGTCGATTCTTGAACTTGAAGGATCAACAGCGCGATTTAGGGCTGAATGATGCCGTGCAGTCCAACTCAGACAATGGACCGACCCAGTGGGCTGGCTCTTGGGATCATCAGGTCAGGTCAGGGGCATCCCTGTTCATCCCTGGCTGTCCTTGACATTTGGCAGCGCGCTCGCGTTTTGTTGACATGACATCACCTCAAACATCGAGGCGTGGTTTTGGTTTGCAGATCAGGACATACCGCGTCATCAGAATTGCACAGGAGCCGAATTAAAGGGTACAATCGCCCATGCCAGCAGAAACCGAGGTACCAAAAGTTCACGTAACCGCCCTTTCTTACACGATACACCACCCCCGCGACACCCCGCCAAACGCGTCAAAGTGATGGATTCCAAGGTCCGTACCCAGCCACTACGTTCCTCGGCTTCATGTGGAACTGATAGCGATATAGAAGAATGTGCGCACCGCGCTGGGCGCTTTGCCCGATGCCGCCAATGCACGCGTTGGTCAGTCACCCGCCGCCAAACCTTCAGCAGCCGCAGGCCAGGAGAACGCTCCCCTCGTCGGGCCGTCCTTCAAGAAACCAGGAAGCATGAAACGCAAGTCCATCGACGAGGACTCGCGCTCTATGTCGCCAGACCCATCCGATGTGGTGACCATGAAAATGGACGAGGACTGTGACCAAGTCCGCCGTAAGATCAACCGCTTGCTCGACTCGGGTGAAATAACCAAGACCGCGTTCGCGAAGGAGATCGGGGTCGGCGTCAAGTCTGTGACCGGGTTCCTCGCCCAGCACGGCCATTTAAAGGGTTCCGGTTGCGCCGCGTATGTTGCGGCGTGGAAGTACTTCAAGATCCGCGAGATTGCCGGGGTTAAGCTGCCGACCAACAAGAAGCAAAAGACCACTGGTAGCGTCGCTGGCGAGGGCAGCTCAAGCAGTGCGGCTGGCAAGACTGCGAAGGGGCCCCTCGACCTTAGCGATATCGAGCTCGATGGCGAGGAGTACGATGACGTGCCCGTATTTGACACATGCGACGAGATCCGGAGGAAGATCAACGCGCACTTCAAGAAGTCCGGCACCTCGCAGGCCCAGTTCTGCCGCGACGTCCACGCGCAGCTCTACGGCCCGGACCGCCCGGCCAAACCCTTCACGAGCGCCCAGCTTGCCAAATTCCGCAGCTCCAAGGGTCCCATCAACGGCGCCAAGTTGCCCCTCTTTTATGCCTGTTACGTCTTCTTCGAGAAGATGCGCATCAAGGAGGGCAAGCCAAAGACCAAACTCCGGTTGGAGATGGAGGAGCTGTGGGAGCCTCTGGGGCTCCCCCGAGACCGTGATAGCCGTGACTCGTGAGTCGACTTCTTCCCCGAATGCCCCTCACCGTTGGCTCCCTTCCTTGTGCCGAGATCACCGATGGTATGATACCGAATCTTGTCTGTCTGACAACCTGATCTTTGTAGCTTCATATGCTTCGCCGGCACCCATCCGTACGTCGATAAGTATGGGAATATCAGTGTCTTTTGAAACCAAGCCATTTGCTCTCACACGACGCCCTCACCTTCCTTCGCCCTCGCGATAGCCGAGGGAACCGAGCATCTTGAGATCTTTATTTTGTCTTTGAGGTCTGGCGACTTTGCCTAGCATGATCTGCCAATGCCCGCCTCCTTCGTCGGCTTTATGGTGTTTACAAACATAATCTGCTTTAATTACGTTTTCTTGGGTTTGAACTGTGTCATTGGGAAGTCTTGGACAAGATTGGGAAACGGAGGACTTTTCATTCAGAGTATTTGGAGTTTACAAGGATAGATGAATTGATCGCTTCTTGAAGGATATGGGAACACCTAAAATAAAATGCAGCAATTTGATCGAGTCAATCCGTGGTCGATATGTCCATGTGGTGTGGTTGTGTTCATGGTGTGTGTGCTCTGGGTTCCTCGGCAAGACTTCGTCCGTGTCGTCCCCTCCCTGACACATTTCACTGCAAGCTGGGCCGTGCTGTTGTGGAGCCTCAGGGGTCTCTCTGACCTTGCCGCGCCTAAAACGGCAGGTCTTGGCGGTCGCAAAACTTCAAGACCCTTGGTCAACACAAACGTGTCTCTTCGGAACTTTGGAGAACTTGCGCAACCACACAACATCCGCTGTGTCAACAAAATTGTGACAGGCTTTTCGCGCGTGCGATAATGCCATTATGAAGCTCTCGGCAATCTCCCTTGGCCTTTTGGCCCTCCTAACGCCGCTGACAGCAGCGTGGACGAAAGAAGGCAAGTCGAGATTGTTTTCCAATCAACCCCCTTTTTCAGAAGTTAGCAATCTGTTTCCGTACTAACAGACCATTTTTGTTTGGGTAGACCACGAGATCTTCCGCGTCCGCGACGAACTCATTGCCCACGAGGGACCCGATGTCACCTTCTACGAGTTCCTCGGCATCAGCCGGTCCGCGAATCATGAGGACATCAACAAGGCGTACAAAAAAAGAGCCCGGATGCTCCATCCGGACAAGGTTAGACAGCAGTTGATGGCCGAGCGCACCAAAGCCCAGAAAGAGAAGAACAAGCAGAACAAGGGCAAGCCGGCCGGTCGCGTGAAGCAGCCCACCGCTGCCGAGCTCAAGACGGCCGTTAAGCGCGCCTCGGAGCGCCAGGCCCGCCTGTCCATCGTTGCTGACGTCCTGCGCGGACCGGGTCGCGACCGCTACGACCATTTCCTCTCCAACGGCTTCCCCACGTGGAAGGGCACCGAGTACTACTACGACCGCTACCGCCCCGGCCTGGGCACAGCCATGTTCGGCGTCTTCCTCTTCGCCGGCGGCGCCGCCCACTACCTGGCGCTTTACATGAGCTGGAAGCGCCAACGCGAGTTCGTCGAGCGGTACATCAAGTTCGCGCGCCACGCCGCCTGGGGTGAGAACCTCGGCATCAACGTCCCCGGCATCGACGCCCAGCCCGCGGCCGCCCCTCCCCCGCCTCCGCCGCAGCAGCAAATGTACGAGGACGAACAGGGACGGGCCATGCCCATGAACCGCAAGATGCGCCGGATGCAGGAGCGCGACGCTAAGAAGGACGGCCAGGGTGGCGCGCGCAAGACGCGCCGCGGCCGTCCCTCGCCCGCCGCGTCGGGATCGGCCACCCCTCAGCCGGAACCCCAGGGCAGCGGGCCTACCGGATCCAAGAAGCGCGTCGTTGCCGAGAATGGCAAGGTCCTGGTTGTCGACTCCCTCGGTGACGTCTATCTAGAGCAGGAGGATGAGGATGGCAAGGTGGCCGAGTACCTCCTTGATGTAAGTTGCGCCCCTAGGCCCACAAACGTTCGCGAAACCCCAGAACTAACATCATGACTAGCCCAACGAGCTTTCCCAACCCACCTTCAAGGACACCGCCGTCGTGCGGCTCCCCATCTGGGCCTTCCAGCTGACGCTGGGACGGTTCATCTCGAAGCGCACCAACGACGAGGAATACGATGACGAGCTCGAGGTGGAAGAGATGGACAACGACGACGAGGATTCCGAGCCCGGAAAGGCCACTCCCAGCAGCGGTTCCGCCGACGACTTTGAGCTGATCGAAAAGTCCGTGGACGAGCTCGGCCAGGCCAAGACCAGCGGCACCCAGAAGCAGGGAGGCAAGGCTAGCAAGCGGAAGAACAAGAAGAGGTGATCCGCCCTGGGGGTTGTGTACAGCGAGAAGTGTGGGTTGTGCCTTGGATTATGGGTGTGACTGGCTTGCTCGGTGTTTGTATATGATATGATGGCAGACAACAAAAGGATCACATAGATTATGGACCATGTCAAGTTGGCGTATTTGACCATCTCTTGTGCCGAACATTAAGTAGGGCACCAAGGTCACATTTTCAAGTTGCAATTCGGGTATATATCTGCCCGGTCTTGTCCACATAATTCCCATTCCGACCAAAGAAACACCAAATCCCAACGCCCCGCTCCCGTCTCAGCACCATCTTGGCCCCAATACTATCAAATCCCAGCGGCATGGCTCAACACCCTCGCTGCTAGCTGGCTAAGCATCTTCGCGCGGTCCGTCTGCGGCAGTTCCTATCGCACCCATCAGCACAACCGCACGCCCTCTCACTCGTCAATAAGCATCAAAGAAGGCTCACCTGAAACACGGCGTACACGCTCTTCCCCTTCGCATCCCTCACCGCGCCCAGCCGATTCCCCGCCACGGCACCAGCCACAAGCCCGGGCACATTCGCAACGATAAACCCCAGCGCGGCGCCGCTCAGCCCACCCATGGTACCCCAGAACGTGCCCGTCCCCCCGGCCGCGGCCCCGCCCTCCTGGCCCGCCATGCCCTCCTCCCGCAGCATCTCCTCAAACACGTCCGCAAACTGCGCGTCCTCCGCCCGCGCCCGCTCCTCCTGCCCCTGCTGCCCCCGCCCCTGCCCGCCCGTAAAGAAATCCCACGCCCACGAAAACGGAATCCCACCCTCCCCACCACCAACCCCCTCCTCCTCCTCCCCAAAATCAAATCCCCCCGGCATCCCACCACCACCACCACCACCACCACCACCACCCGCCCTCCCCGGCTGCCCAGCAGCACCGGTGCTAGAGCCCGGCCGGGCCCCGGTATACAGTTTCCGCTGGGCGTCGTACTCGCGGCGGCGGCTGGTGTCGGACAGCGTGTAGTAGGCGTCGTTGACGAGCTGGAACTGGGCGGTGCGGGCGGCGCGGTCGGGGTGGTTGGTGGGGATGCGGTCGGGGTGGGTTTTTAGGGCGGCGCTGGGAGGGGGGAAGGGAGAGGGTGTTAGTTTTGGGTTTGGGGTTGGAGGTTTGGGGTTGGGGGGCTGGGTTGGGTTGAGGTTGGGGGTGCTTAGGGGGGAGGGGGGTTGTGGTGTGATCTGGGGTGGGAGAGGTACCGTTTGTAGGCATCGCGGATTTGGGAGGCGGAGGCGGTTTCGGGGATCTCGAGGATCGAGTCTTTTTTTTCTTTGGTTAGGGGTGTGCATGGAAGATGTGACTTGTCGGGTTGATGGGCTGAGCTTACAGTAATTGGGCGGGCGGCCAGCTTTGGAAGCCATCACGACGTTTGTAAGTGGCGGGGTTACTGTTGGTAGTTGTTACGGTAATAGAGATAGTTGGGACGCAGTAGATACTCGGTATATTTCTCGAGATAAGCTTCTTAACTTGGGTTATTGATGCCCAGGTCACGTTCGACACTTTTGTCCGTTGTTCGTCAAGGTGTCGTGGCAGGTGGGATGGAGGGACAATCCGACGTCATTTGTGGCGGTGGAATGTGGCTTGTTGCCGTGTTTCCTCACCCAAGTTCCCCAGCACTCCTTGTCGCAGACCCACTTCCTGCAAGCCAGGGTGGCCCACTCGCCCCTCCATCTCTTGGTGTCTCGGTCGATCTGCGCTGGCAGACTGCCCGTGGAGACGTCCTGCAAGCTTCAACTCAATTCAGGGGTCCTGTTCCTCTGGATATGCACCTTTTTTCTCCCGATACGCAAGGGTATTTTCGATGGCTTGGTGGCTGGATTCAATCATTCCTCCAGGCGTTTATCGTGTCACCACTTCATTGGGGTGATTCGATGGGTTTGCCGCTTTGGGCCTGTTTCAGGGCGCCTCCATGCCCTCCGACCGACCGCAGTGGACCTCCAACTAACGGCGGCGGCCTAGTGGCAGTCGCTCACTTGATATGTGTCACTGCTGCCCAATGCCCAATCGTCACACTACCCCCCGTTAACCTCAGATGGAAGGCACGCTCCCTACTTCGTACCCACGCGGGCTTTGAAGCCTGACAATTGTGAGTCCACCCAAACTGGTACTGAGGCGTGCCATTCTTCCCATGTTGGGTTGGTGCCTGCTTGTGTGTCAACTTGGCGTGGAAGTCCCCCCCCTCCATTCAACAAAATTAGCCTGGCCCGGCCGCCCCTCCTCATTTCCAACCACGCCCGCCACGGTCTCTTAAATATCGAACCTCCTTCGTTTCGGATTCATCTTTACATCTATCAACTGCTTTGGACGCATCCTCGCCTTGTCATCGCATGCTCTCGATCCCACCGCTATCCCTCGCCCTCGCCTCCCTCTTTGCTTCCAATTTCCGTCTTTGAGGGCTTAATTTGGCTTCCTTTGCCCCGCCATTGTCCACCTTTCGCAACTCACCCCCCACCATCTCCCGAGCTACCACCTCGATCCACCCTCCTTTTTCCTCGTGCCTTCCCGATACCGTCTTTGTCACTGAGCCCTCTCTGCAAAGTGACGGCGTTCTGCAGTACATAGCATAGTCAATAAAACGAAGTTGCTTGCAGCCCGCTGCATCTCCGACAGAAGCTCCAGAGCACATCGTCGGTTCATCTCCGCTGACCGCAACCACATCATCTACTTGCATCCCCGACTATACGGGGTACGATAGAAACAACTGAATTATATCGTGCCATCTGAAAGAGTCGAGCCGGAAACCAAGCTCCAGTAAGTGCCGTCCCACGGGTTTGACGCGAGTACTTTGCCGGGAAGCAGGAAGTTAACGGCACGCTGCAGGCCCATATTACCCGCAAGATGGCAACCGTATACACGCATATGCAGCCGCAGGACGAGCTGGTGGCACTCTTTTCTCGCAACCTCACACTAGACCACTTGTCTCAACCAGCACCCACACCAGAAGCCGCCCCTGCCCCCGTTGAAGCGCCCAAGGAAGAGCACAAGATCGTCTACATCTCACAACATTACAACCACTCGGCCCACCTCACCGCAAAACAAAATGACCAACCAGTACGCCCAGCCTCCGAGCCGCCCCAGAGTGAGCATGCCGTCGTAGAGCAAGTCCTTAGGGAGCACAACGTAAACACCTCGGGCCTCTCGTCCGCCCAGCTCCAGCTCTTCAGGACTGTCGACACGCCGCAGCAGCTCCGCTTGATCGAGCTCTGGCGTGCCTGCCCACCCACCAACAGCACCGACAACCCGACCCTGACTTGGAGCATGACAAGCGTCGACCAAGAAGAAGCTCTCGCCCGCCTGCGCTTCGAGCAGCAGCAACAAGATCTGATCGACCAACAACTGCAGCAAGAGTTCGGCATGATGCAGGACGAGCACGAGCCCGAGCCGGAGACGGTCATGTCGCTCGACGGCACGCCCCTGACGCCCATCCAAGCAGGCGACGGCCGGTGGATCGCCACCTCGGACCGGGCGTCGTACCACTACATGGAGCCCTACATGGCGTCGGGATACGAGGAGATGGCCCGCCGTGAGTACGAAGAGTCCATGAGCAGGGCGTATACTGAGTCTGTGGCCCCGCCATCAAAGGAGACCAATTCGCTCGCGGCTGCTGCCCTCGCCAGCGCTGGGGGTACCCCGACTTTTAACCCCTCGCACGCCGACCCCGTGTACAAGATGACGAACGTGGGCAACAGTGTGAGCTGGGGGAGCGAGGCCGCCATGGCGGATCAGTATGGGCGGCTCATGGCCATGAGGGACGATGAGGACATGCTTTGATGGATTATGCGTTGGGCAAAGGGGCGACCCTGGCCTTTGTTCGAAACGCAAATGAAGAGACGGATGTGTGGGGGGCATTTTACCCCAATTGATCGGATAGATATCACAACTTTTCCTCCTTGTCTAATCAACAACCTGCGACAGAAATTGGCGTACCGAATACCATAGGATCTGAACCACTCTCCCTCCCGCGGCTCAAAATAGTAGCTATGGCGTCAAACAAATGTGATGCAGCCTATAGAACTCCCTCTCTCCTCAAGACTACACGCAGAATGCTGTCACCAGCACTCCTCACCACAGCCGACGTTCTTTGGGTCGGATCACCTTAGCTGCAGAAAATGAATGATCCCAAGCCGACCATCACACTCCTCGATTAGAGGAGCCTAAGCTTCGAGTTAACACGCGCCATGTTGCCTACCGCCAGTCCGTTGACATCCGGAGGTCAAGACGGCCGGCCAACATGCCTTGCTATGCCCGACATGGTGTGTACACCGCCAGCGTCGTATGGGTTCGGCCCAGGTTTGAATCGGGAGTAGTACATACGACAACAACGGCGCTTGCAAGCCAGCAAGCTACCTAGGTCTACAACTCAGACGCTCTGTGCTGATATTGTTATCACTCCAACCATTTCACACGCCCGGGGCCTTTGCCACCATTATTCCAGCGAGATCCGAGTAGGAAAACGATACGAATTAGTGCGAGGAAAAGGGCAAGTCATTCTGTCATCGCCAGCGAACGCGAAGGGTTCCTACAGGGAGCGAGCCATCCTCCCAACTCCCAACCGGTTGGCGGTTGCCCGCGACAGCCCGTCGCACACCGCTCGCTAGCGGAGCACGGCGGCTGGGATGTAAATACGGCGGCCTCCTCCACCCCCGGCGCGGCGCGACGCGGCGCCGGCTCCCGCAGCCTCCTGGCGGTCTCGTCTTGTCTAGGCTAGTCTAGTCTGGCGGGAGGGGGGGCTGCTTTGCTCGTGCCCCGTCGGTCGGGGGGTGCGGGTGTGTGGCAGCGGGGATGATAGTAGGGAAGTGGTGGGTTGCCTGGTTGCCAGCGGGAGAGGGGATGGTGATGGCGTGGACGGTGAGGGCGCTCCTCGGCGAGGCACGGGGCGGCGAGGGTGTATCCCGCGTCTCTGGCGTGGGTGGGTGGGGGGGGCCGCGGGGAAGGCGACGGGAGAGGGGAGATGTTGACAAATTCGGTGGGCTGGGTACCGGTGGAGGGGAGAGTGGTCGCGAATGGGGGGGAGGGGGGGGGGGTAAGCTGGCTAGAACGGGTTCTTGAGGCTGAGAGACACCAAGATGCCGAGTTGTTAGGGATGGTGGAAGCGGAAGCAAAAAGAAGGGGAGGGGGGGTACACGAAGGGCTTGGAGCCTCTGTGAATGCTGTCATCAGCACCGTTGGGCATGTTAGCAGCCGCAAAAGTCCTTCCCAAGTGAATCGTTACTGTCGAGGGAAAGGAAAGTTTGATGAACTTCGTGATGTCGTAGTGATCGAGTGAATGAATGTAAGCAGAAAAAAGGATGTGGGATGGGAGGCTTTTATAGGTGAGGAGACTTGAGGCAGCATTTCAGAGTCATTCTCCCAGTCGTCAAATGTGTTAAAGGACTAAAAGCTAGCAATTGCAGTGGCCTGTGTGCCTTCACGGCTGTTTGTGGTTCTTGCTATTGTCGGGTATTGCGTATACTGGGCACCGTTTAAACACCCCTTAGGCGTTGCATAACATCATTTTCGGTGATGTACGGCACAAAGATAATGAGGTAAATTCTAATGGAAAACTAAAAACTGTAGAGTGATCATGTACCCGTTCACGGACCGCATCTGACGATAACTTCTCCAGCTCAGCGTCCCAGACGCTGCAACGACACATGCCCAGCCCCCTACGAAGTAGTTCCATCCCGGCATCAAGCCTAGCTCGGCCAGTCTCAAGTTGCTCCCACGAGCGCACGCTGCGGACCACCCGCCCTCGTCCCCAATAGCAATCGAAGCCCACCAACCTAATGCGGGGTGCTTTGGCCGACTCCATTGCATTGTGCGTCACCATCGGCCGTAGCCGGCATATCGGAGCCTCCCAATGTATTCTCGGATGTCAGAAGTGCGGTCTCAGTCACAGGTTCCTCGACATTGGCCTCCCGACGACCGGGTCGTTCGATTTCCGTTGACGACCCGCTGTCCCAACCGTCAGCAACTCGACGCCGAGAGACATGGTCCCTAGCCACCCTGCCTCTCGTGGCTCTCGAGTTGAAGTGGCGGGCGAATACCCTGCGCAGGCCCACTTCCACCGTGTCAAGGCTGCTGGTGTTGCTCTCGAGATCGGAATCAGAATCGAGACCAACACTGACGCTCGCATCCGAGTTATACCGCAGCCTCTCAGCGAGATGGATGCGCCCGCTGGAAGTAACCGAAACCGGAATCTGCGCTCGACCGTTGCGTCGCGGACGGGTTCTGGGAAACGGTCCGGGCGTCGGAGAGCGAGGTCTGTCGTCGCGCATGACAAAGATATCGCGGCCGCGTGGTTCCGGCGAGAACTCCCTATATCCCCGAGCTGGAGATGGCGCGCAGCGTTCGCGGTGAAGGCCATAATCAGCATCTGAGCGTAGCTCCTGGCGCAATGCCGAATCGGTGCGGCGCGGCTCGCGCATTCTCTCTACAGGCGGAGAGTGACGGCCGTCCCCATTTGTGATGTTATAGAATCTGGCGATGTGGCAGCTATCCAGCACAAGTCCCTGTGTCCTGTGTGTTTCTTGCGTGGGCTGAACTCTAGTTCGCCAGGGGTTGGAGATACTACCCCATACGATGTCGCGCGTCTATTGATATCTAGTTAGCAACGGTTTGGCCACTTGGCTCCCAGGCTCTTGGAACGAGTCGGACGTACACGCTGGCAGTTCAAACAGTAGTTGTCGCCCTCCGCCACACGAATACGGCCCGAGCACTGGACAAAAAGGTGCTGTCCCGGGCAGGGGACAAAACCACGGTGGTTGTAGTTTTGATTGGGATACATGGCTGCGGAGGGCCTCGCGTTGTCCTGCTTCGATATCCGTTGTCAGAGGTCGCACATGCGTGAATGGCTATTGCCGAGGGAGATGAGGTCAGGTAAGGAGCCTCGCTGCGGTGCTGGTTTTAGAAACGTAACTTGGAATGAGGAAGGGCTCGTTTTATGAACCAACAACATGGTTCCCCCCGCCCCCAAAGTGAAACCTGAACAGCACAGGGCCGCGCAAGCCGCCACACGGGCGTCATGACCGTTGCTCATGGAAAGCCAAACAAAGATGAGGAAAGGGTGGTGTTGGTCAGCTACATTGTCAATAATTCGACTTCGCCATGGGAACGAAATCATCCCGACTGCCGATGGTTGGTTGGCAAATGGGGGATGTCAGTTGGCAACAGGCTTTTCTTTGTTTCCTAGAGATGTGGTCAGCCCGGTTTGGCAAGCTGGCCTCACAATTGATAATCCCATGATACGAGAAGCCTGGTGATCTATCCAAGAGTTGAGAAGTGCCATGGCAAGATGTTCGACTCCAGGATCCGAGAGTGTCGTGTCAAGAATGCAACAACGCATGTGACGAGAGTGCCGTCTAACATGAGGAATAACCCCGATTCATTGCTATAAAGATCACGTTGAGAACGAGTAGTTCTAAACCCCGCGATGCCACGTTGGTGAATCAATCGAATTTCCATATCGTCATGGTTTTGTGCAGCAGTTTCAGTGTTCACTAGTTATAGCGTCGAGTAAAATAATTGCGTGGATACTCTCCACATCATTGAACAAACGGTCGACTTCAACGGTGTTGTAGTCCTTGGAATACAGAGAAAATATTATTTAAAATACCATATAGCTATGGCCCTCATTGGCGTCGAGCTGGGAATAGCCTCACCCAAAAAGGGGCTAATCCAAACAATGAAAAAGGGGCCCAATGGGTGTGGGTTGGTTTGGCTCGGCAACTGCATGGATGGTTGTCTTATCAGCTTATCGGCACATCAACCCTCTCCCACCTAAGCTGTGGCGTTTCTCAAGGCTGAGAACAAGGCGGGGCAAGCGCCACAGCCCCAGCCTCAGCTGTCTTGCAAGGGAAGCAACGCGCAGCTCCAGGCTGCCTGATGGGAGCTCATGCAGCAACAGCTCGCCGACCCCAGACCAACTCCAACCCCAACCATCCCCCGCTACCAAACCACCCACCACCAAGTCCGCACCGGTGCCCTTTTTGAATTCGCAAAAACCCCAGCACCCTCCTACAACCCGACTTTAGTACATCTACCTTCACAATGGTATGTTTCGCATCCTTTTCTGCTGCTGCCCGCCCGACGATCTGCATCCAAACCGAACATCGAAAGCTAACCTCACAAACCCCAAGACGTCGATAGGCACAGGTTACGACCTCGCCAACTCCATCTTCTCCCCCGATGGCCGCAACTTCCAAGTCGAATACGCCGTGAAGGCGGTCGAGAACGGCGGAACTTCGATCGGCATCCGGTGCAAGGACGGCGTCGTACTGGCCGTCGAGAAGCTCGTCACATCCAAGCTGCTCAAACCCAACGCCAACAAGCGCATCGCGACCGTTGATAGGCATCTGGGAGTGGTAAGCTAGCCGTTTTGCAACCCCTACCCCTCCACCCACCTCCAACCCCGCCAACTCCCAACCCCGCCTTCCCACGCACACAACACACCCGCTAACCGTGGTCGCGCGACGCAGGTATACTCGGGCATGATCCCCGACGGCCGGCACTTCATCGAGCGGGCGCGGGACGAGGCGCGGGCCTGGCGCGACACGTTCAAGACGCCGATCGCGACGGCGGACCTGGCGTCGCGCATGGGCGGCTACATGCAGGCGTACACGCTGTACCAGTCGGTGCGGCCCTTCGGCATCACCGCCATCGTGGGCGGCTTCGACAGCGCCGCCGAGACCCCCGTCGACGGCGAGGTCGGCACCGGCCCCGGCTGCGGCGCCGGCGGCAAGGTCGCCGGCAAGACCCACGGCGGGCCCTTCCTCTACATGATCGAGCCCTCGGGTCTCTACTGGGGCTACTACGGCGCCGCCACCGGCAAGGGCCGCCAGGCTGCCAAGGCCGAGCTGGAGAAGCTCGACCTGGGGGGACCCGGCGGGCCCGCCCTCACCATGGAGGAGGCCGTCAAGGAGGCGGCGCGCATCCTGTACGTCGCGCACGACGACGACAAGGAGTTCGAGCTGGAGATGACGTGGATCAGCGGGGCTGACGGGCCGACCAAGGGGGCGCATCGCGAGGTGCCCAAGGCGTTGCGGGAGGAGGCGGAACGGTTGGCAAAGCAGGCGCAGGAGGAGAAGATGGAGGAGTAGTGGAGGCGGCGTTGGAATGGGCGGCGTTATTGTACCATACGCACCGGAGCGACGGCTGCGGACTTTGCGGGTGGGAAGATAGACTAATCTTCATCTGCACTGGGGGCGCGGGGTCCCGGACACGAACTCGATCACGACATTCATGGCTGTTTCCCCGTTTTTTTTTACTGTCCAGGGACATGTTTAAGCAGTGCCAACGACTGCGCTGTCCTGAGCGACGTTCTGTAGACACGAAACGTGATACACTGACGGGGTATTGAACTGCCTCTATCTACAACCTAACACACACACACACACACACACACACCTACTTCTCCTCCCGCTCCCCCGCAGCTGTAGCGGCAGTGCTCGCATGGCTCTGGCACCAGTTCAGCCAATCCGAAAAGAACGACGCCTGGATCTTGACCTCGCCATTGAACCACTTGCGCTGCGTCTTCGCATACAGCGCAAACACCTGCTCCTCCCTCTCCGCGTCGCAGCATGTGATGGACGCCACCGCCAGGCAGGCCGTCGACGCCGCCCTGGCAAACGCATGCGAGACATCCTTGGCCGCCTCCTCGTGCAGCTCCTCCATCAGCGAGGCCATGGCCGCCAGATCCAGCCCGGCGATCTCGGCGACCTGGCTGCCGCCGCGCGCCTTCTTGAGGCTCTTGGAGAAGGTCTGGATGATGTCGCAGGACTTGTTACCGAGCGCCTTGGTCGTGGTCGTGCGGATGAGGTGGAGCAGCGGCAGGAGGACGCGGAAGACGTGCGGGGAGCCGGCGCCGCCGGCCGCGGCCTCCTTCTTGACGTAGATGGCGAGGAGGTCGAGGATTCGGTGCTTGAAGTTGACGACCGTGTCCTTGGCGTCCTTCTTCTCCTTCTTCTTGTTGCCCGTCTTGGCCCGCTGCTTGAAGATCTCGGCGAGCTTCTCGTCCACCACCATCATCTCCGAGTCCGTCATGTCCGATTCGTGGTCCGTGTCCGCGTCCTCGTCCTGGTCGAGCCGGTGGCTGCCGAGGACCTCCGCGAGCGCGTTGTCAAGCGCGTCGAGCGCTTCTTGGTCTTTGTCCGCGGCGCTTGTGTCTTCGTTCCCCTCCTCATCGCCTGAGCCCTCGGCATCGCTGTCGTCAGGGCCTTCGGAGCCGGCATCCTCGAGGTTGACGATCTCGACGTCAGAATCGAGTTCCTCCTCGTCGCTCTCGTCGCCAGCAGCTTCGGCATCCATCATGTCTTCGTCCTCGGTGCTAAACAGGGCCTGTTGCCCCTTAGCACTCTCTTCAGCAGCCAATGGGTCAATCAGAAGTCTGAGCGCGTCCTCCGACATGTAGCCAGTGAATGCCTCGAAAACCTGCTGCGAGACCTGCCGCATGAGTGACGATGGCCGGGCAACCATGGCGAGAAGAATCTCGACAAGATATTCGGAGATCCCTTCGCCAGACTCCTGGTCATAGCTCTCGAGCTTGTCATAACACTCCGAAAGCTCGTCAAAGAGATCTATCACGTCGGGATCCTGGTTGTAAAACTGAAGAATGCCTACAGCATGCAACAAAGCCAACGCTTGCCGAGGTGCTCGCGAGCGATCGGTGCACTTCGCAGGATCAAGAAGGTCCTTCAGCCTTTCGTAAGCGTCAGGAAGGATCGAGCCGGTGATTTCGTCCTCTGAGTCGATGTCGGCTTCGATAGACAGGATGGCACCACAGAGGTGCCCGAAATCCTCTGGTCTCCGAACCAACTTTGCAAAGGCCGAGGTCGACCTCGTCCGTAGCGTTTCCTTAATTCCAACTGGCACTGACGTGTTTGAGTAGGCCAAGTCGGTCAGGGCGTTGATCGCTAAGCCGGGCACTGACTTGCCCGAAGTATCGGCTTCGGGGTCCTCGGAGGGCACGCTCGCGAGCCTGAATAGATAGGCCCCAAGAGCTTGGTAGTACTTTGACTCGTCAAGACCACTCTTGGACGGATCCTTCAGCTGCAGGATCTTAAGGACCTGTTTGACTGTGGAGGGCGTTGTTTGTTGCAGAAGCTTGTCAATCGTCTTGGTGTTTGTGCGCTGCTCAAAGTTATACGCCCCCTGCTTCCCAAGAAGCTCTTTGAGTACGGTAGGGAGGAGGTGTGGTGCTTTCTCGACGACAACCTCAATGCCTTTCAGAGCCTTGACAGCTGCGCGGTGGAGGTATCGGTCTTCCTTGGCAGCCTGGTTCATGATAGACACCATTAGATTCTTGCTGAAGAGGGTGGACACCATGAAAGGAGAGTCGGTGGCCCCCTCGAGCATCTTCTGGAAGATCATAAAGCCTGAAAACTTCTGGCTGTCTGAGGCACTCTTGGAGAAAAAGCCCTCTGTAGATCCGTTAGCAATGTCGTTAGGCTGGGGGTATCGCAAACTTACCATCTACAACGCGGTTCCAAAACTGCTTGAATTGCTCGGTGGCATCACTCTTGGACTGGACACCCAGCTTGACAAAGTGAGCAAGGATCAAGTCCCAGACAAAGTGAAGCTGGGCCGTCCAGTTGCCTTGCTTCGGCTTCTTGCTGCCATTTTCCTCGGTTGATGTTTCTCTTCCGCTATCTTTCAAAGCCGCAGGTAGAGCAGCTAAAGACGTAGCTTCCAAGGGGTGACGCCATGGCTGTTTCGGAACCTTCATCTCAGGGAAGCGGTCCATCGCAGCGATCCAGATGCCCACACCCTCGGGGGACTTGGCGAATCCGGCCTCGGAAAGTTTCTCAAGGGTGGCTTCAGCAAGATTCTGGTTCATTTGCGATATTGCTTGCACGATGACGTATCCGCATTGCGATTTCAACCAGCTTTTCTTCGACGACAGCTTCGACAGAAGGTCCAGAACCGGGAGCCACTTGGTTTTGTCCGAGATGATACCAGAGCGAACGAAGCATTCGATTCCAAACAGTTGCCCAAAGTAGTGGTCTCTCTCTTCCTGGCCTGAACCGGTTCCTCCCGCCTGCGTCTTCTCTAGCAGAATGCTCAGCACCCTGTCGAACGGCAGACCCGGGTATTTTGAGCTCGCCAGGTCCTTGTCCCCGAATAATTGGCCCAAAATCTCGGTCAGAACTAGGCTGAAGCCGAGCCTCGAAGCATTCCTGCCACTGGCAAGACCGCGAAACAGACGCTTTTCAAGATGGCGCAGGAGGACCGGTTCGGGAACACATTCTTCGCCAAGTAGGCCGGATATGATAGCATCCGCGGCCTCGATTCGATCGCTGACGTCTTCATTTCCTAGTTTATTGTACAGCTCCAGCTCTCTCTTGCGCTCGTCGACGGTAGGATGTTCGGTGAACGGGGACTTGTCGAGCGCCTTCGAGGGCTTGGACTTGGCTGAGCCATTGGTGGTTGTGGCATCTTTCTTCGACCGTTTTTGGGATGGTAGGTTGTCATTATTGGCTTCCTTGGCCACGCGCTTCCGTTTGTTAGCCATGTTTTTTGAGATGTCGTAACGGATTGGAAAGTGCTGAGAGCCTGGAGACAGTGGACTCGACTCCTCCTGCCAGCGCCCGTGAACTCCAACCCCCCCGAAGTTTTTAGCGGGGCCCATTTCTTGCCCTCGTTGACCGCTTCCGTCCGATAACGACAAACGGGGGCGGGGCCGGGCCTGGTTTCTTGGCGCTGCAAGGTACCCCCGATTGCTGCAAATCTCAACAGGGCAGAACCTCGCTGCTTGCATCAATATCAGGGAGCTTAGCTGGCCACAGAATGCTTCCAGAAGCGGTCACGAAGAGAACGACAACTGCTCGGATCCTTGCGCGGACAAATTCAACCCTTTGAAGCCTCCTCGCACCATCCATCTTCGAGGCATTATCCCAATGAAAACAAGAGGCGGAATGGGTAACGTCCCGGACCTCGAATGACAACCGTACCGTGCGCAACATTTCCTTTCCATTTGACTGACATTCAAGACTCAACTCCATAACGGCGTTCACCTCACGTGTTTTTATTCCAATGTCTAGAGTAGTCAAAAAAGCACCGAACCGACGTTCTCGACAATATTTTATTCAACACCGATGACAACATGGTTTTCGAGTGGATATGAGAGGTCTGTTGTCTCTCGTCTCCAACCTGGAAAAAATTACTCGCTCCAAACCCACCGGTGGTGGAAACAGCGGGTTCTCCCAGGACAGGCACAGTTGGAGATGATAACCGGAACTCATTTCCGAGTTTACCGCCGGAATTGATGGGTAACAGTGGTATCAGGGTCTTTTGTTCCGGTGGCGCCCAGGGATAGTTAGTTATGACTTGTCACACTTGAGACTCGGGAAATCCAAGACAAAAACCATCCCTTGTTTCCTCCCTCGCAATGATCACCCCTAAACTTGAGAACTCCAGCAACCGGCGAACCCCGTATCTGTTCACTCACCATCGATCTTCTTTTCCGTTGAGCTTCGTTCTCAACAACCAAGGGTTCCAACACACAGACCAACAGTCTCCCAGACAACAAACACTTTGCTCTCCACTCCGCTAACCAAATCTCACGAGACCCCTTGCTCTCACCAACCTCACCGCCTTCTCCAGGCACAGTGATATTTTTCTGACCTCTTCCGTCTTACTCTCTCGCCGGGGGTCACCCAAAAACACACAAGCCGACTGGAGACGGCGATGGACCCCCGGACGCCGTACCTTGCAGCAGCCCGAAAAAACGTGCAGTCATTTCGATTACGCTAGCGCAATGCATCCAAGGTTCAAGGGCTCCATTTCGAGCTTCTGGAATCCGAGGTTCGCTCGAATTCGGGAGTGTCCGAATAACTATGACGCTGGGGTCCTTGAGGAACGGAGGGTTATGAGTGAGACTTGCTTGTAGATTAGCCAGTGACCGAGACAAATGGGCTTTGGACACTGTGACCGCCAAAGTTAACACGTTGAGAAGTTCTTGTCTTTTTTTTGTTTCTTCTTTTCTAAAGTTCTCTCAAGGCAAAAGGGAGAACAAGTGTTTCTCTTTTGACAAGAGGACTTGCTATCTTTTTTTCTTTCTTTTCTTTTCTTTTTGTTAAAAAGAAGACAGGAGTGCGAGTGACTTAGTTGACAAGTGCATGTTTGTTTCGCGAGCTAACAATTTACAATTAGGTACCTTTGGAAACGCAACCCAAAATGGCAACCAATTTCTTCCTTGCAAACCAACCAATCGAGACATGAAGTGTCTGGAGTTATTCGTATCAACTCAAGTCGCAGACATCACCGCACCAGGAAGCTGAGATGCTGGAACTCGGGGGTGTTCGGCGAGTCGGTTCGGCTCACCTCACCGACTGTCCCAAACACCTCCATGTAAACAAGTTTCTGATATGGCCCGTGAGAAGGATTGCTGTGCCAGGCGGAGGACTTCGTATCCCCCGCAACTGCGCCATTTCCATCATCAGATTGTGTGTAAGAATTCCGGGCGAGCACCATGCTGGTCGGAGCCCCGACATGCCCCGGTCGGTCGGCAAGGCTGTGAAGGGGTCCACAACTTCAAGCTCTCAGCCATCCCGCCCCCGGGCCCTGCCGGTTGGTGACGAGCTTCAATCAAGCGCCGGAGAGATCTGGGAAGAGCTCTGATCCCAAAGACAAACCCTGGTGCTCATCACGAAAGTGAGACTCTGCCGTTCGAGCCCCACGTTATATGAAGCCTCAAGTGTGACGAATAAACACCAGCCGCGCGGTTCGCCTGCCGAGGTGAGTCGGGAACACCCCGGAGCGGGCAGCCCTGGTTGTTTCATCAGGTGACACCGCGTCCTGCCCGCTCTGCTACCCCCGCCGCACGGTCGTCGCGGGAGCTTCAGGTTGTTGACTCAGGCCAGAAACTCGCGTCCCGTTTGTTTACTTTGGCCTTTACCCCGCGTCTGCACGACACATCGGATGTCAGGTGTGTCGATGCATCCTGCATGCATCCTCTTGCGTTCCCGGGTGCGCAGATTCATTGCCTTGCCGCGCCCGTGCGTTGTTCTCTCTGACAGACTCCGCAGCAAAACGTTCTGCGCCTTCTCATGCAGCTTCTCAAACAGGCCCTTGCAATGGCTCAAGCAAACCAGAAGCCGTCGGTGGGCTCATCTGGGGACCAGGCCAATCCGCTTTCGGCTGCGGAGGAATGGAGACCCATTGTCTGGATGCGCGTGGTGTGGCTGATGTGAGCTGGGAGATGTAACCCGAAGCGTGCAAAGCGTGGACGCCTGACAGCTGAACTCGGTTGCATTGGCGCCCCGGCACCGGCGCCGAGAGCTCGATTGCGAACCGCAATTGGGCGACGATCCGATGTTTGCTGCCGCTCTGGTTGGGTCATGCGGGTCATTGGGTGGTGGTGCGCTTTCTGTGCAGCGCTGATCAACCGCGACGACCAGTTCGGTGAGGGGAAAGTAAACAAACTCCATCAACGCCGACTGAATGCTTTATATTCTCAACGCTTTCATTCTTTTCGTCGATATTTATTCGATGAGATCTCGATCTCGAGATTTGCGATCCGCGGAGGTGAGGGAGCGGAACGGGCGAATCAGATTGGTCGGGGTGAACGAGCGGGGGCTCGGATGAGCTCTCGGCGATCTTGTTCAGCCTTGGAAAATCGCGCCGGCGAAGGCAGGGGTGTTCGCTCTCGCCCTGCCGGGCAGGATGACGTCTTGCCCGATCGGGACAGGAAGAAGGCTGATGGAGTCGACAACCCCTCGCCAGGCAACGGTGATGCTATTTCCAGCCTTGCAACCGATCCAACCGAGCCGCCGAGATCGTTGTGATAGTTGTCGGTTGGTCTTGAAACTGGATAGGGCTGGGCGAATTGTTGCCGAGCTCTCGAGCTCCATGTGCGAGCAAATTCCCCGATGTCTCGATGTCTCATGGCGGAGGCAAGCTTTGACGCCAGGCCCGGGTTGCGTTCCAGCCCTCCCCCATTTTGCCGGACGGAAACAATCTCAACGTTGCATGTGGTTCGCTCAACACGCAGAGAAAGCCGGCCCCATTGCTTGGTTCTCGCACATGCCAATGTCGTCTGGGGAACCAATCCGGCCAATCAATCCCTCGAGAAGCGGTTCGAAGGGACTCTGAACCTGAAGCCCTCGGGGCCCGCACGAGGGTGGGACAGACAGGGGCCCTGGTCGATCCGTTGCTGGGGCTCGACTTGCGCGCAGCTTGGCCAACCTTCTCTGACGCAATTCTCTCGCGAATCTTGGTTGCCAGTGTCGAAGTATCGTGGGAGGGTCGTTCCCGAGTGGGGAGTTTCCATTCTTGGAGAGGGCATTTTTATCAGAATGCTGAAAGAAAAATGGCTGGGTCCCTGGCTCCTGGCCAGCGTGGGAATGGAGATTGAGGGAAATGCGACAAGGGAGTTTTCGTGCCAGTGCCCACGCTATCTTTGAAAGGAAAACTGCAACCATTTCCAGTTCACGGCCCAGTATAACTTGGGGGCTTATCTCTAAATCTTGTCACTTTGTTCATCTTTAAGGCCTTGTTTTTCTCCCATTCTCCTTTCTTTGCTTCCATGAGACTTTCGTCTGCACCTAGGTAGTTTGCCGCTTCCGACTGAGACACGTTGGAAAAATAGATTCTAGAGCGGAAACATCCGGTCTTTGAACTGTTGGTGTTAAGTCGTTTTCTCGGCTAGAACCTAGCAGGGCTGCGAGGCAATTGCCAATTCGAGATGCTGAGTGGCGGCTCGCCGAGTGCCACAGCCAACTCGATTTCAGTTTGAGAGAAAAAGCGCTAAAACCACAGCGCTTGCATGTCCGCAAGATCCCTGACCTTCACGGCCTTGCTCAGTCACTTGACCGAAACAACACCACAGCAAGTCTTCGTCTGAGTTGCCAATGCACTACGGTGGTTGCCGGGCAGGCGTGGAAACAGTCCCTGGCTCCAATTCACACGATTTTCGCCATCACTCGATGCCGAGCCATCCTGAAACCGGCACTCCGGGCAGACGTCGATGCGGCAAGGAGCGGCTGGTCGAAAGGAGGCCCAAACGTCCGATATCCCTCGTCCCAGTGTTTCTGCTGTGTCGCCCATAATGCGACCTCCCCGCACAGAATGGCCTGAGAGAGCGGTCGTTTGAAGCTTGATTTGGGACGATGATCTGGAATACCTCAGGTGGAGCCGAGATGCCAGGGCAGGTGCCAGGAATTGTCGACGACACAGGCTCATGTGCCAGCTTGAATGCCGATGCTTCGTCGAGACTACCTAGTACATGATTTTGCTTTGTCTTGCTCGGCCGTTTCTGTCTCTTGTTTTGCATCGGCATTTTGGCCGGTTGCTCCGTCACCCCATCCCCGTGAGACCGAAGAGCAGCGAATCCTTCAATTGGCGTCGACTGACATTCGGTCCCCGAGACCACTGCTGTGCCTGACAGCGAGCAGACTCCCCAGACAGGGCCGCTCGCAGCTGCGGCCACGAGGCACCAAGAGCGGCACATGAGGCCCAACAGCGCAGCCCTCCCGTTCCCCCCGACCGAAATCCGGATGTACCAGTGCTGTGGGTGCCTGTGTTAGATGGTACATGGATTTGCTGTGCCTTGTGAGGGTGGATGATGTTACTCCAATTTACACTGCACAGCGGCCATGTCACTCCCAAGCGCCGTGCCGTAGGAGCTCCCCTGCAGAGAAGGAGCTCCCCCGCCCCACAACCTGAAGCTCCCCGAGCTCTCCACGAACAGGGGACCCGCTGTTGAAGGTTCCCTGGCGCCAGGTTCGCAGTAACCGCAACAACCATGCTACCCGGCGAATCGCCCCTGACAACCTGTGTGAGAAAATCAACTGCTTGAGGGGGCTTCCCTGTCGACGCTGTGCACCACGCCGGGAAGGGAAAAATCCTTCTTTAACTGCCACCCTCCCGGTGATCGTGAGTACCGGTATTCCAACAGACAGCCCGACAAGCAGCAACTTGGATTCGGTAAGCAGTGAAGGTGGGCGAGTGCCGTGTTCTCGGCACGGATATCAGAGCTGGAGCGGAGCGCAAACCGACGGCAGATCCAAGTTGCATGAAGAGCTGCCGGTTTTTTGGTTCAGCGACCCAGCACCCACCCACCCACCTCACCCTGCATTCAGGAACGGGAACTTTCCATCTCATCCCAAGTCCGTCCCAAGTGGTCTTGCACCGCAATTGGCAGGAAAGCGGCAGGCGATCCAGAAACGAGCACCACTACACCACCACCACCACCACCACCACACAGCCTCTGCTTCTTTATTCTGATCTCTTTCTTCTGCCATTCGAGGAATTTGTGCAGCAAACACCTTGCTTCGTCGAGACCCCGGCCCTCCGCATTTCAACCCCTACCAACCTGGAAACCTCCCGGCCTGTTCATTTAAGCGGGACCCCCGCTATAATTCACACGCTTCCACCCTCCCTGGTTCTGCCAACCCGAATTCGCAGACCGCCCGCGTTGCACCGGACGACGAGAGAAAACTGAAGTTCGGGTCCAACAGCCTCGCAGCTTTTGCACCCGAACACTTCTCAACAGGTGCAACCGAGGTGGTCGTCGCCGATTGAAGTCGACCGATTCCCTAGGACTCAAGCCGGGTCTCTCTGCGTTCATTCTGGACTTCCCGCCCAAGTCGACGACCGTTTTCTCCCTTCGGCACATCTCGTCAACCAACCTCGGGCAAGACGGCTTTATCACAGCATCACCCAGTTGACAATTCCTCCCGACAGTGACGCCATCGGCATACGTGCATGAATCAACGTCGGCTGTCATGGAAACGTCATCACCGCTGGCTGCTATGCGGCCGGCGCCCCCTTCCAGCTTCGGTCAACCCAACCTCTTCGCTCCTCACCTAGTGCCCAGTCCGCTCGGCAGAAACCAGTTCACATTTCAGCTCCCAAAGCCTGAATACTTCAGCAGCAAATCTCTTCGAAATTCCTCTCCGGGGGCCTCGCTAGCGGCCGACTTGTCGCAGAACTTCAAGCTCAACGATGCTAGGTGAGTGTCCTGTTCCTCCCCAACCCGACTCGCACTGTATAGAGATCTTGTGACTTACAACAAACGCAATTGGATAGCAGCCCGATGTTCCCTACCCCACGCCGCGCTTTGTTCACGACAGCCGCCATGATGGATGCACTCGACGGTCGTGGTAAGCTCGGGAACATGTCGTGGATACATACGGTCAAGAATTGTGGGACTGATGAGTTACGATCTTAGGTTACGTGACCACGCCACCCCTTCCGACTTCGTCCCCCGGCTGTGTCGACATGATGGATATGTCGCCGTTGCCGCACAAGGTTCCCTTCGTGGCCCACGTTGAGCTTCCTTCCCCGACCCCTGGCTCCGATGAGATTATGGCGGAAACACCCGTCCCGCGTTCCGCCTCCCTACAGCCTTCGAAGTCTCTCGCCGGCGAGTAAGTTGAGATTATACATTCCTGCCAATGGCTTTGGGCCCACACTTGCTCACACATACTGTAGGCGGAGGAGAATTGGTCTCAGGCGGCCATCTCTCACCCGTGCCAAAGGCCTTAGTGCTATTGGCACGATGGGCCGGTCACAGGGCGAGAACCAGCCCCCACCATTCCGGTTTGGGGCCGGAGGGGATGGCCAGCTTGGTTCTTCTCCCTCCTCGTCCCTGTCGTTGAGCGAATGCTTCGAGGACTCACCCCCGCAGGCGCGACGCCCGAAGAGCGCCAACAGCCCGTGTGCTCCCATGGCCGTCACCCGCCCCAGGGCGCACTTCAACAGTCTCAATGGTTCGAGCGGCGTGCGCAACGGATCCCCCATCACCAGCCAAGGGCGGAGAACGGCGAATCCTTTCCTGCGTCCGCGGAAACAGTATCGGCGCTCTTTGAGCATGTTTGAAAACGCTGGGGATGTTGTGGGGCCAAAGAAAGAGGGACCGGCGTTTGCCTGCACGGCACTGCAGTCGGTCATGGACCTCGAGGAACAAAACGAACCCGTCCTGCCGCACTTCTTCCCAGAGGACGAGTGCGATAACATCCCGCGCATCACACGTGAAACGATGCTGGAGGTGCTGGATGGGAAGTACAGCGACAACTTTGAGCACAAGATGATTGTCGACTGCCGGTTCGAGTACGAGTACGAAGGAGGCCACATTGATGGCGCCATCAACTACAACGATAAAGAGCTGCTGGCGAGTCAGTTGGTCGACAACCCGATGCAGGGCCGGACGCTGCTCATCTTTCACTGCGAGTACTCGGCACACCGGGCTCCGATCATGGCCCGCCATATCCGCGCCCGGGACCGGAATGAGAACGCGGCCCACTACCCCAAGCTCTTTTACCCCGAAATCTACATCTTGGATGGCGGGTACAGCGGGTTTTTCGCTGACCATCGCGAGCGCTGCTACCCTCAAGCCTACGTCGAGATGAACGCCGTTGAGCATGTTAACACCTGCGAGCGGGAGATGAACCGCCTGCGCCAGAACCGCAGGGGCCTGGGTCGCGCGCAAACCTACGCCTTTGGGCAGCAGGACCCAGGGCTGCAGGATTCGCCGACCGCACCAGCGCGCGTCAACTCTCGCGATCGTGATATTTCGAGTGTGCTCGCAGCATCCCCCAGCCTTTGCCCCGAACGCGGGCCTGCGAGGCGGATGGTGTCCTATTAACACCTCCACCCATCGCCCTCGAAATTAGTGGCTCGATGTATCGACGTGAATCGGCCACACCCCAGCAACCGGCGGTTTCCACTTGCCGACTGCATACTGTGAATACAGCTTCTACCCATCGGAGACTAATTTTCCTTTGTGTCCTTTCGACTTCTTCAGCACCATGCTTTTACCTCGTCCTTACGAGGACTTGAGACCGGCCTGCCACCGCCAGGACTGATGATCCAAGAATCGCGGGCAGGCCAGAGCATACATGTTTTCGGCATTAGACCTTGTTGGCATAGCGTGGCGTTATCCGGACTCGGGGCCTTGGATCCGGTATCCTTTGGCTCGGCGGCCCGGCTTTTTCATCATACGGCATTGTCATCTCGTTGGCATCCTTCACCATTGCATCGCGTCTTCTTCGAGTATGCGGCAGATGTCTTCACTAGTTATGGGCGGCCGAGATGGACTCGGCCGACCCATGTCATGCCATTTACCAGTCCCACCGCGGCACGGAACTGGCTAGTATTTCTTAATTACCCCCGCGATCACGCTGATGGCAGCTCCTGGACCCAATTCATAACCGCCGCGAGGTTCAGCTTGGGAGCTGCCGACGATCGCATCCACCTGCCCAGACGAGGCATTTCCTGAGCATATCAATGTACGAACACTTCACCAAATAACGTCCCCTGGCTCAGTCCGACATACACCGAGCATTACACACATTTCCTTTGTCAATTTCACGCGAAACGTTGATCCCCGGGAAACCGACACGAGGTGGACCAGAATGGGCAGTCCACGACTGCGTTTGCAGTGGTTTGCATGGTTTTTTACCTGGGGATGAAGAGACGAGGCAAGGGGAAACTGGACCGCCAGCTGTGCCTGGAGGAACGGCATAGAAGACATTTTGTGGCGAATGGGGGATACTTGGGTTCGGTGGTTACGCTTTTCCGCCTGAGAATATGAGGCTGGGAAAGAGATGGATGGATGATGGAGAGGAAGGAAGAAAGGGGAGAAGTTCTGTGACGATGAGATGGATTGGCGCTCCGGTTTTGGGGGTTGCCACCCACGACACCGATCTTCTTCTCTACGTCTCCGCCCATCCGTCTGCCCGGTATAATCCCCACACCACCGTCGGCGCCCCGCGTGGTATCTGGGAGCTGGGATGTCTTCAATGTTTTGTTCTTTCCTTGCGCACCATTCTTTATGGGGTTTGGTTTTTCCGCCCTCTTGACTGCAAGAAAGCAGCAAAACTTTGTAGCCTACCGTCACTTTGATTGAGTAGCGAGACACAAAACTGAGACAAAAAAAGTCCAAAACTATTATTACATGCCCAACTTCAATTGCACCCGCGTGACGTGAAACATTACGAGGCCTGTCCGAGCAATGCTACGGGGAAAGGCTCCCAAGTTCATGACAGCGTCCTCATTTGAACAGAGCTGATGTCACATCGTGTCATCTACCCCTTTCTAGCCACAAAAACTGTGACTCACTAATCCCTGAGTTCATACATACACAGAAAATTGGTGGAGCTGGCGACAGCTGCATCGTCAATTTTGTTGCTACCCTGCCCTCGACATGAACTTAATGCAGAAAGTATTCTATAACTAGCAAGGTGAAGTTTTAAGCTGTGGCTCGATATAGGACAGGGGTTTCGTGGTTTTGCATAATTTAACCGTATTATGCAATGCGTAAGCTGGCTATCTTTGCCTCACGGGCCGTTGCGAGGCGGCAAAAACGGCGGCATTGGAGGCGGCGGCGTCGGCGGCGTGGTGTCAAGTTTGAAGGAAGAAATGAGATCTGACCGAAGTTGCGGGATGTGATGATTGTTTTTTTGGGACGAAAAGTTCGAGACGGGAAAGAATAACGCCGTGAATGTCTCGGATCTGTATTTATTGGCGGATATTGATTCCAAAAATGGCGAAAGATGCTGTTGTCTGCGTTCCTACCTTCTATGGCCGAGATACATGTCTGAGAAGGCAATGATTCTGGTTGTGGGAGGGAACGCTGTCGTTGTTCTTGGAATGGTAGATAAGTGGGCCTCCACTTACACGCAGGATCCGAGAAACCCGGAGCCGGAGCCGACGTTTCTACAAAGCCGGCAGATAATGGATCCACTCTTTCCCGGCGCCAAGGACCGATTTGTCCGGTCATGCGGTGTTGGCCGGATGCAGTGTTGAATGAATATTTTGTATATCATGTGCTGAAACATAATCTGGCTTCTAAGCTATTCCTCGACATGTTTTGGTTACTTCGCCTTCTACTGCTGGTTGAACCGATTGACTTCGTCATTTTTTGCGTATTCGCAGCCGCGCAGTCCTCATAATTGCATATACGTAAGGGAATGACCTTGTATCGTAAAATCAGCGCTATTCCTAAAGCGAGGTGTCTCGATAAGATAAGGCTTGCCGTCGCGTCCTGCATCATATGCAGCGCGCGCTCAAGCCTTCTGGACCTAAGCCAACCTCATTAACGAGCCAAAGCAACTTCAAATTTGGCAGCCTCCGCCGACTCAATTGGCAATTGAGGGTTCCATCTCTAATTCAGTAGATTCCATTTGATGTAGGCCAAAGCTCTAACCTTACTTTTCAGGATCTAGCTGCTGGGGGGAATGAGGTCAACCTCAACCTTCAAGTTCATCACCCACCCTTGATTGCTTTGATTGCTTCCTTCCTCTCTCATCCATCTACAGCCCGGCAGATCTAAGCTTTTGCATCGCAACATGGCTGCTAAGATGTCAGTCATAAACACCCGGTCCTTCAGCGACGTCACAACCACTGACCAGATCAGCTTCGTTTTCGGTAGCATCAATGGGCAGCTCCGGTCTGCCTTCGGTAAACTCTCAGCATTGCACGCCAAAAACGTCTTCAGCTTCGCAATCGTGACGGGGAACCTATTCGGTGAGGTACAAGATGATGACCAACTCACTGACCTACTCGAGGGGCGCATCGATATCCCATGCCCTACCTACTTCACAGTAGGCACCGTATCGTTACCTCTGCGGGTCGTCGAGAGAATTGAGAAGGATGAGGAAGTTGCGCCCAATCTTCATTACCTGGGCAAACGCAGCGTCACAAAAACCTCCGAAGGTGTGCGCATTGTGGCCTTGGGCGGCGTAGTGGACCTAAACATCGTGGCCGGTCTGTCCAAGGAGCAGCATGAGCCCATCCACACCGAAGGGGACGCCAAAGCTCTTCGGGGAGCTAACAATGCGGACATCCTTCTCACTGCTATGTGGCCCACAGATGTCTGGAAGAATAGCTCCAAGGCGAAGGAGCTACAGATTGGTTCGGAAACGGCACCTTCAAGTCAAACCATCGCAGAGCTCTGCGAAGCACTGAGACCTAGGTACCACTTTGCTATGTCGCCCGACAATTTTGCCTTTGAGCGCGAGCCGTTCTTTCCAGATGCCGCGGGCGAAGATAAAGAAAAGGGCATCGATCTCACTCGTTTCATCTCACTCGCACCCTGGGCGAACACCGCCAAGGCCAAGTCCATGTACGCCTTCACCCTCAACCGGGAAGCCGTCGTCTCCCCGCCCGTCGGAAGCACCCTCACCCCCTTCTACAAGCCCTCGCCCAAGAAACGCACGTTCGACCAAGCAGAGTTCAGCCGCTTCTCCAGCGGCCACCACGGGCACGACAACGACCACCGCCGACGCAAGCACCACCGCCGCGACCGCGAGCGCTCCCCACCCCCGGGGCCGGACCGCTGCTTCTTCTGCCTGTCCAACCCCAACCTGCCCACGCACATGGTCTGCAGCGTCGGGGACGACGCGTACCTCGCTACCGCCAAGGGCCCGCTCCCCGCCGCCGACAGCTTCGGGGCGCGGGGGCTGGCGTTCCCGGGCCACTTCATCATCACGCCGCTCACGCACGCGGCGTCGCTCAGCGCCGCGGCCATGAGCGAGGACGAGGCCGGCAAGACGTTCGCCGAGATGGCGCGGTTCCGCGGCGCGCTCCAGGGCATGGTCGCCGGCGCGTCGGGGCGCAAGCTGGGCGCCGTCACCTGGGAGATCAACCGCGCCCGCAACATCCACGTGCATTGGCAGTTCCTGCCCGTGCCGGCCGAGATGGTGAGCAAGGGGTTGGTGGAGGCCGGGTTCAGAGTCCTCGCGGAGGATATGAAGCTGGGCAAGTTTGCCGTGAAGGAGTTTGATACGGCGGATGCGGTGCCGGGGGATTATTTCCGGGTTTGGATTTGGGCGGAGGAGGACGGGGAGGATGGCGGCAAGGTGGTGGGTAAGAGCCTGCTTCTGCCGTTTGACGAGAGTGTGCGGTTTGACTTGCAGTATCCGCGGAAAGTGATGGCGAAGCTGCTTGGGCTGGAGAACCGGACATTTTGGCAGGACGTGGTGCAGTCGGAGCAGGAGGAGGCTGCGGATGTGGCGGCTTTTAGGAAGGCGTTCAAGGAATGGGACTTTACGCTGGCTGGTTAAGCAGCGATATTACTCTCGGAACGGACAGACGACGGGGGCTACGGGGCGTGTACGGTCAGTGACCCCACGGGGACTGGGGTTAAAACGACATCAGGGGATCAGGGGCCGGACACCGTGGTTTGGCTCAGATAGCCAGGTTTTTGATGGGCCTTCAATAGACGAAGAAGGAAAACTAATCCGACGGAGCACCTCGATTGTATCGTCCTCCTACAGTGCTAAGACCCTCCGTTATCAGATCCCACAGGTCGACCATCCGCTCGACCACCCGCCTGGCCATCCGCCCGATCATCCATCCTATTCTCCACACCACCCACCCATCGACCTCTATCCACTTAGTTCGTCGAGTACTGCGCAATCCTGTTAGAACCCCAAGCAGAGTTAGTCGTCATCAGATTCCCCCCCAAGATATAAGTGAACTGAAACATACTGCTTAACTCGCGGCTTATACATGGTCGCCCCACCGCACTTCACGCACCGCAGATTGTCGTTGGACCTGAACCTCCAGGTAAAGCCGCACGCCGCGCACCTGTAGGGGACCCTTTGGTCTGGCGTGGGAAAGGTGGAGCGGGCGCAGCCCAGCCGCGGCTTGACCGGGATGCACGCCGGCTGGTTCACGTTGTGGCTCGTCGCTGCGGCGCTGACGATGTTGCTGCGCCTGATAGGGGACTGGATGATGACATTGGCGTCATTGTCGGCGTCGTTGTTACGACCGCCATTGTTGTTGGTCGTAGTGTTGTTGATGGAGGGGGTCCTGTTGCCGTTGTCGTTGTTGTTGTTGTTCTCTGGCTGAATGACGGGTTGACGTACAGGTGGTACGTAGACCTCGCGAAGGGACATCATGAACAGAGTATATGTAGACTGATTCTGACAATTAAGAGGACGTGGTTGATGTTGGGCTAGTCAAGTGTAGCATCAACTTGTCAAGTGGTTGATGGCGTGTAAGTGGGAAAGTTTAGTGTGTTGGAGCGGCCAGGAAAGACGCGCCATTTTAAGAGTCAGATCTCACTGGAACAGTGTATTAGTGACTCTGCACTGCTAGTATTGTTCTTAATCTACCACTATTTTCGGGAAGGTGCTGAGATTTCATCTCTTCTTCGGTTGCTCTTTCCATTCACAGGTGGTTGAATATCACAGTGCCGAGGAAACTGAAAATTAACTGTGTGCCTTGCCAGCTATGAAAGTTATGCATAAAACGGTGCCTTGGCAGATACCCCACCCCTCTCTTATCGGCGTTATCTGGACTCGGCTGGCGCTCGCCCGGCCAAAAAAATTAGAGGCGATCGAGGTGTGGGCGCTGTTGTGCCTCCAACTGCGCGTCGCTGTCGCAGAGGAAGGATATTTCAACGGCATCTTGGGACGCCGCCACCATGCCTTCCACTACGTCCGGCCGTATTGTTAAGACCTCTAGGGGTTCGAAAAAGACACCCCACCAAAAGAACCACCGATGGGAATCATTTAGCACCAAAATCTCGAAACTCCATTCCCTCGATCCTCTCCGCAAAGTCCGCCGCCACGACCTCGACGCCGAAGATCTCGATGCGACGACCTCATACCTGCGCAATGGCTTGGACAAATGGGCCGAACTCAACATTTCCCGGCCATACATGGCCTTCAAGCGGCAGATTAACCCGCTTACCGAATCCCTCGCCCAAATCCTTTACCATGAGGACCGCATCATGGACTTGCTGGCCGAGTACATCGCAAAGCACGAGAAAGAATCCCTCGAACCTCTGCTCGACTTGGTAACAGCATTCGCCCACGATCTCGGTGTCCGATTCGAGAAGCACTACCCGCGCGCCTTGGCCCTGATCGTCAACTTAGCCGGGAAAATCCACGACGTCGAGGTTATCGAGTGGACCTTTGCCGCCCTGGCCTTTCTTTTCAAGTACCTATCGAGACTACTTGTCCCCGATCTCAGGCCAACATACGATGCTGTGGCTCCCCTCATGGGCAAGGCGAGGAACCCTGGCCACATTGCACGGTTCGCTGCCGAGGCCATGAGCTTCCTGGTCAAGAAGGCGTCGGCCCCCAGCCACAAGGACAAGGCGTTGCCGCTGCTGGTAGAACATGTGAGGGGGGATCTCGACGGTATGGCCGGACAGAAACAGTTCGAGCTGTACAGCCAGGGTATCATGACCATGTTCGCCGAGGCAATCAAGGGGGTGGGCGATGGCATCCATTCAACAGGACCCGAGATCTTTGCCGCCCTTCAGCGACACGTCCCCGAGAAGGAACTGGAGTTGCCAGAACAGGCTGTTTGGACGGGAGTCTGCTGTGGCGTGCTCACCAGCATCATCCACCACACCAACGTGGATACTTTCAGGGCCATCGAAACGAGAATTGTGGAGGAGGCATCGACTGGGCCACGCGCAGCACTGTTCATTCAGGTTTTGGGGACTATGGTCGGTGTGCGGAAGGGTACCCGCATCCATGATTGGGCAACCGTTGTGAAAACACTCGGCCAGTTGCTCGTTTCTTTCTCAACCCGGAAGGAACAGGTTGAAGCCATGGACCCATCCCAAGTATGGCAGAGAATCATCGTCAACACCGCGGTTGTATGGGGCCGAGCTCCCATCGATGCGCTTCTCCCCGCCCTATCCACCTTCAACGGAATCATGACCAAGGAGCCCCTGATGCGATGGTATATTCTCTTTTGTTCGTACTTCGCCGATCTTAATTCGGAGAGATTCCGCGGTTTGTTTATGAAGGACTTTCAAAAGTGAGTCCACTAGTTTCCGCCTCAGACCTCATGCTAACGTGGCTAGGTTTATTGTTGCGCATTGGTCCCAGTGTGCCAACGAAGACGTGCTCTGTGTACTATTACCGCGCATGGTGGAAGCTGGCGGACTCCCGACCCCTGGAGAGAAAGAGACCTTCCAGCTCCCGCAATCGTGGCAGGACCAGATTGTCAGCAAGTTTGTCAGGCTCGGGGACACTCCTTTTCCGGAGAGCGGCGGGTTCGGCAAGGACCCGGAAACCTGGAGAGACAAGTGCCTACCGAAATACTCGGCACGCTTGCGTGTCTTGGAGGCGACCTTGGTGCATCCTTCTACGAACGCCAGGATAGCCGAGGTTTTGCTTAAGAAGCTGAAGCTTGCTCTCCGGCCATCTTCGTCACTGCCGACCGACGAGGCACATTTCATCCTCAGCGATGGCTTCCGCGCCTATCTCCGGATGTGTGCCCCTGCCGGCTCCGTTGATCTAACCTTGGCGCCGTTGCTAAGGGCTGCCGCACCACGGTTCTGCCGTTCTCCCGCCTTTCTCGAAGCTCTGTTGGACTACGAACGCGAAGTCAGCGGAAAAGTTCAACGGTCGCCTCAAACCAGCAATGGCGACGGCCAGCAGGAAGAAGACCCGTTGCTTAGGTGTTTAACCGACAACCTATCCACGCCATCCCACGAGCTCCGACTCGCGTCCCTCAAAATCCTCGAAATATTGGAGTTCACCCCCGACTCCAATTCTGCTCTGGCCACCATGATTCAAGTGGAAGAACTACCCCTGAACCTCCAGAGTGTTCGGACCATCGCAGTTCATCTCCGCAAACTCAGTCAGGTGTACTCTCACATCGAGCAGGACTCCTGGCTAATCCGAGCCATTCCGGCATACCTGTTCGGCATGACGACAGTTCCCCTGTCACCCGTTTGGGACGACGCCGTTGAGGCAATGAAAAAGGTGGCAGAGAGCAAGCAAGGGGAGGAGGCATTGGCCGATATCGCTTTCGAATGGTTGGCAGTACCAGCACCGCAGTGGACCGGGCCTTACAAGCCGCCTGCGGAGGACAACCACAAGGCCTTGACCAATTTTGACTGCCTAAATTTGATGGCTCTCAATGAAAGTGCCAGCGGCACGGGAAGTGTCATGGACGACCCCTCTCAAGACATGCTGAGCGCTTTTGAGGAGGGCCAGAAGATTATCGAGTCCCCCTCAGAACGAGCACGTAGCAAGGCGCTCAAGGCGTTCACTGCATTGCCTGTCCTGGCCGAGAAGCGGTCCAGGAAGCTAGTGCCGTATCTATTTTCGTTTACCGAGGAGGGTGAGACGCAGTCGGAAGAGGCCGAAGAGGGTGCCGAAGAATCACCAGAAACCAGTTGGTCCCTTCCCGACCGGAAGGCTCTCGTTGGGGTATTCGCGCAGTTCAATAACCCCCGAGTCCTCTACCAGAGCCAAAAGGTGTACCAGGCTCTGCTGAAGCTACTAGCAAACGGTGATATCGAACTTCAAAAGCTGGCTCTCAAGTCGATCTTGGCCTGGAAGAATGATTCGATGAAGCCGTACCAGGAGCATCTCGAATACCTCCTCGACGAGGCGAGGTTCAAGAATGAGCTCACCGTCCTCTTCCAGGGCGACAATCAAATCCGACCCGAGCACCGTCCGGAGGTTATGCCAGTGCTTCTCCACCTTCTGTACGGCCGCACTATTTCCAAAAAGGGCGTGGCGAGTGGCCGGCATGGCCTCCATGCAACACGTCTCGCTGTTATCCGACAACTAAACGTCGACGATATGGGCAGCTTCCTTGATATTGCCCTGGGCGAGCTTCGAAGCATTCAGGTGGTCGATGCCAACGGGCTTCGCGAGAGCGTGTTGGCCCACGAGACTCTCCCAGTCCGGAAGCAGGTCGGCCTGCTCAACATGATCGAGTCCATTATCAATGAACTCGGGACGAGCGTGTCATTCTATATGGAGCCTCTTGTCAACGCGGTCCTCTACTGCCTTTTCTTTGCCTGCCGACAGCTTGGTGCTAGCTCGGAGGAGCAGGATGCTGAGGATTCGGACCAGACTCAGAATGCTTCTTTGTTCAGGGTTGTGCGGACAACAGCTCTCAAGTCTCTGTGCAAAATGTTCCAAAACGCACCGGATTTTGATTGGGTCCGGTATCGGGATGTGATGGTGAAGGAGGTCATCAGCCCCCGGATCGATAAACTTCCAGCAGAGACTACGCAGGGTGTCTCTGCTACCTGGAAGCTCCTCAGCACCTGGTCCACCCTTTCCAAGACCGCATTGTTCCTCTCTGTCGACAAGAGAGTCCTGCCCAAGGTCGTCGAAACCCTTGGGCTCGAGAAGGGCAAGGATGAGGTCAAGGTGTTTGCGCTTGAGATTCTCAAGAACCTCATCAATCTCGCACAGGCTCCTGCGGCCGAGTCCGAGTTTAATGATTTGATCAAGTCTGAGCTCTTGGGCCCTAACATCGATCTCATACTCAAGGAGATCAGCGGTCTGCTACGCGACCAACCCGATATTGGCCGGGACTTGCTAGGAACCGCAGTCGATACGGTCGTGCTCATTGCACCTATCGTAGAGACATCGACCAGTGTCCAGGACATGGTTGAGATCGCCACATTCCTGCTCAACCAACCATTGCGCAAAGTTAGCCCCAAAATCAAGGGGTCAATTCTGCTGATTTTGAAGCAGTTTATTGTGCTGGAAGACCTTCAAAGCAATGCGGAGTTGAAGGGCAAGGTTTACGACACTATCGCTTCGCTGTTTGGATTCTTCAAAGACCAGCAGAACCGACAAACTCTCGCTGAAGTTCTCGAGGTCTTTGCCTCCCGAGAGACATGGACGCAGGAGGTGGCCGGGATTTGCCGCGACCTCAACTCTTACGTCGTCCGGCGTTTGGATCGGCCGGACTACAACACTCGGCTTTCAGCCTTCAACTCGATCACCAAAGACCGCGATACACCGTTCACAATCGCCCAGTGGAAGCCCCTGATTCACAACCTTCTTTACTACATTCAACAAGATGAGGAGTTCGGTGTTCTTTCGTCCAACGCCGCCGACGGTCTCTGCAAGTTCATCTCGGCAGCTGAAGAGGCCTGGACGAGCCCGCAGCAGGCTGCCTTTGTCGAGGTTCTGTCCAACATCATCCTGCCGGCCATTTACTCCGGGGCTAGAGAATCCTCAGAGACCGTGCGCCGCGAGATACTGCGCCTATTTGGGTTCCTCGTTGCTCACCTGCCGAAGTGGGAGCCGGTCGCTGACCTTGTTCCCTTGGTGCCCGTGTCCGACGACTCCGACCAGGCCTTTTTCTTCCATGTCTTGAGCCCGGCAGTATCACGACAGCTCCAGGCTCTCCGGTTGCTTGAGGCGGCAAACGACAAGAGCGAGCTGCGCAGCAAACATATCAGCCAATTCTTTATCCCCCTCTTTGAGCATTTCATTTTTGATCGTCCTGAGGGCGGCGATGACCAGGGCTTGAGTGCACAGGCGACGAACACCATTGCGGCCCTAACCGCATCTTTGGAGTGGCAGCAATACCGGGCCATTTTTCGGAGATTTGTCTCATACGTCGAGACGAAACCGGATTGGAAAAAGCGCGTTATTCGTCTTCTCGAGAAAGAGGTGGATGCGTTGTGCACGGCGGCCTCTCAGGGGCCGGGCGATGCCATGGATGTCGACGGTGAGACGGCTAGCACGGAGCGCCGCCGCCTCGCTACTACCCTCCCGAACCAGGAGAAGCTCGGCGTGGAGATCATCAACAACTTCCTGCCCACACTACTCAAGTACATTCACGACAAGGATGAGACCACGGTCAGCGCTAGAGTTCCGGTGGGAGTCATTATCGCCAAGCTTCTTACCCTCCTTCCGGAGGAGCGCCTCAACGAGAAGCTCCCGAGCGTTCTCACAGACATCTCCCACATTCTCCGGAGCAAGGCGGTCGAGTCTCGCGACATGGCTCGTGATACCCTTGCCAAGATCTCCGGTATCCTTGGCCCCGAGAAGCTCGAGTTTATTCTCAAGGAGCTGAGGGGTGCTCTAGTGAGGGGCCATCAGCTGCACGTACTCTCGTACACCCTGCATTCCATCCTGCTGGTCGCCATTCCAACGTTCAAACAAGGCGATCTTGATTATTGCCTGCCGTCCATCATGTCCGTCATCATGGATGATATCTTTGGAGTCGCAGGTCAGGAGAAGGATGCCACAGAATACGTGAGCAAGATGAAGGAAGTGAAAAGTAGCAAGAGTCAAGATTCCATGGAGTTGATCGCGAAGACTGCCTCCATCACGCGCCTTGGCGACCTCACCTTCCCTCTGCAATCTCTTCTCCAGGAGAAGCTCGACATACGCACGACCCGGAAGATCGACGAACTGCTTACTCGAATCACGAAGGGCCTCCTGGAAAATCCAGCGGCTGCCTCGCAGCAAATCCTCGTATTCTGCTACGAGGTTGTTCAAGAGGTATACAAGAGCCAGAAACCGGACGCCGAGGTCAAGATCGACCCTCGGCTCAAGAGATACCTCGTTCAGAGGGCTGCCAAGAAGAGTGACGGTGGCGTTACTAGCAAGCACACTTATAAGCTCGTCAGGTTTGCCATCGATATCCTCCGGTCCATCTTCAAGAAGCACGACAGCCTTCGCACGCCTGGGAACGTCGCCGGGTTTCTGCCCATCTTGGGCGATGCAGTGTTGTCAGCAGAAGAGGAAGTCAAAATCGCATCCTTCAAGCTTCTCATCGTCCTGGTCAAAGTACCCTTCAAGAACGGCGATTCGAGCAACCTGTACAAGGTCGCTCACAAGGAGGCAATCAAAGCCATCTCCATGTCCCCGACCACCACGTCCGACCTTGCGCAGTCGGCACTCAAGCTTCTCTCCGTCACCCTCCGAGACCGCCGCGAGATCCCCATGAAGGATGCCGCGCTGGACATGCTGCTCACGAAGCTCAAGGACGACCTGACAGAGCCCATGTACCGACACGTCACATTCAACTTCCTCCGGTGCGTTCTCGACCGCAAACTCGAGACGGCGTCGGTGTACGACACACTCGACCACGTGGGCACCATCATGATCACCAACGACGACAAGGACACGCGCGACCTGGCGCGCGGCGCCTTCTTCCAGTTCCTGCGCGAGTACCCACAGAAGCGGAACCGGTGGGAGAAGCAGCTCAAGTTCATCGTAGCCAACCTCAAGTACGAGCGCGAGGGTGGCCGGTTGTCGGTGATGGAGGTTATCAACCTATTGCTGAAGAAGTCGGCGGACGAATTCACCCAGGAGGTGGCGGCAACGTGCTTCATTCCCTTGGTGTTCGTTCTTGCGAACGATGATAGCGAGAAGTGCAGGCTGGCGGCTGCCGAGCTGATCAAGGAAGTCTTCCGGGTGTCGGACAAAGAGCGGTTGTCTAAGTTTCTGACGCTTCTGCGGTCGTGGGTGGTGCAGGATGGGAACCTAGCTGTGCTGAAGCTGGCTCTGCATTCATTCGGGCTCTTCTTTGAAGGCCGGGAGCCGAGCGCTAAGGACAACAAGGACCTTCTGCTTGTTACGAGCAAGTTAGTCGAAGTGCTCGGGGACGAGGAAGCGCTCGAGGCCGACTGGGAACTGGCTAATATTGCATTGACAACGGTTCAAACGCTAGTCCAGAAGCACCCGCAGAAAGTTCTGGCGCCGGAGTCGGATGAGTTGTGGTCCGAGGTCCAGGCATGCCTCGCCCACTCGCATACCACCGTCAAGCTTAGCTCCATCAAGCTGCTCAGCATGTACCTGGCTGATTTCGCGCGGAATGCGGGCCAGGGGCAAAAGCTGCCGCTGACAGGGTCACACGGCTTGGGGCTTGCCGACGACGATGTCAACGATTTGGTGAGACTATCGCTCGGCATTCTCTCGGCACCGGAAGTCGACGAGGCTCTTGCCCAAGAAGCTGTCCAAATCATCATGTTCCTAGGTGGCTACCTCGAGCCAGAAAAGGCCGAAGATGAGGAGGGCGATGAAGAAGACGAAGACGAAGACAACGACGCTAAGGAGTCCGCGCGACACGCCGACATGAAATACCTTTTCTGGAAGCTTTCCTCGATCATCCGCAAGGAGCGCCAGCCCAGACCCGAGATGCTCGTCAGCAAGCTTGCAGCCATGGAGCTCCTCGAGACCTTCGCCGTCAAGACGCCGACCGACACCTTGCTGGCCTCGGCCAAGACCATCCTCCGGCCGCTGCGCAACCTGACAGACCCATCGATCCGCCAGCCGTTCTCGCTCAACGAGATATTCAAGACGCGCTTCGACACCCTCAAGACCAAGGCCCAGGCTATCATGGAAACGCTGCAACGGCGGCTGGGCAACGCCGAGTACACCAAGGCGCTGCTCGCGGTGGGCGAGCACATCCGCGAGAGGCGGCAGCAGCGGTCGAGCAAGCGCAAGATCGAGGCGCTGACGGCGCCGGAGAGGTACGGGCGGGAGAAGCGCAAGAAGTTCGAGAAGAAGAAGGAGAAGCGGAAGACTAGGGGGCAGGAGCAGAGGGAGCATCGGCATAGCTTCCAGTAGATGGGGGATTGATGGGTTGGCTGTGCTGTTTGAAAATCTTTGTGTGGGTGGGTGGTCTATTTCTAATTTGGAGTTATACAAGATAGTGTTACATGAGATTTGGTGTTCTCGGGTATGCCAGCGCCGTCGTCAGATCCACTCACATCGTACACGCTCCATCTCCCCTCCCCGCGGTCATCATACATCCGCCCCCTTACACATTCGTGCTGCCTCGACCCCACACAGCTCCACCAGGAAGCAGGAAGCCACCCATTATTCCTCCACCTTCCTATCCCCCGACCTAACGCTCTTAAAAGTCGACCCAGGCGGCAGGTCCTCCCCCTCCCCCTTAGCCGCCTCGACCTCCGCCCAGGGCTCCCTCACACTACTGGTCCCGTCATCCCAAAACTCCAGGTCGCCTTCCTCGCCCAGCGTGCCCTTCTTGACCAGCTCGCCCTTGTCGCGCAGCAGGTCCTCGACCGTCATGGCCTTGTCGCCAAAGATGCGCAGGTGGTCGCTGATGACGTGCCGGTTCTTGCAGCTCGGGCACGCGATCAGCACCGACCCGTGGTGGTACCCCTGCTTGGACACGCGGTGCCGCGACCGCGTGTCGCACGGCCGGCAGGTGAAGGTCAGCTCGTAGTGCGGCTGCTGGCGGATGTTGGGGGCGGCTTGTTGTTGGGGCTGGGATTGGGGCTCGGCCGGGTCGGGTTGTGAGGAGGGTGTCGAGGTGGGTGTGGATGTGGCGGTGGTTGTTGGGGTCGATCCTGAGCGGGTGGGAGTCGGGGTTGTTGGTTGTTGGCTTTGGCTGAACGGAGAGCCGTTTCGTGGCCGGGGGATGCTATGGGCAAGGCGGACTGTGGTTGATGCGACAGATACGGGGAGGTGCCGTCTCGAACGAAGGAGGGAGAGCGTTGCCGAGGTTCTGGCTGGGGCCGGTGAGGCCAACCTTGCGATAGTTGGTATTGACACGAGAGTACGCTTTGAAGCCATGGTTGTACGGTTTGTTGATCTGAGATTGCGAATGAAACGGGGGCAAATTGTGGAAATGTAGTTGGAGGTCGATGAGGTCGAAGTACAGACGTGAGCAAGAAGCGGCACTCGCCGCCACTCTCCAAAAAAGTTGTTATCGATAAGGCGGAGCTCACTGCGCCAAGACCCGAACCTTGGCCACATCCATGATGGATCTTCGGCCTAGAGGGCAGGAGGGGCAATTAAGGCGGGGATGCACGGGGCAGCACGAAGCTCCAGGCGCCTTTCCACGATTGTTCTCGTCGAGACTCGAGAGACTGCACAATCTACTGCGAATGCTGTGCAACGAAAGCTTTAACTCGGCTTCGCCACTTTTTTCCTTTACTGTTTTTAAACCGCAAAATCCACAAACCGACAAACGGCAGAACAAAGATGCTAATCCGGTACTTCGTCCTTTGATGCCGCCCTAATCAATTGTGCCGAGCCACTTCGACCTCCCACGTTTGGTCGATTCCCCAGCTCCTTACCTGACGCCTCCCCAAACACGGCCGTGTGGGCTACGGGAGGCGTTCGTGTAGAAATATCGGCCCGCAGACGCAGGCCCTCTACAAGCACCGACTCTCGCTCCGCATTATTCCTCCCTGACGATTCTTGGCCTGGCAACTCCCATTGCGGCCCGCCAGCACCCAAAGCCTAGATCTCCCAACGCAACCAACTCAACCCCACGGCTCCCTCCCGTCTCTTTCAAGCCTATCAACGAACAGACATCGCCACGATGGCTTCCAGACCAAACAAGATCCGGCCGATCCGAAGGGTATGTCTCCGAGAAACGACTTCTACGCCCCGTTGCCCACCGTCACGCCCCGTACCGGAACCACCCATGCTGACTGCCCCAGCCGATTATGAGCAAGGATAGCAACGAGTTTACGCCATGTTGGGAGATTCTCAAAAATGCCCTGACGGACATCCACAATAAGAACGCTAGCCAGCTCTCCTTCGAGCACTTATATCGAGCATCGTATAAGATCGTCATGAAGAAGAAAGGCGAGCTTCTCTACAATCACGTCAAAGCATTCGAAGAACAATGGTTCCGGCACCACGTCCTACCACCCATCGCCGAGCTCGTGTCGGCGAACCTAATCAGCATTGCCTTGCTACAGGTACCGGGCTCGAGCGCCCACGAACGACGGGAGACGGGCGAACGTTTTTTGAGGGGCATCCGCAGCACATGGGAAGATCACAACACATCCATGAACATGGTCGCAGATATCCTTATGTACCTTGAGCGGACCTATGTCTCCGAGTCCAGGCAGCCCTCAATATTCGCGGCGACGATAGGGCTGTTCAGGGACCACATTCTACGGAACGACCTGGGCGGATCCTCGGAGCAGTTGGACCAGCGTTTTCTGATCTTTGACATTCTCAACGCCGTTGTGTTGGATTTGATCAATATGGAAAGAGACGGTGACATCATCGATCGGAATCTACTTCGGCAGATCACCTCCATGCTGGAGGCTTTGTACGAAACGGATGACGAGCTAGAGAATACAAAGCTCTATTTGACCGTTTTCGAGCCCCGGTTTCTCAGCGCAAGCCAGGGGTTCTACAAGGCCGAGTGCGAGAAGCTCCTCCGCGAGGGTAACGCCAGCGCATGGCTCCGCCACACCCAACGTCGGCTTCGCGAAGAGCAAGATCGTTGCGACACATCGCTTTCCATCCTCACGACTGATAAGATCGCCTCGGTCGTTGAACAAGAGCTGATTGTGGCCAAACTGAACGATTTTCTTGCCATGGAGGGAAGCGGCATGAAAAACATGATTGATCACGACCACCACGAGGACCTCTCCATACTCTACCAGCTCATCTGCAGGGTCGACAAGACTAAGAATGCATTGAAGACCATCCTCCAGAGCCGAGTTATGGATCTTGGCCTGGAAATCGAACAAACGCTTAAAAACACAGACTTCTCTGCCCCCGCGCCCGGTGCGGACGCAGAGGATGCAGCCGAGGGCGAGGAGAAGGCCAAAGTACAACCCTTAAGTGCTGCGGCCCAACAAACGGCAGCGGCAATCAAGTGGGTTGACGATGTCCTGCAGCTCAAAGACAAGTTCGACAACCTCTCGAAAATCTGCTTCAACGAGGATCTTGTCCTCCAGTCCGCTGTCACGAAGAGCTTTTCCGAGTTTATCAACATGTTCAGCAGGAGTTCGGAATTCGTATCACTCTTCATCGACGACAGTCTCAAGCGGGGTCTCAAGGGCAAGTCGGACGAGGACGTAGAGGTTGTCCTGCAAAAAGCGATCATCCTTCTCCGGTATTTAGCGGATCGCGACCTGTTCGAGCGCTATCACCAGAAGCACCTTGCTCGAAGGTTGCTCCACAGCAAATCCGAGATACATATCGAGAAGGAACTCGTCCGCAGGATGAGGGCCGAGTTGGGTAATCATTTCACTCTCAAGTTTGAAGGCATGTTCAAGGACATGGAGCTATCAAAGGACTTGTTGGAAAGCTACCGCGACCACGTCCGCAACCTTGGCGACCCTGATACCAAAAAGATCGACCTCGGAATCCATGTCCTCACAACCAACAACTGGCCGCCCGAGGTCATGGGCCGCAGCGCCTCACAAGAAGAAGGCGACAGGGGGGACTGCATCTTCCCGCCGGCCATCCAGCGTCTCCAAGCGAGCTTTTCCAAATACTATCTTGACGACCGTAACGGCCGTGTTCTCACCTTCGTCGCATCGGCCGGCACCGCAGACGTAAAATGCGCGTTCCCCAAGATCCCCGGCAAAACTAGCGGCCCGCTTAGCAAGGACCGCCGGTACGAGCTCAACGTCTCGACCTACGGCATGATCGTCCTTGATCTCTTCAACAACGGCGAGCTCGAGGACGACGAGCGCCTGTCCTTTGAAGACATCCAGACCAAAACCAATATTCCCACGCAAGACCTCATACGCACGCTAGGCTCGCTCTCCATCCCGCCCAGGTCAAGGGTGCTTGTCAAGGAGCCCATGTCCAAGAGCGTCAAGCCGACCGACAAGTTTGGCTTCAACGCTCAGTTCGTCAGCAAGACGATCAAGATAAAGGCGCCTGTCATCAGCGGCACATCCAAGGTAGAGGATGTCGAGCAGCGGAAAGAGACGGAGCGGAAGAACGACCAGACCAGAGCGCACGTCGTGGATGCCGCGATTGTGCGCATCATGAAGTCAGCTTTTTTCCCCTTGCCTCTCCTACTTCTACTACTTCTTACCCCATATTCGCTGGCAGCACTAACACGTGTGTAATTGTACCTATAGGCAACGCAAGGAGCTTTCGCACACGCAGCTCACTACCGAGGTCATTAGCCAACTGGCTGGGCGGTTCAAGCCCGAGATCTCCATGATCAAGAAGCGGATTGAAGATCTACTGACTAGGGAGTACCTTGAACGAATCGACGGCGATATTGCCGCGTACCGGTATCTGGCGTGAGGCGGGTATAAATAATTGGTTTGGTTTCGATCTGGGTGACAAGGCTCAACGGGTCCCAGTCCCTCGTCCTGTCGATCTTACGGTAGCATATGGTTGTCAAACCTCTGGTGTCTACAGAGTCGTTTTGGGATGCTATTATGGTAGACAATACGTGCATGGAAGGATATATGGCGCGGGTCTTTGAGCTGGGGTGTTGGAGTTAAGGAGTGCATTGGCGGGGGTCACAGTAGCTGGTGTTCAGGAGGTTTCTTCAAGAGCTCCAGACCCATGATAGCAAGGGCTGAAGATGACACTACTAGCATAGTGCTACATCTAAAACATCCGTAAAGCTTGTATCGTCCGATTTGTGCTTTGTTTAGGATCGATTGCGAACAAGCTATTTGACGGAATCTTGTGTTGCGAGGACAAAGTGGCGAGGGGGAGAGAAGGGGATTGTTCGGGTTGAATGACGAGAACTAACTCCGTGTAGCTATTTAAGCGTGCTTTGTGACTTCAAGTGGTTTCGAACTGCCGTCTTGAACTCGGGTTTACGAATTCCAGCCCACCATTTTGTCTCGATACCGGACGACACCACAAACCGATCGCGAAAACAAAGTCGACCCAACCATGTGTATCAAGCTCATACGACACTATGAGTGCTCAAGCACGGTCAAGCATGTGTGCGAGTACATCATCCGGTGCAGCAACCCGACCTACATGGTCGAAGACCTAGGGGAGATCATGTACGTTCCCGGCCGGCGACGGCGGCCGTGCCTGGACAAGGGCACGCTAGACACGCGGGAGGAATGGTACGACGATCAGGCGTGCCCGGACTGCACGGGGGAGAACGTGGCGCCCGAGACGCCATGCACGCGCGCACGAGAGCACACGGGCGGCGACGACTACAACCCCCACGTGTACTTCGAGGAGGCCGACGAGATCGAGGACGACTCGGACTCGGACGACGACGCCTTCTACGCCTACGAGGTCGAGGACGACAACGCCATCAGCGTCTACGCCCAGAACCTCGCCTTCTGGCTCCTCGCCTACATGCACTCGCCCAGCAACCCCTTCGACTATATCAACCCGCTCCCGGGCACCCCCATGGGCGACACCGACAACCCCCGCGTCATGGCCGAGCGCCGCATGTATGTGCTAAACGAGCTCCTCTGCCCCGTCCACCCGGAGCACGGCTGCCTGTGCAAGCTCGACCTGGACAGGGAGGCCCTGGCGGCGGGGCGGCGAGAGTTTGGGCACCAGCCGCCCGCCGTCGGCTGTTCTTGTCTGGCGGCCCAGAAGCCGTGGCTGTCCAACTGGGCGGCGCACATCCGGCGGGAGAAGGCAAGGTCGCTATACTTTGAACTCGTGAAGTCGGAAAACGGCGCCGACCTGGAGATCGCCTATGGCCTGCAAGAGCGCATCTTCGCGCAGTGCGCGGCGTTGGTAAAGCGCGCCGCCGCCGCCAAGGAGGAGTCCTCGCCGGAGGCCCTTCCCGTGCTTGAGATACTGCAGCTGCCGTCGGATGCGATCGCTGACCGCCGTCGGGTCTTGAGGAAGGATGCTAAATTGATGGTTTCCCTTTGTGAGCGTGAGCATCATGAGGAGCGCCATGAGAGGCATGACGAAGACAGCTGGAACCGCCTCCAGGGAAGAGCCAGTCTGTTGCCATGGGTGAATTTCATTCTGGCGCACGACTCGGGACTCACCCTGCGACGGGCACGAGAGATCCTAGGATTCTTCACGACAAGAGTGGTTCGTTACAAACGCAAATGGCGAGAGTTCAAGCCGAGAATCCTCGACTACGATGCATGCGAACGGCTGAGAGTGGTAGCCAGCGAACGCCCAAACGATGTTTGCTATTGGGCGAGGGAGACTCTCGGCCCATATGTGAAATCCACCGACTTCGACACGAAACTTGGGAAAGACTACGTGGATTGGCAGCTGGAGGACCGAACGCGAGCATCCATCGTATCTCGCAACATGACCAAAGCGTCCGACGAAAAGTTTGAGGCGTTAAAGGAAAGCGGAGACACGCAGTGTCCTATCTGTCTCGAAGACTTTGAAACAAAACCGGTGCAGAACTGGCGTTGTTACCAGCGTGGCCACCGACATTGGGTGCACGCGCCGTGTCTGGTCAAGTTCGGGCGGACGCTGTTAGATCGCAATAGGGATGATGTAGCGCCTGCTCCTCGGTGTCCCATCTGCCGTACCGAATTTGAAGATTTCACCTTGGAAGAGATCGCGGCGCTTTGAATCGGTAGTAATACAGGGTCTGGGAGGGCGTGGTTGTTTGCCACAAGGAAGAGACAAGGGCGACTGGGAGGCCTACAGGTATCGCTGAGTAGGGGGGAAGGAATCTCAAATATTTGTCGTTGACCTGTCAACAAGAAATAAAATAAATACAAACATGATACCAGAGTGAGTGGCTTTTCTACTGTGACATGAACGTGATACCCACTTATACTCATTAACAATATTCCTGGAGTTGTATACGTGAGTAGGAAGCGGCGTTTAGGAAGAAAGTTTGAGTCCGAGTCCCATAAGTAATCGAGGAACCCCCACCGATAAAGCATTTCATCACATCTTAAAACCTTAGCCTAAATATCGGCTTATTGCTTGCTTATCCTACAGTACCTCTTAGTGTTGCCGTTGATTTTGGAACTTGGTTACAACGTCTACTCTCTTTTAGGAGGGTTCCTTTTTTAGGTAGCATTACCACTCATAATCTGCTATCACAACTTCCAGCGTCAGTGGTTTAGTGGTAAAATCCATCGTTGCCATCGATGGGCCCCGCGTTCGATTCGCGGCTGACGCATTTACTTTTGCCCGCTCTGTCAGACTACCAGGCAGTAAGCGAGTAGAGACGATACAAGCGAAGGTGTATCGATCTCTCGTTGGTGTTTTCTCTTTTTATTTCTTGAGTGGGCTGGACGTGTTCATGGCCGGACCGTAATTGATCACCATAGATATGCCGTCGTCTCTATTATCTCATGCAGGTTATTGCTCTTGCACTGGCGTAGCGTCACCACGAGCCTTGAATCCAACAGAGTAAAGGGAAGTAGGATTCAAAACTAGATACTCTGTATTGTGGCTGCTAGCCCACCGACCATTAACACTAATATCACACTATCCGTCGACCACCCGATCGAGAGCGAAGATTGGTCTGGCCTTCTCGCCGTCTGGCCGCTGCGGTAAGCACCTCCGCCATCACTCGGCTGAGTCGGCTCTGAAGCTGAAGATTGAAGACTGAGTCTTCTTAGGTACCTACTTGGCTTGCCATTGGCGTCAAAGTCTCGGGGCCTCGGCGCCGGCTTTACATATAAACCGCAATCCGCACGCGAGGGATCATGATGCAGAGCAGCAATCAAATGTAAACTTTGACAATAGACAAGGGCCTTTTCTGAGCGTGATCGTCCAGGGCCCCAGCCCTAATAGCAGGCACGTCCTGGATACATACTCCCGAGCCGCCCAGTTCGCCATCTGAGGAGGAATATCGCACAAGATGGCCATAACCCGTTCTGAAGGATTCCTCGAAGTGAGGAGATAATAATAACAACTGTAGCCTACAGATAGATCTGACGTGAGCCATATGCATACCAACTCGCGGGCCCGGCCCTAGGCTCTGTAGTAGGAATAGATCATAGGTGGTTAACCACAGCAGTTTTCATCTTTCACGGCATTCCCACGGCGCGTCACTTTGGCGCCTTTCCTCGCGTGTCACGATCATGATTGGAACAGTCCGAATCAAACCCGTTTTGATTTCATTGCAGCGAGAGAAAGAAGGAGAAGCCCAGCGCGATTCCCCAGTAGTCACCCTCGATGAGTCGAGACCAACCATCCTCGCCCGCAGGCCCCAGTCACCGCCTCGTCTTCCGGTCCCAACCACGCAAAGTAGATGCCGATCCCAGGCCCAACCCCGCCACCATCCCATCGTGGTGATCAGTTGTCAAAGTCGGCGATGTCGTCAGCGTCGGTGAAGGGGATGTCCGAGTCGTACGGGTCCCACTGGTCGGTCTCGGCCGTCTTCCTGGAAAATAGTATTTTCATGTCAGCGACGCGTTCGTGCTCTTTCGGTAGCTCAACAGGCAGTATTCACGACAACGGTACGTACCAGTAGTTGTGGCAGATGGCGTCGGTGAGCTCGTACATGTTGGCGATGAGCGTCGCCGGGTCGGCCGCGTAGGCCCTGGTCGAGAGGTAGTTGCCTCTCGGCCTCTGGCGGGAGGCGAGACGGTCTTCGGCCAGAGCATCCACGATGAAGTGCTCGTAGTGCAGCCCGGTGCCCCCTGCGAAAGCAAGGTTTAGTTGGTTGCAGGGCAAGGGAGACGGGTCTGATGATACTTACACAGGCTCTTGTCCGGGTGGGTCCGGGCGTTCCGCTCGATCTCCGACACGCGCAGGTTGACCCGGCGCTCCAGGTCGTCGGCATTGTTGACGAAGAAGTCCTTGGTGTATATGTTGCCCGGCGGAGTTCTCAAGCCGATCCTCTCGTGAGGGCGGAGGTAGTCCTTCTCCAGCTCCATGTAGGCCACTGTGGCCACGACGTGGGTCCAGGCCTGGACCGCCGTCCAGCTGTTGAACCCGATGAGGTGGCAGACGCCCATCCTGTTGAGGACCATGATTGTGGATTGTTCTTTTTAATGGGCAAAAAAGAGGAGTGGGAGGGTGAAGCTTCGCGAAGGGGCGCGAAGTGAGGCCGGGGGTGCCGACGATTGGTTTTTGAAGCTTGGAAAAAAGAAAAGGAATTGGGGGAAGCCAAGAAGGAAAAGATTAATATAGTCCATCATCCCTGTGAAGGAAGTTGAGACCGCATGGCACCAGTGCGCTGTTCCCTAGGCCCTAGGGCTACCAATTCAGGCCGCGATATCAGGCCACGATCAATAGGTAGTTCCTTGGTGTTCTGTGACGGCAGCCACTCCTTGTGAGAGGGGCCGCACCCCTGAGGCTTGCTCATCAAAATTATGGTTACCCATATCATTTTAGATGAAACGTTGAACCAAGACAATAGGCTGTGGACTGTGACCAATGTAACAGCAATCTCTTTGGATGTTAGATCTGTGGTTAATCAGTAAAACGGATGTAACGATGTTTGTGTGTCTGAAGCACAGCAGAAAAAATCACTGCAGATGCTGCAGGTCTTCCCTTCACTGTCATCACAACACTTCATCGATGACCAATTCCGAACGTGGAATACTGTGCTCGAACTGTAATATCATGCACGAGTTATCTTCCGACTTGGGTAACAAGTTTTGGTCGGCACCACAGTGACAAAAGTTGTTTCATGGGATCTTGATAGTTTCAGCAGAGAGTTGGACACAAAATGATGCATTCCGTGCCCTGTTTACTGTTACACGAGGTGATCATGATCTTTCCTTCCGCTTGTCAACCCAAACCCTCTTATCTAGACTTCGTCAAACTCGACATATATACCGGTGCCCTGAACCTCCAGGCCTTGACCATTGGGTCGGGTGATGCCCGCCTAGCAGTCCTTGCAGGAGTCCCAGCAAGCTGTACAAGAGACTTGAATTAGCGACATCAAAACAATTCCTGGCAGTGGGGTGTCCTTACTGGGCGGGCAGGTGAGCGACTCGGGGAAGGCGTCGCAGAGGTTGTTGAGGCATTGCCAGTAACTGCACTCTCCACCCCAGCAGCAGCTATGCTTTTTGCATTGGCGCTTCTCCAACGCGGTCGTCTTTCCGTCCTGGTCGGTCGCCACAGGGACCGCCAGGGCTAGCGAAACGAAAAGGGTCATGGCAACGATGGCGGACTTCATTGTGAAGGATTCGGTGGATAGTTAGAGGAAGAAGTTGGGGCTTATACAGAGGCTTCGGAGTGTTGGTTGATGATGGTAAGTTCTCTATCCACCGTTGAGCGGCGGGAGGAGGGTTTATATCACAATACCCAGCCATGGTTGATTGTTAGCCAAGCATACTGCTTAGTCGATGACTTGACGAACGAGGCACTATTTCTCGAGTAGAACTTGTATCGCTTGAAAGGTATGCCCCGCTGCTTGGCTTGGCCATCCCCTGTTCCAGTCAATGTACTCGGAGAGGTCAATGACGATCACCGGTCATGCAAGGCCCTGGATCATCTGCTCGCTGTGGGTCAACTATCGACTATGGTTCGCAGATATTCAAAGCTGAGAATATCGGTCAAGCCCGAAATGAAACCCAAGAACTTCAGCCATTTCATTTCAGGACGATTTCTGCAGTCAGCGGACTCTGTGTCGTTGGCGGCCAATAAAAACTTCCTCCTATGGCTCGGCGTGGAAAGTTCCCCTCCAAGTTAAGTTACAAGACGCTTTGGAGCGAGCATGGATCCCTTCAGAACTGCAACGGGACGGTAAACAATGTGATTATGTAACAGGTTGTGAATAATATCACTCCTTGAATTGTGTTCCCGAGCCGGGTGCTGTTGTGGCCCTGCTTGAGCATTCCCAAGACTCTAATTGAGTGTGACCCTCCATCAAGACATAAAGGCAAAACCAGAAAAGCAGAAGATTTACGAGAATGGGAAGATGAAAAGGGAACACATTTTGGTTGCGGGACATGGACCGTGGGTTTAGACAGCAAGTGGTGGTGCAAAGAGACTGTTCAAGCCAGAAGCGCTTTGTAACGCGTATATCAACACGCCATTCTGTATACATTGATTGACTTGAAACCCGGATGAACCGGCTTTCCTAAGCTACAGAGTCCCTCCCCTCCTAAATAATGTTTACCGTGAGGACTACCGTATTCATCAAGACAAGGGCACATATGAACGGTAACGACCTGTCTAAAGTTTATAGGTCAAGACACAAGGGGGGGAGGGATCGGATTCTCGGCTCTCGGGCTTTCCGTTGGCTCAGAGGCCTGTGGAAAAAACGGGGCAGAGAACCTTCATTCAAACTGATCCGTATGAAAAGAATACCGACGTCCATGCTAAAGTATTTTGAGCCCTACGGGGAAAGAGGGGACTCCGATACTAAGCTTCCCCTAACCCCAAAAGGGGGATTCCATGACATTAACGAACGACCGTTGGAATATCGTTCGGTGTATCATCCGACAACGACTGGTTACCCGAGAAGGGAGAGAGGGCCAAACCTGCTGGGAACCGCGGGGTGTTACGTAGCGTATCGACCCGGTGCTGGCCGCGTCCCTCAACGTGCCTTTAATGATGTGTCAAAGGAAGCTGAGGTAAATCGTAACATCATGAACTCTAAAACGGGAGGCATTGCGTCAGACGGTGCGCCTGGGAGGCCGGACAGCAGGTTTGTCAACCAGGGTTTTGCCAACAACCACCCACCTGGCATGACCTTGCGCCGAGGCATGGCTGTGCGTCGAAACACGGCACCAAAACAGCCAACGCTCCCAAAGGTTGAGCAGGAGAGTCAAGGGACATGCCGGGAGTCGGCCGGGGCGAGGACCGTGAAGCACCGGGTCGGTGCCCCTTGCAGTCAGCCCCTGGCCGTCGTCACGCCGACACCGACGCCAACGATCAGCAACGGAGAGCAGAGACCAGAGTCACCAGACGCGCGCAACATGCTGCCAAGTCAACAGCGGCATCGGGTGATAAAATTCCCCAAAATAGCAACGCCCTCCGAAGGCCCTGCAGTCATGCGGCCAACGCCACCAGCTGTACCTCGCTCGCTAAGCTTGAGGAGGCAGCCCGGGTACCGATCGCTGAGACAGGCTGCCACGGAGATGGACAGGACAGGGAGTACACCACTGCTCAGCCATCTGACAAGACCAAGTTATGTGACTTGTGTCCCGCCACAGAGGACCCTTAGCGTCAGTAATTTGCCAAGTCAACTTCTGTCCAAGCGGTATAGCTACTAGAAGCGGCTATTTGTGATGGATGGGGTCATCTCGGCAATGATGGGAACGTCCGAGGGATGGAAGAAAACTAGAGGAGGGGTGGAATATGACAGATGCTGCAGGTTTTGACTGCTCGCTCGAAATCGAGTGGGTCATCTCCGAGGTGCTGGTCTAGAAATCCCATGCTAATGCGCCTCTTAAATCAAGGAAAGAACCAAGCCGCCTAACGTACTTGAGTTAGGTACCAGGCTGAGAAGATCGGCGGTCGAGGAAGGTTCGACCGACGGGGTCGCAGCTCCCGAAGGACCGTGGATCCAACCAACCCTACACAGGAAGGGCGGAAAGGGAGAGAGAAGCGCAAAATTCCACGACTCATCCCAAATTAAAAAAGGCTCACCACCCAAAGAAGGAAATTCTTTCTAATCTAAGCATTATAACATCATTACGGCCCTCAACGAAGCTGCCACATAAACCTCGACTAAGGCAGCTCCAGGGGATTGCTGAGAGCTACGATCCTACCACAATTCCTTCATCTTCTCCGAACCATCCTAGTCATGAATTAAATAAGATGGAATGTGCAAACTTCGCTAATGACATGCAAAAAAGAACCACGTCCCTCATCCGGTCCCTCGTGGCACTGGCAGCCCCCACCACGTTATGATCCCGGCTGCTGCACGCAATTGCCCTATCAGTGTTCACTCTGAAGCAAACTTGAGTGATCCAGGCCGTTTCAAACCAAGGAGCTGGGCGTGACGGTTGAGAAATCGTGATGCTGGTTGGCTGTTGTTCTCTTTCAACAAGCCACACCTTCCCAAAGAGGGTTTGAATAAACACTCAATAAGGGGCTGCCTTGTTGCAGCCCTCGACACTCGAACACTCAAACATCACGACAACCAGATTGGGACCGCCATTCCAGACCAGACCAAGTCTAGACTCTCAGCCCTCGGGCAGCAAACTGACATAACCTACCCGAACTGATCTATCTTTGCCCAGTCTCCATGGACAGTGGCAATCGTCGCGGAACCCTTTGTCGTTGGGATAAGGGGCTTCCGCCCGCGAGGCAAAAATTACCTATTAGGGGCCTGAATAGCCCTTTGCTAGAAGTTCCCGCGAGTGATAGAATCTTGGATTTCCGTCACACATCCCTTTTTCCATCCTGTTCAAACGTCTATTGATGGCTGGCGGGATGGCCGTGGTCGTCTTTGATGGCGGAGGGTGCCCCAGCGAGGATCGAGTTTGCGTTCCACAGGTCTCGTGCGCAAGTCTATAGACGCCATTCAGACAATAAAGCCCCCCCTGAATAGCCATCACCTTTCGTCTATAAAAACATTATTGTCCGTGACCTCCTATTTGTCCCCCCCCCCCTCGTCTCCCCCTCTTGCCCTTCACCCAGAGCAAGTCAATGATATCCCAACGGGTCATCAACAACAACGTAACAAACACACCCACATTCATCCACTCGAAACACTCAAACCCAACCCCCACAAAGTTCCGACCACCATGAAGTTCACCCTCCCCATCGCCCTCCTGGCCGCCGCGGTCTCGGTAGACGCCGCGGCCGTCGCCGACCAGGACAGGCGCTACTGCTCGGCCGAGGGCCAGGCATGCGACACAGTCAAGCGGGCGGCCGAGGCCTTCTCGGGCGCCATCCAGCAAAACACCAACCTCGTGACGCGCGACGAGACCCAGGGCGAGACCGCCTGGATCGCCCGGCGCCAGCTGCACGAGCTGGCCCTGGCCATCGCCGCCAGCCACGACGACCCGGCCGCCTTCTACAGCGCGCTCGGCTTCCAGGGGGCCACGCCGACCGACGACGCCGGCACCGACAACCCGACCGAGAAGCGCGAGGCCGAGCCCTGGTGCACCCAGTTCCTGGGCATGCCCTGCTGGAAGCGCAACACCACGCCCGCGCCGGACAAGGTCAAGCGCGAGGCCGAGCCGTGGTGCAAGCAGTTCCTCGGCATGCCGTGCTGGAAGCGCGACGACGCCCCCAGCCACCACAGCCCCGGCGCCGAGAAGAAGCGCGAGGCCGACGCCGAGCCCTGGTGCACCCAGTTCCTGGGCCAGCCCTGCTGGAAGCGCACCTCGCCCGCCGGCGCCACCACTGACGTCGACAAGCGCGACGCCGAGGCCGACGCCGCCCCCTGGTGCAAGCAGTTCCTGGGCATGCCGTGCTGGAAGCGCGACGCCGACCCGGGCTGGTGCCGCCAGTTCCTGGGCATGCCGTGCTGGAAGCGCGACGACGAGACCAGCGGCGTGGAGAAGCGCGAGGCCGAGGCCGAGGCCGCGGCCGAGCCCGACCGGTTCTGCACGCGGTTCACGGGGTCCTCGTGCTGGAAGCGCGACGGCGGCGCCGTGGCGGCCGACGAGGTCAAGCGCTGCTCGACCGAGGGCCAGGCGTGCTGGAAGGCCAAGCGGGCCGCCGCCGCCGTCATCAACGCCATCGACCAGGGCAACGCCCAGAAGATGGCCCGCGACGCCGACCCGGGCTGGTGCCGCCAGTTCCTCGGCATGCCGTGCTGGAAGCGCGCCGCCACCTGCAACGGCCCCGCCGGCGTCTGCACCAAGGCCACCCGCGACCTGCACGCCATGTACAACGCGGCACGCACCATCATCGAGGCTTAGGTTAGCAAGCCTCTTTTTTCTGTTCTGTCGGTTGTCTTCTCTGCCTGTACGCTTTACTAATACCGGTTTGGCAGGCGCTGTCCTCATCTCTTATTAATTCCTTCTCTCTCTCTCTCTCGGGTCAGCTCTGGTCCAGAAAGAAACGAAAAGGGGAGAAAAAAAAGAAAGCAAGGGCGTCCTGGCTTATCCGTTTCTCTTCGCTGGTATATACTTGGAAACATAGACGGCAGCAACACCATCCCGCCCAAAACACCACACCATTTTCTTTCTCAGCGTGGGCATAGTCCCACTGCAGGCCGTGTTGAGCCGGCCTTTTTAATCATGGCGCTACACCAGGGGTAAGCGCATTTGTATCATTTGGTCCAGGTGGGAAATATACCAGGACCGGCGGGTGGTCTGTCATTTCTATTTACTCATTAGTTACTCAATTGGATTGGTTGCCCTTCCAACAACAGTTCGTGTTGTCTGTGTTTGTCCCTGCGGAGTTTCACTCACCTTTCAAACGTCAGAAATTAGCGGGAATGGAGATGAACTCCGTGTGGTAGAGGCAGCGGATCTTTGGTCAGCATTGTAAAGACCCCTCGTATACTATCACGTTACATCCGGCGTAGCAGTAAAAACGTGAATATGCTTCGCTCAACTGCTGGTATAGTTATCAACATGGCCAACCGACGATAAACCCCCACCCACCCACACCACTCACCCGCACACCACTCACCCCATCGCCACCACCTCACATCAACAACCGCCACGCACCCAACAGCAGCGCGGCAAACCCGGTGCACACGCCCATGAGCCACTGCAGGGTCTGGAACTTGACCTGCTCGAGCTGCTGGCGCAGGGCGGCGGCCTCCTGCTCGATCTTGGTCTCGGTCTCCTTGATCTTGAGCTCCTGCGAGACGGCCTCCTCGCGGATCCGGCCCTTCTCGAGGTTGAGGTCGAGGCGCACGCTCGCCTGCGTCCGCCCGATCTCGTCCCGCAGCCGGCTGTTGAGCTTGGTGATGTCGTTGGTCAGCTTCTCGTGCGCCGCCCGCGTCGCGTTCGACTCGGTGCTGTCTGCGGATAGCAGCTCGCTGCGCAGCTTGGCGAAGTCGACTTTTTGTGTGTAGGTTGTTTTGGCGGCTTCTTCGCGGGGGACCATGGTGCGGGTGAGGTTTTGGATGCTGGTGGTGCGGGTTGGTGGTTAGTGAGTGTTGCGGGGCGGGGGTTGAGGGGTGGGGGGAGAACAGAAGGGGGTGTGCATACCTCTCCTCGATCACGTCGTTCAGCACCTTCATCATGGCGACTGATTGCTCCTCCGTGAAGCCTTCTTCTTGTAGGCGTTGTACGAAGCGGAGGGTATCGAAGTGGTGGTCACGCCTGCGCGGCGCAGTGGCGTGGAAGGACCGCCGGAGCACGGGGTTGCGCACGATGGCACTCAGACCCCTAATCGGTTGAGTGTTAACTTGCCAGTGATCTTGCGGGAGTCCACATCTCCTCGAAACGGTCGTCGTGTTGGTTGAGTGGAGCGATCTCCTCGGTATGGCTTGCCATCCTGTTCCTTTGGCTGTGTTCCTTGTGTGTTGGAAGACAATGGCGGATGTCCCTTGTATGCTCGGCGTTGTCAAGGAAGGGCTGGTCCAACTCAGTCGTGGGAGGAGGAAGCGCGGGAGTGATTGGGTGGCATTCATGTTGGGCGACACTCTTGGCTCTTGGATCCGTCGTAAGGCTTGAGAGAAAGTATTAAACAAACAACAACAAGAAGAAGAGCAATGCTCTTACAGTTGAATATCCCGCCGTTTGACTGACGTCGAACAGTGACACTGCGGCTCGGCTGCTTGCGGCTTGCTTGATTGGCAGCATGAGCCGAACCGCCGAGTTCGAGCAAGCATGCGCCACGGCCGGAGCTGTCATTGCTGCACTAGCCACATTTACCCCACCAGCCACGCCCCACTCTGCTCTCCCTCAAAACCACCGAAATTTTTGCCCAATTCTGATTTTCTTCTTTTTTTCTTCATGAACAACGCAAATTTTAACATTCTCGGAACTAGCTTCAACGCGATTTACGAGGCCCCCGGCTGCTTCACGGCAGTCGGCCTGTGGCCCAGGACGCAAGTCGTAGGTTTTCGAACAGAATGGAGAGGGACGGAGTTTTGCTTCGGCGCTCGATCTTGGGTGCGGTTCTTCCCTTTTTCTGCCGTGGGAAAGGCCGCAATGATTGGACGTACATGCCTACCTATATACTTGCCTTGATAGTACCATGCTAAGGGGAGCTGGCTGCCCTGTTGCTGCCGGCCGTACCGGTCTGAGTTGGTTGATGATTTGTGCGTGTGTCTTGCGCTCCAGGTGCGCGATGCGCTTCGCAACCATGAAATGCTTGCCGTGCTTGCTCAGTATTGCATTTGACCACACCAAAGCATCCATCTGTTTGCTGCCTCTTGCTTGCTTTGATGGCACCAGAGGTCATCTCGCACTTCATTGGGTTGAGTCATCTGCGTGAAGAAAAAATTCAGAGATGGACCTCGGAACCAAGAGCAGAGTAGAAGACCGAGGACGTCTTCCGTAGCTCAATCCATGACGGGAAGCCGCAAACTTGTGGAAAGAGCAGAAGATACCAACATCATGATGCACGTGTTTGGGCAGAAATACAGTCTATTATTTTGCGACGCCTACTTCTTCTCCTTTGCCTTCAGCTTCGTCTTCTCCTTCGGCTTGTCCTTAGTCTTCTCCTTGACTTTGTCGCTGGACTTCTCCTTGGGCGCCTCCTTAGGCGTCTCTACCTCCTTGGCCGGCTTTTTCTCCTGCCCCTTCTTCAGCGCCCTAGGATCCAGACCGCGTCTCCTCATGGCGTTCCGCTTAGCACGCTCGATGTAGTCCTCGTCCTCGTTGTCGTCGAACCCGCCAAAGTCATCCTTGTCCTCCTCTTCGCCCTCCGCCGCAACAGGCGTCTTGTCGATAACCTCGCCCTCGTTCTCATCGGCGGCCTTCATGATGGCGGCATCCTTGTCCTTCTTGCCGTTGGCAAGGACGGCATTGCCGGCCGTGGGGCCAACCTTCTGGAACTTGGCGACAAAGAACCCGTCGACGTTGTACAAATGGGGGTAATACCGGCGCGTCAATTTGAGGCTGGGGTGGAAAGCCTTGCCCATGTAGCTGGTGAAGCCCTCCTTGCCGAAGGGGAGGCCGGTCTGAAGCAGGGGTTAGCAGATTCCTTCTCACCATTCTAACGTGGACGCGGACTTACCTCGACGAGCCTGACATTCGGCCGGCGGCTCAGGGCGTATGCAACAACTTGTTCACTAAAACTTGGTCAGTATTTATTTCGCCTAGCGTGTCGAGCGCCATTGGACTCACTTTTCCTCGATCGCCACGCTGCAAGTAGAGTAGACAACGTAACCACCCGTTTTGCTTGCGTGGTTGACCGAATCAATAGCCGCCAACAGCAGCTGCTTTTGTGTATGCGGCAACTGAATGAAGTCCTTCTCGTCCCTGTTGGTCTTCACCGAGGGGTCCTTAGCAATAACACCAGTTCCTATGCGACGAGTCAGCGTTACCGTCGAAACTGGAGATAATTTGACTCACCAGAGCAAGGTGCATCCAAGAGCACTCTGTCGAAGCCACCCATCACCCTGGGGAATTCGCGGGCATCATAGTTGCAGACGATGACGTTCTACGGCCCAAAGTTAGCCGAACGTCAAACACCGTAACAGTCGAGCATCCTTACCCTCGCACCCAGACGGTGAATGTTGCCAATCAAACCCTTGGCACGAGACTTGCTGGGATCGTTCGCAAAGACGACACCGGTGTTCTTCATCAACGCCGACATATGCGTTGTCTTACCACCGGGAGCTGCAGCCATCTATTATTTCTTCAGTAAGTAACAAGCCACCGCAGATGGGGTTCGGAGCAACTTACATCGAGACAACGCTCGTTCTCCTGAGGGCAGAGAGCCATGACGGGGAGGAACGAAGATGCGGCTTGCAGAATGTAATGGCCAGCCAAATATTCGGGAGTGGCACCCAACGGCACACTTAATCTCGGGTCAGTCTCTGGGGCATGCTAAGATGATGGCACTGCTTACGTTGACTCGAACACCTGCAGACCGACCTTAGACCACTTGCCGACTGGTTCTAAAGTGACGCCGCGGTTGACTATGGGTGGTTAGCATGGGAGGCAGTTATGTGGAGAGCACGGGGATAACTAACTGAGAGCCTGCGCTAGATCACGGCGATGTGTCCGGAGGGTATTTGTGCGAATGACGACAGGGCGTGCGCTCTACTCTCCAATTAGTTGTGTAATCAAAACAGGATTCCCGTTACTGAACGTACTTCGTTGGCTTCAAAAAAGGCGAATGCTTCCCTTGGCGGGAACAGGTTCCTATTCTACGTCAGCAAGGACAATGGTACCCCTAGGAAGGGCGCCATACATGAGCTTCTCCGCCAGGAACTCATTGTAGCCATAGTCTGTCGATCCAGCGTCAGTAAAAGATACTCGAGCATCGGGTAATAAATAGTGTGAGACATACAGGCGCAGACGTCCTTGAGCAGCTGGTTGGTGTACTCGGCCCTGCTCCGCCCATCTTCGGCGAGGTTGGAAAAGTCCTCCAGCACGCGGATGGTCTCTGTTATCCTGGTCCTCAACATTTGAAGGTCGGGAGCCAGCAGCCCCTGCGTTTTTGATGACAATTCGTCTTCGTCGTCGTCCTCGCCCAAAACGTTGGGCTTGTCGCCGTCAATGTTGGTCTGCAGAGCTTCTTCCCGCAGTTCCGCTTCGTTCTCCTCCGCCTCCCTAGCCAGCTGCTCGTCTAGTTTGTTTGAAAGCCCCTCAATGTTGGCGGCGGTCAGCTTCTCCTCCCGGTCCTCGTCATCGTCCTCCTCATCGTCCGAGAAGACGAATTTCTCTTTCTTGGTATTCCCTTGGTCCGAGTCGTAAACGGAGTCGTCAGAGCCCAAGAAATCGTCGCCGAGCGCCTCCTCGTCCAAGTCCGATCCACCGTCAACCTCCAATTCAGAAGCGTCGAACTCATCATCCATCTCCTCGTCCGAGTCGGGTTCCGGCACAGCAGCCTTCTTCGACTTCGCCTTGCTAGACTTCAGGCCATTCTCTGGCGCGCCAGGTGCTTTTTTGGAGCCATTGGTTTGCTTCCCTGCCGGCTTCGTCGAAATGGCGCCATTCTTGGTGTTTTCCCCACGGGGCTTTTTAGAAGGCTTCTCCGACTTGGTAGACGCGCGACGCCTCTTGGTCGAGCGAGCTTTGGCGGGCGTGTCGTCGACAGGGAGACCCTTTTTCCGCTTGAGATTGGCAAAGTGTTCTTCTGACAGCGGCTCAGGAGCACCCTGTTTTTTCATACGGCGTCCAACACCCATATTTGCGAGTTTCTCGGCGAGTTCCTGGCTGTTTTATCGCAGGTGTCTGGCAGCGGGACGACAGTCGCAGACAATAACTCCCAGAGCTGCAGCAACCCGCTAGAATTTCTTGCGAAAAACGTTATCGATAAGACCGAGAGCGTTGCTTTGGACCAAACGCGAGTGGGGTCTGATTGGTGTGCGAGCGACAGCCTCAAACTAAGCCAAAAGCAGGAACCCTGCCCGTTGCTGACGCTTCCCCTGGCAAACCTGGCAAGAGCCTGGCAAAGGATGGAATGCTTCGCGCGCACTGCAGCTCCTTGCTGTTAACAGATCACTCAGAAAGTACCCGCATCTGGCGCTCCTGCCACACACACAAGCACAAGCGAGAACCCTCATTTTCCGCAACTGCGCGTCTGGCAACGAGCTTTCCACCCTCGCATCGCGCCGACCCAACAACCCAACTTTTTTCTCCTTACTTGCTTGATTCTCTTTTCGATTGAGTGGCTTTGGTTGCGGGTATTGCTAATAATTACCGGCTCCGCCCTCTTTTCGTCTCTTGCCCCCGGCTTGCTCCACCGATTTCCACCCCTTTCAACGAACGTCACGATTCCCAACTTCCCGACCTTCATCCGCCCGACAGCCACTTTTGACAAGTTGGCTGCTAATCTTCGTTAACCCCGCGCAGCCGAGCGCATCGAGTCCATCATGGCGCCGGCCTTGCCAATTAAGTTCCAGGAGCTGCTCCAGCTCAGCAGCTTGGGTGTCAACCAAACCGCCATCACTTTCAACACATGCGTACGATCGATCCATTCCGCATACCACAACACGTTCTCTGTGCCGCCCTGACCCTGCTGACCTTCGATGCCCTTGTGATAGACGCTAGAATCAGATTCCTTCATCTGTCTCCGAGACAAGAAGGACGAGGCATCATCCCCCGAAGTGCTCATCGTCGACCTCAAGAATGGCAACAATGTCATCCGGCGCCCCATCAAAGCCGACAGCGCAATTATGCACTGGTCGCGCCAAGTCATCGCCCTGAAGGCACAGTCTAGGACACTTCAGATCTTTGACTTGGAGCAGAAGCAGAAGCTGAAGTCGACCACTATGAGCGAGGATGTCGCCTTCTGGAAGTGGACCAGCGAGACGACGCTGGGTTTGGTCACAGACACCGCCGTCTACCACTGGGACGTCTTTGACCCTGCCCAGGCGGCACCCGTCAAGGTGTTCGACCGCAATAGCAACCTGCAGGTGGGTACATATCCTGCGTGCTAAACTCACCGGTAGACCCTAACAACCCCGTAGAGCAACCAGATTATCAACTACCGGACGAGCGCCGATGGCAAGTGGATGGTCGTGGTCGGCATCTCGCAGCAGCAAGGGCGCGTCGTCGGTGCCATGCAGCTCTATTCCAAGGACCGTGGAATCAGCCAAGCGATCGAGGGCCATGCCGCCGCCTTCGGTACCGTCCGGTTAGATGGTGCTCCCGAGGACACGAAGCTCTTTACCTTTGCCGTCCGGACCGCCGCTGGCGCCAAGCTACACATTGTCGAGGTCGACCACGCCGAGACCAACCCCGTATTCTCCAAGAAGGCCGTCGACGTGTTCTTCCCGCCAGAAGCCGCCAACGATTTCCCGGTTGCCCTCCAGGTTTCGCAGAAGTACGGCATCATCTATCTAATTACCAAGTACGGCTTCATCCACCTTTACGATCTCGAGACTGCGACATGCATCTTCATGAATCGTATCTCGGGCGAGACCATCTTCACGGCCTGCGGTGATAAGGACTCGAGTGGTGTTATTGGTATCAACCGGAAGGGTCAGGTTCTTTTCGTCAGCGCCGACGAGAATACCATCGTCCAGTATGTGCTCGAGAGCCACGGAACCGAGCTGGCACTCAAGCTGGCGGCGCGCGCCGGGCTCCCCGGTGCGGACAACCTCTACCAGCAGCGCTTTGAGCAGCTCTTCACCAATGCCAACTACCAAGAAGCTGCCAAGGTCGCGGCCAATTCTCCCCGCGGCTTTTTGCGGACGCCCCAAACCATAGAGCGGTTCAAGCGGCTTCCCCAGCAGCCGGGCCAAATGTCCCATATTCTCCAATACTTCGGCATGCTTCTCGACAAGGGGTCGTTGAACCAGCACGAAACTATTGAGCTCGCCCAGCCCGTGCTCGCCCAGAACCGGAAACAACTTCTCCAAAAGTGGCTCGGCGAGAACAAGCTCGAGTGCTCTGAGCAGCTTGGTGACATGGTTCGCCCTCATGACATGGCCATGGCGCTCGGCATCTACTTGAAGGCGAATGTGCCTCACAAAGTCGTCGCTGGCTTCGCCGAGACGGGCCAATTTGAGAAGATCCTCCCCTACTGTGCCCAGGCCAGCTACCAGCCTGACTTTGTCCAGCTCCTTCAGCACATCGTCCGCGTCAACCCGGAGAAGGGCGCCGAGTTCGCTACATCCCTGGCCAACCAGCAGGGAGGGTCACTCGTCGATCTTGAGCGTGTGGTGGATATCTTCCAGTCTCAGGGCATGGTCCAGCAGGCCACCGCTTTCCTCCTCGATGCGCTCAAGGACAACAAGCCGGAGCAAGCCCAACTCCAGACTCGTCTTCTCGAGATGAACCTGATCAACGCACCGCAGGTCGCAGATGCCATCCTCGGGAATGACATGTTTTCTCACTTCGACAAGGGCCGCATTGCGACTCTCTGCGAGCAAGCCGGCCTCTTGCAGAAGGCTCTGGATCTGTATGAGGATCCCGCCGCTGTCAAGCGTGTCGTTGTCGGCATCGCCGGCGCGCCTAACTTCAACCCTGACTGGCTCATTGAATACTTTGGCCGTCTTTCAGTCGAGCAGTCTGTCGATTGTCTCGACGCCATGATGAAGCACAACATTCGCCAGAACCTCCAGTCCGTGGTCCAGATCGCCACCAAATACGCGGAGCTCCTCGGTGCCCAGCGTCTGATTGACCTGTTCGAGAAGTACAAGACCTCTGAGGGCCTCTACTACTTCCTCGGCAGCATCGTTAACGTCAGCGAGGACGCCGAGGTGGTCTTCAAGTACATCGAGGCCGCCACCAAGATGGGCCAGATCCGCGAGGTCGAGCGCATCTGCCGTGACAACAGCGTCTACAACCCGGAGAAGGTCAAGAACTTCCTCAAGGAAGCCAAGCTTAGCGAAATGCTGCCCCTGATGGTCGTCTGCGACCGCTTCAACTTTGTACACGACTTGGTGCTCTACTTGTACCAGCACCAACAGTTCAAGTCCATCGAGATCTACGTGCAGCAGGTCAATCCTTCCCGGACCCCAGGCGTCATCGGTGGCCTGTTGGACGTTGACTGCGACGAGAGTATTATCAAGAACCTCCTCTCCACCGTCAACCCGGTATCGATCCCCATTGACGAATTGGTTCAAGAGGTTGAGACGCGTAACCGCCTCAAGCTGCTCCTGCCCTTCCTCGAGGCGACCTTGGCCGCCGGCAACCAGCAACAAGCCGTTTACAACGCACTGGCGAAGATCTACATCGACTCGAACAACAACCCTGAGAAGTTCCTCAAGGAGAACGACCAGTACGACACGCTCACAGTCGGCAAATACTGCGAGAAGCGGGACCCCAACCTTGCTTACATCGCCTACCGCAAGGGTCAGAATGACCTCGAACTCGTCAATATCACCAACGAGAACGCCATGTACAAGGCCCAGGCGAGGTACCTCCTCGAACGCGGAGACAGGGAGCTGTGGATGTTTGTTCTCAGCGAGAACAACCTCCACCGTCGCTCAGTCGTTGACCAGGTCATCTCGACCGCTGTCCCAGAGTCTACGGACCCCTCCAAGGTTTCCGAGGCTGTGTCGTGCTTCCTGAATGCCGATCTTCCTGCGGAGCTTATTGAGCTGCTGGAGAAGATCGTCTTGGAGCCCTCGCCGTTCAGCGACAACCAGAACCTGCAAAACCTCCTCATGTTCACCGCTGCCAAGGCCGACAAGGCCCGTGTCATGGATTACATCCACAAGCTCGATAACTTCTCTTCCGACGAGATCGCCAACGTGTGTATCGAAGTTGGTCTGCACGAAGAGGCGTTTGAGGTTTACAAGAAGATCGACAACAAGGAGGCCGCCGTCAACGTTCTTGTTGAGCACGTCGTCAGCATTGATCGTGCGCAAGCATACGCCGAAGAGGTCGATATCCCTCCAGTTTGGAGCAAGGTGGCCAAGGCTCAGCTAGATGGGCTCCGCGTCAGCGATTCTATCGACTCGTACATCAAGGCTGAGGACCCAAAGAACTATGAGGAGGTCATCGAGATCGCGGTCGCCGCAGGCAAGAACGAGGAACTCATCAAGTTCCTCCGCATGGCCCGCAAGACCCTCCGTGAGCCTGCCATCGATACTGCCCTTGCCTTCTGCTTTGCCCGTCTCGACCAGCTTGCAGAGCTTGAGGACTTCCTGCGCGCAACCAACGTGGCCAACATTGAGGAGTCGGGAGACAAGGCTTACGCTGAGGGTCTCTTCGAGGCGGCTAAGATCTTCTACACAAGCATCTCCAACTGGGCTAAGCTCGCGACTACTCTGGTCCACCTCACTGACTACCAGGCTGCCGTGGACTGCGCGCGCAAGGCGAACAACATCAAGGTCTGGAAGGAGGTCCATGAGGCATGCGTCGGCAAGAAGGAGTTCCGCCTTGCCCAGATCTGCGGTCTCAACCTCATCGTCGATGCCGAGCAACTCCAGGCTCTCGTCAAGCAGTATGAGCGCAATGGCTACTTCGACGAACTCATCAACCTCCTCGAGCAAGGCCTCGGCCTCGAGCGTGCCCACATGGGCATGTTCACCGAGCTGGGTATTGCCCTGTCCAAGTATCACCCCGAGCGGTTGATGGAGCATCTGAAGCTCTTCTGGAGCAGGATGAACATGCCAAAGATGATCCGTGCCTGCGAGGAGGCTAATCTGTGGCCTGAACTGGTGTTCTGCTACTATCACTACGACGAGTTCGACAATGCCGCGCTCGCCGTCATGGAGCGGCCCGAGAACTCGTGGGAGCACCAGCAGTTCAAGGAGATCACCGTCAAGGTGGCCAACCTGGAGATGTACTACAAGGCCATCAACTTCTACCTTGAGCAGCACCCATCTCTGCTCACCGATCTCCTGCAGGTGCTGACCCCCCGGATTGACGTAAACCGGGTGGTCCGCCTGTTCCAGAAGTCGGACAACCTGCCGCTCATCAAGCCGTTCCTGCTCAACGTGCAGTCGCAAAACAAGCGGACGGTGAACGACGCCATCAACGACCTCCTCATCGAGGAGGAAGATTATAAGACCCTCCGGGACTCGGTCGAGAACTACGACAACTACGATGCCGTAGACCTCGCTGGCCGCCTCGAGAAGCACGACCTGGTATTCTTCCGCCAGATCGCCGCCAGCATCTACCGCAAGAACAAGCGGTGGGAGAAGTCCATCAACCTGTCCAAGCAAGATAAGCTATGGAAGGATGCCATCGAGACTTCTGCCATTTCGGGCAAGGCGGATGTCGTTGAGGAGCTGCTGAGATACGTAAGTTCAACGCCTCCCTTTACTTGGTTCATTACTGACGTTATTACAGTTCGTGGACGTTGGCAACCGCGAGTGCTACGTCGGCATGTTGTACGCCTGCTACGAACTGATCCGGCCCGACGTGGTGCTCGAGCTGTCGTGGCGCAACGGCCTCATCGACCATGCCATGCCCTTCTTGGTCAACATGCTCTGCGAACAGACGAAGCAAATGGCCGCGCTCAAGGCCGACAACGAGGCCCGCAAGTCCCGCGAGCAGGAGCAGGAGAAGGTCGACGACAACACCCCCATCCTCGGCGGCAACCGCCTCATGATCACGGCCGGCCCCGCCGGTGGCGCGCCGCCCGTGTCACCCGCCCCGTACATGCAGACCAACGGCTTCGCGCCCCAGCCGACCGGCTACGGTTTCTAGAGGGTTGTTCCGGTGGTGTTCGAGTGCCCCTGCCTGTTCGATCCGGGCCAGCGCCGCTGGTTCTATCCATTCGAGGGTCCTGCTACATTGGGCAAGCCGGTCAAGGTGGTGGAGCTTGGGTCGGTGCAAGTCTAAAAATGACATGACTTTTTTTTGAAGGGCAAAAAAAGCACTGGAGGGATGATTTCGGGCTGTGGGTGCGGGTTTTTCGGCGGGTGTTTTTAGAGTTGATTCTGGCGCGCGTTGCTGACGCTACTGCTTCTTCCACTGAGCACGGCGGGGGATATTCCCTGCGTTAGTACAACATTTGTATGATAACTTGGTCGTTTCTCTTATTCGACTTGGTGCCGTCTCTGAATTGGGTCTTTGGTCTGTCTCGGCTTGATTGTGTCGTTGCTGAAATATCAGCCCGATACTACTAACCAGCAATACTAACCAGCAAACGCGAGGTCGGTCTCTAGTTCTTCCTGCTCATTAGGGGGGGCAAGAGGAAGAATGAAAAGTAAGAGGAAATAAGAGGACAAGAAACGTGACGGGTATTCGGATGTAAAGTAACACGACCCCATCAGACATCGCACCATAACTACCACACAACCCGGATGACGGGCTGGAACATTAGTCAGAGGTAATGAATTGCCTACTCTAAGAAGCTACCACGGGTAGTTGATTCCCGCAGACACGGATACACCTCCAAGCAACTGTTTCTTTCCCCTTGCATGTATCTGCTTTAAAGGGTGGTCATCCCCAACGGCGCCGCTCTCTTCCTCCGTATTGCTCGCTCCATCATGTGTTTCTTTGCTCTCCGCCACCTGGCGATCGGATGGATGGATATTTGAAAGAGCATTGCGGTGCGGCCAGCATAATCTCTTGTTGGCCAATCGCCTACCTGGCGGGGGCGGAAGGAAGAGCTGCGCGTGTTACTGTACTTCCATGGAAGTTCTCTTGCCCTAGCAACAGCTCATTTGGCATCGGCTTTGACGATGCGGCAGACGAGGTCCGAACCGTCAACTGAGTCGCCTTCACGCACCGCAAGCTGGGAGACGACGCCGTTGTGGGGAGCGGAAATGACCATTTCCTAGTAACACGAATTAGTGATTGGATGCTATAGCAGACAAGTAGAAAAGACTGTACCATCTTCATCGCGCTCAGCACAGCAAGCGGGTCGCCCTTCTTAACCTCACTGCCGTCATGCACACGCAGCTCGACCAACACGCCAGCCATGGGCGCGCCAACATGGCTCGTGTCGGTGGGATCAGCCTTGGGCCGGCTAACGTTCTCGACGGCCGCCATCTTGTCGTCGACAGTGACCTGGCGAACCTCGCCGTTCATCTCGTAGAACACTTCGCGCTGGCCTGTATTCTCCGAGAGCGGGCCGACAGCGAGCAGCTTGAGAATGAGGACTTTGCCCTTCTCGAGCTCGACGTGGAACTCCTCGCCAATCTCGGGTTTCGAGAGGAAGTACTTAGTCGGTAGAACCGATAGATCGCCGTACTTCACCGTGAAGTTCTTGTAATCCTCAAAGACCTTCGGGTACATGATGTGACTGGCAATGTCGCACTCGCTAATAGTGCCACCAAACTTGCGGCCGAGGTCCTTCTTGATCTTGCCGAAGTCAACGGGGTCGAGGAAGAGGCCAGGGCGCTGGTCCAGCTTGCGGCGGCCACGGAGGGCGTTGGTACGGAGCGGCTCCGGGAAGCCCCCATAAGGCTGGCCCATCATGCCCTCAAAGAACTCGAGAACAGAACCTGGGAAGTCAAGCTCGGCAGCACGGGCTTTGACGTCCTCGGGCGAAAGCTTGTTGGAAACCATGAATTGTGCCAGGTCGCCAACGACCTTGGAGGTGGGAGTAACTTTGACGATATCGCCGAGAAGGTCATTTGCATGTTCGTAGGCCTTCTTGGTCTCAAGCCACTGGGAGCCGAGACCGAGCTGAGAAGCCTGGAACATCATGTTGGTCAGTTGGCCACCCGGAATTTCGTGCTCGTACACTTCGGGGTCGGGGCCCGCGAGATGAGCCTCGAAAGGCGAGTAGAGGAGGCGGAGCTGGGACCAGTAGGTGTCCAGGGCCCGGACGTGGTGGGGGTTGAGGCCAGGGTCCTTGCCAGTGCCGTCAAGCGAAGCAATAATGGCGTTGATGCTGGGTTGCGAAGTCATGCCAGACAGACTGTCAGTGGCAGCATCGACAGCGTCAGCGCCAGCCATGGCACAAGCAACCATGGAGGTAACACCGGTACCGGCCGAGTCGTGGGTGTGGACGTGAATAGGCAAGTCTGGGTACTTCTCCCGGATGGAACCGATAAGAAGAGTGGCGGCATGCGGTTTGAGGACACCGGCCATATCCTTGATACCCAACACATCGATATCAAGGGCAACAAGCTTGTCGACAAGGTCCAGGTAATACGGAAGGTTGTACTTCTTCTCGGGGTTCAGCATGTCGCCACTGTAGCAGACTGTGCCCTCGCAAACACCGCCGGCCTTTTGCACCGCCTTGATGCCGACTTCGAGTTGGTTGATGTCGTTCAGGGCGTCAAAAACGCGGAAGATATCGACACCGTTCTTCCTGGCCTGGTCAACGAAGTGGTAAATAGCGTTGTCCGGAAGCGAGGCGTAGGCAACGCCATTGGCGCCACGCAGCAACATCTGGAAAGGGATGTTGGGAATCAGTTTCCGCATCTTGCGGAGGCGGTCCCAGGGGTCCTCGTAGAGGAAACGCATAGCGACATCAAAGGTAGCGCCGCCCCAGCATTCCAAGCTGTAAAGATTGTGAAGCGCATGGCTGGTCTCCTTGGCGATGTTCAGCAGGTCAACAGTCCGCACTCGGGTAGCGAGCAACGACTGATGGGCATCGCGCCATGTAGTGTCCATGAGCAGGCAGCCCTTGTAGTTGCGAATAGCCTTGGCAAAGGCCTTGGGGCCCTGCTCCAGAATGATCTGACGCCAACCCTTTGTGGACGGCTGCGTGACGTCGATCTTGCTTCCGGACTCGTCAAACAGCTGCGGGATGATGATGTCGCCTTTGAACTTGGGCTCACCAATCTGGCCCTTAATGCTGCTTCCGTTGACCGCGACATCGCCGAGGTAGGCGAGGAGCTTTTGAGCGCGGTTCTGGCTTCCAACGAGGTCGAAGAGTTCTGGCGTCGCGTCGATGAATGTAGTCCAACACTTGCCGTCAATGAAGGTAGGGTGAGTGAGGAGCGACGTTATGAAGGGCAAGTTCGTCTTCACTCCACGAATTCTGAACTCGATCAGGGCGCGGAGCATCTTCCGACGAGCAATCTCGTACGTCGAACCCGTGGCAATAACCTTGACCAACATGGAATCACTATGAATATTAGCATTCATTTTTCGGCATTGGGGTAGGACGGGAAACATACTAGTGGGCTAAAATAGTTTAGTAGGCGTTAGCAATAGTTTAGCACGAAAACAGTAAAGAAATATGAGTTCAAGTCCCAAGCCCCAAATCCCAACATCCCAAAAACAAGCCCGCCAGTCCAACTAGGAGAGCGCGACAGCAGCATCGACATTGTTCCCGTCCTCGGCGAAGGCTCCATCATCATCGTCGACGCCAGCGGCAGCAGCCTTCTTCTTGTGCTGGGGCCCGCTCTTGTGCAACAGCAGGTTTCGACTGGTCCCGGCAGCATAGTCGCAGATGCCGCAGTAGAATCTCTTTGCCGCGACGTTCGCATCACTCTTCGCTTTATTACGACGCCGCCCGGCAAGCTTGATTGCCTCCCAGGTAACAACGGGGTCGACCTCATCCTCGGCGGAGTCTCCGTTATCCTCGGCGGAGTCTCCGTTAGCCTCAGCACCAGCAGCAGCAATAGCTTCCCTGTGCCTCTTGCTGGTCTTGTGCCTCAGCAGCCCGGTTGCTGTCGCACCAACGTAGTCGCAGACTTTGCAGTAGTATTTCTTTGCTGCAATGGCCGCTGCTTTCCGCTTGGCACTTTGCTCCCGCTCGGCAGCACGCATGGCGTTCCCGGCCTCCACGGAGTCTCCGCCAGCTTCCTCTGTGCCAGCCGCAGGTTTCCAGGCATCCGCCGAGTCTCCACCAGCTTCCCCCGTGCCACCCTCAGCGGCGACGACCTTCATGTGCTTGAGAGTCTTGCTATGGTTATCGAGGGCTTGCCGGGACGGGAACGCGTGATCGCACGGGGCACAATAATACTTGCGCGCAGCGACGTTGTTGGATCTCTTCCGCGCCATTGACCCGGGGAGTGTGGCGGGCTTGGTCACCCTTGTTGCGTTCTGTGCGTGCCGCTTCGACTTGTGGTGAAGATCCAGGTCCATCTGGCTCGGAAATGCCATATCGCAGATGTCGCACGCATACTTGCGCAGCGCTCTGTTCTTCTCCTTGACTCTTCGTGCACTATCCGCCAGCATGGCGGGGTCCAGTCTCGAGTGCCAGACGCGGCGTCTCTCTTGCCATTCGGCCAGGTTGCGTTCCTTGTTCTCGTTGACGTAGTTGGTCTGCCGCTTGTTTTTCCTCAGCTTCTTCTCCGCGTCCCAGGCCGCCAACTCCTCAGGGGTGAGGCGGTCGGTGTTGCTAGCCCGCAAACCCTCGTAGTAGGCGTGGTGCGAGCAGCAGCCATCGTAATCGAGCGCCTCCAGCGGCCAGGGGCAGAGGCGGGGCATGCGGTCGTCGTCTTCCTTCATGGCACCGAGCGCGATGGCGAAGGCGTTCTCCAGGATGAGGAGGAGGCACCGGACGTGGAGGATCTGGGTGACGGGGGGGATGGGAGACCAGCAGAGCAGGCCCTTGTGCGTGACGGAGTATCCGTCATCCAGGGCTTCCCGCACGTACTTGGGCAGGTTGACTCTGAGATCGTATTCTTCCCACCGATGGGCAAAGCCCAACACCCTGTCCGTGCCCGAGCCCACGTAGGTCCTGGACCGATGGCCTTCCTTCTCCATGACCAGGAGGTACACGCCCCAGCGACGGGGGCCGTCGGCGTCGCTGGGCAGAGACTTATACTCCGCCGCGAGGGGCGGCGAGTCTCCCTGCAGAGCCTCCGCGAGGCCCTCCGCGAACTCGACCGCCGAATCGGAGATCAACTCCTCCAGCAGGTCTTCTGAGTCGAGGTCCGGCGCCTGGCCAGGCCGGGTCCTGGTCACGGGGCGGGCGTCTCTGACGAATTTCCAGACCAGCCAGAGGAGGTAGTCATGGATCGTCTGCGACGGCTTGGATTGTGCGGGTGCCATTTTGTTTCAGGCTGTGGGTGACGAGATGGCTGACTGACGGGCGTGGTGGTTGGCAGACGAGGGTGAGATGACGAGATAGCTGGTATACGACTGAGAGGCAGAAAACAGTGGACGAGCGTGAGACAACGAGATAGCTGGTAGACGAGCGCGAGACGACCGAAATGCCTGGCAAACGAGCGAGAGGCAGAAACAGCGGACGAGCGTGGGACGGCGAGATGGATGGGAAAATGAGCGACATGCTCTTTCCCATCGGCACTCGAGCACCGGCCCATCATGACGACAGCTGATGGGTTGAGGAAGGCGCTAGGTTGATGAAGGCGCGGAGTTGAGGAAGGCGCTGGGTTGAAGGTGCTGAGTTGAGGAAGGTGGGTTGCGTCGAAGCAACAGGCGCTCTTGCCAATTTGAGTTGGGATTCAACTCGTCAGCGGTTTTGCGGATGAAGCCGGAGGAACTCGAGTCTTCGTTGGTTAGTGTTCAGTATGGTAAAGGGGAAACGGCGAAACTCACCATGCTTCAACCTGCACTCGTCGGTGCGACCAAGTACCACTGCTTGCATCGACGGGGCATTTGTGGCGGACCGTCCGTGGTCGACCATCCAAAATAAACCCTTATGGCGGAGGATCCGTGATGATGAAAACTCCAGGCAGATATCTCTTGATACAAAAGTCGCGGCTTGAAGGGCAGTTTACCGACTTGCCCCAGGTCGTTGACTTGACTGGGCGACCACCAAAGGAAAAGGCTTGTCCAGAACCTGTCGTGGACATGGACTCGAGAATAATGAAAAAGAGAAATTTAACTTACGAGTGATGACAGCGCCGGCGAAACCGTTTCCGCCGTCCAATCTGATACCATTTCCACCCGCGGAACCTGTTCAATGGTGTTGGTTATCTCTTTTCCAGTGAGCATGGAGTTGACATACGGTAAACTTCAATCTTGCCAGTGTCGGGCTGGAAGTTCCTGGCCGGATCCTCGCTATCCAGCGTCAGCTTACTAGGGAAGTTCCACGCGCTGTACGGGTTTTCACTCACGTCGTGATCCGAGTCTGGATCGAAAACCCGCGCGTCGAGATGCGGTCTTGGGTGAGCCCAAGCTGGTCAAGAGTCGCTCCAGCTGCAATCTGGATCTGCGCAGCCACGATATCGATGCCCGTTGTACATTCCGTAATCGTATGCTCTAGTTTTCCCCATATATCAGCTACTGCAAGAAGCTATTGCAAGCATGAGGTGTTCTCTTTGATGAGGGAGCGAAGTGGTGTTGAGCGGGACAGGGTCGGGGGTTAGGGTTAGTCGAGACTTACCAACTTGGATCCGGGGGTTGACCTCGATGAAGTAGTAGCGGTTCTGCTGATCGACCAAAAACTCGCAAGTTGAGGCATTACCTAGTTTTGTCAGTGTGTCTGAAGTCGGGAAAACGGAGGCAGGGATAAAGGGAAGAGGGAGGATAAACAATCCGACTTACGCAGTCCGACAGAGCGGCCAAGTTTGACCGCGTCCTTGAGCATGTTGTCCCGCACGTCGGCGGGAAGGTCCTTCGCCGGGGCAATTTCGACAACCTTCTGGTGCCGCCGCTGGACGGAGCAGTCACGCTCGTAGAGGTGAACAAGGTTTCCGTGGTTGTCACCAAGGAGCTGGACTTCGATGTGCTTGGGCTTGTCGAGGAATCTCTCAACGAACACGGTGCCGTTGCCAAAGGCGCTCTTCGCCTCGGAGGAGGCTCTCTCAAAGGACTCCTGGAGTGTGTCTTGGTCGCGCACAACACGCATGCCGCGGCCACCACCGCCGTAGGCGGCCTTGATAATGACGGGGAAACCATACTCGTCGGTGAACTTCTTGACGTCCTCGAACTTCTCCACCGCTCCTTCGGTGCCAGGGACAACCGGGACTCCAGCAGCAATAGCGATCTTCCTGGCCGAGACCTTGTCGCCGAGGGCGTCGATCACATCGGGAGAGGGCCCGATGAACTGAGAGCGAGACTGATAAGCTGCTATACCGAAAGACAATGACGTTCCAAACTCACGATAAGACCGGCCTTCTCGACGTTGCGGGCAAATTCGGCATTCTCAGACAGGAAACCGTAACCTGATGAGACACGTCAGTCCCAGGCCTCAAATAAAAGTATTGCCCTCGTTGTGGCTTACCAGGGTGGATCATCTGGGCGCCATGCTCGACAGCAATCTTGATGATCTCATCGCCAGCAAGATAGGCACCGACGGCGGTGTACTGCCCGCGCTTTCCAATCACGTATGCCTCATCGGCCTCTGTTTTTTCCTCGTCAGCTAGCGACTCCCGTGGATCGAAGGAGGGCAGGTGTGGGGCGGCGCATACTCTGCCTGTGCATCGAGAGACGGTCCTCATAGCTACACAATCAGCATCCGAATAAGGAGTAAGATGTCTGGCGTGGTGTCCCACCTGTAGACGGCGATGGTGTGAAGCGAAAGTTCGTGGGCCTGCGCACTCCGGATTAGCTATTGAAGGTATCGAAGGGTTGAGATTTTGCGTGTGACTCACGGTTCTGAAGATCTGTGGAGAGTGCGAATGAGCATGCTATGCTGAGATGACACGAGGGGGCAGGGTATCTAGATCGAACATACACGAATAGCTAGCATGCATAGGTCAGCGCCACGCTCGGGCAATGTAGGACGGTCTGGTACCACTTACGAATTTCACCTCTGTTGGCAACTGTCATGCGCAATGGCTTTGTTAGCATCGATTTCGACTTTTGACGGTTAGGTTGGTGGGAGAAATCCGCGTTGGGACGGGCCGGGAGTGGTCTCGGAATAGTCGAGAAGCTCTCCAAGAAGCTCCCCAGATGCTTCACGGAAGAGCAACGGCAACCAGGTTCGGGAAGCGCACTCACCCAGAATCTTGTTCAGCTGCATGATAGTCGAGTTGGCGCGGATGCGATGCACGGTCTGGGCCTCCTTGGGGGCATCGCCCTCCTCGAAGACCTCCTCATTGTTGCTGACCGGCTTGTTGGCCGCCATCCTGTGTCAATTGGTGTTTGATTTGACGGTCAGTTGCAAAGAGAAAGACGAGGGGAGGGAGGAAGAAGAGAAAAAAAGAGAGTCGAGAGCAGCGGATGGGGGTGGGAATGGTGGGGTGGTCTTCGAGCGAGCAGGGGTATGACGGTCACGGCGGGGTCGGACGCAATGGTGGGGTAAATGGACGTGGGCGCGCAACCCTTCAACTGTTGGGTACCTTCCTGGTAGCTTAGAATCCTCCGGTTAACGAGGTATTGTTAGAAATACAAACCCAAAAAGGTCCCTAGCTCGTAACAGAACAATGGCCGGAGCTCACCAGGCATCTTGGCAGACCAGGAGGAGGTGGTTCAGGGCCAGGAACCGACCGAATCCAATGAGTCTTGTAGGAGGCTGTTCCTGTTTAATCCAGGCAACGTGCCTTCACGACACGGTCATCACGCATTGTTTCATTTCTTCTTCCTCCTCAGACTGCGGAAATGACTTCTTGGCCCGTCCTCGAGTGCCCGCGAGCACAAGGTGGCCGGGAATACCGGTTCAACAATATTTCTTTTCGCACTTGACACCCGGTCTTGATAGTGGGGTGGTCGAGTTAAGCACAGGCGCAGGCCAGCCTTGTTGGGCTAGCCTCAAAAGGGAGGTTAGCGCCCGCCAATTGGAGGCCGGTAATCGGAGCTCCTTGCACATGCATGGGAAAAAATCCCACCTCAGCTCTCCAGATCCGATGTCGAGGCACGGCGGGGTTTCAGTCTCAGAGCTCGGGAGCTCGGCCGTGGGGTCCCTTGAACATGTTGCGAGTGAGACAAGCCATCAATGCATCCGTCAGTCACAACTTTTCACCCACCGAGCAGGACCCCCATTCAATCCCGCCGACCAACCAAACACGATGTGTATCTAAGTTGTTTTGCTAACGCAAAACCCCCAACCCTCCCGCGGAAACTCCGGAGGGGTAGGACAACCCCGGTAGAACCGATGCTAGCTATCCTTTGCCGTTGCCCGAGGTTCGTGGTTCAAGGTGCCAATACCGCAGTAGCCGACTCCCGGGTGAGCATCAGGTGCTCTCTCAACACATCCTCCTGGTGGTCTGTTCCGGCGTTATCGTCTAGCCGAGGCTAAGTCCGTCGAGGATAGCCACGGAAAACCTAACATATCCGAGATCTCGGGCCCAAACTGACACACAAACCGGCAGCCCCCGTCAACCACACCTCCCGCTGATGATGCGAGTTCGAAATGCGGGGATTGGACAACCCCCGCCATTTGCCAGCGAGTCCCATGCCTGGGCACTATCGCGGAGCTGCATCGTACAGCTGCAGCGTAGCCCAGGCTACTGCCGGTCTGGGAAGGTAACGTATGCAGATCTGGAGGTTGAAACATGGGCATCTCTTCTCTCTGTCGCCAAGAATGCCATTGCCGCTTTTGCATCGAGATGTGAGCCGGCCGCCAAGACGGATCAGGAGCCTCCTCGAGCACCGCTGGCGAGCATACGAAATACCTAACATATATTCGTGCAGCATTCTCTTCAACACGGATCCCTTTCCCCGTGCGTGATTTACACTAAAACAAAAGGGAAAGAACAAAAAAAGGATGAACGCAAAACTCAATGGTCCCGTGCTCAACACACGGCCGCAAAGCTGTCACGGGGCCACGCAGCCATACTCCCTTTCCTCAAGGGGAGCCGGAGAAGCTAGTGGGGTGGATTGTGACGCTTACCTTGCCGGACAACCCCCGACTGTGCCGAACTTGTCGCTTGGAGGACTGTGGGTGACCATGGCCCGCCTTTGCCTGACCGATACCTCGACCATAGGATCGTGTACTGGGGGGGGCCAATTACAACCATGATGTCTTCTCGTGGGGAGGTGACTGATCGAGATATACCGAGTAAAGACTCGAGCAATGGGCCATGACCAGGGTCGTGGTGTGCTTCTTCAACCCCCACGACGAGCAGGGCGCCAGGGGCCCTGCCAAGCGCCGGCTCCGGAGCAGCCCCTCCAACACGGAGCTTATCAGATCAGACGCCGTGGTCTTCTTGGCATGTCACTTTCGAGCCGTTGTCTCGGTGTCATCAGGACACCAGTTGAAAAAGAACAGAGTTGCCAAGAGACCGATCTCCGTTGCACTCGGGCAGTTCAACACTTCGGCGGACATTTGTCAAAGCATAATTGGCCCCATTTCTCGAGGGAGAGACAGCCAAGGAGTTGGCCAGCGAGAAAGTTCAGAGATACCACCACACAGCGAAGCAGAGCACAAGGCAATTTCGGCCGTTTAGTCTTTTAACCTCGCCCTGGGTGGCATAACCTCAAGCCTGTGCAACCACAGACGGCAGCTGAACCGGAACAGTGCCCCCTGAGGGACCGCTCGCTTGGCATTAACCCATCGTTACACCTTCGCTTTCAAAAACCATCTCTTCTTTTATTAACCCGAGAATGGAAAAAGTCAATGCTGGGAGAACCCCTGTGAGACCATACCTCTATGTCCCGGCCAACCGCGTCGCCCGACAGCAAAGGTAAACAGACCAGACCCGAGGAGCGAAAAGGTCACCCTCGCCGCTCGGGGCAAGCATTCCCAACCCCCGCGCCGCGCTTAGATCGTACAGCCGTCTGTAACACACGAGACAACTCGAACTTGCCGTTCTAGACCCCCAACCGACGTCGAACTCTTTCATCCCACGCTTGAAAACAGCGGGGGGAAGGGAGAGATAAGACCGTTTTCCAGGCCAGCCCGCCGCCTGTGTCCCATCCCGTAGAAACCAGACCAGCCCCCCTTTACTTTTGAGATCCGTCCGCATTTATTTCTTCGCAACCAACTCCTGCACCTTCCCCTCGACAGCAGCCACCTTCTCCTTCCCCGCGTCGACGGCGCCGGTAAGCGCCGCCTTCTCTCGGCCACCCCACTGCGTCCATTGCAGGTAACGGTACCCCTGGGTGAGCTGGGCGCCCTCGTTGACGAAGTGGCAGGCGAAAAGCAGGTAGTTCGCGGGCGTGACGGCGAGCGCGTAGCGCATGAAGGTCGCCGAGTAGACGCAGAGGGCGAAGGTCATGGGGGCGGAAATTCTGTAGGCGGAGCATTGTTAGCTTTGGCGGGATGGAGGTGGTTCGGAGTTGCATGGCTTGGGCCGTCGGCCTAGGCGGTGAAAGGGAAACAAACGTACAGATCGGGGCTCTTCCGGGTGTCCATGACTGCAGCAACGGGAATACCAAAGTTGGATACGGGACCCCAGAAATCTATATCGGCCATATGTTAGTCCAGGTCCATTGTTGCGCACCGGCAGGCCAGAACCCAAGAAGTCATCATGGTTGCAACTGCCCCTCCCAGCACACGATCCTACACAGTATAATCGAGGTATTGGTCGGTCAAAGGTGGGCTATGGTCATCGGCACGCCTCCAAGCGCCAAACCTCCCTCCGTGGTTGAATACGGTGCCGGAAAGCGACAGTTCGGCACAATCGGGGGTTGTCCGATGACCGGCCGGTGTGCTCGGATAGGGCTGCAAATGGAAACGGTGAGAACTCACGTGTCGAGCAGACATAGTTCAGGACGGGGTGCGCCCGAATCTTCGCATTGACGGCTTTGACAAAGGCGGCCATTTTGACGGTAAATGCTGTGCTGGCGTTGCCCTCGTCGCAGTTCGGTGGATTCAAGGGTGGGAGTTTATCTTCGAGATCGGACATGCGCTCCGGGGTTTGGAAAATAATTTGGGTCCAGATTCCCGCACGGACCTCCCAACCCAAACAAGCCCATGAAGTCGCCCTCCAGAACCAAGACAAACACTCACTCCAATAGTGTCAAACACGTGTGCGGATTACACCGACGCAGCGGGTGCCTTCTATTATCGCTTCCAACTATGTTGAGAAGAACAGGTCTACCAAGTCTCGGCTGAACACAGGCTGCAATCCGCCCCTAACCGCAGTTTTCATAACCCCTGAACGCCGCCCAAACCAACCATTCTCCGTAAATCTGGGTAGAGATCGCCAGCCTAGCCCATAGCACTGCGATATGCAATATGTTTCCGAAAGTACTCCGCCAAGAGCCTTACAGCGAGGCGCGACCCGGGTATCAGTGATGTAACCAAAGACAGGACATTTATCTCCGCGGCGGGGGGTTGAAGCCGGACGGCGGGGCTCCGCCTGGGGGGAATCCCGGAGGGAAGCCGGGCGCACCAGGGAAGCCAGCAGGGGGCGGGAAAGCACCACCAAATCCAGGCGGCGCAGCTGTTACCAAGTCAGAATCCGGACAAGATGCGAGAGCAAAGGTTGTACTCACGACCACCACGCCCAGGGAAGCCAGGGGCACCAGGGAAACCAGGGAAAGGGGGAGGGGCAGTGCCTCCAACACCGGCCGCGGGACCGGCCAGAGAGATCGGGGCAGCCGCACCCCGTCCCGCTGGCCGTGCGACACCCGGGCCAGCAGTAAGTGCCGTTGTGATACCGGCGCCTGTCGACTTGCCCAAACGAGCACTGGGATCTGCGGGGGGCGGCGACTCGACGGAAAGGGAGACGATGTGGGCGCCCCGGACAATCGTCAAGCCCAGAGTTCGCTTTTCCTCCTGCTCAACGACCGTGGCGGATGACGAGGCGCCAGGGGCCGCTGGCTTGTTCTGCTTGCGCTTGCTTCGGCGAAATTCTTCGGTATCGGCGAGGACCAGATTCATGTGCTTGTCGAAAGCCAGCATCTAGATAAAATAATTAGCAGCCTCCACCACGGTGGAAAGGCGGGGCTAAAGACACACCTGGCCGGTCATCTGGCGCCCATCGTTCAAGGTGACGCGCATCCGGTAGTTGATCTGTGAGGATATCAGTACCCCGATCGCAGCTGCATCGATTACCGCGAGAGGGAAATAGTACGTACGTAACCGGCCTATAATCAATGCGCCTTGTCAGTTCTCCGATGTCAACATGGATGCCTGCACAGCGGTGTGGGCGGGGGGATGCACTCACCATCTTGCCCTGCTTGTTTGTCGCCGACATCTTGGCGGCAAGATGCTACAAAGTAGCGGGCCTGGGATTTCAAAAATTGGTTTGTGTAGACAGAGTTCTTGACTCCTGTCAGTTGCGGTCTCTTCTTGGTCTCGGGGGAGAATTCGAGGTGACGCGCGGGATGGTTTGATAGTTCCTCGATAACGTGGCGGAGACTGGGCTGGCTTGGGAAATTTGAACGCGAGGCTGAGGGAGCTTGGATGCTCCAGCCACACATAACCAATGAAATTCAGCCACCAAGCTTGCCGCCACGCACGGCTTGTCCCCCACCAAGCTCCCTGCTCGAGACCCCGGCAGGCAAGTGGTACCCCACACGCACAACCCCAAATTCGAGGAGCGAAAATCGACCTCATCTTTCGAAATTTCTCGTACATCGACAAGTCGCCCAGCACCGAATATCGACAACACCGCCGCCATGGTAAGAGCAATCGATTGCAAATAATCAGGCGACATAACTAACACGATGATTAGTCTGAGAAGACCCAGAACCCCATGCGGGAGCTCCGCATCCAGAAGCTCGTCCTGAACATCTCGGTCGGCGAGTCTGGTGACAGACTGACCCGTGCTGCCAAGGTGCTGGAGCAGCTGTCCGGTCAGACCCCGGTCTACAGTGAGTTCGCACCATCGATTCATTTCGGAATCCCTTCATTTACTGACATGTTGGTTTTCAGGCAAGGCCCGGTACACTGTCCGCACGTTCGGCATTCGCCGTAACGAAAAGATCTCGGTGCACGTCACCGTCCGTGGCCCCAAGGCCGAGGAGATTCTCGAGCGTGGTCTCAAGGTCAAGGAGTACGAGCTCCGCAAGCGCAACTTCAGCGAGACCGGCAACTTCGGCTTCGGCATTAGCGAGCACATCGATCTCGGCATCAAGTACGACCCCGGCATCGGTATCTACGGCATGGACTTCTACTGCTGCATGACCCGCCCTGGTGAGCGTGTCTCCCGCCGCCGCCGCTGCAAGGCCAGAATCGGTGCCAGCCACCGTATCAACCGCGACGACACCATCAAGTGGTTCAAGCAGCGCTTCGACGCCATCGTCCGCTAAACGTGGGCTTGATGGGTTGATGGGTGAATAAAACAAAAACTTGGGCATTTCAGGGAGTGGGGAGTTTGGGACTCAGCACCATCGGGATCTCTGGGGCGGTGATTACTTTGCGGGTTCATGCACAGGGTCGTTGGGTTCTTTTCGGGACATGTAAATGCAGCTTCGTATATCCGGACGAGCCCTCTCGTCCACTGCTCGGTCTGAATTTCAGTCGAGCCTCGGCCTCAGAGACCGACCGGCACCATGCCGGCTTTCCAATCCCATAAATCCCGTGAGCATCACCTGGTGGACCAAGACTGTTGGAGTGAAGATGGGCCGTGTCAGAAATCACCAATGTACCACAACAGACGCAGTGGCGCAGTTTTGGTGTCTCAGGTGCAGATTCTTGTCACTTGTGTGGACAATTATATACTAGCCTGTTGTTTCTCAGCTCGAAACGATCCTCGAACTAAGGGGAAGCAGGCCTTCAATAGTCAGAATTAAAAATATCACCGTTGACGTTGTCAAAACATTGCTTTTACATTGCCTGAAGCCCATTACTATGTAAGGTCCTGACTGTCCTAGAAGAAAACACAAAAGTCCGCCCAGTTCATCCACGCTGCCATCATTATGGCGCTCATGTCTTCATAAAAAAATAACCCCGCGACAGGGTTCGGGTATCTCTCTGCTGCCCCGGATGATGATTCCTCAATGCCAAAGCGGAACCAAGGGCCTCCAAATCTCGGCAGACGATGTCACCAAGTCCGGCCGCCTAACCAAGCCATAACGGCAAGCCTCGAGCAATCCTAAACTCCGCGGCAAACGCACCGCAGAATGCTCTTTCGACCTCCGCCGTCTCCGCAGCCTAGATGGCAACCAACGGCGGCGCGGTCTTGATCGTCCGCCCGCCCGCACCACCAACACCACTAACACACCTGCGCGTCGGCGTGGCCGGGACCTGTCTGTGGCGCTGCGTCATGTGGATGTCGATCAGCATGTCGACCAGGGCCTCGGCGTCCCGGTGGAGCGCCTCGAGCTCCTCGGCACTGCTGCAGACAGGCGTGCCGTCCGGGCCGGGCAGCCGGAACGCGGCAAAGACGATGCCGCGGTTAGCCGGCTTCTTTTTTTGTGGTTGTTGCTGCTGCTGCTGCTGCTGCTGCCTCGGCTTGCCGTCGGGGGTGGTGGTGGTAGCGGGGTCGGACTCGTGCCGGGCGGGGCTGTGGCCCGTGTAGAAGGCGCAGCTGTAGCCGCGGGCGAACTCGTCCTGGGCGCCCGTCTCGTTGCGGTACTCCAGCCAGCCCTGGGTGCGCAGCACCTTCTGGTGGACCGGGGCGGAGATGCGGAAGGGGTACATGATGGAGGGCAGGCCGTATGCGGCGAGCAAGCGGCCGGTCGTGGCGCTTCGGGAGTTGTCGCGGGGCACGGGCGTCCGCGACTCGAAGCTGCTGTCGTAGCTTGAAGCGTTGGACACGGGGGACTGGGGCGGGGAAGGTGTCCCGGTCCGGGTCGGAGACGTTGTGACGGGGGTGCCGCAGAACTGACTGAGGGGCGAAGAACTGCTGGGGCGGCTCAAGTGGCCTGGCCATAGATTGACGACGTAGACAAGGTCGAATTGATACTTTGTCGCAATTCTCGCGGCCTCGAAGGCTGCCGCGGTGGCGGGGCGGCTGGCCAGTGGAGGTGAGAGTGTGAGAAGGGGATAGGCTGGCTTGGTCCGGACGGGTGTGGAAGCCGATGAAGGATTCGGCGGCAACCCAAAGTTCGGAGGGTTGGTCGCTGAAGGTCGAGTTCGGGAGGCAGCATGGCCGTCAGCGATATCATCATCACTCAAAGCGAGGAAATCCTTGACACTAGGCTCCTTAAGGATAGGGTCGGAATCCGCAGTCTTCGCCGTCGGTAGATTGGATAAGCTAATCGACTTGCGCAAGCTTTCGCTGGCATGTTTGATGTTGGTCCCGATGGGCAACAAGCTCTTCGGTCGGTGTGAAACATTTCTGACGCTGTCGTCTACGGGAGACAACATGGATGGCGCCAGATATTCCCGCGAAGTAAACCCTAAGCAGTGGCTTTCTCGCTGCAGTGGCGCCAGACCCGAAGTGTCATGCTGCTGGGCTGTGATACCGACTTGGTTCTCAAGTAGAGACGCTTTATCTGCAGCAACGGTAGAGTGCCGCTTCCGGTCGGGCCGGGCCTTCGGAGAGACAGAAACCGTCGGAGTTCGAATCAACGGCTTCGACACAGGTCTAGATCGCCGACTTGGTGTTGTATCGCAGTCGGAGTCTCTCGACGCAGTGGAGAAGCTAAACTCCAGGAAATCCGACGACGTGTCATCATTGCTCGAGTCGGGGCAAAGTGAAGACCTCTGGATGGCGCTGGAACCAAACGAAGAGTACCGCGCCGGAATGGCAGGACACCCGTCGTTTTCATTGCCAGTCGTGGATGCTGAAGCCGGAAGCCGAGGTGTGCTTGGTGATTCGGGAAGGCTTCTAGCCCGCCGCGAGTTTGGTGACAACAGCACCTCGTCCCTGGCCATCATGCGGGAAGATGTAGGTCTAATGTACGATGCCTGCGGAAATTTCAAGGTAGTCGCATCAAACCCGGTCAGGAACGGCATTGGCGTCGCCGGTCTGGTTGTTGACTGAGCGTCCGAGGCATGGGAATCAGTGGCTCTCTTCTTCCTGGAGAAGAGCTTTTCTAGTCGGTCAAGCTGCTTGTCAAGCATTTCGAACCTCGACGCCATAGTGGCCCTCTTCTTTTTAAAACTGCAACGACAAGGAAAAGTATCAGCAACATATTTACCAACGTGATTCCAGCATTCAACAGACTTACTCGAATGAGAGTGAGTGTGGAAGGCAAAACCGTCGCTCCAAACCCGGCGCCCCTTGATTCTAGCTTGGAGGGCGAGAAAGAGAAGACAGCCTCTTCAAGCCAGAGGGACAGGAACCGGTGGTGGAAAGAAAAAGGTTGTGCTTGCTGTTGTGTGATTTGCGAATCTCCAGCGACCAGTCGCCGGCCGAATCGGTAACAGGAACGGCAAAGTCGGAAAGTTGTTTGGCAGTTAGTGATACGGTGCCGTGCCGCAGAGTTAATAACGGGGGTTTTCGGGTTGGTTGAACGAGTATTCCACGGCAGATAGGGAGGGGAATCCGAATCTCATGGCAAGAAACCGGGGAGCGCGAGAATTTGTTGATGTGGTCGGGAGTGAGAACGGGGGTCCGAGGTGGGCGACTAACAACCGGGCTTTCATGAAAGAAGTCCGGTTCTGTTTTCACATTTCGAGCAGCTGCTCGAATCTTGGGTACGTTTTGGTTTTGTGTAAACCCGGCGAATTCCTGCTGAATTTCTGGCTCCTAGTTCGGACCATAGAGGCAGGGGGTGACTGCCCGGCTTGGGAAGTACGAAGCAGAGGAACAACAAAAGCAACGCCAGTGCCCTATGCTTATCGCGGCTTGTTGGTGTAGTATCGCCATGCCAGGACGAAAACTGGCAACGGCAACACCGAAAGCTGGCCCAGTTTGCCCCCACAGAGGCGAAGGCAAAAGAAACGGAAAGCTTGCTGTGGTGTATGGCCCGGGACTCGACAGAGAGCTAATGATCACGGTCCAATGAGCTGGATATAAGACCAAGCACCACGTTCCGAGGACGGGTCTGGTGGATTGTTGCGCAGCAAACGGAAGGCAGGGGGCCTCTCCCACTTCCAACTGGCTCGTTCTCAATGTCGAGCATCTAGCCGGCGGCCGCAGATGAGAGGTGAGAGGGGGTAAGAGTGGAGGGGCAGCAGGCAAGGGAAACAGCGAAGTAGGCCAAATAAGGAATATGGAGACCATAACACCCGCTCAGAGCAACACGGTTCCCATCAAAAGGAGATCAGGATCTGTGACTGGCAGATCTTGAGCTGCCAGTGGTCCAAAGAATTCCCAGTCCTCGCACCCAGACCTCCAGAACCATCGTCCATAGCGGCCGTGCTCTCGTTGTCGTAACACCCTTGTATCACTGTGCCACACCCATGTTTTCCAAACATCGAATTGTCGACCAGACAAGTTAGATGAAGTTTTCGGTTGAAACAACAGAGAAGGGAGGCTTGCTTTTCCTCCCGAGGGGGCGCCATCACACGACGCTAGTGTCTCCCGCTGGGATTTTGGGGATGGCCTCGCCTCCGGCCGCTCGGAAGGATGGCGAAGGGCTTACGACCATCGTTTGGGGGGAAGGTAAGAAAAAGCAACATCGAGGCGGAATCGGCTGCAAGTGGAGGAGGAGCGAGATCTCAAAGAGGAAGAACTTCACGAAAACAGCAAGAGCCAAGGACACAGCTCCTGACGCACGGACTGCGCAGCTGGGATGGCGAGGATGGCAACAAGGGAGAGCTGGACAGGGATGGATGGGATGACACCACAAAACCCGCTTGACAGCTGACCAGTCACATGCAGCCATGGCATTGCGCGCCAAACCTTCATTCGAAGCCAGCTGGCAGCAGGTGGTCCACTTTCCCGACTCGACAACAATTGAACTCCAAACGAAACCCTCCTCGACCCCGGGACTCGACCGCTTCTTGGCTTTTCAGATCTCAGATATCCCCTTTGTATGCCTCAGCGCGTAACACAACACAGGCCCAAACAATCGGGTGTCTGCATGACGCTTGGAGGTCAACAATGTACGCACAAACGCCTGCCATGCTTAGCGGCCACTCTCGCTGCCCTCTGATCAAAACAGAGCCAAGGACAGGTTTTCCTCCAAGGCAAGGTGCGCTCGCTGGTTGGTGACAAGTCTTCTTTTTTCTTTCTGATGCAGCATTGTGATCAACCGTGCATGACTGCACCGCCGGGCCGGTTGCTCCTGTATGTAGGTCTTGACGCCATTCCACTCGGCTCCCGTCACCAACGTCGCCGCATCTCAGATTTTGAGAAACAACGTGTACCATCTTTTGTCAGATCTGGCTCGAGAGCTGCCAATGTTTGCTTGTTTGAGTGTTCTGCTTGTGGGACATCAACACAGCTCCCTAATGCGTTAAACGGGCATTTCATACTCGATAGACTTTTCTTGACGAGGCCTTCTGCCTTCTGGCCTTAGCAGGAAACCTTCCCGGCGACTTGCTTCTTATCTTCGAGGTGGGGGTGCTCGCATACAGTTTTCTTTCCCGGCCGATAACTACAGGAAAGGATCAGTGCTTCCAAGGGTTTGCTTCTCGGGATGAGGAGTCCAAGCACCCTCGAGGCCACTTTTCAAGGCCAGGCAGTAAGTCGTATTGCATCGACAACGAGCTCCCAGGTAGGTTCTCGCGGTTAGGACACCCGGCTCCCAATTGTTATCATGAGACTTGACTGCCGAAGCATGAAGCATCAGCCACGCTATACACTGCAGCATATTTTTTTCTTTCTACTCTTGCTCAGTGTGCCGTCATTCGAGTCCCATCCCACCGCCTCCCCTCTCTTCCCCCAAGCCAAGATCGTCGATTAGACTAACGTAAACTACCACCGCCCACGGCTCCCACCCTGGCCAATGGCTAGACTCGGGAGATCCGCGAGGGTTCCGGGGCGCTGGGTCCGGGGACTCCGGAATGGCGCTAGGCGTTGACGCTCAGAACTATGTAAGACCAACTTGTCATGCCGAGGCTGGAATGTCACAACGCAGGGCTGCCATCCGATGACAACGTGACTCTGCACCTTGACTGAACAGTCCGTATCATTTATCCGAAATGTGATCGAAATACCCCGCTCGAGTACGTCCGTACTCAGAGTGTGCTAGTGTGCTCGGTGTTGGTGCCGGCCAAAGCAGGCTCTCGGGGCGGGTGCCGGATCGGCGGCGCCCATTGGATCCCTGGGGCGACGCATGTCTTAGCCTCCGTCCGTTTCCATGTGCGTGCGTTGTCCGTCTCGGCTCGGGGGGGCAAGACACTTTCCAACCCTCTTGAACCATTCGCTCTCTTTCCCAGCTCTGCAACCACCGTTTCTCCCACTTTCGTAGCTGCTCCGGGAGGCATCCAACGCCAACGGCGGCGTTGACCCACGTTCAGTCAGCTGGCATGGCAAACGTGCCCGTCCACACACGTGCACACTCGAGGGAGAGAAAGAAAAAGCCTCGGCTGCTCTCACACAGTCTGATTCCTAAGCAGAGCAGATGGACTCCCTTGCGGCAGTAGCGCCATCACCTCCTGCTAGATTCTGCCGGAGAGGGGCGCACCCAGACCTTAGCGTGACTGTACATAGGAGAGATCTTTAGGCGGGTTGCTTGCATCTCGATCTTGTGTGTTGCCCCCCAATAAACGGGTGTAACCAAGTCCGAGGGCAAGTACCTGCTCCGATGAGTGTTTCTTTGCGCCTTATCAAAGTCTCGCTGCTTCTGTCTAACCCAGGTAGCCGGTGGACTGATGAGCCGAGTTTTTAAAGAAAACTTAAGCATGGTCGCCGAGGGGTTCCAAAGTCGCAACTTGTACCACCAGATAATGTTTCGTGATATTCTATTTGCTACCATACGAAGCACGGCTCGCCAAAAACGCCCGATGGCGCAGTGTTTAGTCCACCTCTGTCTGTACTCAGACGTACCTGCGGAAGATTGATCGTGCATCATCCAAGTGAGACCCGTGTGTACGCCCGAGCACACAGAGGTCGGCCGAGAAGCCGCGAGACGACCGAGATGAGGTTAGACAGCCCCCGGAGGTCACAGCGCAGTCGATCTCCCGTCCGGCCCTAGTGTCGACCGCATCCGCCGGGACGACACAGAATCGTAAATTGCGAGCGCCAGCAGCCGCTCACAGCCTCGCGCCACTGCTGTCATCGTTCACCTCCCCGAAAATGTTTAGGAAGGCCGTGTGCACCTCGTCCGTGAGGTCACTCGCCTGCAGACTGCGGCCCTTTTTCGCAAAGGCGAGGCGTGAGCACTCCTATCATATGTTAGTCGCCCGAACATAACCCAGATGGACAACAAGAAGAAGCTCCTCACCCTCGTAATCGCGCTGCCCCCAAACACAGCCAGCGCCACCAGCTCCTCCTCCTTCAACCGCCCCCCCGTCTCCCAGATCCCATCCAGATACGCCTTCCTCCACCCCAAAAAAGTAGCAATACTCCCCGTCAACGTATCCCCCTGCCCACCACTCCTCTTCCGCCCGCCCTCCAAATCCACCGTATACATAACCCTCCCATCACTCAAATTATCCCTCCCCCCCTTCTGCAGCACCATCACGCCCTCCAACACCCTCGCCAGCGCCTCCACCGCCGCCGTCCCCGCCTCCCTCACATCCCCCTCCTGCCCCTCCACGCCCAACGCCCGCGCCAGCCGCGCAAACTCCACAACATTAGGCGTCAGCACGGCGAGCGCGTAGCCGCGCACCAGGGCCGGGTCGCGCTGGACGATCTGCAGGGCGTCGGCGTCGAGCACGACGGGCATGCCGCGGGCGCGCGCCGCGCGCAGCACGACCGCGCACGTGTCCTGCATCAGCCGGTCCCGCCCCAGCCCCGGGCCGACGACGAGCACGTGCAGCCGGTCGAGGAGCGGGATGATGCGCTCCGCGATGGTGGATGCGTCGGTCTCGGGGCTGGTGCTGGTGCTGGTGCTGGTGCTGGTGCCGGGGGGTGAGTTGCGCATGAGCGGGTGCACCATCAGGTTCGGCGAGTAGGTCTTGATTACGGCGGCGGCGGCGGGGGTGCAGATTACGTGGGACTGTGGTGTGGGTTAGCAGGTTGGTGTATTTTCGGTGGGGGAGGAGGGGTGGTGAATGGGAAGGAAGGACCGGTCGTTCCCTTGAGCCCCAAACAACAAGAAGTGGTAACGATGTAGGGATATCGGAATAAAACCTACCATATCACACCCCAACCGGGCACTTGCCATGGCCGAAAAGTACGGCGCGCCCGTGTAGTCCTCGCTGCCACCAATAACGCCCACTCTCCCCAACTGTCCTGTCCACATACCACCATCATCAGCCTCTCTCATACACCAAAAGCTCTCTCCTATTCAATAACAGATCTCTCACCCTTGTGAAACTTGTCCAGCATAGGCGGGATCATTTGCCGCACACGGGCAATAACGTCCTTAGTAGCAGGCGACATGTTGGAAAGCGCAGCAGATGCGGATGAGTCGGGTGACATTTCGGCCGTCTAGGACGAATGCTCTGATATACAAAAGACACGCAACGACTCAATGTTTATTGAGTGGAGAGGAAGCGATGGCTTCGATTGGCATGGATGTTGTTTTGTTTTCCTGGATTGAAGGAGGTTCGGGCTTTCGCGCGGTTCATGATGTCACTGGCCGTCGTCGAGCCTTGCTCGGCACCACCCTACACCGAGTTCGGCGAAAGTTGAACACACGACGCAAGACACGGTTTTGTATCGTTTGAAATAAAAAATAGAGAAGAGTCTCAAGAAAAGAGAGAAAAACTATTTGTAGGGATTTAAGAAAAGGGAAAGAGATACAAAAAAAGATCGAAGAAATTCAAGGAAAGGGAAGAGGAAAAGAAAACAGAGAAGAGATTCAAGAAAAGACAGAAAAGAGAAAAAGGAAGAGAGAGAAAAGAGGGGAAAGAGAAAAAAAGAAGCGAGATATTCAAGAAAAAAAGAAAAGATGGAGGAGATTCGAAAAAGAGAGGAGGGAGAAAAAAGAAGAAAAAAAGATTTAAGAACGAGAGGAACAAAAAAAGGGAGAAAGAAAGAAAGACAGGAAAAGAAAGAAGAGATTCGAAACATGCTATTTATTTAGTATGGCCGACCCAGAGCGAGGTTCGCTCGCTGCTGTCCCATCAATGGCCCTGCCCAGTATGATAGCTCCGGACAGCCTAACAGAGATTGGACACTAGAGTTCAGGACAAAAGGAATCGAGTGCTTGATTGAGTCTGCTCTCTATTTTACAATGGGTCTTGGCGAGTGAACCTCCCCTTTTCACGCGCCTCTACTCGATCCAGCGCACGAAAGACGGAACCCCTGCTTTAGAAACACACGGACGTTGCGGTATAGACATCCCCCCTCATTCTTAACGAACTCCCTCATAGACCATCCCAGGAACGCTTGGTATCACGTCTAGATTAACCCAGGAAGCTCTTGATGAAGGCCGGGACGATCTCCTTCAACCGGGCCTCGAGATCCTTGCTAATGGCACCCTCCTTGTCGATGGTGGCAAGGATGTCGGCCTCGTTGGTCTTGAGGTGAGCAAGGAAGTCAGCCTCCCACTGGAGGATCTTGTTGACGGGGACAGAGTCGAGGTAACCGTTGACACCGGCGAAGATGATGGGAACCATCTCGTTGACGGCGTACGGAGAGTACTGCTTCTGCTTGAGAAGCTCGGTCAACTGTAGACAATAGCGTCAGCACCTTCACGCAGAAAATCAAAAATAAGAGGCCGCTAAACTTACCCGCTCGCCACGGGCGAGGGTCTGCTTAGTGGCAGCATCAAGATCGGAGCCGAACTGGGCGAAAGCAGCAACCTCACGGTACTGAGCCAAGAAGAGCTTTAGGGAACCGGCGACTTGCTTCATGGCCTTGAGCTGGGCGGCGGAACCGACACGAGAGACGGACAGACCGACGTTGATGGCCGGGCGGATACCCTTGTAGAAGAGCTCAGCCTCCAAGAAGATCTGGCCATCAGTGATGGAAATGACGTTGGTGGGAATGTAGGCAGACACATCACCACCCTGAGTCTCAATGATGGGCAGGGCAGTCATGGATCCACCGCCGTGCTTGTCGTTCAGCTTGGCGGCACGCTCGAGCAGACGAGAGTGCAGGTAGAAGACGTCACCAGGGTACGCCTCACGTCCGGGGGGACGACGCAGCAGGAGAGACATCTGGCGATAGGCGACGGCCTGCTTGGACAGATCGTCAAAGATGATCAGGGAGTGCTTTCCGGAGTCCCTAAACCATTCCCCTATGGCCGAACCTGATTTCGTGAAGATAGTCAGCGATGAGACCAAGATGTTGTGTCGCGATGCAAAGACGGAGGTATTCGATGGTGTCGCGACGCTAGCGTGGTGTTGTGTCGAAGCACCGTCCATGTGCCCCACTTTGTTCTTTTCTCATGTGTCCGTGCGTCCTTGGACGGAACCTGAAGACGGAAACAGGAGGAAGGAGGGCGGGGCAAGTTCCAAAAAAACAGATTAGGGAAAGAACGTACCGGTGAAGGGAGCAATGTACTGCAGGGGAGCGGCTTCGGAGGCAGTCGCAGCGACAACGACCGAGTACTTCATGGCGTCATTCTCCTCAAGGGTCTTGACGAACTGGGCGACGGTGGAGCGCTTCTGGCCGACGGCAACGTAGACGCAGTAGAGCTTCTTGGTCTCGTCGTTGGAGTTGTTCCACCGCTTCTGGTTGAGGATGGTGTCCAGACCGACGGCAGTCTTGCCGGTCTGACGATCACCAATGATCAACTCACGCTGACCACGGCCGATGGGAACCATGGCGTCGACAGACTTAAGACCAGTCTGCACCGGCTGGTTGACAGACTTGCGGGGGAGAATGCCGGGGGCCTTGAGCTGGGCACGGCGCTTCTCCTTGGTGTTGAGGGGGCCCTTGCCGTCGATGGGGTTACCCAGGGCATCGACGACACGGCCGAGCAGCTCGGGGCCGACGGGGACATCGACCTTAAGGCGGTCAGTATGCTACGGCAACAAACAATAGCTCGCGCTATCAACTCACAATTTCGCCGGTACGCTTGACGGTCTCGCCTTCCTTGACGAGACGATCAGAACCGAAAAGCACGACACCGACCTGGCCGGCCTCGAGGTTCATGCACATGCCCTTGACGCCAGAGGCGAACCTGCAGGGCGTTAGTTGCATCTAAGGATATAAACAGGAGGGTGGAGACCTACTCGACAAGCTCCTCGGCCTGGACGTTGGCCATGCCGTGCACACGGGCGATACCATCACTAGCAAGACCCAGTCAGCATCGCAATTTCGCACATTGCCATTTCAATCCACCCCCGTCACATCATGCGACGAGAACCCGGCCCGAGCATCGATATCCGTGGCCGTCGGGTCCATGTGTTGTCCACCGCCAAGACTCCCTTGCGTTAAAAACGTACCCGACAGACAGGACGCGGCCAGTCTCGGCAAGGCCGGACTCCTCCTGGACGCCGCGGATTCTCTGCTCGAGAATTGACGAGACCTCGGTCGGCGAAGCCTTCGCTTCGGCGTATGTGCGGGTTTGGAGAGCCGAGATGGTGGGTGCGGCATTTCGCTGCCGGGGACCAGTTAGCCTAGCCGAAAAGCGAGAATCGCGCCAAAAGCGCAAAGCAAAATCGAGCAGCTCTCAACCAGCTCCGGTCCTCGCCCAACAGCCCATGCGCAGCCTAAAAAGAGCTCAATTGAGCTTCCCGGGCGCGTGCAGGGTCGATTGAGATTGGATCCGAGCGCCGGTCGATGGAATTGAGGTCGGGGTCGGGCGTGCGGAGGTGTGGTGCACTCACTGCAGCCACTCTGCTCGAGGCAGAGAGGGCGCCGACGGCGCGTGTGCTCTGTCGGAGGGCGTTCCGGAACATCTTTTCCAGGTATGTGTCGCCTCTGGTGGTGAGGGGGAACAATTGCAATCAAGTTGCAATTGCGTTGAGGGGAGATGGAGACGAGAGGTTGATGGAAGTTTGGGGGAGCCAGAGCGAGGAAAATTGTCAAGAAGGGCTGGCAGGCCTTGGTTGGAGAGGCGGGCGGGTCCCGAGCTCAGCAAGAACCAATCACCAAACCGAGAGAATTCTGCTCGACCAAAGCCTCCCGAGCGACCCCACTCGGCAACAACCAAAAAGCGGAAGTCGTCGCAAAGCTCGAAGGGTCCTGTTAACAACAATCACCTTTCTCGACACTTCTCATCGATCGGATTTGGATGTTAATGCCCTGCTTCGATATCCCGATTTCTGGGGTGTCGTTTTAGCAATCAACTCCACATCCCCAATCCGAACTGCTCCTCTCTGACTGTGGTCTTGCCCTGGTTTCCCGGGTAATCCCGGAAATGTCGCACAGCTTCCGTTTCGGTTGTCCCGCAACAGCAACAACACACGATGGACATGTCTAACTGTTTTGCCGGTGCTTCACAGCTCAGAAAAACTCAACATAATAAGCGCTACACTTCCTCTAGTTACAACGCACAACCATGTTTAGAACTCGATTCCCACTCCTCCGCCTTCCCTACCCCTTCCACCACCAAGACACCGCACCGTTACATTCTCGGTTAGGCAATCTCAAGATGTGCGATCTCGCAGAAGATCCCATTGATTTCGTCTAGCCTCCACTGGATGACGCCGCTGAACTTGCGGGCGGGCAAGTGCGCCGTGAAAAGCGATCCCTGAGAAGTCGTCACGGACAGGCTGCTGCAGTTAGCTACGATCGAGATGGCGCCGGTCTGTCTTGCGATTACTCACAGTATCCGTTTGACGAATGACGAGTCCGTCAGGTCCTCTAGGTGTTGAAAACACTCAAACAAGCTCACAAAGGCCCCTCGCTGGAGGCCCGACAGGATCCGGTTGTCACGGACCACTGTCATAAACGCATCCAACACGTCTTCCTCTTCCTCTTGCAGCAGGAACCGGTCGTCGTCGGCCGACTTCAGATGGCGGCCAAAGAGGGTCCTGAGGGTGTGCCGAATACTCTGCGCCTGGTCGGGGTTGCGGGGTTGCGACGGAGCTCCTTCGTTAGCGTCGGGGTAGCATGTTCGGTATGCCCTGAGAAGCTCTGCCAAGTACTGCTCGACCTCGTCTTCTGCAAAGGACTCGACCTCGATGGCATAGCGTGGCTCAGTGGACTGTGGCTCCGTCTGGTGATTTTCTAGACTTCGTTAGTCGGAATCAAACGCCCGTCAGCTGAACAACATGACTTACCATGCGCAGCTTTTCCGACTTGGATGTCATGAGTGGAATGGGTTTCCAGTTGATACAACGGCTCCTGATCTTGGAACAATCCCGAGTTGCCAACCGGGTAGCCTATCGTGCCAGCCAGATCAATGCTGAGATTCCTCGCGCTGCGGAACGCTGTGGCGCTTGCTCGCCTCTGGAGGTCTTCAGTTTGGTCTGTCTCGTCCCCTGAAGATTCAACCACGGGTGGTGTGCTCATCCTCCGCCTCTTGTCTGGACGAGGAGGAAACGGCGGGCTCGACGGCCGCTTGCGAACCGGGGTGAGGCCTGGTGTCAAGGGGAATCCATGCCCAAAGCTACCCTCTCTAGCTAGAGCCAGCCAAAACGGAGGGTTGGAAGAGGATTTCCCAGCTCGGGGAGTGACCAATTCCAACCCAGTGGCAAAAAGGCCATCGGTCTCTAGTGGATACGGGGCTTCTGGTCTGGCACGCGGAGTAACCGGAATGTTGGTTGCGCTATCATTGTCCATTGTGAGTGTTGATGCTCTGGATGGCAACGATGCTGGGAAATGGCCTCCAATCCCATCAATGAGCCGGTTGCCGGTCTCAGAGTCTGGGTCCGAAGGCGGCGATGCTGGCGGGGTTTCACAGCCCATGTTGTCTAGTGGCGCTTCTCGAAGGGCCGAGAATCGTGACGGCGGCAAATGAAGAACTGAGTCGCTTCCCACCGAGTTATCGGAGACGTTCACCTCCATGCTGCTTTCCGATCCCCGATTTGTACCCGATCGGAGTAGGATGGGAAGCGATATTTCGAGCGGCTGGTTCACCATACTGGGCTGGGATGGCACATGTTAGTGCTTGTCCTCAAGAATGCAGCGTCCCACTTGCCTATGGCGTTGCTGTCGAGGTTGCTGTTGGCGTTACCGAGATACTCGAGGAGATTGAGAATGAGGACAATGTACAGTGGTGACTGTAAGTGTTAAGGATGATATTTAGCCTCGAATGTCCACGTCGATACACCTCACACTCTACGGGTAGGCCCACGGCCTCTTTTATCACTGACACATCGAAGCTGGAGTTTCCGCCGGCGGACTGCGTCCTTACCCCCTAGTCCCTGTGGCAGGGCACCCCCAAGTCCTGCCTTTGGGTCAGCCTGTGGCGCACCCCTACATACTTCTTCCCACCTAGCCAAAAAGTCGACCCAATACATGCCTCGTGGGTTGTGTGCTAAGCGCGGAGGGCGCCGCCATACAAGCGCGCAATCTCTAGTGCAGACCACCCACCCTGCTGGCCATTTTCCGGCCGACGTCCCTCAATCTGCCATGCATGGGCAAATCGGGTGCTCGACGGTCTTTCCTGGCAACACGAGAACGACATGTTTGTGCTTGCATCATGACGTCCTCAGTCGGCCGCCCCCAACGGCTGGCGGTTAGACGCCGGGATGTGATTGGGAGGACGGACCCGGCACCGTGGACCCGATCAGCTAGACGAGCTTCGCCGCCATGAGCGGCATGATCTGAGAAGCTAGCCTCGGAGCTGAATCTGGGATTAATGGGCACGAGCGCAGTCTGTAACAAGACCTGGTGCCGGTGTGAGGCACTGTTACGGCCCGACCCAAGGCTCCCGGCCGAATCATGAGACGACAGCCAATCGATTCCTCCATGCCGGGGTGCTGGAGTCAGCATCGGGGAACGCCTATTATGACAACTGTGATGTTGGGGCGGCCGTTTTCAAGCAGCCGTCCTCAGCCTTGCGCTGTCTTCCTCGGCCTTCGTGTCCGGGGATCACGATCCGATCCCGGGGTGGTATAAGTTATAACGGGTTGTCCGCCCTCGAGGCGAGTCACGTGTGGGGGGCGCTGGCAGTAAGCCGCCCACGCCCACATGCTGCAGGTGGAAATGCCAGCACCTGCAACGATCCATCATCCATCATCAGTTTCCCACTCTTGCTTCCTTTTGCAGTGCACCAGTGCAACAGGTTATGGGCCCAGGCAATTGCTTCCCTGTAAAAACGGATATATCAATCCGCATAAGTCCTTCCTGCTTGAGGTCCTTATTTACCTAGTGATTGCTAAAATGTATTAGTTGTGTCCTTAGGTACGTACCTAGGTAGGTATGTACCTGTTTTGGGGTGATGCCTTTAGCGCGAGCTATATGTATGTGTATTGTAGGCATGGCGAGTGTCTCTGGCCCACTACACGCCGTTGTTTGTAGCTGTTGGTGTAAGTAATTCGCGTTGGAAGCACGAGATCTTGTTGTATATATTATATTACGTTGTGTAGTTGGGACTTACTTTTATTTTATTCGATGTCTTTAAGTTGATCTGTTTTTCCCGGTTTCTTTCGCTTCAATCTTTTTACTTAATTTCTTATTTTCCTTTGGTATTCGGCTTTTTTTGACCAGAAGGTGTCAAGTTACACGCTCTCTTTTCGAAATCCTAAACTCAAGGTACTTAATTTATCTAATCCAAGTCTATTCCAACTAATGCCCTCTAAGCCCCTCGAGGCCCGCGTACAAGGGCCATAGCTCACAAATAGTCATCCATATTAACCCTACCTATCGTTAACCTGTTGAGTCAGGCCTCAGGTAAGAGACCTTCCAGAAGATAGGTAACTCCGCCCCTGTTGATGAGGACACTCCTTATCTTGTTGTGCTGTTCGGCCAGATGGTCCATCCTCTCTTGAACCTTCGTCAGCTGTCTGCTGACGTCTCCGGATTTGTCGAGGATGTTCCGCAACGTGGTCTTCTCTCCGCCGACTATCAACAACTTCTCGTGTTGATCGACAAGGCTCTCGACGTCGTCAGCCCGGGCCTTCAGCTTTGCGATCTCGCTGTCGTGAATCTTGTCATGCTCGTGTAGCGATTTGCCGGTCTCCTGCAGGGCCTTGATTTGGTCTTCGCCGATACCGTGCTCCGCCTGCCAGGCCGCGAGGTACTTCTTACCTTCTGCAATGTGTTGAAGGAGTGCAGAGCGAGACTTGCCATAATGACAGGCGCGGCTGTAGGAGGCTTCAGGTTGGTCGCTGATTTATCACCGGGCAAAGCAGAGAGAGAAGTGCATGGTAATTGACAGGAAATTGAGTAAAGTGATCCAGTAAAAGATATGAACTAGAAGCAGAAATGGAGCAGAAAAAGACAATAATAAACAAGAAAGAAAATACGAAGAGAAGAAGAGAGAAAAAAGAAAAGGAAATGGAAAAGAAAGAGAAAGCTAAAAGCAATAAAATGAGAGGAAACGAGAAAAAGAAGTAAAACACACGGGAATCAGAGGGGGGCGGCGGGGAAGAAAATGAACGAAATAGAATAGTAATTTCCAAGTATTTCAGCGCAATATTGTCCTCCCTGACAGGATTATGTCCATTACAATACCAGCGACCCCTCCTTAAACATCCTGCTTTCAGCGTCATTCCTGCGCGACGACACGGCCCACGACATTCTCCCATAGCTCGCGCTTATCGACGTTCGGGCGGATTGATATATCCGTTTTTACAGGGAAGCAATTGCCTGGGCCCATAACCTGTTGCACTGGTGCACTGCAAAAGGAAGCAAGAGTGGGAAACTGATGATGGATGATGGATCGTTGCAGGTGCTGGCATTTCCACCTGCAGCATGTGGGCGTGGGCGGCTTACTGCTTGGGACTGTCTGGATGTGAGGTAAGTTCAGCTTGTCAGTTGCCGTCATATCGATCAAGCCTGAGCATCCGGAGCCGATGGCAAAGGTGGCACAAATGCTTGTGCAACGCTAGACTTGCCGAGGTGAGCCCAGCCTCGCTCCTCAGAACCGTCCCACCTGCCCCTCTCCTCAAGCCGGGCCACCTCCTCGATCAGCCGCGCGTTAATCTAGTCTCTTTCTGGCAGCTCATTAAGCCTCGAGTCCACACCACCCTCATACTCAACTGCCCCCAATGCCCCTCTCATCACCAGTCCGCCAGTAACAGCCCGCCATGGCCAGAAGGAAGGCGGCTCATTTCACACTCACTGTCAAATACCGTCTCCAGCCTTGTCACCCTAAGAATTGCCGTGCTTTCCTGCGGAAAGCACGGCGCACCCTTTCCCACTAGCCTCTTCCCGTTACCGTCTTAATCTCCTTCAGTTCTCTTTTGCCATGCCACACCGGCCTATCTTGTCTCTCCAAGCCCGCCACCTCAAACCCAATACTCGCCCCTACGTCCTTAGTAGGCTGGTTGGATGTCATTAGGGCGGCTAAGCGAGTAGAACACGGCCCGGAAAGAGGCCGGGGTGATTAGCGGGTTGAGGGGGTGCCGGTGTGTTCTATGCTTGGGTCTGAGGGTGTCTTTTCTTCGGGGTATGGGGTGATGAGTTGGTGTCAATGCTGATTTGCCTTGTGATCCATGATTCATCTGGCTGCATAATGCAGATAGATGAGGTGGCGGGTAGCGGGACTAAAAAGGAGGCAACTATGAAGTTAGAAAAGGATGTGTTACTGCCGTCTATGGTAATACTCTATCTAATAAAGAAAATAAGCTCTATGGGTATCCGATCAAACCTATCACACAATGCCAACGCCAATCTAAAGCCCCCGAGGATCAACAACCCGAATAGATGGGTCGAAAGAAGCCTTCTTCATCATCTGGTACTCCGTCCCCTGAATATCCCACGGGGCGCTGAACGCCTGTTGGTCGAGGGAACCGACCTCGGCCACTCGCCTTGTGCCCGTCTGGCCCTCTCTCCACTGGCAGGTCTCATGCTTCGAGCTACCATGGCGTCGTAGGACGTCCTGATACCGCTCCATGGGAAAGACCTCAGATTGGACTTCGGTCAGGAGAGGCACGGAGAAATCTGGCACCAAGTCAGCACCACCCCTTTTCCGCCATCATAAGAGCAACTCACCCCCTTTAAGATAACTTTCAATCTTGTACTGAGCCACCACAGCCGCCATGCGGCTCCCACCCTTGCCCCTCTTAATCACATAGCTCTGCCCCCGATAGCTATCCTCGCGCGAACCGGGCTGGTCGATGAACAGCTTGGGGCGGCCGCCAAAGAACTCGATCTCGAACTCGGCGCCGGGGTCGTAGCGGCGCACGAGGCGCATGAAGTCGGCGTCGGCGACGGCGTGCACGAGGTCCTCGGACTCGCGCAGGAAGTTGACAAAGAGGTGGCACAGGTGGTGGGTCACCATGGCGGCCAGGTGGAACTGCAGGCGGTGGAAGCGGACTGTCTCGGCAAGGTGCTCCTCCTTGCGGTGCTGCCGCCGGGCAATGTCTGCCTTGAGGCGGGTCCAGTACAGCTTTTCCATGAGCTGGTTACGTGCGGTTGTGTCAGTACACCGAGGGAATGGTTGACGGGGGAGTGAGTGGTCACTTACCTGCCAGTTCAGGTGCAGCACGGCGGCCGCCTTGGGATCGAAGTCGAACCGCTCTAGCGTCGAGTACTCGTCGACCCACGAGTACGGCATCGTCTTGTTCTCTTCCTCGTGGCAGAAGCCGTTGCGGTCGTCGAGCTTGACGATGGGGAAACGGTACCGCACGCAGCGGAGGAACTCATCCACGGCAGCGGGCACATCTACTGGCCACGGCTCAATAACCGGCCCTGGGACTGGCCTTTCGCGCCAGACACAGATTGCCTTCCGCGCCAGGTTCCCGAGGGCTACATTCGAGATAGTCAGCTCGGGGCCCGGAAAAGATAGCGAAGCGGCCACATACCAGTTCGCCCCCGTTCACCCTCCATCATCCTCAGCCCTAGATCCAGCACCGAAGTGACGGTAAAGGCTCGCCCACCGCTGCGCTCCAGGGGGTAGGTCATGCCGTTGTCGAGGACCTCGGAGATGATGATCTGGTACAGGCCCTCGGTGGGCAGGCGCTTCCAATGCTCCGATTTCACCAACCCGACGCGCAGCAGCCCGCGCTCCGACTTGGAAAGGCTCCCGGAGAGGGCTTCCCTGTTGACGGGGCCGTAAGAGCGGTGGGCGTGCTCGGTCGACATGTAAGGTGCCATGGCGGGCAGGTCTTTGCTTGGCTCGTTTCTCACACGGGGTGGAACTGGGTGGGCACGAGTGACGGGTTGTTACTGTGAAATTTGCTTGCTTTGCTTGGAACCACACGTTCGAAAGAGACAGGAGCAGACGGGAGGGTCCTGAGGTGTGTTCGCCGGTGAGCTAGCGGGAAACAGAATCTGCGAGTCGGGGGACCCTGGGCTGGACATAGCTGCTAGGCTCCGGGGATACCCCTCCGAGTCCCAAGGGGCCCCGGTGGTCATGAACCGGCCCGGTCAGTATGTTGGGTGGAAACGGCCGGCCGGGTCCGGGTGGGCGTTTGGCAGGCCGGCGTTTGGCAGTAAACATAAGGCAAGGGAGTCATGGTCGTTGGCCAGGTTGAGCAGCCCGCAGGTGATAAGCATTTATGATAGTTAAAATACGGCCGATGGTCCCTTCGGCTGGCCTAGAAGGAAAAGGTCATGGTTTCTCCGAGTTCTGCTAGACACCGGCTCTTTCGGAGTGATGCCCCAACGACCGACCGTTATCGAGGCCGGCTGGTGATGGGATGATGGGCTGTTTCATCACAACGCACAAGTTCGCAGTATGTGAGTGGAGCAAGGAAATTCCGCCGTCTGCCAACAGCAGCGCTCTCTTCTTCAAAGCCGGTTGACAGACAATGTGATAGACCGGGCCTTGGCCCGATGCGCGGGCGGCGCAGTCCGTTGTTTCATGGCGACAACATCGGGCCAACGATCCAACACCAGCAATTGGCCCATTGACTTCGGCAGTCTAAGTACACCATCCATCCGCTGTAAACCCGAAATGGGGTCAAAAATCGCGGCTGGAGAGGAGCGGCAGGCAGCCGATGCATCCCATGCGGAATGGTTTCCGAGACTCGTCGGTTTCGAGTTGTCAGTGCAGGACAAAAAGAACCAGCCGAAGTTTTGTGGTGGGTGTAAGGCAAAGAGGGTTAGGGTCTAACCATGCATCTTGGCACCTGCAGGTCGAGCTGGAACGGTTCCGGTTGCACCAGCAGTGACCAGCTCAACTCGAGAACAATATCAAGCTGTGACAAGCATTCCATTCAACTTGGCAGCACACAATATCAAGATCATGCCGCTGCATGAAGCCAATAAAATGCGATACGCCCATCACAAAACTACTAACCTACGTAGAACTTCGGGGTATCTTAATCATGGCTACATCTTCTTTCGTTCCGACCCCTCAATTCCCAAGGAAACTTGCAATTGCAGTTGTCGTGACTCTCTCTGTGTGCCTGTATAAGTAACCGCCCGATACGGAAAACATCCTCATCATGGCGTCCCACATGCCCGCAAACTATGCCGAAGACCGTCTGCATCGGTACCTCGCGCACTGGACCCGAGATCCGTCCAATGTCTCCAAGCTCGACGTCGCTGCCATCAGCTGGGCCACCGACGAAGAGCGCCATGAAAGACAGAAAAAGTACTACCAGGTAGGATCCGACTACTACGACCTCGTCACGCCACTGTACGAACAGGGCTGGTATGTTGTTACCCTCGAGCTGGAATCCACCCACCCCCTAGCACCCAAGGCTCCGTCCGGTCTGACAACGGCCCAGGGGCCAGCAATTCCACTACACGCCCATCACCCCGGGCCTCTCCATCCGGGAGAGCATGATAGCCTACGAGAAGACGTTTGCCGGGCTGGCCCGCCTCACCAAGGACATGCGGGTGCTCGACCTCGGGTGTGGCATCGGCGGGCCCGCGCGCACCATCGCCGCGGCCGTCGGGTGCAGCATCGTGGGCATCACCAGCAATGCGTGGCATGTCGAGCGCGGGTCCGCCCTGACCGAGGAGGCTGGCCTGGGCCACCTCGTCACGCTCGTCGAGGGCGACTTTTTGGTACGCTACCCCCCCTCCGCAGCCCCCATGGGGTATGCTGCTGTGATGGTGACGGGCCTGACACAGAGCAGAAACTACCCTTCCCCGACGAGTCGTTTGACGCGGCATACTCGGTCGAGTCGCTATGCTATGCGCCCGACCCCGCTGCGGTTTACAGGGAGATCAAGCGTGTGCTGAAGCCCGGCGCGCCGTTTACGTTTCATGACTTTGCCATGACGGAGAAGTTTGATGCGAGCAAGCTCGAGCAGTACAAGGTGCGCAACTGGATCGAGTTTGGGAACGGCATCACCAAGATGCCGTGGGTCCCCGAGATGCGGGAGGGTGTGAGAAAGGCCGGTGAGTACTGCTCTGGCTGCTGTTGGTCATGTCTTCTCCAGAGAGGGGGGGCGTGTTAACAAACGGGATGAATCTAGGCTTTGATCTCCTCAACGAGGAGGACATGGCGTTCCGCAGCTCCCCCGCCCCTTGGTACTATGGGCCCGCAGGCGACATATTGTGGGCCTGGAAGATGCCCGGCTGGCCCGACTTTTGGAAGGTGTTCAAGATGTGGGATCCCTTCCGCGGGTTTGCCCATCTCGTCTACCGCGCCATGATCTTTGTTGGCAAGGCCCCGCCCGAGGTCTCGACCCTGATGGACACCATGTGGTACTGTACTAAGAGTGTGGTTATCGGAGGGAGGATGGGTATCTTTACCCCCATGTACGTCTTTGTTTGTCGAAAGCCGGTAGCTGGGAAGGAGTAAAGAATCATGTTCTCGAAGGGACCTGGGGAATTCGGGCAAAGAGCATGAGAGTAAAGGGTTAGGGTTTATTTATCGTTGTGTTGTTGTTTCCTTGGCGCACCTTGATGTCTCACGCAGACCGCATCGCCGAGCCCGAGTCGCTGTTCGATCCGCCATCTGTCAAAGACGTCTTTATCCGGTCCCGAATAGGTCTTGAATAGGCGGCCAATCGACCATGGTGGCACTGTCTGTCACCTAGAAGCCGCATTCCATTCATTTTGCGTAGCTCAATTGATAGTAGCTGGTTTTTTTTGTTTGGTTTGCCTTGCTGTGGCCCTTGTGGCACTCCCATCCCGCCGCCGTCTGCCGTTAGCCGCCTGTCGTCTGCCGCTGGCCGCTGTCCGCGGTTCTGTCACAAACATGGCTCCCTACCGAGACGTCCCGCTTGTGTCGTCTCGCACACACAGCTCGAATCGAGATCGAAGCCAAAGTCGATCGAGGATGTCGCACGAGTCGGGCTCCTCCGTCTCGACCACGAGCATCGTCTTCGACCGCATCAGCGAGCGCGTTGCTAAAGAAGCTGCTCTCGAGAAGCGGCCCCTCGGCGACGACGATGAGGACGCCCTCAAGGACGAACCGGACAACGATGACCTCGAGACCGGTCCCTTCCTCGGGAACAACAGTGGCAATGGCAACCCCCCTCGACATGCCGATAAGAAGGGACCGGGCATGGACCGGGGGATGCGGAGGGCGCTGCTCATTGCCGCTGGTCTGTTAGTCTCTGCCTGGGTCGCCGGTCTGTTCGTCTACATCGCGACCAAGTCCTACAAGCCTGCTTCCGCCACCGCCCACGACCCGCAAGCGACCGTCGTACGGGGTTCCGGGAAAGCCGTGACACTGGATCAGGTTATGGGCAGCTTCTGGCGTCCCGACGTCCACTCGATACAATGGATCGCGGGGTCTGGGGGCGAGGATGGTCTTCTGTTGGAGAGGGACGCGGCCGGGAAGGATTTTCTCGTGGTAGAAGATATCCGTTCGCAAAACGCTGCCGCCGTGGGTGACTCAGCCGATGCGCAAGTGGCAGACGCCAGGACCTTGATGAAGAAGGGCAGCTTCGATTATGACCAGAGGGTCTACAACGTCGTCAAGGTCGCGCCGAGCAGGGACTTGCAAAGGGTACTGCTTGCGACCGATGTGAAGTCCAACTGGCGCCACTCGTCCTATGCTGCCTACTGGATCTTTGACGTCAAAACGCAAACCGCCGACCCCCTAATTCCGGGCGAACCCGATGCGCGCATCCAGCTTGCCCAGTGGAACCCAACCGGTGATGCCGTCGCCTTCACCAGGGACAACAACCTATACCTGCGCAAAGTTGGGTCCAAGAACGTTATCCAGGTCACCAAGGATGGCGGCTCCGAGGTGTTTAACGGAGTCCCCGACTGGGTGTATGAGGAAGAGGTCTTCTCCGGCTCCAGTGCCACATGGTGGTCTGAAGACGGCGCCTACATCGCATTCCTACGGACCAACGAGACCGGCGTGCCAGAGTACCCCATCGATTACTTTCTCAGCAGACCCAGCGGCACGGAGCCCACGCCGGGTGAGGAGGCGTACCCCGAAACTAGGAAGATCAAGTACCCGAAGGCGGGCGCGCACAACCCAGTCGTCGAGCTCAAGTTCTACGACGTCGCCCGTGGCGATGTCTTCTCGGTGGATATTTCGGGCGGCTTCGCCGATGACGATCGCCTAATCACTGAGGTTGTCTGGGCGGGGCAGCAAGTTCTGGTCAAGGAGACAAACAGGGTCAGCGACGTGATGCGCGTAGTTCTAGTTGACGTAACGGGCCGCACCGGCAAGACAGTCAGGACGACGGACGTCAACGCCATTGACGGCGGTTGGTTCGAGATTACGCACCAGACGAAGCATATCCCGGCCGACCCGGCCAAGGGGCGCGAGCATGATGGCTACATCGACCTGATCATCCATGATGATAGCAATCATTTGGCTTACTTCACGCCGCTGGACAACCCCGACCCCGTCATGCTTACCTCGGGCGACTGGGAAGTTGTTGACTCGCCGTATGCCGTGGACCTGGAAAAGAACGTCGTCTACTTCGTGGCAACCAAGGAGTCATCGATCCAACGACACGTCTACCAGGTCAAGCTCACGGGGGAAGACCTGGCTGCGGTATCCGACACCTCTTCTGAAGGCTACTATTCGGCCTCGTTCTCCATCGGTGGTGGCTACGCTCTGCTGACGTACCAAGGCCCTGGGATTCCGTGGCAGAAGGTCATCAGCACGCCGAGCAACCCGCGCCAGTACGAGCACGTCGTAGAAGAGAATAAGGACCTCGCCGAGAGCGCCAAAAAGCACGAACTTCCCATCAAGATTTATGGAACCATCAATGTCGACGGGGTAGAACTGAACTACGTCGAAAGGCGGCCGCCTCACTTTGATGCGAACAAGAGGTACCCCCGTTTTGTTCCAGCAGTACAGCGGCCCGGGATCGCAGACAGTCAACAAGAAATTCCTCGTCGACTACCAATCCTACGTCGCTGCTGGACTCGGGTACATCTGCGTCACGGTCGACGGGCGCGGCACGGGCTACATCGGCCGCAAGAATCGCGTCATCGTCCGCGGTAACCTCGGCCAGTGGGAGGCGCACGACCAGATCGCCGCGGCCAAGATTTGGGCCGGGAAGAAGTACATCGACGAGACGCGGCTCGCCATCTGGGGGTGGAGCTACGGCGGCTTCAACACCCTCAAGACGCTCGAGCAGGATGCCGGCGAGACGTTCCGGTACGGCATGGCTGTGGCCCCGGTTACTGACTGGCGGTTCTACGACAGCATCTACACGGAACGGTACATGCTCACGCCGCAGGTCAACGGGCATGGGTATGATACCAGCGCTATCACCAACATGACGGCTCTTTCGCAGAACGTGCGGTTCCTGCTGATGCACGGCTTGTCCGACGATAACGTGCACTTCCAGTCATCATTGACCCTGTTGGATAAACTGGACCTGACTGGGGTGGAGAACTACGACGTCCATGTGTTCCCAGACAGCGACCACAGCATCTACTTTCACAACGCGAACCGGATCGTCTATGACAGTGAGTTTCCTTCTCAGGATTTATCAATGTTGTTTACACAGCATGCTAACAACAAAATAGAGCTGACAAACTGGCTCATCAACGCATTCAACGGCGAGTGGATTAAGGTCGCAAACCCGAAGCCGAATGGGAAGAAAAGAGCCGCATGAGTTCACTTCTGAGCGAGCAATCTTGAGATAGCGTTTGGATAGCATAGGACGGCGTCAGGAGTTTCCATGGGTATATATTATATATTCAACCAAGTTTTCCAGCGTCTAGTTCGGTATCACGCGCACAGTTAAGCAGTTGAACTCCGAATCCCCCCCTAACCTCCCTCCCCCCAAAACAGCCAGCCCGAACACACAGGCACGAAACAAACAAACAGTTTCCCTAAACCAAACCAAACCAAACCCAACCAAGCCGTCTCAACCATCTCACTCGCTCTTGGGAGCCAGCTGCGGGGGCGTCTCGACGGTGTCGTCGATCTTCTCGATGATGGCGGCCGTGCCGTAGGCGCACACCTGGGCGAAGCCGCTCAGCTCGCCGGCGTCGAAGCGCAGCGCGATGACGGCGTTGCCGCCGCGCGCCTGCGCCTCCGACACGATGCGCGAGATGGCGTCGTTGCGCGCGCTGTAGAGCTTTTTTTTTTTTTCACATGTTAATAACAAAGAATCCGGTAGTATATCGTGGTAAAATGGTAATGGGTAGGTAGGTAGGGTACGTACCATGTCGGTGAACCACCGCAGCTCGCCGCCCGCCACGCTCTTCAGCACCATGCCCAGCCCGGCCGCCCAGTTGCGCGACCGCACCGTCAGCCCGTACACGGCGCCCAGCACCCGCACGACCCGGTACCCGGGGACGTCGAACATGGTGGTGGTGATGACGCCGTTGGTCTCGGTGAAGCCTGGGGATGGGGAGGTTCAAACTCGATGTTAGTGGCCTGTGTCTGTCTGTTTGGGGTGGTATATGGGGGCTTTTCTTTTTGCCGGTGTGAGGGTCTGGGAGACGAACAGTGGAGGTCTGAGATGGACGGCGGCACGTCGGCCGTCTGCTGGTCCTTGGGGTTCATGGAGAGGCGGTGGGAGGACATTTTGGTGGTGGTTTGAGTGTGTGGTGGTGGTGGTGGTGGTGGTGGTGGTGGTGGTCAAGAGACTGAATGGTCTGGTTTGATGATGGCAAAACAGGAGTGTCGAGATGGAAACCGAGAGTGAGATCGAAAGTGAGGCAATCAAGTCACAGTTGATAGAGAGATGATGATGATATTCTTTTCTGACTCGTCCTCGAGGGCTGCTCAGTCCCCTTATATAGACAAAGGCTCCTCGGAGTAATGACGGGGTCTGCCTTACACCTCGTTCTCGACCAGTCTTTTTTTTGCATCACTTCGCCTAACCTTACTCAATCCATGATCTGTTCTGTCCATTCTAACAGGCCAGCCTGGTGTTTGACACCATCGATCTTCAACAGGCGGTGTTGGAGTCGCCAAGAAATGCCACCGTATTTCGTATCATTGCACAGAAAGCGTCAAGACCGAATCGCTCAGCCCCTCATTCGGCCCCACCTCTGTGGCCCAGACGAAAATCGGCCAATCGACTGCCGTTTGCGGCGCATTTCCAAGACCATGATCGACGCCTTGGGCAGAAACCCATAAGCAGCCCCATTTGCTGGGATTGATCGGGTGGATTCGGGTTTTGCGCCTGGATTAGTTAACCCTAACCCGGGCCCTGGCGTTGATGAAGGAAAGCCACCCTCCCACCTAACCACCACAACATTGACAACGGCAACCATGATGATAGCAACAAAACGAGACCGAGGAAAGAGGGAAGAAAGCGGATGGGATTGGAAAAGTCTGGGAAACTAAGGCGGAAGAATAAAGAAGAAACAATAGAAATAAGGTAGGTGGAGGATGGCAACGAGGAAGAATGAAGCAGACGCGGCAACTAGAGTAACGGGAGAAAGAAAAGATGAAGAAAAACAACATCAAGATGTCTCACGCCATATAATAGAGTCATGACGACAACAGCAACAACGGCTGCCATGCCCTTTCACTTCACAGATTCGAGACCGCTCCTGGGAGTCAGGGTTGGGGTTTCTGAACTGGAATCCCTTCCCGCGTCTAGGCACGGCGGCCCGGAGACATCGGCCATCGTCCCACAATTCCATTCTAGAGACACGGAACGACACTCCCTTCAGGAAACGGGGCGATCTTATAGGGGTTCCGCCATTAAAAACAGTCAATGGGCTCCCCACGGTTCGCGATGCCGCTCGCCAAACAACAATCAATTCAGCCGAAATAATCGCGATCGACGTCCCGCTACCTCGTTTTGACCACGGAAGGGACAATGGGGAGTCAGAGCCATATATCTCAGGGGCTGCCCCCGTTCTCATGTCGATGGAGCTCCCCTGAGTGTTCCGGTTGAGAGAGACTGAATCGAGGCAAACCATCAAAGCCACCACCACCACCACCACCATGTTCTCCACAACCCTCCTCAGCCTGCTCACGGTTGCCGCGACGGCCAACGCCGCCTGCACCCCCCCAAGGAACGCGGCGACCGCCGCGGTCGAGTGCCCTATCGTTTTCGAGGGTCGTGTCGGGGTCGACGCCCAGCTCGCCGACTTCGACAGCTATGACACCTCGCTCTTCAACGCCGAGTACGTCAAGGGCGAGAACCTGCAGTGGAGCGAGATCATCCAGTTCCCCGAGGCCGAGAACGCCCACTTCGACGACGAGACCCACAAGCCGTTCGAGGTCACCATCAGCGACGACAGCATCTTCCAGACCCAGAAGGGCTTCCGCCGCGCGGGGCTGCAGTTCCTGGAGGACACCAACACCGGGAGCCCGGGCAGCACCGGCGTCAAGACGATCCACTTCAGCCTCAGGATCGACCCCCAGCGGGCGCTGAACCTGAGCCACGAGTACCTCCTGGTCTGGAGGGAAGCCGCCGACTACAGCAGCAACCAGTTCAACTTTGAGACCGGCGCCGTCCTGGGCCAGGCGAGCCTGCCCAAGGACACCTACAAGGTGCTGGACCGCCAGAACAAGGAGATCTGGTCGACCCCCATCCTGGAGGACAGCTGGCAGAACTTTGCTGTGACTCTCGACCATGACCAGAAGTACGTCTCTTTTACCCTCATGACATTTTGCTTTTGGGGACGCGAACTAACAGACAGCAGCACTCTCCAAGTGTACTACTCTGCCGGCGACGAGCCGCTCGAGAGCGTCACCGAGGCCGTGTCCAACGACAACTCGGGCGAGGGACAGTTCCAGATCGGCATGCTCAAGAAGCCCACTGGCACCGACGACGTCGTCAACTCGGGCTACCAGGAGAGCGGCATCGACGAGGGGCTCATCTACGGCAGCCTGTTCGTCGAGGACAGCGCAGATGGCTGTGTCTCTGTTTAAGGGTAAAACCGGAGTTATCTCATCCATGTCTGGGTTGCTAGAACGATAGACTACTACTCGAGAGCGCAAATAGCTAAGACGATCGCTCCCAGAGATGTACTATCATATGAAACCATCTCTCCCCCCATTTCCGTCGTCCCACCTCCAACTATGCCCGGCAAACCATCGCACTTCCACTTATCTCTATATCTCATCCCCCCCTTCTATCCCACCCCCAACCCTCTCCACATCCATCTCAGTGCCCCACCCCCTCAAACCTCAACGCCGGCATCGTAAACTCCTCCCTGCCCGTATACACCTGCCGCACAAACATGCCCTCCCCCACCACCTCCAAAACCCCCTCCTCAAAATACGCAACCGACTCGTCGTACGTGCGCGCGTCCACCTGGCGCACCACCCGCAGGTACGCGCCGCCGCCGCCGCCGCCCGTCGTCTGCTGCTGCTGCTGGTCGATGCCACCACGCCCGCGCGTCGTCGGGTCCGCCGGGTCGACGTCGCCGCCCATCGTCCACGAGAACCACACGTGGTCGTGCGTCCAGTCCTGCGGGTCGTCGTCGATGAAGTCCGGGCCGTGGTGGCACCAGGTTTGCGGGATTGAGGTTAGGGAGTGGTTGGTGGTGGTGCTGAGGGCGAAGCAGTGGGCTGGGGTTGCGGTGGGGTAGGGGGTGAGGTGGAAGTTGACGCTGGGGAATGGGGTGGGGTGGTTAGTGAGTGGGGGGTTGTAAGGTTGGATGGATGGGGTGAGTTGGGTACGCACTAGCTCTGGTCGCTGAGCGCCACCGCTTGAGCTTCGAAGTGCGTCACGGAAAAGTCGAAGAGGTTGCTGGTGACGATGGGAGCTGGGTTGGGCGGCGGCACCTCGATGTGCTCGGCTGGCAGGGCAATGGCGACGGCTGAGGCGATAAGCGCCATCATGGCGGTGATGCCGGAAAGAATCATCGTGCCTTTCTTTTGATGGGCTTGGTTCGTCTCAGATTCTGTTCGTACCGGGTTGTTTGTTAGATTTGAGCAGTCAAAAAGATCTGGGTTGGAGGGAAACTCCCGGAAAGCTACCTGACCTATTTCTAAATGAGATTTCACACGCACCTTCCCTCAGGAGTAAAGAATACGGCCGGGTTACCTGCCCTCAGGCTTCTGGTACCTCCTTCCTCGGGAGTAACTGAGGCACAAAGTGCAAGGTTGCACTCAGGCTCGTACAAATCATGGATTGAGAAGGGTGTTTGCCCTTTCACGCTTCAACGGTCTCGTCAACAACTTAACTGCTTTCCAAGGATCGCATGTTGGTGCACTGGTCGATCGAAGACACCCCGTTGCCCCGATGTTGCAAGTAAGGAAGGTGCTGCTCTGTACAACTTCTATTGCGGCCTTTCTGCTTTACGTCGAAGTTCGCCATGTTGAACAAACCAGTCCCAGAGGAGCTAAGCACCGTATCATCTTCCAAGGAGCAATGTCTTCCATGAAGCCGGAGTGGCGGCAACGGTTCGCAGTCCTCGATTTTAAACAAACTCTTCGAAGTTAACGACACGGCCCCATCGGGTTCATTGCCCAACATCAGATCCGTGCACTTGTACAACAGAAAATCCGAGTTCCAGTTCAAATCCAGGTCGTCCGTATGTGATATTCCATGGGCAGGTCAGTTCTCCAACTCCCATGGAGGTAAGCACATGTCCCATGGGTCTAAGAGTCAGGGAGGGAAAGTCGACAGAACACTCCAGGATTCAACGACCAACATCTCAAGTTCACCCAATGGGCAGCTGCAGATCGTCATCGGATGGCAAGTACGGGAGGATGCCATGTGTATGTCCCCAATCGGCCGGGTTCGGCTATGAATCCAACTCGCACGGATCCCGACTTTCCTGTCGACGTGCAAGCCACTCGTTCCACCGATGCCGACAACGCTCTCCGCCATTTGATGTCGGAACTGGGAATGTGCTGACCGGCAGAGCTGCTGCAGCTTAAGCCTGCAGAAGTGGCCTGCCGCCCCACCGCCAACTCAGCGTGGGCAGCTGGCAGCTGGCAACTTCCCTGGTACCAGTCGCTGGACAACGCACGGCCGCAGCTAGAAAAACTGCCCCTGCCCGCATTTTTCTTCTTTCTCTTTTTCCTCCTCTTCCTCAACTCCTTCCCAGGACTGAGACTTCCTGGTTGTGATCTCAGCGGTGGAAACCGGATTTGGAGAGCGGTGAACCGGAGACTGAGTGGAACCCGCCCTGGCAGTGGGTCAGGAGTGACCGGGGTCCTGAGAAGGACTGCGGCGCACTGGGTCGCCTTGTGGCTCGTTTCGGAGATCACCATCTCACACCCCCTTGTCAGAAACGCCTGACTTTGTGTCTCCTGGCTGAAAAAGGCACGGCTTTATTTTTTTTCTTTCAACCCCCCCCTGAGAAACGACACGACGGGCCTCGTCATCGACAGCCTTCCGATTGCGTCTCTGGGTCAGGCAGCAAGTAAGTAAAACCCAATACAGAAAAGCTCCAGTTGCCGACGTAACACAGTGGATACGCCGCCAAAGGGTGTGTCAAAGTACCCGGCGCTCTGAGTGGTCCACGGCAGGATTATTTTTATTCGTCCCGAAAACTGACATTCAGCTTCTTGCCAGATCTCCAACCGAAACCCAAAGCCACGCTTTGTTGACGCATCCCTTCCGTCACATCGCGACTTAAATTCAAACTACAAGGCCAATTCTGTGCCATTATCCCCCACAACAACCCCGCGACCGTTCTACGAAAACTTATCTGCTCGGCCAACCCAACAACACCCAAAATGGCACGGATACAGATCCCGATAGACGTGCTGACGTCGCGCCTCAATCTTGGGGACCGCTTCGCTAGCATACGCTCCGGATCGCTCGCCAGCCGCTTTTCGAACCTGCGGCCCCTCTCCGAGTTCTTCGACGTGAAGCGCGTCAACAAGCCGGCCAACTTCGCCGAGATGCAGTCGCGTGTCAACTACAACCTCGGCTACTACTCAAGCAACTATGCCGTCGTCTTCTCCATGCTCTGCATTTACGGCCTGCTCACAAATTTCTGGCTGCTTTTCGACATCATATTTGTCGTCGTTGGCATGTTTGTCATCGGCAAGCTCGAGGGTCGCGACCTCGAGCTCGGCGAGCAGCGTTTCTCAACGGTGCAGCTGTACACGGGTCTCTACGTCATCGCCATTCCGATCGCCCTGATCTCGGGCGTCTTTGGCACGATGATGTGGCTGATCGGCGCGAGCGGTGTGGTCATTCTCGGCCACGCTGCGCTTTTGGACAAGCCCATCGATGAGGCTTTTTCCGGGGAGGCGGTCTAGGTGGTCGGCCGCGAGCTCCCAAACCTGCGCCCCAATGGGGAAGACCATCAAGGCGCGAGAGGAGGACACAGGAAGCGCGCAACGGGGAGGAGGAGAGGTGGTGGGAGTTTAACCAGCGAGTCGAGGAGCTGGGAAGCGAGGATGATTTCGATGCACAGGGCGTTGGTTCGGGCTCAATGGCATTGAGCCGTCGGGTCACTAGTGACCCGCTTCGATTCACGGGGGTAGATTTGGGCGACGGGGACGGTAATACTCGGTCGCGGAAGGCGTATGCATATCAGAACGGGGAGGACGACGAGACAGACGAATCAGAACAAGAGTCGGACGGCGAGGACGGCGTCCGGATGCCTTTGGTAGATCCTCAGGAGGAAGCGCTGGCCGACGCTGCAATGGCCCGGATACAAAAGGCCCATGCCAAGGGCAGACAGGATGTCAAGCTGAGCAAGGAGGAATTGGCCGCTTACCAGCGGCGACTGCAGCGCATGGAGGAGGAGGAGCGCAGACAACGGCGAGATCAGCGGGTTGCCATCCCCATCTCACAACTGGGACCTGGCTTCCGGCCAAATAAACAATTGCTGGAAGATGGCAGCCCTCCGCCTTCACAACAAGACTCGCCGGAGCCGGGGGTAGAGCGACAGGCGTCCTCTCCTCCGATGGGCTATTTCCCACCCCCTTCATCACGGACTCGCGCTCGCCAAGGGGCCGCGTCATCGAGAACGCCGAGTCAGGCTGCCGCTGACAGAGAACCGAGCTCCTCACCGTTCACGTATACCTATGTGCGCGGCGAGCAACCGGCCAATGTTCGCCAACCTTCGGACCCGACAACCAGCAGGCCGCTCTCCATCGCCGAGCCGGTTTCGGCCCGGAACGACGGATCGCCCGGCTCGGATCCCTTTCAGTACATGATGGGAGGGACGCGCACGTCGTACCACGGCGGAGCAGGGTCTGTGCGAAACAGCGTCGCCGAGGTGGACGACATCTACGCCAGCTACGGGTCCGGCCCAACTGGCGGCGCGAGTCGGCGGCAGAGCGGCGGCCCTAGAGAAGCCGATTTGTCCGACGATGACGGTGACCGCAGGCGTGTGGTGGCGAGGGTCAACTCGGGGAGCGGCGGCCGGTCTCGGCACCGGGACAGTACTGATAGCCGGCGGGAGCCTGCACCGGAACCGCGGCCATCTCGGGATCGGACGCCGCCGCTTCCAAAGAAGTCGTCGGCTGTGTCGTCGACGGTGGCAAAGCGCAAGTCGGTGTCGGCCAGCACCAAACCCGTGCGGAAGAAGAAATAGTCGTCATCCTCTCAGGTCTGCTGTGCAGATAGCGGAAGTGATCGGGTTTTACTGTCCTAATGTTTGGTGCAAAAGTGGCTGGCGTTTAGCGATAGACTAGTGCTGCGTTTAATAACGATGGCTGTGTGCATTCTGGAAACAATGTCGCCTTGCTTGACCCATCGTGACCCATCGGTTCAGAGTGAAATCACACACAGGATCCTAGTATAAGCGAGTACCCAAACGCCCTTTTCTTCGTTAAGCAAAAATACCTACCCATACTCATATCTACTCGTAACTATGGCGCGCTGGCCGCTCATCCCTCATCCCTCATCTCATCCATCATCCATCATCATCCCTCATAACCAACCAGCCACACCGAATCAAGAAAACATCTTCATCACCCCCTTCAACCCATCACTCCATCCACCACCACCGCCCCCAAACCCATCAAAATCCCTCTCCAAACTCCTCCTCTCCCACTGCATCCCCCCCTCCCTTCCCCTCTCCACACCCGCCCTAACCACACTACTCCCGCCCCCCGCCGCCGCCGCGGCACCGCTCATCATCCGCACCGCCTCACCCACCAACCCCAACGAATCCCCGCCCCCGGCCCGCGCCGCCACCCCCAGCATGCGCTCCACGAAGGGCGGCAGCCGCAAGCCGACCCGCGCCAGCAGCGCCGTCAGCGCGCCGCCTGTGATTAGCGGCATCAGCACGAGCATGAACACTTTGGTCGGGTGGCGTTTGGCGTAGTAGAGGAGGTCGCGGAAGAGGCGTTTGAGTTTTTTGAGGAGGCGCGCGATGAAGCCGGGCCGGGGGGAGCGCCGGTAGTGGGAGGAGGAGGATGAGTGGGGGGGGCGGCCTCCTAGAGGGGGGTGTTAGTGTCTAGGTGGGGATGGGGAGGTGTTTTTTTTCTTTTGAGGGGGGGGGGGGGGACGTACCGAAGTTGCTGAAGAAGGAGCCTCTAGAGTTGTTGGGCGCGCCGCCGCCGAAGAAGGAGCGCACGCCGTCGTCGTCGCTGTCTCCGCCTCCGCGCCGGGTGTCGTGGTGGCTGCGCCGGCGGCTGCTGCGATGGTGGTCATCCTCGTCCTCGTCGCCGCCGAAGACGGAGGCTGCGATGCCGCTGATGGCGCCGCCCACGCCACCACCACCACCGCTGCTGCCGACGTTGGAGCGGGAGGAGCGGTGGCGCGACCGCGAGCGCTCGTGGCTGCGGGAGCGGTCTTTGTGGTGGTGGTGGCGGCTGCTGCGGTGCGACTTGGACCGCTTCGAGTGCGAGGTCCGCCCCGACATGACCGAGGCGGCGTCGTCGAGGAAGCCCATGGTTGCGTGAGGGTGCTTGTGAGTGCCTGCTGAGTGCTCCCTGAGTGCTTGCGGGTGCTGGGGGTGTTCAACAAGGCTCCGTTACGCAGTACACAAGAGCGATTAACTATAAGCAGCGCGGTGGGCCGTGGCCTGCTATCGTGGCATGCGCTGGGTTGAGCGCGCTCGCAGAGCCAATTGATGCAACTTGACGCTCAGAAATGACAGCGCTGCTCTCTCCACATCGAAGAACTCTGTAAGTCGAGTCTTGGATGCACACAACAGACAGACCGGGGGGGGATGGTTGAAGAAGTCCAGTGGCTGAACACCCCCAGCCCACACCGCCCGAAATTCATGAGGCTGGGACTGGAAGTCGTCTCGTCTCGGAGCTGGACCCCTGCACAGTCAGGGGTCAATGGAAGGCTGGGCAGACTCGGGTGGGACGGCACAGGGGTCCCGGCCCACCAACCAGCGACGCTACCCTAACCCGATGGGCGAGGGCATCTTCAAGGTTGGCTCGTTGTTTGGTTCTAGGTTCTTCCCTCCTGGTGATGATTATTTTGGGGGCGCCGCCCCTTCTGAGTTGGTCTATGATACATCGCCTTCTATTCGTGTCATCCAAATCACCGGTTGAAAACCCAAGCAATAAAACCTCTATCTTAACCTTTTCCGGCCCCCAAATTTCCCGTCTACCTCGCCCGCTCCTCCTCCCTCGCCCTCTGCTTCTTCAACTCATCATAATCGGGCATAAACCGGCTCACCACCGTAAACCCCAGCCCGATGGCCACCATCAACACCCAGATGGCATAACCCCACAGCAGCTGGGTCCGGGCGCCGACGGCAAACAAGCCCGAGAAGGCGGCGGGAGAGAAGGCCCTCACGCCACTCACGATGGCCAGGGCGAGGGCGTTGAGGGTGCCGAGCGTGGCCGGGCTCGGCGAGACGTCGTTGAGGGCGAGCTGGATGGCGGTGAAGCACATGCTGACGCCGGAGCCGATGGCCAGCAGGGGCGGGGCGGCGATCCAGAAGGCCGTCGTGGTGGCGGGGGTGTCGAACCGCAGGAGGAGGTTGAAGAACGGGGCTACGGCGAAGAAGAGCGGGTAGGCGAGGGCGCAGGCCCTGAGAACGCCGTTGGTGCCGATGCGCCGGTGCAGCGGCGGGAACACCAGCAGGATCCAGAGCGCCTGGGCAAAGCCGTTGAGCCCCATCATAAGGGAGATCTGAAGCGGCGTGAAGCCCCAGCCGCCGAGGCTGACCTTGGTGAACCAGAAGACGGGGATGATGGACGTGTAGGAGTAGGCTAGGAGCATGATGTGGCCGTACGTGTAGAGGACGATAGGCACACCGGGGAACTTGAGCAGGTCCCGCGTAGAACGCGTTTTGGGTTTGGGGGCGGCGGATTCTTCGCTGTGGCTGCCGTCGGCCGCGGTGGGTTTGACGAGCGTCTCCTCGACGCAGACGGCAGTAACGGCCACGGCGGAGAGGCCGATACAAGCCACGACCAAGCTCGGGAGCGCGTATGGGTAGTTGATAAAAAAGGTAACGTTGCCGAACAGGCCGGGGGTACTGCCGTGCCGGGTCGGCTAGGGCACCACCGATGAGCGGCCCGAACAAGATGCCCATGTTGCCGGTGAAGGCGAACCAACTAAAAGCGCGGGCCTGGGTCTTGGAGGTGCTGTGCTCCGAGATCATGGTGCGGATGGTAACGATGGTGCCAGCAAAGACACCGGCGAGGCAGCGGAAGAGGACCATTTGCCAAAGTGTCTTTGCCATGCCGAAGAGTGCCGTGGCACAGGAAACGCCAGCCAGCGAGAAGACCAATACCGGCTTGCGGCCGAAGCGGTCGGAAGCCCTTCCCCACATGATCATGACCATCATCTGGGTGAGCGAGAAGAGCGACTCGATCAGGCCGCTGTAGAAACCCACGTCGGCATCGGCGAGCTGACCATTCTCCTGGGCCATCTGGTTGATGTAGGGGAAGATGCAGAAGAAAGCCACGGGCTCGACCCAGCGGGCGTAACAGAGGGCGGCGATCTGCCACACGGGCAGCGGCTTGTCGTCGGCATTGTTGTCTTGATGGGTGTCGATGTTCGGGATATCTTCAGAAGCCAAAAGCCGTGTCTGCTCCGTCGCCTCGTACACGCCGTCGACACCATTGGCGCCGTCACCACTCATTTTGCGTGATACGGTGAAGAAATTGGTGGTTCAGAGATCGTAATGCCCGGTTTCCTAAGCATTGCTGCAAAGATGCCCTCGTAGATATTTATGCCGACCGCTTACACAGTACCGCGTCAAAAGCTTAAAACGGAGTCGGCGTGGCAGGCAGCGTGCTGGCGTTGCCCTCAGATGAAAAATGGCGCGATTGGCCGCTATCAGTGGGGGGTGGAACCCCCGAAGATGATCTTCCCAGGGGCACGGTGCCCTGTGGGGACCCGAGGGGTTCGTGTTTCCTTTCTCATTCTTTTCTTTCTCGCCGGGATCAACGAGTTACGAAGAGTCTGATGAGATGTTTTGCTTCCCCGTGAGACTCGGAGCCAGTGCTACTCACCTACCGTAACCTGTACGCAGTACATACATGTACAACTTACATACCTACATAAATACAGTGCATCCCCAAAAAGCCAGCATCGTATCAATAACGTTGCATTGTTCGTCGGTTGTGTGCGACCCGGCATCCAACTGCCGCATCCGGAAGGCAGCATTGCGAGAGTTCCTACGATGGGTGGATGGGTCAGCACTGCGACTCGAGGGTGTCACCGTCACTGGCTGCACGCACTTTTCATCGGTTCTGCCCTCGCATTCCCTTAATAAGAAAAGACCACACGGCAGGAAGGTCAGAGCACATACTACCTCTCGTGTCATGGCCAGGTGACGCCGACCAAACAAGCCTCACCGAGGCACAAACGTGGCAACCCACCTTAATCGAAGCTGCCACACACACACACATCGCGCTTTGCCGCGTGCCGACATCAGAGAAGGTCCTTCTAGAATATGACCGTGTGGCTGTCGCACCGTCACAGCGGGGTGGTCAGCCCTTGGCACAATAAGAGCGTGGGCGTCAGACAAGCTGTGCTGGGTGAGTACCAGTGGTGCCCAGATAAGCCCAGCGATCAAAGCGTGAGAGAAGAGAAATCGGGGTTTGAGAATCTACTATCAATGAGTGAGGGTATCTTTCAGACATCAGCCCGCTTTTCCCAACACGCCGTCCATGCCCAACAAGAGTGACAGGCTTTTTGTTTCCCTTTTGTCCGTGCCCGCAACCCAGAAGCCAGAAGTGACCGTATCTTGACCGCGCCGTGCCATGAACCACAAAGAGCAACGCTCACAAGACAAGAAATGCGTCCCATCCCCGTAGACCGACCTACCTACTGCACGCCGCCAACACCCCGTGTATACCTCCACAACAAACTTGCTCCTTTCAGCTTCCACTTTGGCAAGCATATCCTCTCGCCAGCCCCTTTGCCCGCAGGTCCCATTCCACCACCACCACCACCACCACCACCACCACCACCACCACCAGCAGCACATGCCTTCCCAGCAGCCGCGCCCCGAAACACACCCCCCTCCTCCCCGGCATGCCCGTCCCGAGTCTCCTCGTCAGCACCCCCAGCCGGCAAGCAAGCCGCGACCATGCCCCGAACCCAGCGCCGCCTAAACCGCCGCCAGTCGTCGTTGGTCGGCCACGGATCGCACCACTCGCCTTCCTCCTCCCCATCACTAGCATCTCCACTCCCAACGCCCACGTTCCCAATAGAACAATCCCACCTACTCCCTTCCCCGATACCACTAAACCCAGTCCCACCCCCTAACCCCAAACCCGACCCCGACCCCAGAGAAGAAGCCCCGCCCCGCGACCCGTTAACATAGCACTCATACTCATCGAACTCGTCGCGCTCCTGCGCCCGCGCGTCCGGCAGCGGGTAGTACAGGAACTCGTTGGAGTGGGGCCGCCGCGGCGGCGAGTTGATGTTGGCCTCAATGTCAAACTTGAACCGGTACGCCTGATGCACCTGCTGCTGCCGCGGGGCCGGGGTCGGGGTTGGAGTTGTCGAAGTTGTGGTTGTGGTTGTGGTCGGGGTGGTCATCGGTTGGAGGGTTGCGTGCGGTTGTTGCTGGTGCTGATGGTGCTGGTTTTGTTGTTGTTGTGGGTTTTGCGGAGATGGTGGGAGTCGTAGTTGTTGTATGTGTGCCGGTTGAATTTGTAAAGGTAGTGGTGGTGGCGGCGGGGGTGATTGTTGTTGCGAGAGAGCTGAGAATGATGGGAGCGGTAGGGACGGCGGTGGCAAAGGGGAGGTGGTTGTGCTGTTCGCCGGGGAAGGTAGTCCATTTCGTATTGTCGTCGGGGCCGCCGTGGGAGGGCAATGAGGAGGAGGGCGGTTGTTTAAAGGGGGGCCATTGCCAGCGGGTGGCGAAGGGTGAACGATAGTATCGGATGTAGTTCTATACAAAGGCCCTAGCCCAGCAGAAGTTGACGCTGTCGCCGGTGGTAGGGGCATTGGTGTCAATGTCCCCGGAAACCGAAAGTCAAATTCGAACTGGAACTCTTGGTGGACCACAAAGATGAGCGTTCGAAGCCGCGGGAACTTAGCCAGGCTACCCAGCAGCTTGCTCATGTTGTTTTTGGATACCTTTCGGCCTAGAACGGGGTGGAAGATGCCAGGGTAGATTCCGTATGACGTTCCGAGCGCAAGGCGGGTTGCGTTCTCCCGCACCAGCGGGATCTGGCTCATAAAATGCAGCGTCCGGTGTAACCGCTTAACGAGCAGGTATGGCTCCAAAAGTAGGATATCCCGCGACATGTCGACGAATTTGGTCGTCTTTCCCAGTGTCAGGGGCTTGTAGTGGTGTAAGACAAAGTACCGACTTTCCCGACACACGGCCGCGAGCGCTGGCGGAGGTTCTGGGTGCATGTTCGCAAACATCAACCCTTCTTGAGCCGGTGTCTTCTGCTTCGCATTGGGCGCATCCAAGACCTCGTACACCCTTGGCTCCGGCAAAGCGAACTCCCAGATCATGTTCCGGATCTCAGGGGGGAGCCGTTGAAACCTGGCGAACTGGTCTGACGTCTGCATCGGGCAGCACCGCGGGAACAACTGGTCATGATGCATGGTTTCTGATCGCGAGCCGATGCACCTTTCCGGGGAATCGAGTTCCGCGACCGAGATATATCGTAGATTCCGTCGTCGACCCAGTCCCTTTAGCCAAGCAGCCCTTCTTCCCGTGATATCCCGCTCTTGAGAATATACCCGGCCCAGCCTCTCGGATCGGTAGCCACGTCAAGTCTCTCCGCACTTCAATTTGAGCCGCGTCCCAACGACAAGCCACGAAAGAAATAGCTGGCTGGAGTTAAGATGCCGGCAGTCGACCCGGAGAGCGGCGGGGTTGAGCTCGGTAACTCTGAATTGGATGTTCGGGACCAAGGGTCGGTGGGCGTCTGGTACCTTGGGCAAGTCTGCACGGCAAAGAAACAGCTTATGAGAAGCTGACCAAAAGCGATGGTGGGGAGCAAGCCGCACACATTAGGATCCAAGCTGATTAAGACGCAGCAACAAGAAACTGCGTGTGCCAATATTACAGACCGCGGCACAGGGCGCAGTAACACGTCATGTGTCCTCGCAAGTTCAAAGTCCACGGAGAGAAAAAGGAAGTTGAGAAGAACCTGGGAAGCGAATGATGTTTGGGCGCCACCAACTTTTGGGGCCCGCTGCGGCTTCAGCTCTTTCATCACTTGACAAAAGCAAGCAGGCAATCCGACGCTTCCCGGGTCTAGGAGAGCCTAGACAAAGCGCCGCGCTCGGGAGCGAGCCGAGCGACATATCGGAAACGGGTTAAGGGGGTCCAAGGCGGTATTTCCAAGAGTTACCATGCGTGCGCTTGCTTGGACATGGAAGATGTACCCCTCTCCCCCTTCTTGGATAAGGGACGGGAGCAGCAGATGAGATGGGAAAGTGCCAAACCTTCCCGCAAGAAGAAATTCCACACGGGACTGGCCGGCCCCCTTCTTAGGCCAGAGCGGGAAAAAGGAGCCACGGTCCATCCGACGCTACCGACCGCTGGACAATGGCAGGCTTGGTCATGGTCATGTCATTTCGTATGGCTCTGCGGGAGGCTGCGGGAACCTGACGACGTTGCGCCCTGTGGAGGGAGCTGGCAGCGCCGAGGCCCAACCGCTGCGGGAGCTGTCCGTCAGCTGGGCGCGCGGGTTGCGGTGAGCGGGATGGCGAGCAGATTGGGGGTCCTTTGGGCGCATGGTGTCGAATAGGCAGGCCGAAACAGACAGGAGGTCAGTGAGGTCGGTGGAAGGGACTCTGCAGAGCAAGGGATGGTACGTGGCGGTGGGTTCCGGTGAGCTATTCTTAGTATATAGGGGCCACGTTTTATTCCTGCAGCAACCCAATTCATTAGTTCCTCAGGCTTACCGATCTGGGATCCATGGTTACGTGCCGTCGACAAGCGAGTTGTTGCAGTCGGGTTTGTGCGCCGGATTTTCGTGATCGGGAAATAGTGTGCTAGCGGCTCGGGCTCGGGGGTGAGGGGGCAAGCTCCGGGCTTCGATAGGCGAGTTGGCGAGTTGGCCGAAACTGAGAGGAGGCTGATGGCCCGTTCTGTGGTCCGGCACCAGTCAAGCGCAATGACAAGCACGCCTCCCAGATGCGAGTGTGTGCGTGAGGAGGGGCCGGCGATAACCAATACGCTACCGCAGCATGTACCAAGGAACACATGTGAGGCGGAAGAATGTGGGGGAGGCTCGAAGCAATACTACCCAAGCATGGATGCAAAACGTGAGGTCTCACGGGCCCAGATGATAGGGGGATTTTGAGACGGATCACCGAAGGACCCTCCAAGTGCCCTGATCCCAGACAGAAACTCGAAACAAAACGTGGGCTGATCATTCTGAACTTGTTTGGAGAGCTGCCGGTCCAAGAACTGGCGGCCATTGCAGCAGATCAGACATTCCGGGAAAGAGATAAAACGAGATAAAACGAGACAAATGAAGCAGGAAGAAAGGAGGGGGAGCGAGGACGGTTGTGAAAAATGACGATGATTCTATTTTCGACTGAAATTGTAGAAGAGAGGAATAAAAATTAGACGGTTCCATTTCGGAGGGGCAGAGGGGCACGCGGACTGCTGTGGTCGCCGAATCTGGCAGGGACGACACGCGCTGTCTCAGCCAGGTCCGGGTACTTGGTATGTCCCCCACCAGCTCACCAAGGGCTGAGAGGTACCGACCTGAGGTATGGACTTGGCAACCCCCTTCTTTCTCTCCCCATCATCCATTTTGACCGAAATATCATCTTTCAGTTAGATGTTTTGCCTTTCACGAATCATCTTAATAGTACTGAATCGCTCAAAAGTCTCTGCTCTCGTGCCGCAGTCGACACACACGATCAATTCCACATTACCAGTAATGGAACAGAGCGAGTGACAGACAGTGACCACTTACAAGTGTCGGGCATCAGCACTCGGGTTCACATTATGTTTCTGCGTCACAGATACGCATTGTGTAGTTATCCCTTCGTTCTAAACTCCTTTCCTTAGATTTAAATTAGCAGAATAAGTGATATGTGTAGTTTTCCGTGCATCTATCTACCTATGACACGTCTCTCATAGAGTTCAAATTCCTCAAGCAAGCCGAGCTTGGAGTTGGACCCCAGTTTCCTACTTTTGACATTTTCTCAAGAACCAACCGACCATGTCGAGATTAAGCGGGGCCTGCAGTCTCCCAACAGCCGGCTCGAGATATCAAGTTGCAGCACAGCGGCCCAACGTTCAACAACCTAGGCGACGCGGTACAATCCACGGCAGAGGCACACTCGGACGTTGATGGCGGCAGATAACAATATTGGTGGCCTTCCCGGCATCTTACGCCTCACTTCCGACACACGACGCCGCATCTACCTGCACGCTGGGCTGGCGTACCAAGACCATGATTTCGTGGCAGTGCCCGGAGTTTACAACCTAGGCGAGCGGACTGTTGAGAGGCGCCACGAGATAGATCAGAGGTGTAGAAAGTTCCACGGCTTGTTGCTCTCGTGCCCAACTATATACGCCGAAGCATCCACCGTCCTATACTCGGCAAACTGGTTTCTCATCCGTTACCAAGCCCGTCGGTCTCTCGCGCCCCTTCGTTCTCTGACCCCTCACTCGTTGGCTCATTTGGCCAATCTTAAAATCATACTCAACCAAACCTCCTGCCACGAAGAACAGCAAACCGGAGAGGAGGGCCACGGAGAATGCTGCGACAACGGCACGGTCAAGTCAACCACCGCGCGCTGCGACGTCTTCGAGCATGATCACGACCTTCCCCTCTACACATCGGATTCGCGAACCGAGGCCGTTCTTGCAGAGTGGCACGCAACTGCCACCTATCTCGCAGCGCATATTGTTCCCGGACAGCTCGAGCTGACCTTGGTGTGCGATGTGCACCACGAAAACGTCGAAACAGCCAAGCTCGTGCTGGACAGCCTCCGTTTACTGCCCCGGCTTAAAGATTGTCATATCCGACTCTGCCGTATCCGCGAGCCCCAACTCCAACAGCTCGCCCAGGATGCTGTTTTACGGGCCCGCGGTCTCCTATCCGCCGAACACCTGGCGGCGTCTTCGGGCTCTGCTCCCCGTCTAATCAACCTCCCACGCGAGCTACAGCTTCGTATTCTCGAGCATACCGACCTTGTCACGCCTCATAAAGAGGTTATGTGGAGGAGAGGATCCCATGGATATTACAGAGCGAGCGCCGGATACTATACACCGGGGACCAATCGCCCGCCCGAAATCCACCACGGGTATCAGTTTATCTGCTGCGTCGGAACGCCGTGGCCGCATCCATCCAACGGCTGTTGCTGCCGCCAACGACACGCGGCCGTGTCGTCTCGATGTAAATGCTGGGCGCCGCCGACTCCTTTGTTCCGTGTCTGCCGAACACTCTACTTGGAGGCGAATCGAGTCTTGTACAGCGAAAACCGTTTTATCGTTATCGAGACTCCGTTTATAAGCCCGTTTGCTGAATGGGGCCCAGGCGATTACCCATACTCGGTCTTCGCGGCCAGCCAGTTCCTACGGCACGTTGTCCCTCGCCACTGCCTTCAACATATCCGCTTCCTCGAGCTAGTGTTCGCCCCCTTCAGCCATTTGAGTAAGCCGCGGAACGGGCATCCCGCCCTACAGGACTGGTCCGACACGCTCAACTGGGTGAAGCAGGAACTCAACCTACCGGGCCTGACCCTGCGTTTGATCATGGTGGACGAGTACGATGAGGGACTCCAGGTGAGGCGCGAAATAACGCGGGCGCAAGGAAAAGAAGTCCTGGCGTTCTACAACTCGATCCTACTGCCCATACGGTGCTTGAATCCGGTAGGGAGTGAGGGTGGTCTGGCACGGTTCTATACTCAGATGAGATGGCCCTTGAGATGGACAGAGTGGGCGCGGAGCAAGATACGGGAGAAGGAGGGGTGGGGCTGGCTGGAATCCAAAGAACGAGAGCTCAAGAGGCGGACCGAGCAAGCTATCATGGGAGAGCGGTACGAGCGTGTCTGCGTCGCGGCCAAGGAACCGAAGGCGAGCCTCTGGACGTGGGCTTGTCCCAATGATTCCTGGGATTAATACTTTTACATAGGCCGAGCAAATATTCAGATTTCTACGTACCCAAACCTGCGCCCTGTGCTGGCGTTGCATGATGAGTTCCATATATCAAGAGATAAGGCGAAGAAAGTACAGCATCACTCGCTATAATACCCCGGTGACGTATCTAGAAGCCGTTTTGGAGTCTTCGCTCGTCCCGCAAACAGACCATATGCTCAACGGCATCCCTCAGGGGAATGAGGCTTCCCTTTGCTTGGGTTGTAATATCATCGCGGTTGCGGATATTGACGCCGCGGGACCTTTTTTCCTCCGCTCCAACAACTAGGGGTTGAACACGAGGTTAGCGCTGCTACAGTTTGACATAAAGATGGGACAAGTGTCATACCAAATATAAAGTTGTACTGGTCAAGTTGGCCTGAGCGGACTTTCTTCTGGAGTGTGTTGCCGCTCAAGTCGGCATCGACGTACAGACCACGCTCCCGGAGTAGATTTCGAACCTCTTCCGCATAGTCGTTCAGGGCTGGCATGACGGGAATCACCAGGACCTGACGAGGACTGAGCCAGAAGGGCCACTTCCCACCAAAATGCTCAACTAGAACACCAAACATCCTCTCGAAACTTCCAAAAATGGCGCGGTGGATCATCACTGGCCGAGCATAACCCGCGGGGAGGTCTTCTTCGAGGTTCTGGTCGGCGGATTCTGACCCGGTGTTCTCCCCCTTCACATACCGGAGCTTGAAGCGCCGTGGGAGGTTGAAGTCCAGTTGGATCGTTCCGCACTGGTGTTCGCGTTGCAGTGCATCGGTGAGTTCAATGTCGATCTTGGGGCCATAGAAGGCACCATCACCAGGCTTTTCCTCCCATGAAGAGCCCAAGGAGCTGGTAAACTTATCAAGCGCGGCTTTGAGCTTTGACTCAGCCTCGTCCCAAACGCTGATTTCCCCAATGTACTTCTCGGGTCTGGTGGAGAGCTTGATCTTGAAAGAGAAGCCACAGATGCCATACACACTCCTGAGGAAGTCAAAGATCCCATCGATCTCGGAACTAACCTACGATGGAGTTAGTGTAAACAGGAGAGCGAAGACCTTTACCCCACAGATTATCCATACCTGCTCCGGCGTGCAGAAGATGTGTGCGTCGTCTTGCACAAAGCGGCGCACTCGTGTCAGGCCAGTGAGAGCACCCGAGAACTCATTCCGATGTACTACCCCAAAGTCCGCCATCCGCCATGGCAAATCCTTGTAGGAAACATCAGAATGCGCAAAGACCTTGCAGTGGCCTGGGCAGTTCATGGGTTTCAGCCCATATTGCTCCTTCTCGATCTCGAAAGTGAACATGCCTAGCATCGTCCGGTGTTAGTGAAAAGTGCAACAGACACACGCGGATCGCGATCCTACCATCAGCGTAGTGGTCCCAGTGCCCAGAAGTCTTCCACAGATCTGCCTTGTACATGTTGGGCGTGATAACCTCATCGTAGCCGCGCTTTCGGTATTCTTGCCGGAGCAAGTCAAGCATGGCGTTGTAGATTCTGGTGCCATGAGGTAGAAAGAAGCACGAGCCTGGAGAGACAGGATCGAAGAAGAAGAGTTTCTGATCGGCTCCGATCTTCCGGTGGTTCCTCTTAGCGGCTTCGGCGAGGAAGTGGTGGTAGTCCGCTAGCTGCTGTTTGTCGGGAAAAGAGATGCCCGCCACGCGCTGAAGGGACTCGTTCTTCTGGTCACCAAGCCAATAAGCTGATCCTAGCTGTTGAACGGTTAGTCCCAGGGAACAGAGGTGGAATGGTTGACTAGAGCGAGCCAACGATAGCAGCTAGTGATCCAAACATACTCGAAGAACCGAGAAGGCCTTGATCTTCCCGGTGTGTTGTACATGCGGTCCCCGGCAAAGGTCTATCAGAGGGCCACATCGGTAGACCGTGCTGCTCCCACCATTGGGAACTCGTTGCTCGATAAAGTAGAGTTTGTATGGACTGTACTCAAACATCCTGATAAGATCGGCCTTGGACATGACGAGGCGTTGGAAACGCTGTTTCTCCTTGATTATTGACTTCGAAGACTTCTCAAGAATCGATTTCTCCGACTCCTGAATGCCACTAATGTTGCTGAAGGTTAACCAAATGCGCAGTACCTACATAATAAGACCACACAACGCAAGAGACCTACCGATCTAGGTTTCCCATGTCGTAGTAGAAACCAGGGGGGTCCGTGGTGGGAGGGCCGTTGCAGAGGTAACAGCCGAAGCACTTCTCGGCGGCTTCTCCGAGAATATGCGCGCTTGAGTGCCAGAACACCTTTTTGGCTTGAAACCTATGAGCTGACACCCTGGGAACAAGAGCAATCTTGGAGGTTACGCACCTTCGGGGTGGCTAAAGTCAAGAAGTTCCAGCTTGCAACTACCCTCAAGTGGTCGATCGAGGTCCCAGAGCTCATCATCCACCATCGCAATGACGGTACGCTCGAGCAGGGATTTCGATATCGAACCGGCAACGCTTGCTGGTGTGGTTTCCCATGATTCCCCGCCCATAACCACGCCATCGACTAGCGTAATCGAAATTTGGTCCCGGGGTTTCACTGCCAGTAAAACGCATGTCAGTGAGCAGGCCACGGGCTAGAAACGAGGCTCACTGGACTAACGTTCGAGTTCGGCTGCATATGCTGCTGAGAGTTGGTCAAAGATTGCAATGCGATGTTGAACAAAAGCGGGCTGCCCGTCAACCTAAACGGTAGTCTTGGTAAGTACATCGCCAAACTAGTCGGTAGGCGCCTTGAATTGTACCTTCGGCCAGTCACTTTGTTTCGGTTTAGAAACGTCCCCTGGTGAGGGTTCAACGGCGGCGGCGGCTTCGCCCAAAGGCACGGCCGGTTGGACTGCAACGGGTTCGCTCATGGTGCTGTTTGGTCTAACAATCCTCTATCCTGTTGTCAAAGAAAATGGTGGACGGCGATGAGTGTTTTACTAGGTTGGGGATTTAAGATATTGGCCCCTGTGAGTCACTTTGGGTGAGTCAAGGTACCTTGACTGTTGGGTCAGGGAGTGCGTCTTGCTCTTGCAGTTGGTATTCTACATGTGATTACGTTAGGTAGCACTGAACCGTCGGTATTGAGCAAACTACCTACCTACAGGCATTGGATAAAAGTATCTCTAGATTTTGATGAGCTGGGTTTAGTGCTAATTGAGCTGACGTCCTTCAGTGTGAATAACCTGGAAGTTTATATCCGTAGTTGAATGCAACTTCGACGCTGTCCATACCCTTGTGAGTTGAGAAGTCCACAGCACCTATAGTTTATCCTCAAAATTCGATGAGAACCCACCAAATTTCCCTGCGCCTCGTTCTTTTTTATCCTTCTTTTAATCACTTTTTCTTTGTCTAGAGGTATGTCCAAACCTCCCACCGAAACCCTGGCGAGCAGCTGGAACAGGGACTTCAGCTTCACCGATTTGCCGGTGCTTAAGACCACAACCCGAGTGTTTCATGGGTTAGTTGTGGCAGACTCACAACTACCTTATCTCTAATAACGCTGCAGTTGTTACCGAATTGTAAGATCGATTTGATTTCGGGTTCTGTACTCCATCAGACGATGTTGTCGAGGGAGTGCCCGGAATGATGGACCCCAGTCCTTGCAGTTGCCCGGGCCAGACCTTGGTGGGGCACCGGCCGGAAACGGTTCTTCCGGGCTCCACCGAAAAAAATTCTTGGGACCGCCGACCAAGGTATAAAGTCGTCGTCGGGCGAAGCTCGTCCACTTTTTTGTCCCCTTCTTTTGGTGTGCGGCTTCCACATCAGTAAATTTGACCATCCCCGGTTGCTTCGATTCCCGTTCCTTCTGGAACCTCCATGGTATTCGTTGTGTCAGTTGTGGAACAGAGCGATCATATTGCAGGCCGGCCTCCTCGTCAGTCCAATCCATCCAGAAGAATCCCTCAAGGGTCTGGGTGGTGACGTTGAGGCTGGACATTATTTTCCTTGTTCATGCGGCCAGAGAGTGGCTGGGTTCAGCTTGCTGAGCCTTCCGGTTGATTGTCGTTTGCCGGGGATCACTTGTGTGACACGGAAATAGGCAGTTGGGAGAGTGACTGGGTATTGTCAACTGGTTTTGACAAGGCGTCACGTATTCCCGTCCCTCTTTACTATAGATCAGGGAAACGCCTGGTGGTTCGTTCGCGCGACGTACGGATTATTGCGACCTTGTGACCATCATGCGATTTCCTATCAAGAATTAGGTGGGTGTGCAATCAAAAAGGCTTCGCACCTTCCGCATTCATGACCGGGAGCTCAGCGATCAGCTGGGCCAACAAATAAACACGTCTGGTCGGATGCAATCTGGCACACCAGCGTCGGGCACATGAATGGTTCTCATATCAATGCCATCTCTGCTTCTATGCGTCAAAAATCATCACTCGTCACTCAAGCCACTTCTTACGAGCGGCCAGTTGGGCCTGCTCTCGCCTACTCGCCCGGCTCATCGCCGATTTTCTCGAGCTTGCCCATCTCCCTCTTCTCCCCTGTCTCTCCAACCAGCCTCAGCCGGTCCAGCCTGGTCTTTTCGCCATCGCCATCACCGTTCTGGACGAACAGCACCAGGCTAGTGACGTTCTGGAACTTGACAAACCTCAAGGGGATGTTTGCTGTGCCCTCGGCGTTCCAGTCTTCTTCGGAAAGCTCAAATTCCTGGGTCGCACTCATATCCTCCGCCTCGTCGAACCCCATATTGTGCGGCTTGTTGGTGAAGAGTTTGATGGTCCGCGGCCTCATGGGCGCATCTTCTTCGTCATCGTCGTCATCGCTGGGAGGGAGGGATGTGATCTGGTTGAGCGGTTAGCAGGCCACCAAGCCAACCCCTTGTAGAACGGTCACAACTCACCTGAAGCGTGTGCAGTTTCAGCATCGACTGGAAGGGCATGAAAAGCAACAGCTGCTCGTCTGTGTCGCTCTCAACCCAGTCTTTGGTCGCGCTCTTCCCTCCCGACAGCGCCCCGGGCTTCGCTGTGTCAAACAGTACCCGCACGCTGCCGACATCCGGGTCGACGTTGAGCAGCTCACAGTGCCGCAGCTCGATTTGACTCGTGATGTCCGTGTAGCCGCGGGGTAGCCCGGCACCTCGCCAGTTGGCGCCGTTGTTACCGCTGCCGCTGCCGCTACCGCTGGCCTCGCCGTCCCCGCTGCTCATGTTGTGGACTTCCTCGCTGAGCTTCTTGACCACCGACTGGAGCTTCATGGGGTCGGCGCCCTGGACTTTGTCGGCGACCTTTCCATTGCGGAAGATGATGAAGGTGGGCAGAGATGTGACTCGGTAGGCCTGTGCGACGTCCTTTTGCTTGTCGGTGTCGATCTTGACAAAGGTCACGAGCTTGGGCCGCGACAGAGCAGCCGAGAGCTGTTCGAACACAGGAGCGACTTGTTTGCAAGGGCCACACCAGTCGGCGTAAACTATACAAAACGGGAGTTAGCTACCTTCCGGTACGTTCCAGGCACTGGGGAACCTGAGGGTCGCGGCGATGCCGCAGGGCGCTATGGCGGGGTAAACGAGAAGGGGTCTGAGGCGCGGGGTGAACTCACAGTCTGCCACCACGAGCTTGGAGCCTTGCAGCACCTCCGTAAGCTGCGACGGCGACGAGATGTTAACCGTTTTCGACATGTTGGGCGACGTGCTTGGAAAGTTTCCAAGAGGAGGAATTCGAAGCTCCGCCCTGAGGCTGCAGGAACACTGAGCAAGCCAAAAAGACAACAGGTGGGGCACCGAAGGCACCGAGGACACCGGGGCTATTCCCTTTTCGGCTAGCGGCAAACCGCACAGCTGTGGCGGGGTGATCTTGAATCCAAGCAACTCAACAAATCTGAAGTTCTGAACACACATCAAACCACAAGCTGCTTCAGACCAGCACAAATTACATGGTCGGCCGATGGTATGCTCCCCAAAATATAAACTTCGTTCCGAACATACCCAGGTCCCAGTTCTGCCAAGAGGGGCGAATATCCACAAGTTCTCCCCGGTACCATCTAGAAGACCTGATATCAAAACCAAACAGAGCTGTCCGAGCAATCCAACATACCCCGACTGTCAACGTGCGATTATCGGAATATGTAGGTGCTGGCTTCGGGGCAAACGACGAGCAAAGCCAATGTAATCACCCCGCCAGTCTGGCTGTCTCGCGTTGGGGGCAAGATACGTCGGAACGCCTCACTGTAGACCGCAACCCGGCTCAAAGACAATGCGCTTTGTATTGAGTGTTATTCTAACATTGTACTCGTTACAATCCTACTAGGTATCTCTAATGCACTTAGGTTTTAACCCAACCGCGCCAAATGCTGATGATGCCTTAACCCCCAAACCTTGATGCCACGATACGCCGACCCCGATGATCCCAGAAAACAACAACCCGGCAGTAAAGTAGCCTCCCACAACTCCCTAAGAATGCACAGCCAGCGCCGAGGTTCCTTCTGCGTGGGGACCCCGGAAAACAAAAACACCGTTAACAGCCAACGCCGTAAGATCCCAATAACCTCATCCCTTATCTCTCTTGTTCATGTAAAGCAGGCTCAGCACCTCCAATAGCTGCCTCTTTTGCCTCTCTGCTCGCCTCCTCTTTTCCTTCACTTGCTCCTCCAACACCTCCTGGCCAACAGCACCGCCCGTCCGTGTAGCAGGCGATGGCAGAGAGGTCCTCTAGTCAGCTCCCTCGGGGTCGTCCTCAGTCTGCTCATGGCCAGGCCGCAAGCTAGTCAGATGGCCGTAGACCTCAGGCATGTGGCGGCCCTGCCAGCCGTTCTCGACGGTCAGGATCCTCGAGCAGACCTTCTTGACCTGGTAGCGCACGGCGAGCCAGAGCTCCTTGTCGTGCTTGGGGGCGGCGACGATGTGGGCGATGGGGATCTCGGACAGCACGAGGCCCTCCGGGGTGGTCTGCAGGGCCGGGGTCTGGGGCGGGCCCTTGGGCACGAGCACGTGCAGGGCGCGCATGTGCGGGAACAGCGACCAGATGCGCACCATGGCGTCGTGCCGCGGGTGCTCCCCCAGGTACTGCAGGTCGATGGCCACGTTCCGTATCGCCCGCAGGTAGAAGGGCGCCTCGAGCTGGTGCGTCGACTCCCATCGTTCGGATGGCCGGTGCGCGCGCGGGATCGGGTCGTCGCTGCGCAGATAGAAGATGTCGCGGCTGCTGTCGACCCAGACACAGTCCTTGCCTAGCAGACGGAGCTTTTTATGTTTGCAATAAATTTCTCGCGAGAGCTGGCAGGCGTGGCCGATGGTCCTGTCCGCAGGGGGAGTGAAGGTCAAGGAGCCGTCGACGATATCCATGAAGATGACTTGAGGTTCCATGGCAGCATCGAAGATGGCGGCTTGAAGCTCGTATGGCAGGGTGGCGATACTAGCCTTGGTCGTGTCGGCTTGGGTCGTGCCAGGCGCATGTTTGTTAGCCATCGTAGCTGGCGTCGAAGTAATCGATTGGGTAAAGTTGATCTGAAGGGTGACGGGGTGAAGACTCGAGGTGATGAATCGGCACAAGTGATGTATGATATTTGATGAGTGAGTGATCGTAGGTGAGGAATCGGTGGTTGTGCTCCGCTAAACACACTTTTGCCACTGGATGGAACTTGAAGTTTACGGACAAGCACTTCTAGGATACACGTAGGGTAAATCGCAGGGATAGCAGTTTGAGAGACTGAGCCTGAACACTGTGCGGGAAGGTGCAATCCCAAGTGTGTGTCCGGGTGCGCGCACCTCGTTTTTCCTGCTGCGGGCCGATAGCGGCCAATTCTGCTCCAGAACTTCCTGCCAGCCAAGCCCTCGGATGCGAGAAGCGCGAGTGGGACTAGGGCCAATATTAATAACGGAAGGACAGAAGGACTGGCGGGGCGGTTCACAAAGAAGCAATTTTGCGGAAGGAAATCCCGGCTTCTTGAGCACCGTAGATCTGGCACCTCGGATCTGGGGATGGGCGCAACCCCACGGCATGATTCACTGGGCGTGGGGTGTCAAAGTACATTTCTGTACATGTACTTTCATGGATGTTGCAGACGCTTGGACCGCATCTTATCATCCCGCGCCCTCAGCAGACCTGTCCTTTGCGTAATACCATTACGGTTCCCGAATCTAAAATTCGATGATTTTTCTCGATGGAAATGCTATTTCGTTGCTCCCATTCTTTCACAAGACGCCCAGACCGAAATCTTGAGTCCTCAAAGCCTTTGGCGTTCTAGAACGTCTCGGGTAGTCCAATTCTTGCCCCACCAGAAATACTTGTGTCACAGGGGTGCTGCAGGTGATTCGACAGGGCTCTGACAAAAGCAGGCTGCCGAATGCACAAACTACGTCATCGGCCACCCCTCGCTTCTGTTTCTTCGCATGACCTTCAACATGTCTCAAGCCGAGCCCAGGGAATAACTACCACGAATTTCCAGATGATGTAGGCAAGTGATCAGCACTTTTCACGAAATTTTGCGATATACGTAACCAGTACATATTCGCTCGTTCCCACACATTTTTGTCCTTGGGGGTCATCCCATCTCCACTCCTCTGTGACCTCGGATCGTTTTATCAAAAGGCTGATCTGATCTTAACTTCTTCCCATCTCACGCGAGGTCAAGATCTCGAAGTCGGCATCATCAACCTATTCCCCCCACCTTCCCGTAGCCCCATACCAACCAGTAAGCCCCCTCTTCTCCATGACCCCATACTTTCCCCCACACCACCTACTCCCAGGTCCCTCTCCTCCCTCACAAACTAACCCACCCCCCAGTGTATCCGCGCGAACACCGTCACAAAAAGCGCCTCTACCTCTCCGACCCGCCCCAGCCCGGCATCTGCGAAGTCCGCCGCAAAGTCACCACCATCGTCCCCCCTCCACCGCCTCCTCCTCCACCCGTCATCATCCGCCCAGCCACCCCACCACCACCACCTCCTCCCGTCATCACCCAACCACCCCCGCCCCTCCTCCCAGCGCCGCCGGCCCCGCCGCGCGACCCGCCCGACGTAATCGACGTGATCGCCGTCGACGTCGACCCCTCCTCCGACAAGAAGTCCAGCCGCCGCAGCCGCAGCAGCAAATCCTCTCGGTCATGCTCCCGGCGACGGCGCTCCCGTTCCCGCTCTAGCTCGCGCGACCGTGACCGCGACACCGAGGTGGTCATCGAGCGCGACCGGTTCATCCCCGTGCCCGTGCGGGTTCCCGTCCCAGTCCCCGTGCGCGGGCCGGAGCACGAGACGTTTCGCTACGTGGACGGCCTGCCGGCGCGGGAGCCGCGCGAGAGGAGGAGGGTGCCGGCGGCGGTGCCGAGTCCGCCGCCGCCGGTGGATAGGGATGGTGCTGGTGGGGGGGAGAGGAGGGTTAGTGTGAGGGTGGAGGATCGGTGGTCGGAGTATCCGCATGAAAGGGAGAGGGAGAGGGAGAGGGAGCGGGAGTGTGATTACGGTTATGACTATGGGCGGGGTGGTGGTGGTGGGTATGGGCGTGAGAGGGGCGGGTATGGGTATGATGGGCATAAACATGGGCATGAGTATGATAGGGGGTACGGACATGGGAACGGGAGAGGGTATGGCGGGGGGTATGGGAGGTATTGATAATCAAAAGGGAAGCTTGGGTTGGGCGAGTTGGTTTGCCGGTTCGGTTTCATTTGGGATTTCATTGTTGTTGAGCACCGCCGTTGGATATCGCGGAGGCTTTCCTATTAATGTGTCATGATGGGATATACGACGGGGCCACGCGGCAGGTTTAACGATGTATGAGACACGAAGAAAAACAGAGGTTAGAGCACATGTTTCCAAATAAGCATACAACCATTTATCACCACTCAGCATGAACACAATACACTCAAAAGTCCCCGACCATGATGGTGGGAAGTGCCCAAACCGCCCCAGAGGCAGACCCCAGTGTCGATTCTAGCTACCGATGGACAAGAGATCTATCTACCTGCTGCGATATAACCTACCAAGCCAACTTCCAGACTCCAAACTAACACCATAACCCTACTCCCTTATCAAAACCACCACCATCCCCATAAAACCACCCAGCCAACCTCAAATCTTGCGCACCCCAATAGCCCGCGCAAACCCCCTCCCCTCCGGAAACTTCTCCACAAACTCCCGAAACGCAGGCAGCCTCACCAGCCTCGCCTTCATGCGATCGCCGGCATCATACATAGCCTTGACCATCTTGGCGCTCCATGGCCGCGTCTCCACCACCAGCACCGCGTCGAGGAACGAGGCCAGGTGCTGCCTCTCCTCCCACTCGACCCGCTCCCGCGAGACGCGGCAGCGCGCGCAGTGGTGGCCCGCCAGCGCCAGCACGTGCCGCGAGAGCTCCTCCACGCACGCCGCCATGGCCAGCCGCAGGCCGTCGAGACGGAACCGCTCGGCTAGGAAGTACATCTCGACGTAGGTGAAGAAGGATGGCTCGTCTTCCCAGAGCTGGGTTGGGAGTTCTGGATGGTGAGGGCGGGGGAGTGAGTTAGTTAGTTGCTGGGGAGAGAGAGCAGGGGGGGGGTTGATGGCGGACTTGCCGTTCGTGTGGAGGAACTGGAGCAGCGCAGAGAAGACCCTTGGGCGGGTTGTCGTGGAGGTACGGGGGCAGATGATTGCGGGCTCGCCCTGAGACTGCCTCAGTAACAGGTAGTGAGGAGAGACTCAAGTTCTGCTTACCGGCTCTGCTCTGGCTATCGCCGCCATGATCCAGGGGAAGTGGGCAATGACAATGTCCTTCTTGACCCGCCACGTTTCGTCTTCGAAGCTGAGGGTTGTGTCTCCGTCGGGGTCGCCGGTCCAAATATCGTCGGACCAGAAGATGGGCTGGGTTTTGTCGAACAAGAAAGGGTCTCGGGTCATTGTAACGGCTGCTGGAGATGGGTGACAATAATGAAGTAGGCCCTTGGCCCGCGGGATCGAACGAGAAATGCTAGCTGTGCCGCTGTGATAAACCGGGTCGTTCGAAGACATAAAGAAATGCGCGGGTTCAAATAGCTGGAGACATGGGTAACTGTGTAGATGGTTGGTGTCCATGTTGGAGTTCCAACTCTAGCTGTGTGTCAGAACTCACAGATTCCGTTAACTCCTTCCATCTCGGCGCTGCTTCGGGTGTCCTATGGGGAAAGGGCGAAGATTTATCGATATTTGATTCGTAACTCACTGGTTTTAGGGTCACTGGCCTTTACGATATGTAACTCGGACGTGGCTGCCATCATTGAAGGTTCCTACTGAATACTTCAGGTAACTCGGGGGGCGAGGGCCGAAAGGGCCTCTAAGTAGCTGGTAATTATACAGCCACGGAGACAGCATTGGGCATCAGATTGAAGTTGCCTGTTGGGGGGGCAACGGGAACTTCACTTAAAAGCGTCAAAGGCTTCCTATTAGAAACCGGCCGAGGTCCGGTCGTTATCACAGGGGTCAACTCTCCTGGGTAGGCTCTGAAATTTCCGGGTACGGGACCGCGTATCTCTTTCGAGGTATAATGTTCATGGAACATGCTTAACATGTTAAAGTAAGATTCATCTTCTCGGTGTCTTTGACCAAACACGCAGAAGGAGCCTGGCATGGTGCATCTCAGCCTTTTTCACGGCTACTTTTGCCCCGTCACCTCGGTCATAGTGCCATAGTCGTTGCCGGGACTTATTCCAGGAGCTGGGTGGTTCGCTTGTGAGTTGTGAAGCTACCCGTTTATCGTTGGTGTTAGGTTACTTGACCTTGACTCCCTTGCGAACGAGTTGACCACAGGTACATTCTTCAACGGTTCCAGCATCACTCTGGGTCAACATACATAAGATGACTTACAATTGAGCATCTAACAACGGGACCTTCAGATAATAACAGTTGGAATTTGCGGGGGTATGAAGCAGACGCCCTCCAAGACAGCCAAGCGGACTTACCTGAGGCCGGAGCGGGCGAAGCGAGGGACACAACTATCGCCTCGTTCACCGTCGCTAACAACATACGAATACGAAGGCCTGAGCTAGCCGAATTCCCATATTTTGGTTATTTGTTTTCCTTTTTGTCAGGTTAGATGGGAACAGGACCGCGACGGGACGCGACAGCATCATCGCGGAGCCGGCATTGCCCTGGCCGGCCAGCGTGCACCTTTTGAAACCGCCCCTGGGACTTGGCCGTCCCGAGCGAGCCCCGTTTCAGACGACTCCTCCATCCCGCAGGACGCTCACATCGCAGGTAGCAAAAGACTTTGCCGCAATTTTTTTTTTTTTTTGGTTGGGATGGCTACCCGACATCCATTCCTTTCCACCCCGACGATGACAGGATGTTGGCTGTGTCCTGTGATTTGACTGATACAAGATGGCAGCCGCCGGAATAGACTATTCAACAGCCGCACGGCACGGGGGGCGTCTGATATCCACTCTATTTATCAGAGGTCGTGCAACCCCAACGGCTGTGCTTTGCCGATATTGAATGTATTTCGCGCTGGCATGTTACCTACTGTGTCGTTATTTGTTGCGGGGGGGCTTGCATGCATGCATGATGGTCGTCTAAAGAAGGCTACACAAGATCGCCAACGGCGAGATCTAAAGTGTGGGGAGTCAGACCACCAAGCATTGACGAGCCAAGGGCGAGGGGGAACCTGTTGACCCCCGATCCTATCTCGGCTAACCCTGCCTTGTGTGTCAGAACGGTCATATCGACTTACAAACGGGGACGCCAAAAATGCGGCCGAGATAACTACGAACGGTGTTGGCCAGCAAGCTAGACCTCGGATTGTAAGAGCGACCGTTAGCCATGGAGATTCTGGAGCGTTTGTTGGTGCTGGGATGGGATGAAGCGATATGATAGGCAATGCACGCAACAGTTTGGAGTTGCTGAGGGTGGTGTCGCGTGGCCGCTGGCCACCGAGCCTTTAAGGGTGTTTCATGTGAGCAGTTGCCTCAGTGAGCGTCATCAAGGGACGGTAATATCCGTGCCGCAGGTCTGGGGAGCCGCTCTTGTGCGATGCTCCTGTTGTTGTGTTCCAGGCAAGTCCTGCCGAATGATGACTGGTTAGACTGTTTCACACCGCCTGCGGGTTGGCCTGACCTCCCGACGACAAGAATGGGGTTCAGACGAGAGAAGGTCTTGGTTCTCGGGTCGGTCGGACGCCGTCAACCCAGGCCGACTTGCTGCACGGATTTGGGTTCCCGGAGGAGGCCCGCTGCTCTCCGAGGCGGGCTCCGGAATTTTAAAGTCGTGGATGGAGCCACTTGAAACTGTGACGTCTTCGACCCTGAAGATCACTGCATGTCCCCATGTTTCTTGGCTGACCTTTCCGCGCCCCGGAACGTTTCGGATGGCGCAACCGAGTTCGGCGGCCCGGAGGCAGAGACTTCTTTTTGCTGTGTTTGTCAAAAGCGTGGAACCCAAGTGAATGACTCGCTGGGCGGCCAATCCCATGGCCATCTGCGCGACTTGTCAAGCAACCTCTGCCCGGGGAATTTCAGGGGCTGCCCAGCGGCGACGTGCAACCCAATCATGGGCCGTGGAAAGTGTTTTCGCCCACGCGAGTGAACATCGCAACAGAAAGCGGAGCTTTGGCAATGACTTGCATAGGGTCCATATTTTCGAAGGGTCCAATCATGCTCGAACATCTTCCCGCTGAGCGCATTCGGGTTACCTGGAATCCCTGGTAACGTTGAGAGTCAATCTCGCGGGACGATGGGGAAACGTTTCCAAGGTGAGATGTCAATTCCACCGTCACACCGCTCTTTCAGCTTTCTAGCCGTCGTGGGCTCTCAGCAGGTTTCCTGTTGCGACGTGTAGTGAGTAAGGTAACCCCGTCAGGTAGTTTTGGGGTGGCTCGATTCGCGGTTTGGGGACTGAGAACCTGTCTCGCGATTGCGCTCTCATTTCGGCTCCGGCGGAGGAGGCGACAAGACCAAGTCTCCTCCGAAATCGACGAGTTACAGAGTTCGCGGGCTGTTGTTACTTTAGGGGTCATTGCATGTGAACACACCCTTCCGCTAGACCCGAGAACTGTGGCTTGCCGAGATGCGGGCTTGGGTCCAGGAAGTCACGGCACTGGCGGGCAATCTGACGCTGCGTCTGTCGGTCGGCGTCTTCCCGGGTTCCTGCATGCTCACAGAAGTGTTGCGACGATGAGGGTTCGTTACATAGATTGGGGTTCATGAAATCGAGACTGCTCCGTGCGCCTGCAATGAGCCTTCTCTTCTGCAAGCCCCTGCATGAGACCATCGTTAAATTCGTGGGGGTCGTGGTCCGTGGGAAGTTGCGGTCGATTTCCCCGCAATTTCGTGGGCGACGCCTTCGAATGCCTTGGGGGGTTAATCAAATCTGGTGCTCACCGAGGCCTAAAACCCTCTACTGGGACGTGACTGAGAGGAAATCGCTGGATGAAAGATGTTTTCCTCTTGTGAAAGAGACATTCTGATCTCTTCTGAAATCTGGAAGTCTTGGGAAAAGGTCGCGGGCCTTGGCGTCTGTGGGGAATTTGCAGGGGCGAGACTTGGCTTGCAGAGACCCGCCTCCTGTCGACATGAGCACGAATACCGAGATGCCGCCCTAACGAACGGTATCGGCCCGGGGGTTGGCAAACCGGTAGTGTTGAGGATTTGTCAAGCCGGACGGCACCACGGTCGAGCAATTCGAATGACTTGGTCTCGGCGTGTCTTGCGTACTCTGTACTCTGTGTGTAAAATGGTTACTGAAGAGAGCAGGGGTATCCAACCGTCATTCCAGGGGCATGGCTTGCTCTCGGGTGTAACGCCGATACCGACATTAAAGGAATCGAGGTTGTTTGGGGAGAGTTGCGAGCCCGGGTGAGAACCTTAAAAGAAAGAGTCGTAGCAAGAGTCGTAGCTCGGGTAAATATCACGACAAGAGTCCTTGGAACGGCGAGTTGTTTCAGACACCTGTTTTTGACTACCCGGCCCAAATCTCGAGGCGACAAGAGACCGAAGAGGGATCGCATTTGTCAGTGACCTGGAGGGGAGCCGTGTTGGTACATACCCCACATCGACACCGCGTACGGTATGGTGTTTTGACCATTTCAAATAGCGTGAAAATCTAACCTGCTGATGAAATCAGGAACGAGAACGCAGTGCCGTTTGCAGCCTGCGGGCCGACGATAAAAACATTGCTGGGTTGATGGGCCTCTGTTTGCGCAACTTGCCAAATGGAAGCAAACGATGCCGCCTCTTCCCTGCGTGTGGGGATCGGGAATTAGGGACAGAGGGGTAAGCGAAGGAGGGTGGGGCTGCCGAGACAGTGCCTGTCGTGCCTGTCTCTCAGGAAGCCACCCTGAGCCTGCCGAGCCCGCGTCTGGACCGCAGAACGGACCTCCTGCCCACCTAGATCTCTCTGCAGCGTGCCGCCCGGGCAGTATCAGACGATGGAAGCTCACTCACCGGATCGCGACTCGCACTGCAGGTCCGGAGGTGACCATCAAGCAGTCAGTCAAGCTTTCCCGGTCGGGTGTCAGACTACCGGGACGTGCCTGGAGAACTGGCCGGCTCGATCATCATCAACTGCAAGCGGATGCACCTGCAGGAATGACTTGCCTAGCCTTTCCAAACTCTGTTTTAGCGCCATGGGCGTGTGCACTTCAACGACTTCCATCCTAGGCAGTTTAAAATTATCTATCCCAAGCCCCATATTTTCCCATCAGTCGTTCGCCGACCACGACGTTGAGCGGTGTTTCTTGAACGACTTTCTCCCGTCATCGCGTTGTCGGTATTACGGCCGCCTTCTAGGTTGTTTTATTTTTATTTTAGTAGTGGTCCAGTGAGACTGATTTATCGATGCGACACCGATTTGGGTCACCCAGGGATCTCGAAACCTCCGCGAGCTGTCCTGCTTAATCTGCCACCCCCCTTTTGCGGCTTTGCCCACGACCCAGGGCCTCCACCAGCCTGTTGCACAGCGACTCCCTGTCGCACCTTCACGACCGCCTGGCAGACCACCATCTCACCAGCCCACCGCGGCCTCACACCTGGGCTCTATGGACTCGACCTTCCAGGACAGCCCTACCATCGGGAGAACAGTGCGCTACACGGCCAATAGCCCGCTCCCAACTCGGCCGAACGCCGCAAGCTCGAGGTACGAAGTAGTTACAGGTCTTCCGTTCGTTCCTCCTCCATAACCCCGGCCCCACGCCGTTGATTGGTCTTTCTTCCTTCCGCTTTCACACTTTTCCTTGTTTCCAAACAGCTGGGCTTTGCTTGGGACGCATTCGGGCGTGGTCGTTGCATAGTGTCCTGCCCCGTCGACGGTGCCCAAAAGCAGACGCCAGGTGGGAGCCGAGAGAATCCATTCGAGGCATCCCCTACCTCCTACACGATCCACCACGACCCCGACGAGCGCTCCGCGCATTGCCCGAACACAGATTTCCCCGGTGTCTTGCCGGTGTCTTCTTGCCTGGCATTTACGCAGTGGTGCAACGACCGACTCGTGCCTTTGACCGTGGTGTCCACAGTACTGACCCAATCGCTTTGTCCGCTTTAGGTCGAGACGGGTACCCGCAAGCCCACTCTCTACGGACTCGTCCTTTCCCGACTCTTCTTCTGCCGCTGTCCCACGCATCGTGACCACCGCAGCCCCAGAAGACCATCTTTCACAGCCGTCCGAGAAGACGTACTTCAACAGCGATTCCTCAGGGAGCACCACGCCCGAGGCGACAAGTCCTGGGTGCGTTGCCGGCGAAGACCCGTTCTCGTCCCCTCTCGCCCTTGTGGCGGACGTGCGTGCGCTGACAGTCTGTGTACTAGACCGGCGCCGTCTCCCCACTCGCTCCGTTTTCCGAATGAGGTGCGCAGTGTTTCCGACCCCGTCGTAGCCGCACAACCTTCTGGGCGCCCTCCTTCAAACCGGCCTCCCATCATGCCTGGTTCGGCGGGCGCGCGGGCAGAGCCCGCAGGGAACCCGCCACGAAACTCGTCGATAGATTCCGCTATCTCCGCGATCTCCACGAGGTCTAGCCTCCAGAAGACAGCACAGGATGGCACCGTTGGGTCCACCGAAATCGCGAACCTGATTAAGACGGCCGGCAGTCCCGAGGCAGTTATCCAGTATTTGCTCAAAGAAAAGCAGTCGCAGTCTCAGCAAAATGCGCAGCTTTGGAGACTCGTGGACAAACAGAGAGCTATGATTCTGGGTCTCAATAAGGACCTCGAGCGTGCGTTGAAGGATAAAGAAAAATACAGAAAGAAGCTCAAGGAGGTGTTAGAGGGGTCCGAAGCACCACTCGCACCCTCAATATCGGCGTCAAGTGGCCAAGGGGCGAGCTTGAACGGTGCCGATACTACGACTTCGTCACCCAAGGAACAGGTATTCGAAGTTCCCTTGTCACCCAAGACATTGGATTCGGACGACCACAAGCACTCGCCCATTGACGTCTCCTTGGCGCCATATCCCATAACCCCGCCAGCATACAAAACGACCGCTGCCACTCATGCCCGACCGACCGTTCGCGAGATGCTCGACCCATCGCACACGATGCCGAGACCGAGCGAACATGCACTGGATCAGTTCGACCACGAAGAGCAGGAGCGTGAGGCCGAAGTGGCCTCGAAACGGTTGGAAGAGGCGAAGGAGATCCCGATCATGATGAGCCTCCCGCCCTCCCGTACCGCGCCCCGCGAACCGCCTCGGATGCCGCCGCCGCACCCCCCCGTTGGGCTACCAGAACGGTCACCAAGGCCCGACGAGGGCGCTTCCAAGTTTCCTCCACCCGCTGCGCCGCCACCACGAAAGCCTCCCCCAGCGCCGCTGCACTTGAAGAATGCGAAGCCGCATCCAAAGTCCGCGGCGCCGAAGCCGAAGCCGAAACCTAGGCCGAACGTTGTTCCGGACGAGGACCCGGAGACGGATACCGACTACGATCACATCCTCGAGGTTGACGAATTGAAACCCGACGACCGCAGAGGGCGGAGAAGGACGCGGGAAGAGGACGAGCGGGAGCGTGAAATTTTGGCCAGAAAAGAGGCCGAGTTCCGCAGCTTGTCGAAAAAGAGCAAGCAGAGTAGCAGCCGGAAGGCGACGGAAAAGGCAGAGGCGCCTGCGAGCGAGATGCCCGCTAGCCCCAGACTGGTGCAGACCACCAAGCTCCTCCCACCACGGGAGCCGGCGTCTCTCGCAGGGGTTCTGAACGGCGCGCCCGACTCTCGAGCCATGCCTTCAGCGTTGCTGAGTCCCGGCCTTCCCTCAAGCCCTAGACCTACGCAGCTGAAGTCCCCAGTCAGCTCCCCGCCGCTTTCCCCGCTGGGCTTTCCCAGTGTACCGCTGTCCCCTCGGCCACCGCGGGCGCCGATTCCGCTACCACCCAACACACCTCTCTTGACGCCTTCTCCCGCCGGAGATCCTTTAGTGTTGAAGTCGCCTAAGCCACTCAACATCATCAAACAGGAAGACCAAGGATACGGGACGCCGAGCCCTACCAAGTCCGGCACCGACAGTCCGATAGAGCGGACCAAGGTTTTCAAGGGATTTGTCACTGAAGAATACCCCGACCTTCTGCTCCCCCCTAACGCCCTCCCGTCCATTGACATCCGCGTTGCGTCGTCTCGTATGAAGCCGTCCAGAGCCAGCTTGATCTCATTGACGCAGTTAGAGGAGGACCCAGTCTTCACCCTCGCGATCTATTCCAGGGCAGATGGCGGGGAACTTTGGCGAATCGAGAAGGACTCAGCGTCGCTCGCTAAGCTGGATCAACGGCTGAAACAGTGCCCTGCTTTCACTGCGAGGACGCCCGACCGGTCGCTTTTTAGTGGTCATGCACCAGCGAAACTCGATGCCCGGCGCATTGCCCTCAACCACTACCTGGACGAGCTCCTGAATACCCCCCTAGACAATGCCACGGCGCTCGAGCTTTGCAAGTACCTGTCCACTAGCACGCTGCCCCCCAACGCAGACGAGATCGGGGGCTCTGCTGGTGAAAACAACCCCGAGTCACAGAGAGTCGGGCCGGGCGGTAGGCCGTTCCGCAACGGCTATCTCACGAAGCGGGGCAAGAACTTTGGAGGCTGGAAGGCGCGGTACTTTGTACTTGACGGCCCCCTCCTGAGGTATTATGAGACTCCCGGAGGGGCGCATCTCGGCACCATCAAGCTTCAGAAAGCACAAATCGGCAAGCAGGCCCATCACACCAACGACGGCACGCCAGGTCAGGGCGCCCCGGCGGAGGAGGGCGATAACCAATATCGCCATGCCTTCCTGATCTTGGAACCCAAGAAGAAGGATCCCAATAGCGTGACGAAGCACGTGCTGTGTGCGGAGAGCGACAAAGAGCGCGATCTGTGGGTTGAAGCCTTGCTTCGCTGGATCGACTACCGAGATCCGGAGGACGAGGAACAAGCCAAGAAGGATCACGCCAACGAACGGAACGGCGAGCGCGGTAATGGAAAGAAGAAGGTGGCGCATCCCCAGGGGAAACCGCAACAGCCGCAGCAGGGTGCGGCTGCGGATGAGAATCTAATCGGGGTGAGTTACGAAGCCACCAAGCAAGGCGATGTCCCGCATCAAGGGGGTGCAGCGAAGGGGAAACCATATGCGCAAGATCACGAGTCGACACACAGCCTGTCAACAGCTTCTTCTTACACTATCTCGGCACCTCGCGACCCACAAGTGATATCACATACGGAGTCGTGGGGCAGCAAGCTCGGCATGGGTCTCACGCCGCCGACGCAGGAGGAGAAGAAGGCCAGGAAGCGCAGCTTTTTCGGTTTCGGCCCAAAGACGAGGACGTCGAGCGACGGCCAAGACTCGCTCTTCGGGAGCGATGGTGGGAACTCTCAGCCGACGGGTCAGTACCACGGCCCGGTTCGACAGGCCTTTGGTGCTACCCTAGCGGAGGCTGTGCGATACAATGCTCCCGTGGACGTCAGGGTTCCGCTGCCCGCCGTTGTCTACCGCTGTATCCAGTACCTCGACACCAAGAACGCCATCTTTGAGGAGGGCATCTTCCGCCTCAGCGGGTCGAACCTTGTCATCAAGCAACTGAGGGAACGGTTCAATGTTGAGGGAGACATCAACCTGCTCACCGACGAGCAGTACTATGACATCCACGCCATCGCGTCGCTGCTCAAGATGTATCTCCGCGAGCTGCCGAGCACGATCCTCACCAATGACCTGCGCACACAGTTCATTGCTGTCACGGAGATGACGAACCAGAAGGAGAAGATGGCTGCCCTTGGCGAGCTTGTCGAGCGTCTCCCACAGGCGAATGCGGCGCTCCTGAAGTACCTGATCTCATTCCTGATCAAGATCATCGACCACTCGGATGTGAACAAGATGACGGTGCGAAATGTTGGAATCGTATTCTCGCCGACGCTCAACATCCCGGCACCGGTGTTTGCCATGTTCCTGCAGAACTACGAGGTCATCTTCGGGATCGACCCGTCTGAGTACGAGCTACCGATGACTGAGCCCGAGTACCCGCAAGAACGCCGTCCTTCGCTCCCTGCGTCGTTCCAGGAACGCCGGCCCTCGGACGGGCGGCCATCCACCTCACACAGCGATTCCCCCCATAGGCAACGCCTGATGGAGTCCCTCGAGGCGCACGGGAACCGGAGCACGCCGACCCCGCCCCCGATGTCGATGCAGCAGATGGCGCAGATGAACGCGGCTACCCTTCACTCGAGGAGCACACCGACCCCTCCTCCCCAGCGACAGATGAATCACGACATGGGCGGTGGACATCACCCTTCGATGAGGCCAGCGTACGAAGGTGGTGGTTTTTCGGCCCCGACGAGCTTCGATCCCAGCCAGGCACATTCAGCGCATAGGGCTAGCCCCGGGTACGACAGACCGTCGTACGAAAACGGGCTGGCGCCAGCGCCCTACGAGCAGCCGTACCGCAGCCGTCGCGAGAGCGCCATGTTTATGGGCTCGCTCAGCCAGCAGCCGTCCAAGAGCCGGCTGCGCGAAGAAGCTCAGTATTAAAGCTTCTTTTTTCAGATTCCTTTCACCTTGGGAACCCCTTACCGCGGCACACATACCCACTTTCGGTGCCGTTCTTGCTTCTTTCTTAGTAAAGATACCACTTCGACGTTTGATGTCTACTTTTCCGCCTATTCTCAATTCTTCTTACCTTCATATTGAGGGACGACAACGTCGCTTTGCGCCACGATCAACCTACCGCTCTACTGCCCACCACGACATGTACGATTTCATTGAACGAGCGAGCCTACGGGCCGACATGTTGCACAGGAGACATTTGCGAAGATCATGTCATGCCATATCATTCATGCATACACGCGAGCACACATTTAGCGGATGGCGGCCATTTATGGATATCTTCGCGGCCATTCTATGTTTGGTTTCAGCTTTTGTTTTTGGTTCTTGTTACCCGAGGGGTTGGACTGTCTATCCATCATCTATTTTCATTTGCCTTGTTTCTTTCTTCCTCTACCTGTCGATTCTGCGGTGCAGCGGAGGAGATACCAAGTTTGTCTATGAATGGGGCGATGTAAGCTATATACATATGTATGTACGTAACTGTCTAATATGGGATATTATGGTATTCGAAATACGAAGTTCGTGAGTTCTTGCAGCTGGTGAGTGGCCTTCGTCACATGTTTCGGTGATCAATGTCAAATATTGGTGGGTACCATTGGTGGAACTCCTTGCAGGGGTTCTCGGTCCTCTGCCAAGAATCGGCTTCATCGGCTGCTGGATTTGAACCCCGCTTCCGAAGCTCGGGGTTACAGGAAACACAGTCTCCGGAGATAACATACAAGAGCCGTGGCACTGTCCTTCTTAACTGGCACGACTTGGTTTTTGGTCGGTGGATAAAAACTGTAACGCAGATGTCGGGATTGGTAACGCCGACCATCTTGCGACAACGCCCTTGATCGGTATCTCGGCCACAACACCGCCGGTGCCAATTCCCAAATCCGCACAAATCAGCTTTGACACGGCTGCTCGCATGGATCCTAGGTTAGATCCATTGCTCCGCAATGCGGCAGCAGGCTCAACGTCGTCACTAGCTGCCGTCACACGGGACATCGCGTCAAAGTCACAACAACCATTGATGCCGTCATGGCAATCCCAAACACACCAGCCATCGCCCCAGGCACACGCCCATCAACAAAACGCGCGCGCCATTGCCCAGGGCCGGGGCGGTGATTCCATGACCACCGCCTTCTCTCCCCAAACCCCCAACTCCTCCACCACCGCCGCCTTGACCCCCTCAACCTTGGACCGCCACCACTCCACCGCGACACCCCCCACCCAACAAAACCAAAACCAACACTACCCCAGCGGCGGCGGCGGCGGACCCTACGCGCCGCCCGACTACGACCACGACGACCACGACAATGACAATGACCACGATAGCCCCGACGACCCCGACCATGACCATGACCAAGACCCCGATCACCCATCCGGCACCGCCGGGGGCACAGGAAACAACGACCCCAAGAAACCCCGCGCCTGCGAGTCGTGCCGCGGCCTCAAGGTCCGCTGCGACCCGGACCCGGCCAACCCGGACGGGCCCTGCCGCCGCTGCGCCAAGGGCAAGCGCCCCTGCGTCGTCACCCAGCCGACCCGCAAGCGCCAGAAGAAGACCGATAGCAGGGTCGCGGAGCTGGAGAAGAAGATCGATGCGCTGACGGCGAGTCTGGTGGCGACCAGGGGGGCGGTTGGGGGGGCGCCGGCCTTGGGTGGTGGTGGTGGTGGTGGTGCGGGTGGTGTGAGTGGTGTGGGTGGTGTTGGTGGTGCGGGTGGTGTGAGTGGTGTGGGTGGTGTGGGTGGTGTGAGTAGTATTGGTGGTGGTGGTTCGGGTTTGGGGCCGGGGCCTGCTGCTATTGCTGGTGGGGGTTTGGGAGGAGCTGGGGGAGCAGGTGGTGGTGGTGGTGGAGCGGGCGCTGGGGAAAGGGGGAGCTGGGATCGGGAGGCTGATGCCATGAGATATGCTATCCCGCCGTCTGTTTCTCGTCCGTCGGTTGCCCAGCCTACTACCACCGCGGATTTTGGGGGGCGGAAGAGGAAGCTCGATGACCGCCGGGAGTCGGGCGAGGAAGCTTCCTCCTCTACTACCGCGCGCGATACCGCGCCGTCGAGCTCGGGCACCCCGCAGCCTGGTGGGCAGGCCACAGAGGAGGAACGCGCCCCAGATGTCGTCGACAAGGGGTTGCTGACGATGGGACAGGCGGCCGACCTGCTGACGCGTTACAATGTCAACATGTGCCCACACCTGCCCGGCGTGGTGCTCCCGCCCGACATGACGGCAGCCGAGCTGAGAGTGTCGAAGCCGATCCTGTTTCTGGCTGTCATGGCTGGGGCGGCGTCCGAGCTGCCCCACCTACAGCGAGTGCTGACGAAGGAGCTGATGGAAGTTTTTGCCGACAAGATCATTATCCGCGGCAACAAGAGCCTCGAGCTGGTGCAGGCCATCACGGTGGCCGTCATTTGGTACTGGCCGCCCGAGAGGTTTGAAGAACTCAAATTCTACCAGCTCGTCCACGTTGCCGCCGTCATGGCAATCGAGATTGGCCTCGGAAGGAAAAAGGCTGCGAGGGGCGGGTTCAGAAAACACATCGCGCATGCCTGGCGCGACCATCCACTTCGCAAACAATCTCCGCCCGATCCGACTACTGTTGAAGCCCGCCGGGCCTGGTTGACGTGCTACTTCATGGCGGCCAACACTGCCATGGCGCTGCACCGCCCCAGCCTGATCCGCTGGACACCCTTCGTTACCGAGTGCATGGAGGTCTTGGAGACTTCACCCGAAGCAGCGCCGACGGACAAATACCTATGCCATCTCGTGTGGACGCACAAGGTAGCCGAAGATATCGGCATCCAGTTTTCCATGGATGAACCCTCGTCAACGCCAAACCTCGCTGAGGCTAGGACCCAACATGCCCTCAGGGGGTTCGAGCGGGAGCTGGAGAAATACCGCAATTCGGTCCCGAAAGAGCTGCAAAAACGTACGTTTCGACTCTCTCCGCCACACCACCGTGACCTTCCGCAACTGAAGTGTACTGACAAGCCTGGTTTAGCATCCCTCCAGATGAGTTTCCACGTCATCAGCCTATACATGCACGAAGTAGCCACCCACAACGACGCTGCTGATGAATGCAAGCTACACCCCAGCGATGCGCATCTTGGTGTGGACGGTACGCTGTCCATTTCGCATATTAACGCCTTGTCGGCTTGCCTCGCAGCCATCAACGGCATTTTCGACCTATTTCTGTCACTTGACGTCCACACTATCCGCTGTCTGCCAGTGTTCAACTTCGTGCGGGTCGCCTACGCAGTCGTCGTCTTGATCAAGCTTTATTTCGCGGCGTCATCGCCCAAGAGCGACTTGGGGAAAGTCATAGACAAGGACGATATGAAGGTCGAGCAACATCTCGACCGCCTGCTTGAGCAATTCCGGGCGACGGCCCAAGGAGACAAGAGCCGGCCAGCGGCTAAGTTCCTCGTTGTGCTCGTCATGATTCGGTCTTGGTTCCATAAACAGAAACTCCACCAGAACAGCGGGCGGAACGCAGAGAGGAATGCGCCTACAGCAGAAACCCCTCTACCCCCTCACTCACGCCCGAGCGTCGGGGAAAGGGGCAATCCTACCTCCATCCCCCAACCACCTCCGCAACAAGACTACCCGCCCACGGCCAGCACAGGGCTACAACTCCTCTCCGAACTCGCAACCAACAAATCCGCCAGCGGCCCCCGACCATCCGCCGGCGCCGACTTCTCGCTTGCCGGCTCTACCCCCCTCCCAGGCAACACCCCCACGGGGCCCTGGCTCAGCCGGCCGCAGCAGCTCATGTACGACCCCACCAATACCTCTTCGCCCAACTCGGCCCCGTCCGCCACCGACAACACCGGCGCCGGATCCTTCATGGTTGGCGTCGCACCCCAGCACACGGCCATGGGCTCGAACCTGCCCCTCCCCTGGCTGGGCAACGCGTTCGCGGGCGCCGATCCCGAGTATGAGTATGCCACGTTCGGCGACGGGTTCGCCCAGGCTATGGACTGGACGCTCGGCGGGTTTGGCGAGGGCGGGCTAGGCGGCGCGGTCAGGAATATGATGCAGGACTCGGGGCCCGACCAGACGGCTTGGTTCCCGCCCATGGGGGAGGGGTTGGATGCGATGGATGGTGGTGGTGGGACGGGTGGTGGGTTTGGGTTTTGAGCGTAGTGGGTGTAGGATATAGGAAGGGAGGTTTTGGGATAGGATGGCGTTGGCGTCTGCTTGTTGGTTGTATTGTGTTATGTATTTAATATGAGGGTATGGGCGCTAGGGCTGCTCTAGATGTATCGCAGCTGTTCTTCGAGATTCAAGGACGCTAGTAATCACTTGAGATGGATGGTTAACTGGCGTCGAGGGCATCTACAGAAATATCTCAACGCACTGTTTGCAGTTTTCGTCGTCAACCTTGCACCCTCTCCGCTTCCCTTCTTCGCCTCTCATATCCATTGCACAATAATCTCATAGATCGGCTCTTCGAAACACAACTGTGGACTCGGACAGAGAAGGTCTTTACCAGTAGCCCGTAGCCCGCGCCCCCAGCAGAAGACCCAAACCAACACCTCAACTCGAGCCCACCACAAGCACCCCGATCTTTTTCCCAACCCAACGCCAGGTTACACGCCCACACCCGACCAGCCGGCCTGCTCCATCCCCCCCATCCCTCCTCCTTCTTTACTTGGTTGACTTGTCGATTCACCATCCATCCCCACCAAACACACAACTCCACAAAACCCATCCCGCCCAAGCTACTACGGCCACCCGAGTTAGCGTGGCCCAAAGCACCGGAATGGCAAAGAATCGGGGTTTTATGCGCAAGCACGCCATGTGGTGACAGACGTCTCTGACGACGTAGCACACGGCTGAGGAGAAGTGGGTGGGCTACCGATGCCACGGAGAAGGATATCGAACAAAGGGGCGGCCAGCCTTCTCGGCTTTCGACTAGCTAACGCCTTGGTCAGATACGGCTCGCAGTCCGCGGGGAGCGAGTGAAAGCTCAACTCGGAGTTGGGCGCCGGTCTTGTAGGGTTTGGCTTGCGGGATGGGGCTTACTACCCGGGCGGGTTGTTTGTCGACTGGAGTGTTCTTAACTTCATCCACATGGGAGCACCGTCGTCGAGTGGCACGCACACCACAATTCGGCCTTTTGCTGCCATGGAAGGACACGTCGTCGGTATAATTAATATCTGTTACTACCACATACGTCTGTAGGCTCAAACTTGGGTATCCCCTCGCTTGCTGTTCGCGTCAATTTCAATATCCATCCAACAACGCCAGCGCAGGCCGTAATCCCCAGAAGGGGAAGCAAACAAAACAGAAACGTCCCGCTCGCAAAGTAGAAAAACTCAAAAGTCCCGGCAACTCGAAAAACCGCTCCCCGCCACGGCCCAAACCCACCCCCACTCCTACCGACTCTTTATGCGTCCCCGTGCTCACCCGGCCCGGCTGACCCCCCGGCTCCTTTATACCCCCGCTAGCCCCGAAGGGCGCCGTGCTAGTGAGTCGGGGAGTAATTTCCAACTTTGAACAAAGGAAAGCCACCGACCCGTTGATCCACGACCCGAAAAGGGGTTGCTGGTGAATGAGAAGCACCAATCACCACCCCTCCGGCACCGGCCGCCTGGGTCACGGGGACGCTCAACAAAGCTGTAATAATAAGAGAACGCGCGGATGAGAGAGAGAGAAACCAAAAGGGGAGTAAATGACTGGACTAGTGATGGGGGAGACAAATAACTCCATTCAAATCATACACCATTCAACAGGATTGTTTCCCGCCCTTCCCAGTCTGGAGTTTGCAGTACCAGTAACAACCAAGGCCCAAGAGATCCGAAGCCCTAATCGTACAGTATATGTTGGATCACAGCGTGCCTCCCTGTCTGACTGTTGCCTTGCCCACACCTGGCCAAACCGTAGTGGCCTGTAGCCCTGCAATAACTCTGGCCCCAGCGACTGCCACCCTTCCAAATAGAATAACGACATCCCCAGAACTCCGTAGCTTCATTTGCACTCTTTCCTGGCCCCTCCGGGATGGTAGCTCGCCTGTAAACCCCGAACCTCAATTGAAGAAATCGCGCCCCAACTCCCCGAAACGAAAGGACAACATGAAGGGATGCACCCTAGTCAGGGCCCGCTATTCCCAGAGAACGCCTCAAAAGTAGCAGAACGATGTAATGTAAAAGTGACGAGCCGAAATCAGATGGCGGCAAACGCACGTATGCGTACATAGAATGGCATCTCGGACAGCGGTCATGGTCAACACGACTTAATCCATGTAGAAGTCGCCCTTCAGAATCCTCTCCTGGAAGGCATCGGGCTTCTGGGGTGCCCGCGGCCTCGGAGGCTGTGCGGGAGGCGCGGGCATGTCAGAAACGGACTTGGCCCGATTATGGTGAGGGCTCGGAGGAGCCGGAGGTGGGCCGGCTCGGGGAGGAGAGGCGCTGAGGCCTGAGCCAAAAGAGAACGAGGCTCGAGGGCCTGAGGCGACAGTGCTCTCGGCGCGAGACCTAAGCTGATCGGACCAGTTGAATCCTTGGTCTAATCGAGCAGAAGGGGAGCACAAGTCAGAACCCGCTCTGGACTGGTTTGCAGTGCTTGCCTGGGAAGAAATCTTGCCCCACGTGTAGTTGCCAGCGCCGGAAGACGGTAGTGGCGGCGTGGGCGGACTACCGCGAACGGTGCTGCTACGACGCATCGACTGGGGCTGCCTACCATTGGTGCCAGGGCTAGTAGCGCTTCGTGAGCCTCGCATGGCTTGAGTCGCGCCGAAACTCATCCGGCGGGCGAACGGGGGTACCGGTGCGGTGCGGGTGGTGCTCTCTTCATCCTCGATAGCGTTTTCGTCAATCGAATCCGAGTTTGTGGATAGACTGCCACGGCGAAGGATGGCCGAGGTGCTCGGGGAAGTGCCCGAAAGACCGAGTGTTGTGACGGAGAGTCTCCGGCGTTGGTCGTTGGCCGCGGAAGAGGCGAGTGGGGTAGAAAAGGGTGCCGCCGTGGGTTGCGAGACGGAGTTGTTCCGAAAGAGGTTGGTGAAGGCGCTCGAGGTGATAGAACCGCGCCGCTGCCGGGCCATGTCGTTCGCACTGGTAGTCGGGTTCCCGCTGTCGGAAGACATGGCGAAGAAATGGATGTAAACGCCCGAGGAGGCTGTAGGTTTATATCGACTCTGTCGGTGTTCTCAACGCAAAGCCGGCCGCAAGGGTGGCCTGTCGCAGAGCGGGGGTAGCTTTCGGTCGAATGGAGCGTTGTGTGGGCAGAACCGCGGACTCGTATGTGTTGTAGATTGGGATCGTTCGAGTTGGGCGTTTCGGCGATTTGGGAGTGGTGGAGGCGAAACACTTAAATAGGCGACTGTGTGGGGGGTCGAACGATGATGAGGTGGTGTAACACCGGGATGTCCGTCACTTGGGTTTTGCCTTTCTTTGTCAAACCACTGAGCAAGTTCGATCGGCAGTCCCTCGTTCGATTGGGGATGACCGGGCGCCTTCCTGGTCAACGTCAAGGCGCGAGTCCGGGGCAGGGCACGTTGCGGTGGTCCGGGAGATCCTTTGTTTTCGCCGTGCGTGCGTGCAATCCGCCGCTGGCCGAGAGTCTGGACCAAGTCCGGTCCGGGGAGTGGGCTCAGGCGGGGCGTTTCTGTGACGCTGTACTGACTCGATTGATGCGGTTGTGGACTTGTCACGAGGCAAGTGTCAGGGGAAGAGGGGGTTGGCAAAGATAAGGGGCGAGGTGGAGAGAATGACAGAGCGGGATCACCTCATGAATAAAAAAGAAAGGAAACTGCGACTCCTTCTAGTTCCTCGAGAACTCGGGCCACGGTTGCCCATCGTGCCATCACCCCAAGAAGGCGCGTTGATCACCACACTTGCCCCGAACCAGCGCGGAATGCCGCTATCAGGGTGCCAACAAGGGTTCCAGAAACCTGATTGGCTACCATGTGCCAGAGTGGGTGAAATTGAGTCAATGAACCAATAACATGTGCAGTAGCCTGGTTGATCCTGGGTTCTTGCCCCGCACACCAGGGGGAACGACCCCGGTCCTGACAATCTTGTGTGAACCCAAGCTCCAGCTCGACGTCAGGGCCCCACTATCAAGGCGCATCCAATTGCACCACATGCGGGGTAGCAAGATCGCTCCCCAGCAGGAAGAAGGAGCATATCACATCAACGCGCCTGCTTTTGGTGACGTTGGGCACAAATGCCTGGCTACACGTGGCCCGCCGTTGCTTCCTGTTCCTCAAACCGTTCGAATAAAAAAAAGGCACTCGGAAACGGTGTCAAGCCGGTGGCTTCGGGGCACCATGAAGTGCGTTCTTGGCATCGGGGCGAGGTGATCAATTCGAGCTTAACCAGATTAAGCATTTGGTGTGTGGATTCACTGCCACGACCGACTTGCAACTTGCTTGACTAACAACTAACAAACATTATGCCATCATGCCCGCATTCCGACCTCAAGCGGATATCTACATGGATACGAATACATGCGTGCGTGTCGAGCCGTGTCGAGCGTGTTGATCGTGTGTATGGTTTGCCACGAGCAGTGGCGGCTTGTTCGAGATCTGCCCCTCCATCGCGCCGCTTTTGCAACGGTTTGCCCAAACGAAGGGTGGCGTAGATCGATGATCACAGAGTGCAGTAATGCAGGACCTTCGCTTCTGACTCGCTCTTTACTGTGTAGTACACCCGCAGATGCATTCGGTCTGTTAGCCGCAGCCTCGGCCGGTCTCAAGTCGACAAGCGACTACATTTCATTCGATTAGGGAAACGCAACCAAGGAGCCGTCAGGACAACAAAGACCTCGGCTTGCCATGAATGTCCCACCTATCAACCCCATCCCTACGAATAACCTGTACTCTTTCCAACGCCCAAGATTATTTACCGACGCTCCCGGTCTCGGCAAGATGCGCCTCTCGGGCGGGCGTGCACGCCCGGTCTCAGTGACATGGGCACACATGCTGACGTTTCCCATCCTTCCTCCGGGGAAGCTGGGGAGCATGTAGTAGCGTGAGGAGCATGAGCTGTCTGCCAAGTCTGCAGTTGAGCTAGCAGGGCGTTGCTCGAAGTCTGGCCAATTCCATGTCTCGGAAATATTAAGCAAGCGCAGCTTCCAGATGCAGAGACTGGCCAATGGCTCGGGATCGCTTCTTGAGATGGATCTGCTAACATTTCAGCGAAGCATGGATTGTCGAAACCCCAAGAGATTGGCGAGCGGGGAGGTTGTATCAACAATCGCATTAGCCCCTCTCTCGATCCCCCCCTCTATCAAGCGCACTAGTTACGAGGTTACGTGGTTACCTACCCTCGCCAAATCGGATTCGCTGGCTCTGGGCATGGAGGCATGGGCGAGAACAGAAGAACGAAAGGACCTTCATAGTATGTGCCGACCCGTCCAACTTTGCCTAACGAGATGGGGCAGATATTGCCATGTGCCCTTTGTGATGATGCCGTCCGCTGGGCCACGTCGGCCAATACTTTGCGTCTTGCAACTCACCACCCCCTGAGCTAGACTGTCGAAGAGAGAGGCACCGAACCTGGGTTGTTCGTTCTGTGCACTGTTATCCACCGGTCCAACTCCCATACTTCGAGTGGCGGCCGCTGAAGCATGCAACCAGTTCTAGCCCCTTGCTCCAAGATTCGGAATCCAGACCCCTCTCACCTCAAACGGCTGCTCAACTCCTCTCTGTTCATCCACTCCTCTGCCATGCATACCACCCACCCGCATCTGCCGTATACCTTAGCCCGCAGCAAAAAGCGGAAACCGGTGAAACGACAACACGCAACCAAGTGGATGCCAATAATATCTTGCTGCAACGCCTGCGGGGAGTCGTGTGCCCTCTTGTTTATGTGTGGTTCATCCAGAACGCTCCGCACTCGCACTCGCACTCGATCCGTGATCATGCTTGTTGCCTCGGAGAACACCGTCAACTCAAGCCATCGAGCCTTTCCTTGCTGGACTGGCGTCATGATCATCAGATTTTAGCCATAGCCACCCCAACCCCTGGCCTTCAGATCGCCAAGCCGCGCATCTGGCGGATGTCTGCATGTCTCAAAACTGCCCTTGGATAATGTGGAGGTGTCGTCGCCTGTTTTGCTCCCAGATTCGCCATTGTGGCGTGTTGGTACCGGTAGTTTCCCCGTCTTTCAGATGTTGCTGTCTGGATAACTCCAGGCTATTAATAATGCAAATCGGTATAGGCTATTAGCTCTTATTATTAGTCTATCCCTCGATGCGTGCACAAAAAGTAAACAATGCATCCTCCCAGACCCAGCCAGACATCTCCCCAGACAAATGGCCTCTTAACTCACTGCTCTGTTGTATAGGCAGATCTCTCATCCCAACGTACCTAGTCTAACAGATGCCCCCGAGTTTCGTCCGACCGCCGGAACCTCTTAGGAAATGCAAGTAAGCCGGGAACGCTGATCCCATGATGTGCTCCCGCCCTCCTGGGGAGATCTCGATGCCGAATGCCGAACTTTTGACGCAGCAGCACTTTGTTCCATGTAACTGTGAGGTGTGATGTAAGTGTGACAAGCTCAATCTGAACAGGGGCAATAAGGAAAAAGGGAAGCGAAGGAGCGGGCTATCGCACACGAGCCATGTTGGGCATGGCTCCCCGAGGACCACTGTGATCCGCGGTGTTGGGTGACTCTCGGAGGACCACTGCGACCCGTGGCGCTGGGATGGCTCTCAGAGGACTACCGGGGCCCATGGCGTTGGGGCGAACCCCCCCGGTGGTCTGGGTTCCGGTTCCGGTTTTGATCCCGGTGCCGGCCGTGCTGCGGATGCTCCGTGAACTCCGGGAACGTGTGGTCGCCGGATTTGATGATGAACCTCACTGGCCCTCGGCGGATCCCCGTATACAGAAAACAAACGCTTAAATTCCCGCTCCTCAATCTATAGATGTTCTCCTAAATACCCCCCCCCCCCCCCCCCCCCCCCAAGTCTCCAACCGTCCGGCTCGATGCTCTCCGCCATCTGCCTCCACCGCCGCAACGGACTATCCTCCTCGCCGACCGCCTCCAACCAAGTCTGGTCCTCCCGCTCGCACTCCCCCGAACCCCGGCTCTAACGGGAACTCGACGGGTCGCCATCGGTGCCCTTGTCCTCGCCCTCTCTCGCGTCCAACACCCTCGCCCCCCGTTTCTTGCGCACGGGGATAGCCTCGACCAGAATCTTCCACATGTCGTCCAACAACCCATTCCTCCAAAAAAACACATTATCCACCACCACCTTCTGCCACACCCCACTCGGAATCCAATCCGCCACCAACGCCCTGCCAAACCCCGGATCCAAAACCAACCACACCAGCACCACATCACACAAGTGCGCGAGCGCGGCGCGCAGGCCGAGCAAACGAACCCCGGCGTCGGCCTGGTCGAAGGACATGACCAAGCTGCGGCGCAGGGGGTCGTACAGGCCCGACAGATCCATGGTGCCGAGGGCGGCCGCGGGCGTGGCGTCAAAGAACATCTTGAGCTGCAGCGCCATCTCGTACAGCGCGCGCTGGGCGTCCCCCATCATGCGCTCGAAGCCGACCGACGCGCCGGCGATGTAGGTGTAGACGGCGAGGAAGATCGGGTAGCCGCTGAGCGCGTACTTGAGGGTCATCAACCTTTTTGCCGTAGCTGTGAAGGGGGGCGGTTAGTTTAATGGGGCTATGGGGGGGTGGTGGGAGAGGAAGGAAATTGGCTGGGGGGAACGTACAGTTGCCGTACATGTAGCGGAGAGCGTGGGTGAGCTGCGTTGTGTTGTGTCCGTCGCAGTTGAATACGACGTAGGCCCCGTTCTAGGAAGGGTGTCAGTTGGTGTTGTTGACGGGGAAAAGGGGGCGAGTGCTGGGTATTTAGATACGGGCGGCTTATTGACTTACAGGATCCTTGGGTGGCATTCGAGTCTTGAACCAGTCTGACTCGCGGCAGAGAATGTCACGATGAACCCTCCAAAACCGGTCGCCGCATTTGACGAGGACATCCCATTCGTATTGTGTTTCCCAGAGTCTGTTGAGCTGTTAGCAAGGGTGTTGATGTTTGCGCGTGTCCATGCCACTTACGAGGACTCGCCTCGGTCGTGAGCTGCAATAAGATCACGTAGGCGCTCTTCCCGCCCCGCAAGCATCTTGACTCTCTTTTCCTCCGTCTCGATGATTCGCGCAATAGCATCTTCGATGGTCTCGCCTGGGAGCAGCATGATGAAAGTAGCTGATGAAGGTGCAGAGGTTTTGTGTGAAAGTTGGGTGAATGTAGCTGAAGGCGTGTAGAAGGCCGTATGTGAAGATGCGGATGGAGGACGAGCTACAGACAAAACATCTCCGGCTGAGAAGCGGCGGTACTGCTGCTTATATAGTGGTCCTAGGTCGCCTTCTGATTGCCCCCCGGCCGTGCTCCGGTCGTGCGCAGGTATCGTGATGCCGTCGTTGCCACCGAACCGCTCAGACATTACATCTTTACCATAAGGTGCACCTATCATGTCCGCGTCTCGAGACAGCCGAGGCGCCTCTCGGTCGTGCGCAGGTGTCGTGATGCCGTCGTCGCCACCGAAAAGCTCAGACATTGCATCTTTACCGTAAGGTGCACCTATCATGTCCGCGTCTCGAGACAGCCCAGGCGCCTCTCGGTCGTGCGCAGGTGTCGTGATGCCGTCGTAGTCACGGAAAATCTCGGACATCACATCTTTACCGTAAGGTGCACCTATCATGTCCGCGTCTCGGGACAGCCCAGGCGCATCATCCATGTCCGCCGAAGCGTCTGGACGTGTGACGTGACCGTCTGTGTGTTTAACAACATTGAGACCCGAGTTGTCGTCATTAATAAGTTCCAGGCGTGATGACGCCTTTGGCCTAGGCTTGGGAATTGCGGCCTGGGTGGAAGAGCAGGCCACCGCTCGGATCTCCTGACTGGCCTGTGCATTCTTGGGTCGGGGCCTCGCCGGCGATGGTTTGCCCTTCACTGCCTCGGCATATGAAAATGGTGACCTGGCGGGTTGTTTTGCAGCGGCCCGAGCCTTGGAAGCTGCGGATTTAGGATGCGAACTCTTTGATCCTTGTCCGTCCTGGGATGCGCTTTGGTGTACGCTCGTCGAACCTGGTTTTGGACTCTTCTGGATCGGTTTGGTACCCTGCTTCTGAGATGCCTTCTTGGATACCTGCTGTGCTGTATTTGGCCCGTCTGTCGGAGCACGCATGGGTGCCTGGACATGTGCGGCCACGGCCTTGACCACCTCGGCGGACTTGGGCTCAGGATCGAACAGCTTGTAACCACGCAGAGCATCGGCGTATGATCCCATGCGTGTTTTGCCAGAGGGCCCAGTGGGCCCCATAACGCAGCCAAGTCGCCAGCCGTAAGCCGGCTGCGCAGAATGCTGAATGTGAGGTCGGTCTGCGATGAGTTGTTTGTGGGGTGGTTCATCCAGTTGCTGGGAGACTTTGGGAGAAGGGGAAATAAATCGCTTCTAAAAACGACAAAAAAAACGCCCGTAGTTGTATGTACGGAACAAACGTTGTGGTCGTTTTGCTCTGTTCGTCGGTCGCGTTGTATTGCGTTTTCTGATGTTTTGATTTACGATGTTGATGAATTTTGTGGCCGGTCGGTCAGTCCGTGGAGCTCAAGCCGTCTGATCTTTTGAAAAGGTCAGTCGTTACAGTGAGAGGTTTGTGGTTCGATGAATAAAACACACGTACGCTGGAGCAAGACATTGAGGGAAAGAAGGAGAAGGCGAAAGATGAAGATATCATGCCGGATAAGCCTTGTAACAAAGTTCAATTCCGTCCTTAGAATAACGCTGAGTTCCGCTTGCACAACCTTTACCCCCGAATTTGACCATTCACTTCGTGAACCACCAGATACATGGCCGTGACCCTAGCGTCCGTCGCCTCCAGTCTTGGTCGTGGAATGTATACCAGATCGAATTTGATAATTTGACAAAAGCTGGGTGTACCATAGGCGCGGAAATACCCGAATCAAGAACTGGAAGACGGCGTAGTATCGGAGAGATTTGGACAGTTTGTTAATTCCCATGGGAGTGAGGTCAGTTGCGAAGCTTGGAACCTTTGCTACAAGCGATCGAAGCATCACAAGAGACGAAGCTCGGATTAGGTAGCGTGAGACTACCTATGGCGGGAACCACGGAACGTCGGGGAGCGGGGACGCAGGATATGGCGTGGCAGCTTTGTGACTCCTTGAGGGGGGAGGAGGAGGCGCACGCGTAGCAACAGCGGAAGCAACAGTAAGGGGGATTACCCACCGCATACGCGGGTGCGGTGTCGATTACCGAGTTTAACTATGATTTGATCATAAAGATCTTTACGGTGTTAGCCAATCTCCAACCGATAACCTGGAACCCGGAATTCTCACCTGGTTGAGTGCCGCGCTGTCCGCAAATGCCATCTTCTTTTGGGCGATGAACCTCGACCTTGCCAGGTATCTGCTCGAGCCCGTAGGGACAGGCGTTGAATAGCCACTGCCACTCGGCGTGGACAAGCTGCTTTCTGCGGGCGTGGGCGCTGAAGACGACTCCGAAACAGCCTCCTTTTTCCTTCGCTTCCTCTCTTTGGATATACTGTCGCCCGTCTCGGCTCCCGACTCTGCCGCTGCTCTGTCTTTCCTACTCTTCTCCTTTTTCTCTTTTTTGTCCTTTTTATCTTTCTTGTCCCTTTTCTTGTCTTTCTTCTCCTTCTTGGCCTTCCCAGCTTCGGAGGTGCTGCCAGCGTCATCCGGAGACTCGGTGGTTTCTGGCGTCACAGTTGGTGCCTCGCATTCCTCGGGCTCAGTCATCCTCGTCTTTGACTTCTTGTCCTTTTTCTTCTTTCCTCCTTCCTCGTTCACATCAGCCTCGGACTCCGCTTTCCTCTTCTTAGATTTCTTTTCCTTTTTGCTCGACTTGTCGTCTTCTGGATCGGACCCTCGGTCGGCCTTCCGCTTTTTGGATTTCACCGCGGCAGGCGCTGACGCGTCGCTCACTTCTGCGGAATTTGGCGCCTCCTCCGCCTCATCGTCGGGCGTTTGCTTAACTTGATCGCCAACCAGCCACCCGCCCTTGACGAATCGGATCGTCCCGAATTTCCTCTCCATGTAAAGACTGAGTTTCACATCATCCCGAACCTTCCGCTCCGTCTCCAGCGTCTCTTCGCTCTTGCCATTTAGGCGCCCAAGTAGGTGCTGAAACGCATCGAGGCCGGTACATTCGTCGCCATTATTTCGCTTGGCTCCTAGGCCGAGAGTGTCGTCCTTGAGGGTAACCCTGATGTGCGTCGTGTTGGCTTCGGTGTGCCATTCCGCATGTGGAGCGTCCTTCGCACCAAGGTACTCGCCTGGCTGCCACCCCTGAGCCCTAAGGATCTTCTGGCCAAACGTGTCGGTATTGCGCGACCATTTGGTGTTGTTCGGGTCGTTGCCAAGTTTCCGCTTGCTATTTCGCTTGTTAGCCACCTCGAATTCAAGATTGAGACCATTTCCTCACTTTTTGGCACCAGCGAGACCCATTTTGATCCAAAGGGACGCAGCTTTGCGGAGCTGCGATCTTCAGGGAAACGGGCGAGAGTGAGGTGTCTCGTACTATGTTTTCGTCGGTCGTCGTTGCATGTGGATCTGGTAATTTTTGGCGGGGAACGGGTGCAAAAAGACTTTGCCTGCAGACACCGCCCTCTGGTTCGGCCGACCGACAGGGGCCTTGCTGCTTGGACTAGCCAGGGGGTCAACCCACCTTTCCCATTGCCCCACAGTGAGTTGCACTCAGCTATCCATCACCACTCGCAGTTTGTGTGCAGCATACGGACATTGAATGTAATTGTCGCGACATCTGTCGAACTCCCCATCAACATACGGATTAAAATGGCGCCCGCAGCAAATACTGCTAGACAGAGACGCATTTCCGGGTCTGCAAGAGCTCCGGTTGACTCTGACTCGGACGCCGAATATAAAGCCTACAATGGCCGGCTGAAAGAAGCGAGTGCAGCTCGAACCCGCCTGCGGAAGGTATGAGCACAAACACTTATACTCAGTTTCTTGAAGCTCTCTCAGCTTACCATATAACCCTACGGCATAGGCTAAGCAAACCCGCGACAGAAACCGCACCGCCCTCGCCACAGCCTACGAGTCCTCCCTCAAGCAAATCGAATCTCGCATCCAAAAGTCCGTTACCAAACACAACGACTTGCGGTACGCCTCCCCACTCCTCGAATTTCCACCATCCATACTCCCTCCCATGCACTTCCCCCCTTCCACCCCAGCCCCACCAAACCACCCTCCTAACTAACCCCCCCGCCTAAAAAAAAACAGATCCGCAATCCACATCTCGCACCTCAAGCGCCTCAAACAAGCCATGGACCGCCGCGACGAAAAGGCCGGCCAGATCGCCCGCCGGCTGGCCGAGCACCAGCGCCGCATGCTGAACCTGGCCATCCAGCTGCAGGCGCTGTATGAGGGTCGCAAGGAGGATGTGGCGGCGCTGGTTAAGGACGCCCCTGTTTCTGGGCGGGAGGGTCGTGGGGGAGGGGAGGATCGTGAGGCTCGTGATGGCAAGGAGGTAGTGGGACGGATGGGGGCGTTGCTTGGGTTTGGGGCTGGTTGGAGAGCGGGTGCGGGGGGGAAGGCTGGTGGCGGTTCCCGGGGAGGGGTGGTGTAGGGTTGCTAGGAGGCGGAGTTCGGGTGTGGATTTGCTGGAGTTTCGGTTGCTTGTTTGCTGGTCGGAGGATACCCCTATTGCTTGAATGTTGAGGTGTTGCTAGTGTTGTTATTGGGACACGGGGTGGAAGCCAGCCGTTTTGCTGACATCGTACCGGAGGTGCCGGTGTAAGAGCGGAATCATGAATTTGTTTTAACGCCAGGTCTATGCTTCCGTATATGATACATGCTATCGTGGCAACCCAACCTCGGGTCCCGTACTTTAGACCTTGAAGCCAAACCCAGCCATGCAGCTCCGGTACTGGGCTATTGTCGACTGGCAGTCCTTCTGGGGGTCGGCGGCGTTGGAGAATAGCATGCACTCGTCACGCTTAGACTTTTCATCCTTGCAGACGCAGCAGGGCTGTTGACCATCCTTGTTAGAAACTACCATGTCCCCAGTTCGGGTTTTGTTGGCGCACCTTGGGCTTCGACGCAGCGTCAGTCGCCTGAGCCGAAATAGCGGGAGCAGTGCTGGAGCCGATGGACGCTGGGTTGGTCAGCAAGGTGCTCACGGCGAAAAGAGGATGAATACTCACGCATCTGAGCAGCCTGGCTTGCCATGATGAAAAAGAGTGACTGTGCTGTTTCCTGCAAACTGCACTGAATGCCAATAGTGAGGTGTTTTGTCGAGATTGGGACGTGAAGGTGGTCTTGCACAAGATGTTGATTTGTCAATTGCTTCCCGAACCTTTTCCCGCTATGACAGGGGTGTGGTATGTGCCAAGTTGCAATGGCGTCAGCGGCCCGCATGTCACCTGACACCCCTAACCGTGACCATTCGGGAAACAAACAAAACAACGGAACGGGGCAACCAGAATCATGAATCTATACCAACGGAAACGTACGGACCTAACCATTACATATCATAGCACCGCCCGTTATAAGTGGTTCTGTGTTATTTGAGGCACCCATGGCTGTACTATTGCTCGCTATATCAAGTTACTTCCGAGTCTCCTGACATAACCCCCCTACATTCGGTTCATTCATGAACCGCCCCCTCCAGCCCTCTTCCTCACCTCCCCCAATCCCACAGACCCAACCCCCCCCCCCCCTCCCTACCCAAACCCAATCAAATCCCCCACCAACACCGTCCGATACTTCTCCACGCCCTCCCTCAACCTAACCAACACCCCCGCCGCAAGCACCTTCACCTTCTCCTCCTCGCCCCCCTCATCGCCCCCCCTCAACCCCCCAAACACCCCCGCGACCCACTCCTGCGCCTCCACGACCTCCTTCCCCAGCTCCACGCAGACATCGCGCATCCGGTCCGCGTTCACGTCCAGCAGCGCCACGAACGCGAACAGCACCGCCTGCGTGACGGCCAGATCCCCGACCGCCTGCGCGCGCACGCTGGTGCTCAGCAGCAGCCGCCACAGCTCGGAGGTCAGCTGCGGCAGGGCCAGCGTGCTGGGCCCGGCGGCGTGCAAGATCAGGGCGAGGGTTTTGAGGTAGAGGGCTAGCAGGTAGGGGTGGAAGAGGATGGCGCGGCTGCCGCCGCGTGTTGTGGAGGAGGCGTGCACGGCGGCCTGGAAGCGGGCGGCGAGCGGGGCGAAGAAGGAGGTACCGAGGAGGTGGGCGGTTGTGTTTGGGATGGCGCGGACGCGGGGTTTGGCGGGGTGGGTGGATTTGTATTTGATTCGGGGGTTGGTTGGGGAGAGGTGTTCATCTTCTTTTTGATTCTGAGAGCCGTTGTTGTTAAGGCGGGAGGTGAAGGTGGAGAGCTTGAGAACGTCCGGGCCGGTGGCCGCATCGGCGGCTGTTGCTGCCATCGGGGCGAGGAAGGTGGAAGTAAGTGTGGTGGCGATGTTATCGAGAGCGTTAGGTGGGAGGGATTTGAGGGCGGAGGGCTGGGTTTCGGAAGGCTTGTTGCGGAGATATAGCTGCCCGACTCGCTCTGGGAGAGTTTTGGAGGGGAACGCCGCCGCCGCCGCGTAGTCGGATGTCTCATAGCCGGCCAGCTCGCGAGCGCTTAAACCGAGGATAATGAGGACCGATGCTCGTTGTGAGACCGAGTAGTCTCCATCAAAGAATGTCTTCGCGAACCATTGACCCATCTTCTCTGGTTTGGCGACGATGATGGCGATCATTCCCTGAACCCTCAACTCGTCAAAATTGTCCATCTCAAACTTGTCACTCAGTCCGACCAGTAACGAAGCGAGCTCCTCGGCGTGTTCCGACACTTCGGTTCCATAGTCTGCTTTCCGCCGAATGAGTGTTGGGGCCGTCGCCAGAGCGAGCTTCTGGTGATCGTAGCTTTCCGTATCTCGAAGGTACTTGATCAGGTCCCTGATGTACACTGGAGCCTTTGGCTTATCGCGCCTAACCAGCGTCGCGTCGTCGTCCGAGTCTTCTGCATCAGAATCTGGTTTTGCGTAAGGGACGATGTCTTCTTCCTCTGGGCCCTCGCCATCGCTGAGTTCCTCGATGACGAAGCCGGTCTGTGGTTGCCGGGTTGCTGGCTTCACAGTCGGCTTTTGAGGCGCTTTGCGTTGCTTTTGCGGGATCTCAGTTTGGGCGTTTAGCAAAGGGTCTAAGGATCCAGTCTCATCTGTGACGCCCGTTAACCCCTTGTACCAACTGCCTTCCTCGTTGCCAGTTTCCTCCATCTTGAAGTTGAGTTGCTTTTCTCCCTTGTCGACAAGAGCAGAAAGCGCTTCGCCCACCACCATGCCGAGAAAACGGGCTCTTTCATGAGGAGCCGATAATCTGTTCGACACGGCACTGAGCCAGGTGCTCGACCTCAACAGTAAGGCTAACTTTATGGGCGCCTTCCTGTGCACGTATCCAGCGGTTAAAAGTAGGACCTGGGCGTGAGCTGTGGCCTCAGTTAGCTCGAATCCCTGGCACGTTAGGCTTGGTACTAGCCTTCTTGTTGCAGCATTGGGGAATGCTTGATGTAGAGCTGGTCGCCAAACTGACCGAGGCTCTTTTCAAGTGTAGTAACGAGCTCGTCCCGTTCTTGAGAGACGACCGCCATGACCGCCCGTCGGATACCAACGCCTTCCCCAAGTCCAGCGCCGGAGGAGCCAGTCAGCCACTCCACGAGATGGCGGGTGCCATTTTCTACCGAGCCAAGTATTCCGTTAAGGGCACCAGCCACGGCAGAGATGAGTGGCTGAGTTGCTTCGGACTCACAGCGGCCAAGACGATCTAAATGCCCAGTAGAAAACATCTTGAGAACGGAATAGAGTACCTTCCGTTGCTCAGTTTGCGGTAGGCCGCCTACCAGAAGGCCGAATCTCTTGGGTTCGGCCTGTGGCTTCAAAACAAGCTCGGATATGAGCTGCTTGATGAGTACATCTGCCCTTGTTAGCCCGACTCATGATTACAGGGTTGTTGCGAAAACGTACCAGAGTGGCCAAGGCGAAGAGCTTTGGCAAACAGGTCAGGGGCAAGTTTGGTTTCGCTGGGTGTCAGATCCGACAACGCCAGTGTCACAATATTCCGGCCAAGCCATCGGGTGTATCGCGATGAGTCGGCAGGCCAGATGTTGTCTACCCTCTTGCTAGAGGCATCACCCTTGACGATGTCTTCCGCCTCTGCTGCTAATGAGATAATCCGAGAAGCGCCAAAAGTGGCGACAATTTCCTGTATTCTCGGTCTTACTCTTGCTGCAGCTTCCTGGCTAGATGTTGCAAGGCGGTATGCTTCTAGAAGCCAGCCGTCGCCCTCAATGATACGGCATAAGAGATCCAACAGAATACCGATGTTCAAAGGTATGTCGGGACGCTTGACATTTGTAGATGCCTCAGCCTTGGTTTCATGTATCAGAGCCCTGAGACGAACAAGGATGGCGTTCACTCCTGTGATGCCTGATAGACAGTACAAGAGCAGCTTCAGCCCTGAGTTTTTATTTTGATGAACATCTTCGATGAGCAAAGCCCAGTAATTCGGCACAATCTCCGCGACCAAGACCTGTATAAGCTGGGCACTCAGAGGACTTGGTAGCTTGATAGTCGGGAGGCCATTTGTTTCGTGGCGAGAAAGAAAGGTCAAGACTGAGATCAAGAAGTTGTAGTCAGGTTCGTGCTTGAGTATCCCAAGAGCATCCGCTAGTGTGGTGAGATGAGTGTGATGCTGTGGTTTGGGTGTTGGCTCTGGGTTCTTGGAGTGGGATTGAACACTCGACAATCGTAAAAAATCGGGTTCTGCTTCGTTTTTGGCCATACGGGTTATGCCCGCCGGCCTCAGTAACTCGTCCATTTTCGAGGATGCCCAGCGATAGTACGTTGAATATCTTTTTGTTTTGGGGCAGCGCTGCTGTGAATCCGGGTGACCGGGGTTGGGTGTAAGAGATCGAACGGTGGATGATGTTAGTGGATGGATGTGATCTGGGCGAGAGCGTCCCTTGTTTCCCTTGTGGGCTCAGTGGCTCACTGGCTCGGTGAGCAACCCATGGGCAAACGAAGCTGCATTTACTCAATTTAGTTTGATTTCACTCGGTCTCTTCTTCGATGTATTATGCTCTATTTCTTATCTTCCTTTTGGTGTTCGGCTTTGATTAAGTTATTTGGTCAGAGGGTGAGTGGGTGGTCAAGCACTGAAAGGCCGGGTCTCAGCGGCGCCTAAGATAAGAGCGGGGAACCGGACCACGATAAGCCCCAACCCTGGGTGCCTCGGTGAGACCAACAGCTCCCCCTCTACCATCCTACTTCGGGCTTATTTTCTGCTTTAGAAGACAATTTAAACCTGGGCTAACAAAGCCGCCAAAAAAGTCGCCGGCCCGCTCGAACCAGAATAACGCCCATAGACATGGCCACCGCTCAAGTGTACCCGGCCTCGGAACCGGCAAGATGGATCTACCTCGACAGGATCCGGACCCGACCCGGACCTTTCACGAACCCCGACATCTTCAGCGGTGAGCCGGTGGCCGCGGCTATGGAAGCGATGAAGATATTGGTTATTGGCGCTGGAGGGCTGGGCTGTGAGCTCTTGAAGAACCTCGCGTTATCTGGGTTTAAGGATATCCACGTCATCGACATGGACACGATCGATATCTCGAACTTGAACCGGCAATTCCTCTTCCGACAGGCAGACGTCGGCAAGTCCAAGGCCGAAGTGGCCGCCCGGTTCGTGGAAAAGCGGGTAAAGGGGGTCAAGATTACACCACACAACTGCAGGATCCAGGATTTCGACGAGGACTTCTACATGCAGTTCCAGCTTGTCGTCTGCGGACTGGACAGCATCGAGGCGCGCCGGTGGATCAATGCGACGCTGATCAACATGGTGGACGAGGAGGTCGAGGACAGCTACAAGCCTCTCATTGACGGGGGCACAGAGGGATTCAAGGGCCAAGCCCGCGTCATCTTCCCAACCGTCACATCCTGTATCGAGTGCCAACTCGACATGCACGCCCCGCGCGCCGCCGTCCCACTCTGCACCCTCGCCAGCATCCCCCGACAGCCAGAACACTGTGTCGAATGGGCGCACGTCATCGCCTGGGACCAGGAGAAGCCCTTCCCCGAGCTCGACAAGGACGACCCGGACCACATCACCTGGCTATACCAAAAGGCGCTGCTGCGCGCGCAGGAGTTCAACATCCCGGGGGTGACGTACTCCCTGACGCAGGGGGTGGTCAAGAACATCATCCCGGCGATCGCGGCGACCAACAGCGTGATCGCGGCGGCGTGCTGCAACGAGGCGCTCAAGATCGCGTCCAACTGCGCGCCCTTCCTGGGCCTGCCCGAGGAGAATTACATGATGTACTCGGGCAACGACAGCGTCTACACGTACACGTTCAAGCACGAGAAGAAGGACGACTGCCCCGTGTGCGGGCAGCTGGCGCGCGACCTGGCCGTCGACCCGGCCTGGACCCTGCGCGAGCTGGTCGACTCCTTCGCCGCCCTGCCCGAGGCCCAGCTCAAGAAGCCGAGCCTGCGCGCCGAGGGCAAGACCCTGTACATGCAGTCGCCGCCGAGCCTGGAGGCGCAGACGCGGCCAAACCTGGACAAGACGCTGGTGGAGCTGGGGCTGGAGGCGGGGCAGGAGATTGGCGTGACGGATCCGGCGTTTGCGACGGTGCTTTTCAAGTTTAAGCTCAAGTTCAAGCAACGAGGAGGGGCATAGTCGAAGAGGGGTCTGATTTCTAGAAATGGGCATATTTTGCGAGGCGTCAGGGGAAAAGGATCCAAATGCAGATTACAACGGGCGAGATGACTGGCAGGATATCACGGCGCGACGAACGAGCAAAGTCATTGCTCAATGGCCTTGAGCCAGGCATAAACACACAGAACATACAAACGGCATCTAGACGAATGGCGCTGATATTAAATCCAAATGGAAACTTCTATTTTCCACCCTGATTGACCTGTCTACGTAAAAAGGCAGAGAAACACCGGTGGCCAACCCTCCCTTTTTACAACCCCCTTGACGCCATACCCATGTTTAAGATGCACAGAGAAAGGGGTATATACCCACAAATACCGGTCCGCCACATCCTTTTTCTATCTGACCATGTTTTGGACTTGCTTCTCCAGATCCTGCGCCCGCTTCTTCAGATGTGCGACCGACTCCAAGAAGATGGCATCGCTCTCCCACTGTCCGGTGCTCTCGACCAGGTAGATGAAGTGATCCCTCCTGCGGCCGAGCTTCACCTTGCCCTTGAACTCCTCGTGTCGTAGGCACTCCCTGCTGACGGTATCCCGCATCGGGTCCGCCACCACGGCCTTGTCCTCGCCTTCGTGGCCTTCGTACCCGCTCCCCTTCTTCGCCGCCTCCTTCTTCGTCACCTTCTCGAGTTTGATGACGCCCTGGGGGAAGCATCGCATGAACTTCTCGGCGTCTCGCCCGAGGATGGGCCGTTCGATCTTGATTACGGGCATCAGCCGGTACGATGCGGTGGCAACGGGCGAGAACTTGGAGTGGTCTGACCCGACGCCTTTGTGCATGTGCATCGAGAGCGAGATCTCCTGCCCTGGGCGCAGCTTGGCGATCAGGATATCCGGATTGACGGGTGCGATGGTGTCGGCACCCGAGAAGTACTTGTCCTGGCGGCCGACAGGGCAGAACTCGATGTCGCGCGCGTAGACATGGGCGTGCTTGTAGAGCTTGGTGGGATCTGTCTCGCCCGCCGCGGCTTTCTCGTTGTGCTCGCATTGGATTTCGAGGCGGAGCGAGACGGTGTTGTTGTCGTAGTAGCTATTGTTGATCTCGGATTCGTCGGTCGGTTTTCGCCACCATTTCAAAAAGTTGTGCAGCCCCTCGTGGCCGCCCTTGAAGGGGATCAAGCCAAGCCGGTGGGAGAGAACTTCGTCTTGAATGACGGAGGTGTTGTTGTTGATGAATACCGTCTCAATCGCGAGAGTCGGGATGTCGGCGATCATGATGCGCCGGAAGGCGTTGGCGATGGAGGCGTCGATGCCAATGAGGGAAAACGAGGCCTCAAAGGGATCATTCTGGTGGAATTCGACGCTGAACCCTCGCCTGAAGGACTCGATGTCCCAGCTGTGGTCCTCGCCCGGGTAGTGCCCGGGAAAATCGCTTGACGATACATGGGTGATGGTCTCATCCTTAATGCCGACGATCTGGATTCAAGGCGGTGTTAGGCTTGCTTATCCCCTGAACTCAAGACATGCAATAAGAGAAGCGCACCTTCCGCTCCTCGAGCTCCTCTTTTGTTGGCGGTTTGTGAGGCATTGTGATCGATCTGATTTGTTGGTGGGGTTGTCACGTTTGTCGACGCTGCAGGCCTGGAAATTCTTCGACCAGAGCTGCTCGCTCGCAAAAACGGCAGAACTTTTTCCTTATCGCGGGGAAATTTTGACCGCCTTTGCCGGGCCCACTACGGAGGCGGCAGGAGGTCCCGTCTGCCCGTGCTGCATGAACTTGGCCACCCCATTGATGCCGTGAGTTGAGCACTCGGAATGCTATTGTGGTATGTCGAGTGTACACAGTTAGCTCGGGGAGGCCGGGCTAATTATGTCCGCATGGTTCAACTTTGATATCATGAGAGTAAGAGTTTAAGGATAGGGTTTGGTTTATTGTGCCCTGGCTTCTACGATTGCTGTTGTTGAGAGTGTAGGTCAATTAACCTGCATTGCCTTCATTCAAAACAACTGGACCCGGGAAGGCGATGGACGGTTCTCTCCTTTACCTTGAACCCCAAGCTGCCGAGATTTATCGATGGATGGATCGATGGAGAGGTTCTCGAAACTCCATCTCGTGAACTTCACCTCTGCTGGCCAATAAGAAGAGTCCTAAAGGGAGCACGGCACTCGGATAAAACCCACGCCGCAACCACCCAATCAGGAGCTTGAGGGGGGGGTTGAGCAATTGAAGCTTGGGGGATCAGTGACGACCGCCGTAAAACGTGCTGTGCTCCCCACTAGCGAACAACCCGAAGCTCACTGCCAGCCATTGACGCCGGAGAAGAGGCAGCAACCCGGGAGAGCGCAACCGGCAATCTCCTTCTCCTCGACACTCTCTCCACTCCATCCTCCACACACAACCATGTCGGCGACGCTGTACCGGCTCGCCGGCCGCAGTGCCAAGCGACTCTGTACCCGAACCCGAACGTCGCCATCACCAGCGCTCGCCAGCTCCATCTCACATCCCGCCCGCGCATTCTCCGCCTCGGCCCTCCGTCGCTATGCCGAACCTCAGGAGTACCAAGGCACCCGCCTGGTTCCGACGGGCCCCGACTTCGCGACCCCCGTCGACCCCTATGACCTCCACGCCCAGCTCAACAATGGCAACACCAGTGCCACGAAAAAATCCCGCGACGAATCAGTCGAGGATCGCAAAGTGCGCCACTACACGGTCAACTTCGGCCCCCAGCATCCGGCTGCCCACGGCGTGTTGCGCCTGATTTTGGAACTGAACGGCGAGGAGATCATCCGGTCGGACCCGCACGTCGGCCTGTTGCACCGCGGCACCGAGAAGCTGTGCGAGTACAAGACGTACCTGCAGGCGCTCCCCTACTTTGACCGTCTCGACTACGTCTCCATGATGACCAACGAGCAGTGCTTCTCGCTGGCCGTCGAGAAGCTGCTCAACATCGAGATCCCCGACCGCGCCAAGTTCATCCGGACCCTGTTCGGCGAGCTCACCCGCGTGCTGAACCATCTCATGGCCGTCCTCACCCACGCCATGGATGTTGGTGCGCTGACGCCGTTCCTGTGGGGTTTCGAGGAAAGAGAGAAATTGATGGTTAGTGCAGCACAGAACACCACAAGAGCAGGCGGGAGGGGCGGAGCCATGGATTGTGGAAACTTGAGGGAAAGCAGGACTAGTGAAGCTAATATACATTGCCCAGGAATTCTATGAGCGCGTCTCTGGCGCTCGTCTCCACGCCGCCTACGTCCGCCCTGGCGGCGTTCACCAAGACATCCCTGTCGGCCTGCTCGACGACATCTACCAATGGGCGACCCAGTTTGGCGACCGCATTGACGAGACGGAGGAAATGCTGACGGACAACCGCATCTGGATCAACCGGTTGCAAGGCGTTGGCGTCGTGAGCGCCGCCGATGCGCTCAACCTGTCCTTCACGGGCGTCATGCTGCGCGGGTCCGGCGTCCCCTGGGATATCCGCAAGAGCCAGCCGTACGACGCCTACGACCAGGTCGAGTTCGACGTGCCCGTCGGCACCAACGGCGACTGCTACGACCGCTACCTCTGCCGCATGGAGGAGTTCCGCCAGTCGCTGCGCATCATCATCCAGTGCCTCAACAAGATGCCCGCCGGCCCCGTCCGCGTCGAGGACTACAAGATCTCGCCCCCGCCCCGCTCCGCCATGAAGGAGAACATGGAGGCCCTCATCCACCACTTCCTGCTCTATACCAAGGGCTACGCCGTCCCGCCGGGCGACACCTACTCGGCCATCGAGGCGCCCAAGGGCGAGATGGGCGTGTACGTCGTCAGCGACGGCTCCGAGCGCCCCTACCGCGTGTCCATCCGCGCTCCGGGCTTTGCCCATCTTAGCGGCTTCGATCACGTCTCGAGGGGGCATCTGCTGGCTGACGCCGTGGCTGTCATTGGCACCATGGATCTGGTGTTTGGTGAGTTCTTGTTTTCTTTTTTTTTTTTTTTTTTTTGTAAAAGTCGAGTGTCATGCTAACGCCGTCGCAGGCGAGGTTGATCGGTAAACTTGGGGAAACCAAAATCAAAGACTGGGAAATCATCGCGGATGGAAATCAATTTGATGAGAAAATCATTGCGGTGCGGTTCTAGCGCGGTGTGGTTTGTTCCCCGGGCATAGATAAATAGATTGAGCCCTTGCTCGAATGAGCTAGGGCTAGGCCAGCCTGGGGGTGGGTTGAAGTTGGGTCGTGGTGAAGTAGAGCGGAACGCTCGTTCTGGTCGTCGTTTCGTTTGTATCCGCTGTATCATAAGCCGAGGGCGGGGCTTGCTCGGGGCCGGTCTGTTGAGAGTGGGATGCCCCAGACCAGATTTCCATTTCCCCATGCCCTGGTAACGACGTAAATATCCTACACTGTTTGACAGCTGCTGTGCGCGTGGTTTGGTCAGCATGTTGATCCCGTGCATGCAGTCAGGGGTTTCCGCTTGACAGACTCACCCTCGCTCGATCAAGTGGCCGCCGAGTGCCGGCGCGTCGGAGGCGGCGGCGGTGTCAGCAGCCGGTCGCTCTCGTCATCCTCGCGCTCCTTGCCCTCGTCCTGCTCCGCGCCCCGTCTTCGCCTCTCATTTCTCATGACGCCCCCTCTCACGACCTCCCTTCCGTCTTCACCCGTAATACTCGCCAGCTCTCCCTCGACCTCGTCCGGTACCTCTCCCTCGATCTCCCCCCTACCGCTCCCAACCCCGAACCCAACTTCTCCCTCCCCGCCCATAACCAAAGCCACCCCGACACTAGAACTCCGCCGCAGCGGACACTCCAACCAGTCCGGCATGTGCGACACGCCTTCAGGCCCGGCACCGATGGGCAGACCGCAAAGGGGTTGAAGTATCTCGGGACGGTTGGCGGTGTTGCCGTAGTTCTGGTGCTGTTGGTGCGGCTGCGGCTGTTGCGGGTACTGGTGGTGCGTGTGAGTGTGGGGGTCGGCCGCTCTCCATCCGCCCCTTCCTCTATCCTCTTCTACCTCCAGTCCCTGTCCCTGTTCTTGTACAATCCCCTCCGGCGCTGCGAGCTGCCGCTCACCGCCGTGTTGCCGCTGGTGGCGGTGGGTCTGGGTTTGGGTCTGGATTTGATAGCCCCGGCCGTGGCCGTGTGCATGTGCATAACCCTGTGCATATCCACCGAGATGATGGGGTTGGTGCTGAGGATATGTATTGTAGCCCACACCACCGTGTCCTGTTCCACCCCCGGTGTCGGTCTGGTTACCGCCGGTCCGGGCATGCACTAGCCCTGGCGTGCGGTACGGCCCGGGCCCCTGCGTCAGCCATGGCATACCCGGCGTGGCCTGCGGCGCGGCCGCCCACGGGAAGGCACCCGCGGGGATGGCGTCGCTGAAGGTTGTGGCCGTTGCGTAAGTTGGGTGGGCTGGGACGGGGCAGTGCGGGTGTTGGTGGTGCGGGTATTCCGGGTAGTGGTAGCCCATCGGGACTGGTGCTGGCATTGGCATTGTGATTGCGGTTGCGGTTGCGGCTGCTTGGGTGGATGGTTGGTTTGTGGGAGGGGGATAGGGCGGGGATGGAGCCTGAGAGGAGACGATGAGTTGGCCCCCCAGGCTTTGGGGTGAAGCGGAGGACCATCGAGTAGGTTGAGATCGGGGGCGTGATGGGAGGTTTCTCTCGCGGCGGTTCTCGCCGCGGCGGTTGAAGTGGCGGGTGTTGTTGCCCTGGTTCTGGCCCCTGACTTTGACGGTTTGGCTTTCTGCGGCGGCCGGGGGAGGGAGGCGAGGTAACCTAACCTTGGGCGGTTTTTCTTCCTCAACTTCAAACTCTCCAAACGTCTTCTTGATCTCGGCAATGCGCTGCGTGGTCTCGTCAACTTGGCCTTCGATACCGTGTCTGTGGTCACTCTTCTCCTCTCTTATCTCCCTCTGGCGCCACTGGGACAAGTTGTCTCGGTCGTCGGTAGTCAGCTCGTCATCAGTGACCCGCGGCTTATAAGGGGCAAAGGTTGCTGCACATGTGCACTTCCCAGCCCTGTGGAGAGCAGCGTGATCGGCTTTCCACTCAGCCGCATAGAGTCCCGGGAGTCGAACAGCAACGCGGTGCTCGCCCGTCTCGGTAACCCCTTCTGCAAAGAGCGCCGGGATTTGGCCGGCGGCACTGGAAGAGGCGGTATTCTTTTCGGCGCCACCCTGCCCAGTTTGTCCCTGGCTATCCTTGAAGCTCTCGACGCCATCGATGGAATTCGGTGTGGCATCATTTCTATCTGCAGTGGCCATAACGTTCGAACCGGTGGTTGAAGCTGGGCTTTCAACAACCGATGTGTGGCCGATGACTCGAGGAGTTGTGAGGAGACCCGGGAAGATAACCTCGCAGCCGCAGGCTCCACGCTCATGAAGCCAGCGATGCTCCCACTCTCTGATCAGGACCCAGCGAGAATGCAGCTGTCGCTCACAGGGTGTACACATGGTCTCCGCATAATGCGGCTTGTGAGGTGGGATGCCGCATATCGGAAAGTTGTGGCCGGCCGTGGTCATGGGGCAGGTTCGCACCACGCCCATGGAGCGGTGGCCGCACTGGTAAGCGATGAACTCTTCGTAGCACATCCTGACTGGTAGTTGACAAGGTTCTGCGAGTGGTACTCGTTAAATTCGGACCCTGGTGGTGGTGAGGTTAGAAGGAGGGAAATGGGGGCTGAACGTAGAAAGTGGAACAGGTCTTGGAATAGGGGACTGGGATTCCCAGATAGGGGTGCTTCTGAAAGGGAAACGCTCTATTCGGCGCACGACGGTTACTATTGTGATGGTCTCGGCGTGGCATAAACAGACCACAATGGCGACAGTCTTGGGATGGGGCAAAGGGGCATGTGCACAAAATAACTTGAGATCCTCCGCTTACAAGTAGAACCCAGCACGTCCAGCTTTCAGGAGCTGGCAGGTTTGAAGAATAGAAAGATTGAATGTAGAAATGGAAATAGGGGCTAGGAAAGTGGAAACTAAGTAAAAGGTGTTTGCTTCTCTGTCACACCAAAGAACGTACCTGCTTCTGAGCACCGTCAGAGCCACACATCCAGTGCTATGCCACCTCCACAATAATGAGCTTGTTTGGTTGATCTCGTGGATGACCCGAACATTTGGGACACCGGTCTGCTTGACCGGATTGTCTTACTCTCTGATACCACTGGTTGGTCAAGCACTAGAACGGTGAGACCTCACCAGTTGGGTGTGGCCCGGAGAGGCAAGTTGTGAAAAGCTAAGCCAAGTTTGCAGTTAAGTTGTGGTCAAGTTGCGGTCTGGTTGTGAAATGTTGCGGGAGAAGAATGTGGAAGGGGATATAAAAGCGGATAGGGGAAAAAGGGCCGTTAAGAAGGCGAAGAAACTTGCTGGAAGGCACAAGTATGAGTCCTGCTGCAAGAGAAACATTTCAAAGCTCGTAGCTGGTTCCCACAGCTGGCCTTGATCACCCGGCTAGCACTCTTGGGACTAAACATGGGATGTAAAAGGCTGAGCAACATGTTCACACCCTTGCTGTATTGGGATAAGAAAGTTGAGAATCACACACAGCTTTGTGTGAGTGATGGCTTGCGAAAGGAACAAGCGGGGCGAACGGGCATCCTGGGTTGATTCAAACAAGGAGCTTTGTAACGGGGCAACCGCTCCTTGTTTACTTGAGTGGCCTCCGCCAATAAGGAGAACCTGGAAATTTGAGACCAGAAGCTAATCTCGTTGACTGGCGTGGCCTGTAGTCCGTGTGACCGGAAATATAATGAGTCATGGGGCAAGGAAGGAAGGAGATGGGGGCGTGGAAATGAGAAACCAAGAGGGTTCGAATGGGTAAGCAAAGCATTTTGTTGAGCCAAACCGGGTCGGCCCCGTGACGAATCATCCCATCCGCCTCGTACGATGTTGATGGCCCGGGAGAACCCGGTGGTAGCATTCAGGAAGAAGCGTAAAAACCCTCCACTTCTTGTATTCCATCCGGATCTGTCAAGGCCTGACATCTCGGGAAATAAGGATATGATACATGGTGCAAACAAATCTGTACAACAAGGGGGTCGAGAGTAGGACAAGTCCACGCGGCAGGTGGAGTATGGGCTACCCGGCCGTTAGAAGACTTTGATCCCGTTTCCGGCAGCCTGGTTCATAAAGAAGGACTTGAGGGGCCCAAGGGCATTGACGGCGTTTAGGCCGACCGACCTCAGGGGCACCAAGGGACCGCTGCCAACCGAGTAGAGCTTGTGGAGCTTGTCACAGACTCCGAGAAGCAAATGATTCGCCGCATAGCGTTCGGAGGCGTACGGCTCTAGCGCCATTGTGACGCCGATATCCTGCCCGTGGCCAACGGCGTATTCTATGGCCTTGGCCAGGCTTTGCACGTCGCCCTGGCCTTGGTTTAGGCCTTGCCCTGCGAGAGGGTGGATGGTGTGCGCGGCGTCGCCAACCAGAGCCACACGCTCCGCGATGTAGGTATCTGCGTGCCGCAGCTTGAGGGGGAACGAAGCGACGGTGCCTTCCTGGACACCCACAGCCGTCTGGGGAATAGTTCGATAGTCGAGGGGAGTGTGTTCCAGTCTCCAGGAATACTCCTCGGCCTGCCCTGACTCTTGTGTATGCATGTACTCGAGGTCTGTCGGGCTCAACCGAAAGGCGGCGTTCACCGTAGCAATGAAGTCCTTGGCCGATAGGCTCTTCAGCCGGGAGGCGTTGGTGGGGGTTGTCGACCACACAAGCGTGCAATGATTTCCTGGAAGGGGCAGCATGGCGACTGGCCCCGTAGGGAGAAAGCGTTGGTAAGCAGTTTTGAGGTGTTCTCCCCCCCAGCCCTCCCCTTCCATCTCGAGAGTGGCGACGACGCCGTGGCGGTTGTAGTCCCAGCCGCGAGCCTCGATGCCGGCGAACGACCGCACAGGGCTATTCGCGCCATCTGCGCCTACCAGGAGCCGGGCAGAGAGCTGCTTGCCACCGGATAGGTGGACAACAGGCCATTCTCGCAGATCCACGTCCTCCGTTTCCTCCCCGTACGCTATCTTCTCGACCTTCGCATTGTCGAACACGGACACGCCGCCCAGCTCCTCTATCCGCTTCAATAAGCCGGACGTAAGGTTCAAGTTCTCGTTCATGTAGGCGATCGTCGTCCCGGCAGCAGGTGCGGCGCCCGGGGCCCAGTCGAACTCGATCCGTGCCCCCGTCACACCATCCCACACCTGCATCTCCTGGTATGCCTGAACCCTGTCTCGCTCTAAATGTGACCAAGCGCCGATTTGGTCGAGAAAGGAGGCGGACGACGGTGTAAGGGAGCTGCATCGGTTGGAGAATTTGTTTGGGGGGAGCTTCCACGATTTGGTCTTGGCCAGGTCCTGGGCTTCGACGAGGGCGATTCGGAGATGCGCTGTAACCGGGTTTGCGCCTAGAAGGCCAATGGTCAGGATCCTAGCTCCAACATCTTAAAAGTATCGCAACGACATGTCGCTAGGCAATATTACTTACGCAATGCTGTCAAGAGACTGAGCCCCGCGGGGCCTCCCCCGACGCAGACCACATCGTAAATGTCTGGTTGCGCGGTTGCGCTCGCATAGGTTCGCCGCAGCTGTCTCTGGAGACTTTGAGTACAGCTCCGACACACGTATGCGCTTCGTCGCCTAATTGCAGTGTTCATTGTTGCATACTTGAGCGCTTATCTCTCAAGAAAGTCGGGTTGTTAAAGTCGAGGTTCATATTCGTGAGTTACCTTATTGAAGTCCAAGCTCGACCGAGGCATGCCACTATGCAACCCTAACCCCGATCGGACCCCTCGGTCGTGTGTAAGTGAGTTGTCAGTCTCCTTGGTGGCGCTTGAAGTGTTTCACTCTCCTTTTTAGTCCGCATCCGACGGTACTTTATTGATCAGCTCAAGGAACAAGTCTTTTGACTAAACAGCTGAGACCTTGCTGACCTTGTCAATATGCATGCCGAGACTTAATTTGTGTCAGATATTCCTACTAATTCTGGGACATCAACAAGCAGCGCCCTAATAAATAGTAGTGGTTAATCCATCCATCTGTCACCGCTTTCCTCTCACAATTCTGGTTCCGTATGGAAACTATCTACCCTCACACAACCTCAAATATTTATCCAACCCAGCCATACTCGGGATTTTTCGAATAAACCCCTTAACATACCTCCCTAATAACCCGAACACCAAACACCAAACCCACAATGTCTTGTAAGCTCCCAGCCGTCTGTCCCACCTCCCACTCACCCCTTCACTAACCCCCATCCCCAGTCCTCAACACAACCGCCACAGTAACCCACACCACCCGCTTCCCGCGAGGCCGGACCCGCGCCCAGGCCATCGCCATGCTCTCCGACCACCAGTTCTTCCTATCATGCGACCCCCACATGACCAAGTCCGAGCTGATCCCGCAAGCGGAGCACGCCACCCTCACCCCTCCCCCGGCCGTGCCGGACTACGTCAAAACCGAGCTCCGCGCCCGGCCCCAACCCCAGTCTGGTTCTGAACCCTCCCAGGATGGCGAGGCGGGTGGGGAGGCAGCGGCGGAAACGGTGCCCGAATGCTACCGCGTCACGGACATCGTGCACGCCATCCCCGCGGGGATATGGGATACCAATGTGGTTAGTATCTTTGAGCTTACGGATATTGAGGACGGGCTGTTTGTGCGGATCAGGAGCCCGCTGTCGATTGTGATGGAGACGTTTTGGCGGGTGAGGGAGGTTGCTGGTGCTGAGGAGGGAGAGGGAGGGGGTGATGATGATGATGATGGTGAGGCGGGCCCGGGGTTGGAGCTGGTGGAGGATGTTACGATAAGGTGCTCGAGGTTGTTGGTGGGGATTGTGAAGGGGCAGTGTGAGACTGATTGGGAGGGGATTCATGGGAAGATGGTTGCGAGGTTGGATGGGGAGGGGGGGAAATAGGGTGAGAAATAGGGGGTGTGGAAGTCCTAGCCCAGGGTGGGTGGTCCTCGATGCACTTTTTGGGTGATGGTCTTGGGAGGGAAGTAGCAAGTGGGGATGCTTGTGAGGACGTGCTGGGCGTAAATTCATGACAAAAGCTGGACGCTGGTCATTTCCATGATGATATTTCCAGGAAGTTGGTCTTGTGCTGGATTTAGTAGTCGTCGCAAGTAGATGTGAGGAGATGGGATGGACGCATCATCCTATGTAACTAAAATGGAGAACCGTCTCGTCTCAACTTTGGTGATAAAGCGATTAAAGGTCATAAAGAACTGTAACAAACTGAAAGGTACACATCATTGGGAAATATTGTCATGAAGTCCCACCAGCAAAGTGAAAGGTTTCCAATACACTGATGATCATAGAACTCAACACAAGGAAAAGTCGAGGTCCGGCGGCCAGCGTGATGGAACTCCAAAAGATTGAAAAGTTCACGTTTCAGTGCCTGGCACGGGTGGCTTGAAGCACGATTATCCCTGCAACCTTCACTTGCGGCAGCTGCCGCTTGACAAATGGTCCGTGCAGCACGTGTCTGTTCCTAATATGATTGGGTAAAATGTTCACTAGCGTCGTTTTAACCTCGTCTGGTTCTGTGACCCCTGGATCAGTTCAGGGTGGTAATCTGTGGTTAGGTAGTCCAACTCACCACCAAGACTCCAGCATCGAGAACTATCCGATCTGACATAAAAAAGGCATTCTTCGAATCAGTACTCTGCAATCTGGTATTGCCTGGCCAGCATAATATTGTTCTACAAGTGCAGCTATTCAAGATCACCACTGTTATTGTTTGCCCAAGTATTCCTCGCGCGGGATTGGCCGCCAACTTGAACTCACACTCCAAAGAGCCTCGAGGACATCATTGCCCCGTATCTTAGGACAGGTTGCTGCTGCTAGTGACTTTGTGTGAGTCACTATTTAATCATTTCTTCTGTTGCCCTCGCTTCTTCCCAACGCAACTGAACCATCAACAAACTAACCAAGATGCAGAACGGAGACGAAGACAAGCGCCAAGGGTCCACCAACCCTCCCACTGCCGCCCAGCGAAGAAGGGGCGACCCGAGCGAGGGCAGCGAGGTTGCCTCGACCCGCCGCCAGGCCACCGCCCGCGAGGTTCGCCTTCCGCGGACCCATCCCTCCGTCTCTCCTCGCCCGGGCCCCCCGCCCACCGACCCTCTCCCGTTCCTCCCTGCCGACGCAGGGCCGACGGAGGCTTCGCCGCTGTTCCCGGAGCAGCGCCGGTTCATCTTCCGCTGGTTGGACCAGATCGCTCTCCCAGAGGACTGGTAAGTAGTACTAGTGTTCCCTTCTATCATCGTGCTTTTCATGGGACTACTACCCTCCCCTCCTTTCCCGCCCCAATCATCATTCCTTGTATGGCCATGTTTTTATTGAGAGCTTTGGAGTCAACCATCTAACTAAAATACAGCGAACCGGCCAATTCGGAAGAGTGTGCCGAGAGGGAAGGCCCAGAGCCGGAGAAGAAGGAGGAGCACGAGGCGCCTCAGTCTAAGAGCGTAAGCGCAGTCGAGAGCCGGCTTCGTAGCCTTCAAATTCGGAGCCACCAGCTCAGCTCCCAGCGGGGATCGCCGACCGAGCTGTCATTTTCGCTGGTGTTTGACCACCAATCCTCTCCACCACGCGCCCTGAGTTCTAGCAGCGCCTCTAGCAGCGCTTCCTCCGATACGTTGCCGGTTGCCCAGTTCGCCGAGCTTCCCGGGAACCCGAGGGTGCGTAACAGCACCGACCAGCCCTCTTCCCGCAACTAGCTTGGTCCTCAGACCGAGCCTCGCCGGTTGTCATGGCTAGTACCAACCTGCAGGTCCGAAATTCGGGCTTTCCTACTAGCAAACACAAGGCGGTTGAGGATGCGAAAAAAATGCAGGCGATTGTTGAAGAGGACTGCAACAAGGCGGGGAAGGATGTTCCGCCCTACCAACTCCAAGAGTTAATCGGCAAAGGGAATTACGGTCGAGTCTACAAGGCCACCGACGTCAAAACGAAAGCACTCGTCGCCGTCAAAATCATCAACATCGAGGAGGGCGACACCCTCAACCCGAAACTCGCTGACACGTACAGCGAGTTCATGCATGAGTTCTCGACACTCAAAAAGCTCAGCGAGAGCGGCGCTAAAAATATCAACCTCAACCTCGACGCTCTGCCGGTTGGTCAGGCCATGTGGATGGTCACAGAGTACTGCGCCGGAGGAAGTGTCGCGACCCTGATGAAGCCCACAGCGCCTGGCGGATTGCAAGACAAGTGGATTATCCCCATCGTGCGAGAGGTGGCAGAGGCCATTTTCTGGGTCCACAAAGAAGGCATCATCCACCGAGACATCAAATGTGCCAACGTCTTGGTGACTGAAGCGGGAAGCGTTCAGCTCTGCGACTTTGGCGTGGCCGGGATTGTCGAGTCCAAGGTCGACAAGCGCACCACCTTTATCGGGACCCTTAACTGGATGGCCCCGGAGCTCTTCGACCCTGTTCCCTCCTACAGCACACCAGTCGACATCTGGGCCTTTGGCTCGTTGGTCTATGAATTGGCCTCGGGTCTCCCTCCGAACGTCATGGCGGGCTTCAACGTACATCAGCTGGGCCAATACATCAAGCATCACGCTCCGCGCTTGGAGGGTGACTACTCAGACCAGATCAAGGACCTAGTGGCCTTTTGCCTCGTTGAAGACCCGGCCAAGCGGCCAAGCATCCAGGAAATCCAGCGGCACCCATTCATCTCCGGCACCGAGGAGAAATACCCGGCCGCTTCGCTCGCCAACCTCGTCAAGGCATACAAATTATGGGAGGGTCAAGGCGGTGTCAGGAGGTCGCTGTTTGCTCCTGTCGGCGTGCTAGGGCCGTCGGACTATGAATCCTCGACCCTCCCTAGCGACGAGTGGAACTTCAGCACCACCGTAGACTTTGACCGGCAGCTCGTTGACACGGATGCCCGGGCGGTTTTTGACGTGTATGGGTCCAACGTCGACTTTGAGCTGAACGAGCAAACCTCTCGCCCCCCCAAGCCCAAGCAGCGCCGACGACTTCCTCCACAGCTCCAACCAAAAACGGTGCCTCTCGAGAAAGTATTCGACCCCAACACCATCTCCAACTACGAAGACAATTCGCGCGCATACTATGGCAGAGCCCCGCCCCCTCCCATGACCACCACGTCTGACCTTCCCTTGCGAGACGACTCGCTTCACTCGACCCTCCGGGAGTCGCTGATTGACCTTGATGCCTCCCTTCACGATGGTGGCGACCTCTCCCAGTTTGTCGACATGGCGACTATCCGGGCTGGCATGCGTGTTCCCAGCGACTCGGAGAATGAGGATGTTACCGACTTTAATAAACCACCCTTGAGCGATCCCGCCGACTTGAACCCCAACCGCCGTACCCAGGAGTGGAAGTTCCCGACCATGGCCCCCCCGGCATCCGCCAATCCGGAAATGTCCCGGTTCCCGTTCCACGAGCAACGGTCCGACCCGACGCCACGTCCTCCTTTGATTTATCACCCGACAGAAGACCCGAACGGTTTCCACGCCGAGCCGTATGATCCCGCACCGCCCCAGCCCCCTCAAGACAACCGTGCCTCGGTGGGGAGTCTTATCGATCTCGACGAAGGCCTGGTAATGCCTGAGCTGGTCCGGCCATCAACGGCCAACTCGGATGTCGCCTCGGTGGCTGGCTCAGATATCGGTGGCGCCAACCCGTTTGATCTCGAGCGCCACGCGTCCCTCTACCAGCCGACTCAACTCGGGATCCGCGAGCCCTCCATCTTCATATCGGATGACAGCGATTTTGCCCGTTTAGCGAGGGCTACTACCGATGACACACAATCAATGCCTCCCGAATTCATCCCTGCCGGCGGCCGCAGCGGCTCACAGTCGGCGTCCCACTCGCGCTCCACCAGCTACGACGACGACAGCTACTCGACGAGCGGGTACGAATCCGAGTACCTCACCATGGGCATGTCGACACCCGTGAGCATATCGGACAGGCCCAGCAGGGCGCGTACCAGGGCGCGGTCGCAGTCCGGCGCGAGCATCAACAGCACGCAGCTGCAGCACCCGAGGGTCGCCGCCATGAACGGCTCGGGGGCGGATCACGCGGATGCCAACGGGGGCGTGCCGGCACCGCCGTCGGCGAGAGTCATGCAGGGCGCCGCCGGCCGCGAGCAGGTGCGCGACGAGGTGATGCGCTTGCTCGCGAGCTTCTCGGAACAACTCGGTGCCACAAATGCGTATGTTTCTGCGCTGCCCGTGCGGGCGGGGCGCAGGGGGAGCGAGGCTTATGCTGGTTGAGCATGGGGAATAGAGATGGATCTTGATGCGGCGTGGGTTTCCTATGGACACGATTTGCATTACGCGGTTTAAAGTTTTTCTTTTTCTTTCTTCTTCATGTGTAGAGTACATCGGATGATACAGCATGGGCAGCCAGCATGGCGTTGGGACAGAGACGGATTCGGCGTTTATTCAGCCGCGGGTTAACTACCTACTTTGCTTTACGGAAATGGATGTGGGGATCTCATTGATTCTTAAAACCGTGCTATAATTTGAAGTTAAATGTGTGTTGTTGATTTGGTCGGCATCACTAAAAACCAGGCAGTGATGATGGAAATACCTGATTGAAGTTGGAGCTGCTTAAAAATTTCTCCGGTGACTCAACAACACAACTTACACCAAACAACGCACCTTTTCACTCAACACGAGCCAAAACGGATATCATCGGAAAAAATCACGTTCAAAGTCTGGCCGTCCGAGGACGTTCAAATTGGCGGGCATTTCTTTGCTTGGGTTTTCTGCGCGCTGGTCCGCGGCAAATAGGAATCTTCCATTTCGATTCAGTCACAACCGATTCGGGCAGATCACATTTGCAGGACTTACACAGCCCCGGCTCACCCACAACTCGGCCATGAAAACCCGAATCCTCAAAGTGCCGCTTGCCGGCAAGGATGACTCGGCCCTCGGCCGGTGGACATCCTCTACCCCGGACGGCACACCGGATCTCACCACGTGGGAAGTCACAGCAACCGACGACGCCGTGCGGGCTCCCCTCCAGGAAGCCGCACACCTCCTGCGCACCACCGCCGTCCCCGTCGCCTTCCCCACCGAGACCGTCTACGGGCTCGGCGCCGACGCCACCCGCTCCGCCGCCGTCAGGGGAATCTACTCGGCCAAGGGCCGGCCCTCCGACAACCCCCTGATCGTGCACATCAGCGACCTGACCATGCTGCGCCAGCTCCTCTCCCCCTCTGACTCCTCCCCCCCACACTCCCCAGAAGTCACCCCCCAAGAAGAAAGCGACCCCATCCCCCCCATCTACCACCCCCTGATAACCCGCTTCTGGCCCGGCCCCCTAACCATCCTCCTCCCCCTCCCATCCCCCTCCCCCCTCGCGCCCGAAGTCACCGCCTCCCAACCGGCCTTCGGCGCGCGCATGCCCGCCTCCGCCCTCGCGCGCACCCTCATCGCCCTCGCGGGGACCCCGCTCGCCGCGCCCTCCGCCAACGCCTCCACGCGGCCCAGCCCCACCGCCGCGGCGCACGTCCGTGATGATTTGGAGGGGCGGATCGAGCTGGTGCTGGATGGCGGGGCGTGTACTGTGGGGGTGGAGAGTACGGTGGTGGATGGGATGTGTGTGCCGCCGGTGGTGCTGCGGCCGGGAGGGGTGGGGATGGAGGAGTTGAAGGGTTGTAAGGGGTGGGAGGGGGTGAGGAAGGCGTATGTGGATGGGGAGGGGGTGGGAGGGGGGGCGCCGCCGAGGGCGCCGGGGATGAAGTATAAGCATTATAGTCCGAGGGCGAGGGTGGTGTTGTTTGAGGCGGGGAGGGAGGGGGTGGGGTTGGGGGAGGTGAGCGCTGGTGGGGGGGAGACGGTGGGGGTTATTAGGACGGGGGGTTGGCCTGTTGCGGGGGGGCTGGGGTGCGCGAGGTTGGGTGAGCCGGCGGTTGTGAATGGGGAGGGGGAGACGGGGTTGGTGGTTAAGGAGGGTGTGCTTCTGGGTGAGGATGGGAGTGAGGCGGGGAGGGTGTTGGATGTGGATCTTGGGGGGGACGTCAAGGGGGTGGCACACGGGTTATTTGCAGCGCTGAGAGAGCTGGACAGGCTCGGAGCGGACGTCATCTTCGTGGAAGGGGTTAGCGATGGGGACGATATCGCGGCGGCGGTCATGAATAGGCTCAGGAAGGCGGCGTCAGAAATTAGGGCTTAGATAGACGCATTAGACGTCTCCCAGGAGGCATTTTCCACTCAGCAGTTTTTGCTACTCGATGATGCGCAATTCGCCCAAGGTCTTTTCACGAAGTACTCTAAACTCATATCATAACCCCCTTTCCCGCACCCCCTACAACCCCTGCCTCAGCCAGTCCGTCAGCTTCGCCTTGCCTAGTTGCGCCAGGTTGTTGACGCCCTGCTCGCTGAAAGGATCGATCCGGCTGAGGTTGACGTCCTGCGACGGCGCCTTGCTGCACCGCTGCACGATAATAGTCGGGTCCGTCTCGAGTACCACGCCGTCGTCGCAGATTTCATCGACAGCCAGCGACACCAGGTCGTAGTTCTCGATGATGGTGCGCTTGTCGACCGACTGCTTGAACAGCAGGTGCAGGCTGTCGCGCAGAGCTAGCAGCACATTGTACAGCAGAATCTCGTTTTCCCCGACGCTGCCAACCACATAGAGGGCCACGTCCGACTCCATCTTGTACAGCACGATGCGGTTGTCGTAGAGCAGGATGTCGCCCGTCTGCTTGGCCGTCTTTTGGAGGAGGCCCTTCTCGAACCGGGTTTGGGAGGTCTTGTCGGGGTAGGGGTTCTGCGAGGAGCTGGCGGGTGCTGCGCAAGTTAATACTCGATCGGCCCTTCTTAATTTCCTCCGTCATCGGGTCTCATACCGGCTCCTGCTGGGTTCGTTACCGCCTGGTGCGGCGGGGTGTAGTACTTTGTGAATATCCGCGACCCGTCCTCGCTAGAAAGGATGACTGGCCGGGTGTCAGCTTGATCGCAGGTTATGCCAGGAGCTCAGTCGCAACTGGTGACGGGTCGCGAGTTGTTCATACGGATAGCGTTGACGCTATACAGCGACATTCCTGCCGACATGGTGGCGGTGTTTCTATTGGTACCCGGCTCGTCCAAATATTCGTCAACAAAGTTACGGGTTCGGGGGGCGCAATGGGCAGCCGGGTGATCGTAGGTGGGATGTGCTGCTGTCGTCGTTTGGCTGGTGATTTGCGGCGTTCTGGAGTTGTGGGGTCTTGTCGCTGTGATGTGGCTTGACCTTGGCTCCCTTGTGCTGCCCCACAATTACAGGTCCCTATCTTGCAGCGGGGTTTTAATGGCCTGCGCGCAGTGCCCCTGGCGACGCGTAAAGTGGTTGGGTCAACGCGAACTTTCGCGTGTCTCCGTTTTTCCCTGCGTTGACTGCCCGCCATTCAGCCCAACTCAGCGTCCCACTTCGCACTGCACTTCCCCTGTCGTCAACGACTTCACCCCGCGTTCCTCAACACCCACCGCCACCACTCTTCTAGACTAGTAATTGGAAATAGCGGCAGCAAATATGTCGTCGCCTTCAAAGAGGTCAACGCGCAGCTCTGCGACGCCTAACCGGGCAACCCGCAGTTCGCAACAACGAAGCAGCCCCGCGGCTGGCCCCTCGAACGCAGCGGAGAGAACCCCTCGCCAGACAAGGTCCTCACAGTTGGCTTCGAGTCCGCTGTTCTACCAGTCTTCGTCTCCCGCCCCCGGTGCCAACCGGGCCTCCTCTCCCCTTCGGCAGATGACCGATAGCCAGAGCACCGTCAACAACAACGCACCCAGCTCGCCCTTGCGCCAGCAGACAGAGACGCAAAGCGCCGGTGACAGGACTCCCCGCGCAAGCCGTGGCCTCATTGGAGGTGAGACATCTTTCTGCGCGAAATAATCTTTGGGCCCCGCTTAGCTCACCGCGCAGACTCGTCCCCGATCCGCTATGACCCTAGCTCTAGCCCCGGCCACCAACTCACACAGCAGTCCGATCTCCGCAGCGACAGCAGCGCGCTCTTTGTGAACTCGCAGCGATCGAACACCGCCAGATCCTACCGCGGAGACATCAACTCGGATGTCGTCCGAACGCCTCAGGTGCCGCGCCGTATCCTCCTAGATGACGCCGGTCGTGTTGTCCGAGACGGGTCGGATGCCGCCTCGTTTGCAAACAACAACCCCCATACCTCGGAAGCCGACGCTCTTGGCGGACCCAGCCAGAGTCTTGTCTGGGGTACAACCGTTTCCCTCGAGGACTCCTTCGCCGCGTTCAGGGACTTTCTCAAGAACTTCACCCGGAAGTACCGTATGTGGGCAGATGGCGCCACCGAGGCCGACACCAATGGGGAACCCGAGGCTGATTCGAAGCCATACTGGGAGGCCATGGAGAATATGCTGCTGCTGGGCACCAACAAGCTATACCTGGACCTCCGGGACCTCAAGGCCTACCCGCGGACGGCGAAGCTGTGGCATCAGTGCCAGGCGTACCCGACCGAAATCATCCCCGTCATGGATCAGTGTGTCCACGACTGCATGATCGAGCTTGCACAGGCAGAAATGGCAAGCCAGAGAGCTGCCTCGCACAACACGGCAGCTCCCAGCGCGCCCCAAGCCTCACAGAGCTCCGAGATTGCGTTCCCCAGCTCCGATCGGGGCGAGGAGCCGTCGACACCCCGGCCCGCGCAACGAGAGCAGCTGACCCTCGAGGACCAAGTTATGAAGCAGCAATATCTTGTTCGCCCTTGGGGCTCCGACAAGTCTATCAACCTGCGAGACCTCAACCCCTCGGACATGGACAAGCTCATCTCCATCAAGGGTCTCGTTATCCGGGCGACACCTGTCATCCCTGACATGAAGGCAGCTTTCTTCAAGTGTAGTGTTTGCGGACATTCCGTCTCGGTCGAGCTGGATCGCGGCAAGATCCGCGAGCCCACCGAATGCCCGCGCGCCCGTTGCAAGCAAAAGAACTCGATGCAAATCATCCATAACCGCTGCATGTTCGAGGACAAGCAAGTCATCAAGCTGCAGGAAACCCCAGACGCCGTCCCCCCTGGACAAACGCCCCACTCGGTGTCTGTGTGCGTCTACAACGAGCTGGTCGACTTCTGCAAGGCCGGTGACCGGGTCGAGCTCACGGGTATTTACAAGGTCACGCCAGTGCGCGTCAACCCGCGCATGAGGACGGTCAAGAGCGTGCACAAGACTTACGTCGATGTGGTGCATGTGCAAAAGGTGGACAAGAAGCGGATGGGCGCGGACCCGACCACCCTCGATTTGGCCGAGGAAGAGGAGGCCCACGTCAGCGGGCAGAGTCTCGACGAAATCAAGAAAGTCTCGCCCGAGGAGGAGGAGAAAATCAGGGCGACGGCGGCCCGCCCAGATATCTACGACTTGCTTTCTCGCTCGCTCGCCCCTTCAATCTACGAAATGGACGATGTCAAGAAAGGCATTCTCCTTCAGCTGTTTGGCGGCACCAACAAGACATTTGAAAAGGGGGCGAGCCCCAAGTATCGTGGGGATATCAACATCCTGCTCTGCGGTGACCCATCGACATCAAAGTCGCAAATCCTGGCATACGTGCACAGGATCGCCCCCCGCGGCGTCTACACCAGCGGCAAGGGCTCTTCGGCGGTCGGTCTCACCGCCTATGTCACCCGCGATCCCGAGACCCGGCAACTGGTACTCGAATCCGGTGCGCTCGTTTTGTCTGACGGAGGCGTATGCTGCATCGATGAATTCGACAAGATGAACGATTCCACACGATCAGTCCTCCACGAAGTGATGGAACAACAGACCGTGTCGGTGGCCAAGGCCGGCATCATCACGACGCTCAACGCCCGGACAAGCATCCTAGCCTCCGCCAACCCGATCGGCAGTCGTTACAACCCGGACATGTCAGTACCGCAGAACATCGACCTCCCCCCTACCCTGCTGTCTCGTTTCGACCTGGTGTACCTCATCCTCGACCGGGTCGACGAGAAGACCGACCAGCGGCTGGCGCGCCATCTGCTCTCCATGTATCTCGAGGACAAGCCCGAGTCGGCCCAAAGCGAAAAGGACATCCTGGTAAGCCTCTCCCCACCGCTCCCTTTCCTCACACCCAGTACCAACCCCTAACCTCCCCAGCCCATCGAATTCCTCACCTCGTACATCTCATACGCACGCGCCAAGATCCAGCCCAAGATCTCACCCGAAGCAGGCCGCGAGCTGGTCGGCGCCTACGTGGAGATGCGCAAGCTCGGGCAGGACGTGCGGGCGGCCGAGAAGCGCATCACGGCGACGACGCGGCAGCTCGAGTCCATGATCCGGCTCGCCGAGGCGCACGCCAAGATGCGCCTGTCCGAGACGGTCACGGCCCACGACGTCCAGGAAGCCGTGCGCCTGATCCGCTCCGCGCTCAAGACCGCCGCCACCGACTCCCAGGGCCGCATCGACATGAGCCTGCTGACCGAGGGCACCAGCGCCGCGGAGCGCAAGCGCAAGTCCGATATGAAGGATGCCGTCGTCCGGTTGCTGGACGAGTTGACGGCGGGCGGGCAGGCGGTGAGGTATTCCGAGGTAGCGCGGAGGCTTGCCGAGGGGGCTGGCGTGCCGGTTGAGCCGAGCGAGTTTGCCGAGGTGATGAGGACGTTGGAGATGGAAGGGGCGGTCATGATCAGTGGTGAAGGGCCGAGAAAGAACGTGAGGAGGGTTACTGCGAGTGTTTGATGATGTGAGGGATGAATGAGGGTCATGGCTTATGGGTTGGTTGAGGGTGTCTTATTCACATCTGGGGGCGTATATCTGATGTCCAATCATGTTTCCGTCAAAGCCCAAACTCGCATGCTATCGCGGGTAACTTTCCGCAGCTAGTATAATGATCGAATACGATTCCAACGCCGGCCGGCCTGCCCATCGTCCTCAGTACTTGTCACCCAACCCATCGCCCTCCGTGCCGGCAGCATTCCCCTTCTCGGCCTCCTTTTGCTTCGACTTCTCCTTCTGCTTCCCCGTCTCCTCGCCCTTTTGCGCCATCGGCTCGCTCCCGTCCATGACAACGGTCTTATCGTCGCCCACGAATCCCGCGTCCAACCGCCACTCCCGCAAGTCATCCTCGGCGTCGTTCAAGATCTGCCTCGTCTGTGACGCATGTGCGTACGGCGGTCGTACATCCCCGGGTACCACTGGCGTGTCGTCAAGCAGCTGTAACAACCGCAGCCCGTGCCGCGCCAGGATGGCCTGCTTCTCGGCGCGCTCGATGGTGGCAAGGAAGTCGACCGTGTACGCCTCCTTGAGCTTTTGCCTGGTCTATATCCACCCGTCAGTACAACCTCACCCCTAGAAAAAGAAGAAGACAAAAAAGAAACAACGCACCACATTCCCCAACTGCGCCTCCGCCACCAAATTCTCCGCCTCGGCCCTCACCAGCTCCTGCTCCAACGTCACCAGCCTCGCACTCTGGGGCTCCTTAATCTTCAGCCTCTGAATCTCCTCCGCCACCTTCCTCTTCCCATCCCGACTCGGCTGCACACTCTTCTCGGTATTCCGCACCACCTTCAACACCGCCCGACTCTCGTCCAGCCGCGCCGCGTACGCATCCTCCTGCTCGCCCAGCTCCGACAGCAGCACCCCGATCTTGTCGCTCACATCCGACACCGCCGCATCATTGCCCCCACCCCCAATACTGGTACCAAACCCCGCGGGCGTCTGCTCGCCCCACTCGGACAGCTGCGTCGCGATGGACAGGCGCTCGCGCGCCGCCGTCTCGTGCGCCGACACCAGCGCGTTGGCCGACTTGATCAGCCGGTACAGGCGCTTCGAGAGTGCCGGCTGGGTGGTCCCGCGTAGCGAGTGGAAGGAGAAGGGCCTGCGGTGGCCGCCGGTGGCGGTGGAGGAGGAGTGGTGGCTGGAGGATGTCGTGGTTGTGTTGGAGGTGGTGGTGCCGTTGGAGGAGCGGTTGGAGGAGCGGAAGGAGAGGGCGCGGTTCCTGGTTTGGGGGGGTGGGGTGGTTAGTTTGGGTTGTTTGTTTGTTCGGGGAAGAAGGAAAGGGGGGTGTGGTTGGTGTTTTGTTACCACTGGGCTGAGAGGGAGAAGCGGGCGCTATCGGTGCTTCGACGTGACATGGCAGGCTTCGTGGTTGGTGTTGGAGTGTGGTTGGGGAGTGTGCTGTTTAGGGGTTGGTGACTTACATCATCTTGAGTCACGGTGTTTTAAATACTATAGAGACGGGAGTTCTTGTTGAGGCCTCGAATAGTTAGATATGTTGGGCAGGTCCAACACGGAGTGTTGCTTGCTGCTCCTTCCCTCAGTTCAATATGGATATGGTCCAGAGTGTGAGGCAGGTGCTTCCAGGGTTGTGTACCAGAGCGGTTTGGTTCCCGCGAGAGTCGAAACTTGAGCCAAGCCTAGCTGGCGAGTACAATGACGATGCCAAGTTGGTGTTTTTCCTCAGCTCAAACTTGAGTCTGGGAGATATATTCTGCTATTCTGTGTTGGTCGAAGGAAGATTATCATCATCATGTAAATCCCGTCCATAGCCTGTGTCTCCTTGGTGCTCTTTTAAAACGCCCACTGCATTCGGCGGCGAACCCCCAAAACCGACGTAATGCCTTTCACCAAGCTCGACCGTTTTGAACAAGAGCTCTCTCTCAGGCTCTTTGATCATGGGTCGATGCTACCAGCTTGTGACGTCATCGTTCATGACCCCTGCCCCACCACACTTTGCATGCGATCACCATCCCTTCTCACATCCTATCTCATGTTGAGTTTGGCTTTCCTCGATCGAATGAGAAAGATATTAATTTAGAAATTGTTATATTCCAAATACAGATTCGCGCATGTCCATCGCCATCTTGTCTCAGTCGATACCATGAATTCCACCAAGTCTTTCCAAACACCATCCTAACCCAAGCGCCGTCCGAAATATATCCAATGAATCCCGTCAATACCCCGAAATACCCTACTTCTTCTCCCCCCCCTCCCCCGGGCCATTCTAGCTTCCTTTCAGCCGTGGTAATCTCATCGTCTGCTGTAAACAACCGGGGTGGTCGACCTCCTGAAGCTTGTCACACTCGTCCTCGGGCCTGGCGAGTAGTGTCTATGGCGGTGACTAGAGTAGCTTGAGCGAGGCGAGTCGTGGTGGTGGTGGTGATGGTGATAGCGAGGCCGCACGGGAATGATCTCCTCGTGATAGTAGTATTTTTCTGCAGGGAACATCCGGAAGCACATTTTGAACGTTTTGTGTTGTATTTCTCTCCCAGTTAGGAGGTGAGAAGGTGTTGGCTAGGGAAATGGTTTTGATGCGTAGGTGAAAGAAATAGGTGGTATCGAGTCAAGTAAGGACTTGTTGAGTGGTAGCTCCCCAGATCGAGTGGTAAGGTCTGATGTTTGTTCACCAGAGTCGGGTCAACTGGACCTACATTTATCTCAACTTGTATACATACACAGCCCGGCCTTTAAGAACACAAAAACAGGGTCCTGAGCTGACGTATATAGGATGGTTGCCCAGGACCCTGAATATGCAAGTCCATCCCATGACTCTTAGTCTCGCAGCCAAGACAAGCTCACGGGTTCAGTGTCGATGCTTGGCAGCGCTGGAAGATGTCTTGGGTGTTGATTCCTTGGATAACGTCACCTTGCAGCCTCGTCTTGGAGAAATCACGAAAAAGTTCTCGTAGCGCCAAAGATGGATGGGGTTTCACCCCCTGACTCCCACGACAATGGCATCTCCACACCACCCACCCACAAACGCAAAAATATGATGGTCCGGTAATTAACCGTTCCACTCACTGATGCTTGATCCGATCCAGGCTCGAACTGGAGACCTTCAGTGTGTTAGACTGACGTGATAACCAACTACACCATCGGACCTATGCTTGTTGGAGCCCATCATCACTGACTCGCTTCATGAACACCGGCTACGCAAAGCGTGCATGGAAAGCTCACGGCCCCTTTTCAGTACACAACCAGAGAAATCACCCTGTCGCTGCTTTTCTAGCCACTAGATGGCAGACAGAATACTTACAAAGTACACAGAACCAAGAAAAACCGACCATTTTCTATTATCCCGGCCCTCCCCCCTCTATTTCTTCCTCGAATCAAACTTCAACTCCAGATTCCCCACCACCCACGCGCCGACAAACACGGCAACGGCGCTGCCGAACACAATCAATGGCTTGCGCAGGGCCGCCATGAGCGGGTAGTCATATGTGATGACCAGCTCGCGGTCCCTGAAGTCGTCCACCAGGTTGCGCGCCTTGATGATGAGGGCAGTCCGGCCAATGGTATCGAGGAATGTCCGGTGAACCTCAACGGCGGCGTCGTTGATAGACTGAGCCGGGATGGCGGTGTGATACTTCACGTTTCTAGCCAGACAGAGTCAGTAATTTGTAGGAAGGTCATGTGGGATACAAGGGGACGTACTCGGCGCCTTCGGGAAGGATAACCCGGACCTGCACGTGCTCGTACTCGACACCCTCCGACTGCCTAGGGCCCTCGAGAAAGGGGACATTGAGCACGAACCCCCCAGCGGCCGTCTGCCTCAGGAAGTTCTTGGCATCCGAGTTCCAGCCGATGGTGAACGGGAACTTCCACCCGCCAAAGACGGGGTATCGCGGCTTGATCTCGAGGAGGGCCTCGCGCTTGTTGCTCCTGAACTTGGACGTCGAGACGTTGCCGATAACGTCGGTATAGTAGGGATCGGCGCTGCCCACGCGCAGGGGGAACTTCAATTCCTTGAGCGCGAAGCTGTTGGGCTGGTAGTACTGCGCCTGCTGCCACTTGACGCGGTTGAACAGCGACGACAGGTTGGCACCGCGGTGGTACAGCGTGTAGCGCTCCTCGAAGGCGACGTTGCCGCCCCAATGGCTGACCTCGATATCGCGCTCGAGATGCGAGACGTGCGTCACGGGCTTGTTGAACTCGAACCGCACGCTAACGGGCTGGGTCGCGCCCGCGGGCTTCTCGTCGAAGGGGCCGTACGTGAGCTTAGACCCCTGCACCTGCGGGAACTCTTGGATATCGCCACTCCCCGGGAGCTTAGTGTAATCGGGGATGGTGCTCGACGGGAACTTGACTTCGGTCTTTTGCTTGGTCGTCGTGTAGGCGGAGGGGCAGTAGGCCGAGAAGGAGAAGGAGAGGAATTGCGGCTCCTCCTGCTTGATGGAGGCGGGGAGGGGCTTGTACGCCTTGAGGAGGTAGTAGCTGATACCGAGCGTCTGTTGCGCGCCGGGCGCAAGGGGCTTCGGAAGACGGATGCGGAGGTACTGGATGTCACTGCGGGCAGTTAGCCTCTAAGATTGAGGATCCGAGAATCTTCGGGTGTCTCCTCCCACCTTTCTTGATCAAACTCAACGGGCTCGGCAACGAACGGCCCAGCGTTGCTGTCCTTGCGATCCTTCACTTCCACCCCTCCGACCCGGGACATCTGGTCCGCCGTGAACGGCAGAAAGTATTCATCTTGAGCCGCCTTGTCGATGTTCTGTACGAGTACGTTGATGTTCTCCTTCACGTAGTTCTTCTCGACGGAAATAACGTGGACGAGATTGGCGTTCTTGAAGACCTGGGGAGGCTTGAAGGTGGCCGGGAGGGTGGTGCTGGTGGAGCTGCTCTTGCTGTCCGCGCTCGCGGCCGAAGCCAACGACAGCAGCGACAGCAAGGCAGAGAAGACCGCTGACGTCTTCATCTTGGAAATGACGACGGCAAGAGGCTCATGAACCTCACGCGCCCGGCAATTGACGAATTGTAGAAGAAGCGGGTTGGACAATGAGAAGCAAGGGTGTTGCCGATGATGCACCCTTCTACCTTCAAGCTCTGGACCATCAATCGTGGCCTTCCAGCAGCAGCTGCCAGCCTCGAAAACTAGCTTACGTTGCCGAAACACCCCTGTCGGCTTGAATCGGTGGGGCGAGCTCAAGCAATGAATGTCGGGGTTTGATTGGCCAATTCCCCTGAAAGCCGTTCCGCCTGTCACGCAACCTCAGCAACAACCGAATTATCGTGCCTCCTCAACATTCGGGTCTCAATTATGTCACGGATAGACATGGTGGATCAAGAAGCTTGCTCCTTAGCATCTTTTTTAAGGTAGTACCGTGGGGGGAGGTGATGGAGGAGACGAAAGGGCAGGATGAAAAGAGGGAACCTACGAAGTACACAGTAAGGCAGGAAGGGACAGATTATTGTCACCATCATGATCAAGCAAGAAGGGGGAAAGCAACAAACACCCCTTGAATGCGCCTTCCATGGGCCTCTGCGTCACAACCAGGCGACTAGGCGACCAATGCCTCAAGATTAAATGGGCAAGTGCCAAATACAGAGTTTTCATACCTTTGTGGTCTGGCCTCCCGATTGATCAGCACCCAAACTGCTCGCTAACCTCTAAAAACCGGTTCAAGTTGGCCAGGTCGAGCCCTGATTTGAGATGGACAGTCTCTTGTCGGATGTGTCGCTGGCTGATGACGACGAGGCCGTTGAATTCTACCTCCCCGGCCTGATCGTCGACGATATTGTCCCGCGCCCGGTTACGCCGCTGCGTACTCTCCAACAAACGATTTTCCTAGAAACCGCGGAAGACTCCGTGTCTCTCATCCTGCGCTTGTATAACGAAGGGATCCCCCTTTTCTCCAAGACGATCTTCCGAGATATCGTCGAGCAGCTCGACCGCTGCTTAGAAGACGCCAACTCGGAGCAAAAAGTGTCAATCATGGGTCTCGATGGCACGCTAGTCCATTTTTTCTTCGAGACCGGCCAAGATGTTAGCAAAGGGAGCAAATTGTTTTGGCCGGGCTGTAACATTGTAACGTAGGTTTCTGATCGCAGCTCAACCAAGTCACAATAACCCAACAGTCACAACAGCGCCAAGCCCCGTCTCGACTACCACGGCCTGTACCAGCTCATGTCGCCCGACGGCAGCCAGCCCGGCAGTCTAGAACGAGCCTATCTGCCCATCGAAATCGTCCAGAAAACAGAACTACGCGATGTCGAGACCGGGGAGCTGGTTGTTCCTTGGCCCATGCTAAACCACGACGACGTTCGGGAGCGTTTTGCTCGGGAACGGGCTTTCTGGGAAGATAGCGTTCCGGTCTCGCATCTCCGGTGGCTTCTCGACTCCACCGGTATGAAGCATAGCATTAAAAACATCGTTGCCTTTAGATGTGGTACCATTACACGGCTGAAGGACTAGGAACTACACCAGCGGAGCACGTCACAGCATGCGATGCTGCTAGAGGTGCGGGACCTTGTCAAGCAAAGTGTCGGGATAGAGGTTAAGTGCTTCGCCCAGGATCCGGCTTACACTGCCATCGACAAGCAGGTCCTGGGTGAGGTGGGCATCACCGTGCTCGACGACCCTCGGGCTTGGCTCCGGGTGGATGACGGGAGCATGGTCATCGCAATTGCGCCAACCATCCCGGTACTCGAGATCGTCGCTGACATTGCAAGACCGGTCGTGATCATGAGGTCGGCGCCGCAAGACGAGTGAGTCGCAATACCTACTCGTTGAAGCAGACCTAACCAAATCCCCGACAGTGAGATCCCCGTACCCCGTGTGCAAGACATGATCGAGAGGGAGTATACGCGAAGGGTCCTGGTCGCTGGACCCCCAGCCCCTGGATTCCAGGCCTTTTACGACGTTGTGGTTTGTATGAAGAAGGAGGCGATCACGGAGTCTTGAATAAACCGCAATTGGTACTCAGGGATAGCGTAGCTATTCTGTAATAGGTAGCTTTTTGTTTAGATATGACTACCTAGGTAGACGAGGTTGTCAACAAATCGAGCGTTGTGTTCAGGGGCTACTCGCAACCAACCATAGTTAACCCTAACCCCAAAGGGGAGCTCCGTCTCCACGAGCTCCTCCCATTGCACACAGCTGTGTTGGGGGTGAGTGCGGGGTAAACATTGCTCCTACTTCGGCCCTCCAAGTTGCTTTTTGTGCTCTGAGAGAAGGTGAGGAGAATCCCTGCTCTTGTTGGATTAACAGCATCGTCTGAATGGTCTCAGTCAGCACCGCGTTTCAGTTGAGTGGCTGCTGGAGTGAAACAGACTAAACTGAGAGACAGCAACCTGACTTCCAACAAACACCGCACAACAAACATCGACAAAGGCAACAGCAACGGCAACTGTCATAGCCCAATATGGTTGGCCTCGGACCCAAGCCTCCTCCCTCTAGGAAGGGTACCGGTATGTGCAACCTGAACTATTCCAGTTTCGCTTATTGCGGCCTGACCCCTCCTTCGGTGTCGCGGTACACAGCACATGTGCACTTCGCTTGCCGCTTGGAGTCTCGGGTGTGATGGTAGCTCCTGCCGTTTGTCCTACTCTTGCCCTGAAAAAACCACAAGACCACAAAGACCAAAACCACTTCCAGTTGGTCCCCCTTTTCCTGTCCTCTTCCGCCCCGGGGGCGTGTGCAACCGGAGAGAGCAGAGCAGAAGGGAGAGCCGGAATTCACGGTAGCCTTCGATGAAAACTTGTATCGAAGTGCTCTGTGACATCACGCTCTCTCCTGTGTTCTCTGCACGCCGTCCGATGTTTCTCTTCTCCACCCGACCCTTGGCATTATCTCCCAACAGTCGACCGATTGTTCGACTTGTATTTCCCCTTGGCTCTCTTGCTCCGGCTGTGTGAGGCATAAATCCAGGAACCCAAAGCTATCGGAATGGCAACATCTGGAAAGCTGAGCAACCTACTTCACCCCGATCACCACCCCAATCGCAACCACGACCTCGACCACACCCGCCCTCTCTTATCCTAGCAGAGACGTTCATATCCTCCTCACAAAAACAACAGCCCGACAGTCCGAGAGGGAAAAGCACTGTGTGCCCAGCGACCCACCGTTGACTAACCATGGCTGTAGGCACGCTTGCCGATGCGCCCAAGGACCTTATCAATGAGATCAAGCACCTTGAGCAGCTCTTTACCATTGACAAGGCCAAGCTGAAGGAGATCACCAATCACTTTGTCAATGAGCTTGCAAAGGGTGAGTCCGAGTTTGTCAGCGACCGGCCGACCGAAAATGTGCTAACCGGGAACAACAGGGCTGACCGTCGAGGGCGGCAGCATTGTGAGTCAACACCGCCAAACCCATAGGACTACTTGGACTGACCTCGGCAGCCCATGAACCCAACATGGGTCATGTCGCGACCGACCGGCCATGAGACAGGCAGCTACCTGGCCCTGGATATGGGCGGCACCAACCTGCGCGTCTGCCAAGTCACCCTAACGGAGCAGAAATCCGAGTTTGATATTATCCAGTCGAAGTACCGTATGCCGGATGAGCTGAAGACGGGCGAGGCCGAGGAGCTTTGGGAGTACATTGCCGACTGCCTGCAGCAGTTCATCGAGACGCATCACGGTGACGCGTCCAAGCTGGATAAGCTCCCGCTTGGCTTTACCTTTTCGTATCCCGCCACCCAGAACTACATCGATGAGGGCACCCTACAGCGCTGGACCAAGGGCTTTGACATTGACGGTGTCGAAGGCCACAATGTAGTGCCCATGTTTGAAGCTGCCCTTGCACAGAGGGTGAGTGACTGCTATGAGCAATGAGCACTGTACGGGTGTACGAGCGTGTACTAACTCATCCATTTCCAGGGGGTGCCCATCAAGCTGACTGCCCTGATCAACGACACGACGGGCACACTCATTGCCTCGGCGTATACCGACCCTAAGATGAGAATCGGTTGCATCTTTGGCACGGGGTGCAACGCTGCCTACATCGAGAACTGCGGTTCGATCCCCAAGCTGGCCCACCTGAACCTGCCTGCCGACACCCCTATGGCCATCAACTGCGAGTGGGGTGCCTTTGACAACGAGCACAAGGTGCTGCCACGCACTCCTTACGACCTCGACATTGACAAGGACTCTCCGCGCCCTGGTCAGCAGGCGTTTGAGAAGATGATCGCCGGTCTGTACCTCGGTGAAATCTTCCGCTTGATCTTGGTCGACCTGCACGACAACAAGGAGGTCAACATCTTTGCCGGCCAGGACGTTTCCAAGCTCCGGAAGCCGTACTCCCTGGACTCGTCCTTCCTGTCGTCAATTGAAGAGTATGTTGCTCGGTGCTCTACTGGCGCCTTGTTTGCTTGCTAACTCGGTGTAGGGACCCCTTTGAGAACCTCTCGGAAACGCTCGATCTCTTCCAGAGCAAGCTGAACATCAGCCCGAACCTCCCCGAGCTGGAGCTCATCCGTCGCACTTCGGAGCTGATCGGCACCCGCGCGGCCCGCCTGTCGGCGTGTGGTGTGGCTGCCATCAGCATCAAGAAGGAGTACGCCTCCTGCCACGTGGGCGCCGACGGCTCCGTGTTCAACAAGTACCCGCACTTTAAGGCCCGCGGCGCCCAGGCGCTCCGCGAGATCCTCGACTGGCCCGAGAAGAGCGACCCCACGGAGGAGGATCCCATCGAGGTGCTAGCTGCGGAGGACGGTAGCGGTGTGGGAGCCGCGCTGATTGCCGCGCTGACTCTGCAGCGTGTTAGGGAAGGCAACATGCACGGCATTCTCCACCCCGAGAACTTCAAGTAGCCGCGCAGTCGAGTGCTTTCGGGCGCCATGGTACATACCAGCATGCGTCGAAGTGCATTGGCAAACACGCTCGGGATATAATCGCGAGCAATAGCTGCCATCTCTGCACGTGCATATCACGGTCGTTGAGACGTTGAGGCGCTCAGCGAGGATTTGGGCACAGATTTCTCTAGCCGGTTGCCAACCATCTCGATAGCTAGCGGTCATGATATGATATGATTGAAACGTATTAAGGATTCTGTGCTAATTGGCTGGCAATGTGATGCGATGCTGATATCACCCATAACTACACTCATTAACTCCTCGTTAACTCCCTAGTTCCCCTTCCCCTTTTTTTCTTCCTCCTCCTCCCGCCAAACCCTCTCGGCAACCACCAGCGCCGCCCGAAACGTATCCAGCAGCTCCTCCTCGTCCTCCAACCCCACGCTCACCCGCACCTGCTCCGCCTTGACCCCGAACGTCCGCACATACGCCGCCTCCTCTGGGTTCTTGCCCCAGATGGCGTCGGTAAAGGGGAACGCCAGCGTCTGGTGCGCACCCAGATGCAGCGCGTGGTGCACCGACAGGCTGTCGTAGAAGGCCCGCGCCACCCGCAGCGACGTGAACTCGATCCCCATCAGGCACCCGTAGCCGGGCGTGAACTTGCCGCCGTCCGGCCCTGTGGTGGTGGGCGGCCGCCGCATCATGGCCTTGTAGTTGGTGTGGGTGTTGGTGAAGGGCGGGTAGAGGACCGCGGTGATGGCGGAGGGCGTGGCGGGGTTGGTGGTGCTGGTGGTGGCGTGGGTGTGCAGGAATGTGGCAAGCGTGAGGGCGTTGCGGTTGAGGATGGCCGAGCGGGATGTGTAGTCTTGGGTGTTGGCCAGGAGCTTGAGCGCGTCGGCGTGGAAGTATTCGTTGCGGAACTGGGCGGTGAGGGTGGCTTTGAGGTTGGCGTGGTGTGCTGAGGTGGGGGGGAGGATGATGGAGCCGCCCATTACCTGGTAAGTGTGGTTAGTTAAGGGGGAGATGGTAGATGGTAGGGGGTGGTGGGATAAGGGTTGGGGGCGTACGTTGGCATAGCCGCTGAGGGACTTGGTCATGGAGGTGATGATTACGTCGGCGACGGGTGAGACGTCGATGTTGCAAAAGGATCCGATCGTGTCGTCTATCACGACGGGGACGCCATATTTGTCGGCCTGTAGGTCGGTTAGTGGGTGGTTGATGGGTAGGAAAAGGGGGCAGGTAGTCTGCGTCGTCGTCGTCACTTACCACCGCTCTCAGCCGTCGCAAATCCACGCTCACCAGAACCGGGTTGCTCGGAAACTCGGCGAAGATATACCCAACCTTCCTCCCGGCGACCTTCTCCCCTTCCAACCACTCCGCCACCGCCTCGACCACCCCGCTCTCCGCATCACACCGCCCGAAATGCTTCATCCCCCCCTCGCTCTCCTGAAACAGATGATAGGTATTAGGCAACACCGACCCCAACAGCACCACCGTCCCGCCCCCCCTCACCTCCGCAAGCGCCAGATACGACCGATAAACCGCCGCCATCCCCGTCGGATACAGCCACACATCCCCCTCCTCCACCACCCCGCCACCGCCCACCAACCCCGCAATCCGCCTCCTCAACCCAGCATGCCCCTCCCCCAACGGCAGCCCCCCCTTCCTTTTTCCCTCCCCCTCCCCCTTTAGTTGTTCCTCCTCCTCCTCCGGCACCGGCACGCCCCCCCACCCCGCCCCATCCCCCTTCCACCCTAGCACCCTCGCCCGCCCCGCCCTCACCGCCGGCAGCAGCGCCGCCGCCAGGCGCGACGAGATGCCGATGCCGCAGTTCTGCCACACGCCCACCGCGCCGGGCGCGCTGGCGAGCGGGTAGGCGACGGCGTAGAGCCGCACCACCGAGTCGTGGTGGTTGGTGTCGGGGTCGAGGTTGTTGTTGTTGTTGTTGTTGGTGGTGGTGGTACCGGCGTCGGGGTTGTTGTTGTTGTCGGCGTCGCCGCCGGTCGGTTCGGAGGGGAGCGGCAGGGTGAGGGGGATGTCGAGGGCGCGGAAGAGGAGCTGGGTTGGCGGGATGCGGTGAGAGGGGTTGGTGCGGTAGGGGGAGGCGGCATAGCGCGCTGCGGTGGGGATGGTGTCGGGGTGGGTGAAGAGGATGAGGTCGTGGGTTGGGGGGAGGTCGAGGAGGGGGTGCAGCGCTGTGGAGAGCTGGGTGAAGGGGGGAAGGGTTAGTTTTGGTATGGAGGTTGCTGTTGGTTTGGGATGTATGGACTTACCTCGCGCACCTCGGCCCATGGCCCGAAGCGTGGGTACATGGTGATTAGTTTGCTGAGCAGCTCGGGGTCGCCGCGGCGGAGGGCTTTGGCTGTGTCCCAGCCGGGGATGTGGAGGGTGATGTTATGGGGGGCTTCCGGGGGGACGGAGTGGCCCAGCTCGGTGTTGATCTGCTTGACGGGCATTGTCACACTCTCTCACTCTCAATATTTCTTTCTAGCCGTTCAGCGTCAACTGGAAGGAAGGGTGCGCGTAAAGGGAAAAACTAGGGGAGAACCAAACTAAGGTTTCTCAGCACACGCGATTTCCTCCAAGCCGGGAGCCTCACTCAAAATAGTCGGCTCGGCGAATGAGCGAAATGTGGACATCAAGGTGTTAAAAGACGTCCGATGTCGCACTGAGACCTCTCGGGCACCTCCGGCTCAAGCGTCCCCGACGGGCTGGGACGCCTAGTGGAGGCCCGGATCACGACATCGCAAGGACTTTGCGAGACGCTGTTCTCAAAAAAAGTAGATTGCCTTTCATTGGATAAATTCCCAACAGGCTGGTTTCAACTCACATCGGATGGCGGGTCCCGGCAAGGGAGTGGAGTTCCCCGAGGTCACCCCCATGCCCCCCGTGTTCCCCGTGGACCGGTCACTTTTCGGCGACTATTGGGCCCAAGAACAAAAGGTAGTGTTGTTGACGATGCCGTTGTTGCTACAGTAAGTAGATAATACAGTTTACCAGTATGCACAGATACCCCTGAATCCCCTCGCTCCAGATGCTTGCTTGACAACACCACAGTACCCAAAAGCAGACTCAGACTTAGACCATCTCGACTTTCCCAAACTCAAACTCAACACCTTGAAACCCCCAGACCGACTATACACTTACCAAAACTCCCTGCTCTTCCCCTCAAACGCAAAGTTCAGCGCAACCGCCACAAACAGGGCGGTGCAGAGGACGCTCGGGCCGACCTTGTCATAGTAGCGAGCCACCCTGCGCGTGCGGATAGCGCTGCTGCGGTAGAGGTAGATGACCACCGAGTAGCACAGCGAGAGGAGGGCGAGCACCGTGAAGGCACTGGCAGCGACGAACGACGCCCTGCTACCGTGCTCGGTGCTGAAATTGAGCAGCGTCACGGCGATGGTGCCGATGTAGATGGAGTATTCGAGCTGCGACGGGGGTTAGTCACTTTATATTGTCATAAACGTGGGGAGGGGGACCGGCTCACCCATCCTAAAAAGGTCCTCTCGGCCGCAAAGTAGACCTTCGGCTCGACGCGCACCGGGACATAGATCTTCTTCCCCTTGGGCGCCTTGAACCGCCTCTGCTGGATCTCGCCCGTCCCGAGAAGCGACTCGAGCCGTGCGTTGCGAGGGACTTCGGTCGCCCGCGGCCGCGGCACCAGCGATTTAAGCAGCCACCAGGTGCCGCGCGCCGCAGCGTTGGCCGACGTCGAGATGCGTGTTTGGACATACGTCCAGCCGCCCACCCTGCGCGCCTCCTCGAGCCTGTCCTCGTCATCCTCGTCGTCCGAGTCGTAGAGGTAGGTATCCTCGCCCGACGGCCGGTCGACCGTCTGGTCCTCGACATCGGCTGCCAGAGCCTGCACCCGGCCGTTCCTCGCGGCGGCTGCGCTGGATTCACCGGCTTGGGCGCCCCCGGTCACAGGCCGCTGCTCGTCGTCCGAGTCGTAGTCGTCGTCTTCCTCCTCTTCGTCGTCCGATATCGAGGTCGTCGCCGAGTGCTCGAGCCTCTTGATGCCAAAATCGTGCGTCACCGGCTTGCGGATGTCGACGTCCATCTGCGGCATCCAGAACGGCAGTAGGTCTATCCTCTCGGGGAAGAGACAGGCGACGCCGTGGATGAACTTGGAGAACTTGGGGACCGCCTCGACGAGATGGCTGGAGATCAGCTGCCGTACCCACTCCGGCGGTTCCTGCCCGAGCTGTGTCTGCAGCTTGACTTCGAGAATAGCGTAGGGGAACCGGACGACATCTCCGGGCGGGAGCTGAGAGAAGGGGTAGTCGATGCCAATGTCCGTGCGCCGCCAGTTGTCTCCGGACCTCCTCGCCCCGTCGAGGTTGTCCTCGCGGACCATCGTGAGCTCTGTATCGAGCGAGATACGGACGCGCGCGTCGGCGGGAAGCTGAAACGCTGTGCGGTGGTAGAAAGACCGGCACACCGGCTTGTAGCCCTTCTTGAGGACGGACCACTGGATCTCACGGGCCAGCCTCTCATCCTCGGCAATGGCCTTCTCGGACTTCTTGCCCTCCTTCCGCGCCTTCTCGAAGATAGCCGCCGGGAGAAGCTCGCCTCGCAGGTAGGCGTTCACATTCTTCTCCTTGACGGAGAAGCGGGCTTTCACCGACTTCTCGCCGGTCCAGTCTTCTCTGTGTGTCTTGCGCTCGACGAAAATGGTTTCGTTCTGCATGCCACCATACCAGCGGAGCCGGATGGCCTCGGCGCCTTCTGTCTTCTTAAGCCGCCCTTCGTACAAGTCCCAAGTATTCGGGTTGTCGTAATAAATGGATGTAATGGCCGAGTCTTGTGCCTCGAATTCCTTGCTCGCGTTGAAGACCAGGACGGGCAGATGCTTGAGGATAATAAGCTTGAGCTCCGTCACGTTGTCGGGATGGACCCAGTATTTCGTCGTGTGCCGGACAAAGCTGGCCTGGCTTCCGCCGGCGGCGCTGTCGCCCTTGACGGGGTTTCCCCTCGTCCGCACGAGATCGTAAAGCTTAGACAGCTTCACGACCGAGGCGTCGTAATTCTCCTTGTAGAATGGTTTCGCCTTGAGTCGGGTGTCGAAGACGGGTCTTAGATGCCATCCGGTCATTTTCTATCTCGACGTCAGTTCAATCCCCTTCCGATGCCCCGTATTGTTCAGTCGCACTCACATCGTGTTTCTTGATAATCTTGTAGAATCCCGTATAGTTGAGCTGTACGAACTTGGCGAGGTCGTGGACGTCGGCGATAATATCGCTCAAGTCCTCCTCCAGCAGCATGAACTCCTCCTCGCTGGGCCCGTCCTGGCCGGGGCCGCGCTCGTTAAGGCGGTTGACGACGTCGCGTACCTCGCGCTCGCTGACGGTGATGCGGCGCGAGATCTCCATCGCCTTAACCTGCTGCTTGGAATGGACCTTGTCGAGCTCGGACTCGAGCTTGCTCACGAAGCGACTCTCATCCTCCTCGGTCCATTCGCGACGCGGCGTTTTCCCACTTTTCGCGCGGTCCTCGGTGACGGGCTGGACGGGCCCGCTGGCCTGTTTGAGGTCGGCCTTGAGGCCATCATAGTCGATGTAGTACCATTGGTACTCGCGAATAACGCTCGAGCGGAGCTGCTCGCCGAACTTCATGACGACGACGCCGGGGGGAGCTCGCCAGGTGGGATCGCGGATACGGTTGCGCGGTGAGTGTAGGTGTTGAGAGCGAGACTTGAGGTCGTGGACGATCAGCAGCATGGGGCGGGGCAACAGCTCGACCGGTCAATTGTAGCAAGCCGAGGGCCCAGAAGAGGTCGCCACTGTAGCCAAGCCTCGCCTGTCTCGAGCTTGATCCTTGGAATTGGAGCTCTCCGTTCTCCGTTCTTTCTCCGTTCTTTCTGTGTTTTTGCTGAAGCTCCACTTGCCGTGCTCGGATCACCTGCGCGAGTTCAATGCCTCATTCCTCGAGGCTAATTGAGTTGCTACTCCCAATTCACAGGATTCCGACACAAGAAATCAACAACTCTAATCTTCACCAGTGATGCTGTGTCCCAACCTCTCCATATTGCCGTGGGCACAGAGAACCTTTGTAGCGGCGCTGGCAGAGTGAGCACGTGGACAGGCAAGCTCTACGATTGGCGAATCGCAGTCCGGGCTCTGTGCTGGGGCGCATTTGGTGGAGCTAGTGGGGTCCTTTTCCCGCTGGAGCCTCTGAGCCAAGGCATGCATGCAGCTGAAACCTTGGTGTTCAGTGGTCACAGTTTGAAGATCGAGGGACGGGAGTTTTTGAGGTCCAAAGGGTGAGATGGAGATTTCAACCAAATATGGGAAGATTACTCGGTACCTACCCATGTAGGTAGTACTACCACTCTTACTCGATTAAACATAGTAGGTTGTCTTTGCTTGATTTTACGATCAACTGCGCACAATGCAAAAGGTCGGTCCAGTTGCAAGATCCGATTTCAATGGCAGGAAGTTCAGCTCGGATCATTGCTCACCGACCCGCCTGCCAAGGCCAGCCACTGTGGGGACTGCATCGTCCACTAAAATCACTTGGCTTCCAGGTTCCAGACCGCCCGGTTCCTCAGCTCCAGGACCCCATCGTTGACCCCAAGATCCCAAAATTCTGGTGGTGAGGGGCAAATGGAGGGGCACACATGCAAATCCCATCTGCCGTGACTGTCCGCCTCTTATTTTATCATTACAACCCTCTCACCAGATAGCTGAGGGAACGCCTTAGCCATTCACTACCAACTCCCTACTTTACTTACTTCGTCATAACCACATCGAAAATAAAACCCAAAATGTCCGACAACGACCACGACACCATATCATCCCGCATCTCCCCCACCTGCCCGCCCGACACCCAACGCGTGCTGACCGCGGCCTGGTCCCACGACCTCGCCGCCGTCAAAAAGCTTCTCAACACGCCCGACAAGGCGAGGGTACAGGACCCCACGACAGGGGAGACCCCGCTCCACGCGGCCATCCGGTCGTGCGGCCCCGCCCCCTCAGAAGAGAACGGAAACGACGAGGACAACGACGACGACCCCGCCGACCTCGAGGCTGCCAAGAAGGTCGTCTACGAGCTGCTGCTGTGGGGCGCCATCTGGAACGATGTCGACGATCGGAACGAGACCCCCGGCTGCGTGGCCCACCGGTTGGGGCGCAGGGAGTTGTACAATCTATGTGTGGAGGCCGGCGTGAGGGCTGAGATGTTGTTTGGTGTGATGGAGGGGTATGAAGAGCTGGAGAGTTTGGATGGGGGGGAGGGGGAGGATATTGAGGTGATCGATATGGATGTTGATGATGGGGAGATGGTGGTCGTGGGCGAGGACGGGGAGGAGGCCCCTGCGCTGGTCAATATCAAGTCTGGCGAGCAAAATAAGGGGACAAATGAGGGGGAGGATGAAGAGGAAGAGGAAGAGGAGGGAAATAAGGAAGAAGAGGAGCCCCGGTTCCAGCCGCCCAAGGACGATACAGAGGCCAACGTCACTTCCGAGGCATACCTACGGTCGAAGCTGACATACTCGGACGGCAAACTTGTCGATGACGATGGCAACGGCGTCATGATGGCCTGGGAAACGGATATCATGCGCCAGAGCGTTGACGCCTTGCTACCAAACAAGGAGCCTGGAAAACGTGTTCTCAATATCGGATTCGGGATGGGCATCATCGACACCATGTTTGCCGAGACGAAGCCGTCCAGGCATCACATCATTGAAGCTCACCCCGAGGTTTTGGAACATATTTCTAGCCCTGGCTCCAAGTTCGGCGCGGCCTGGGAAGAAAGCGGCCCGGCCCCCGGCGCATTCAAGGTGCAAATAGGGAAGTGGCAAGAGGTTTGTCGACGGCTACTCGAGGAAGGGGAGATATACGACGCCATTTACTTCGACACCTTCGGCGAAGACTATTCCCAGCTGCGCAAATTCTTTACCGAATATATCCCTGGCTTGCTGGATGGCGAAGGCAGGTTTGGCTTCTTCAACGGCCTCGGTGCGGACCGCTTGATCTGCTATGATGTTTACACCAAGGTGGCCGAGTTGCACCTCGTTGACGCTGGCCTGGATGTTGATTGGAACGTAATCGGCGTCGACATGTCGCACCTCGCCGAGGCTGGCAAGGGTGAGTGGGAGGGGGTAAAACGGAGATACTGGACTCTGGATAGTAAGTGTTCCTCTCTCTCTGGTATTTGGCGGGGTTGCCGAAGCGCGCGACCCAAACGCCCGTTAAGTCGCCGTGTCTGGTTGGCAAAGAGGTTGAATCGTTTGGGGACCTCAACGAGTGACGTCGGTTTTCTGACGCCTCACAGAATATCGCCTGCCAACTTGCACGTTTCTGGGTTGAACACCGATTCTAGCAAACGCATTCCGACAACCTGAGAGGCTGGAAATTCACGTTCAAGCAAGGCTACCCAAGATTAACGCGCCTCGCTCATAGCTCTGCGAATAGGATGTCTCCCATCGCGGGTACCGGCCTGGAGTGCGCAATCATGCAAACGGCGCTGAGCCCTCCATTGAGAACCAGAGACTTACAGAATACAAACAATCCCTTCGATGGGGACATTTGATAATGGCCTCGATACCCGCACTCCCGGTGCTTCGAAGCCTACGTCTCCCTCTTATCCTTCTTTCACCTCCGACTTGGTCCGGTGAATCAATGTCACAGGTTAGCCATGTTTTCGAAAAAGCAACGCCGCCGGTATCGATCTTTTGCCGAGAATCTTGCTCTTCTGTCACTCTTGCGCCGAGCTCCCACTACACACCACGCCAACGCCTGGCCGCAATGGGCAACTCGTAAAGATTCCGGCCGGCTTCTCTCGTTTGAACGCGAGGTCAGCCTAACCAACACCCTAGCCTTTCTCTGTGGCATATCAGATAGCCCGCACCATGTCGTAGCCACTTGTGTCGAGGAGCTGGCTAGCAGGAAGGGGATCCGAATACTTGTTGCCATCAATAAGAAACATGCGACGTGTGCGAGCGGGACCTTGACGCGCATCAAGGACGGGCTTGTTGGGGTTCTCCACCACCTCTCTCAGGCGAATGATGGTATGTAGCCCCAAGGAAACAAAAACCCGTTTTTTATGGCCGCCCATTTAAGCCCTCGAGCAGAAAAGGACGCCATCTCAGAAGACCGAGTACTGGGCGGTATCGCGGATATGTGCAAACATCGTATTTTTTCCCGAACCAACTCCAACAGACCCGACGCAGTGTACACAAGAAGGGACAGGGTCTTTCTAGGCACCATCCTACTGAAAATACTGGATATCGTTCGCAACCGCGGAAACGGAATTGGGTCGGGAACGAAAGTCGAGAAGTTTGCGAAGGACGGCCAGAACCTGCTGGACTGTTTGGAAAAGCTTGAAACCTGCCGAAAGGAGGATGTCGTGGGACATACCAAGCACGTTCTTTGCGCCACCCACCTACTTAACAAGAGCGCCGACTTAGACAAACTTCTCGAGGGTGTTAGTTCGGCCGAGCTGGCTCCGTCGTTGCGGAAATGCTTCATCGACCGGATATCCAAACTTGCCCAATATCGAGAGTGTGCCTTGTATCTCCTCCGAATGGCAAAGGATTCGGCGATTTTTCAGACGACAGAGGTTACGCTCGTCTCTCTCGAAGAGGAATTCTTCGCACCGAGCTTAGAGGCATCGCCGGACTGCCACCTCGATAATTGTCTCTCCCGGTGTGACAATAAGGCTTCGCCTGTTCACGGTGTCGAGACCATTGCTTCCAGACTCCAGGGGTTGAGCTTAGGCAACTCAACTTTCCTACAAACCGTCGGGAACGTTCTTCAAGATTCGCGTGTCCATGCCGAGGTGCAAATCGTGTGCCACTACGAACTCCATCCTGTCGCCAAGATGCCACGCGTTATTTGTGCCAGCAAAGATGCGTGTTACCTTTGTAACCTGCTAATCCAGCTTCATGGAAAGTTTTACGTGCCTAGGACTCATGGCAACGTCTATACTAGCTGGCTACTCCCACCAATTTCCACTCTCAGCGAAATCCAGACCCTACTCAACAAAGCTTTGGAGACCGAGATAAGAGGTATCATTGGGAGTCTGATGAAAAGTGATGCACCAAGGTTGGTGCTGACCATGAACGAAAGCGAAAGCAGCGTTTTCCCTCTTCCAACTTTTCCGCCCACGCCAGCAAGTTCGGTGACACTGGCGGAAGCCTCCGGGAGCGGCAAACAGGCTACCAGTGCCCAAGGGACGCATGAAGCCCAGCAGCGCCTACAAGACATTGGCAAAGGCGCCACCCGCGAGTTATCTCTTAAAGCGCCCCCTCAAACGCCGACCACTACTGCTTTCGATCCGGTATCTCCTGGCTTGGAGAATACCACCAGTGCGCCACCAGGAAACGACGAAGGTCTGACCGCTACGCCTCAAATCGATCCCAAGTGTTCTGAGGTCCATGCCGCTGTCCCGGCCACTTCCGATGAACTAGGAAAAGAGGGAACCAAGGAGCTGGCCACGACTTTTCCTGGGTATCCAGCCTCGGCCAACCGAAACAGCACTCCTGAGCAACAACAAAAACCAAAGGCCCCAAAACCCAAGCCAGCCCCAGAACCAAATCAAGAACCAGCACCGCAACTCGAAACAACACGCCCCCCCTCATCACAGAAGCACACCTCCACTGGCCGCCGCCGCCGCGTGCCGAGGCGTTCTCCATCGCGCGTCCCAGGGGGGTTGTCGAGCTGGAGCTCTGCGAGGAGGGCGTGGATGTCGAGGGGGAGAGTGGCGGTGGCGGATGCGTGTACGCGACGTACGGGGGGGAGGTGGTGGTGGTTGATTTTGGGGTTGGGGTTGGGTTTGGGAGGGGGGGTGTGGGCGGTTAGTGGTGGGGGGGAGGGGGTAACCGGCTGTGTTTTGATGATAGGGGTTGTGGTGATGTGATGCGAGGGGGGGGGTTGTTGTAGGGTTGTTTTTTCCCTCTCTCTTTCTCCTTTACTTTTCTTTCCAAGGCACGTTCATACCTGGGACGGAGGTCACACAGATGTTTGCAAATTGCTGGGTAAATAATATACATTACCGCCGCCAGTTTGAACGCCGTCTGACTATAACATACATCCCCTACATGAGACTGCTTCTCCCCCCAACCTCCATACTCCCTTGGCCGTCCTTCATATCCCCGCTCCGCCCCACCACAAACTCCCGATAGATCCTCTCCAACCGCGCCCGCTCATCGCTACTGATACTCGCCCGGGTCGCCTCAAGTGCCTTGGAGAGGTGCTCCCAGCGAAGCACTACCTCGGCGTTACCACCGGCGTCTGCAACGTCGCCATTAACGCCATTAACATTCCCGCCGGCGGGGTTGGCAGGGCCCTTGGAAAACTGCTTCGCGCGCTTCCGTGCCAGCTTGATGCCCTCCAGCTTGCTGGCTATGGCCGCCTGCTCGGCAAGCTGCGTCGCACGGGTACGGGGTGCCGCGGCAGCGTTGCCATCTGGCGAGCTGCCGTCCTCGCCATAGCGGAACTGGACAAAGTTCCTCGCCGATGAGGCCGTGGCCTTTTTAGCCGCGCCGCGCCGGGTATTAGCGGCGGCGGCAGGCTGTTCGCGATCGTTCAGCACGTCGTGGATGGCCTCGAGCTGGGCGTTGGACACCAGCGCCTGAAGGTCGGCACCGGAAAAGCCTTCGGTCCTGCGGCCCAGCTCGAGCAGTTCCTCGTCTGAATTCCAGACTTCGTCGGCGACTTTGACTTTCTGGGCGAGCGCCCGGATGATGTCGAGGCGGTCTTCTAGCGTGGGGAAGTCACAAAGCAGAGACTTGTCGAGACGGCCCGGTCTGAGCAGCGCAGGGTCGATCAGGTCTGGGCGAGAGGTCGCGGCCAGGACGTACACGCCCGAGAGCCCCTCGGCGCCGTCCATTTGCGTCAGCAGCTGGTTGACGACGCGGTCGGTGACACCTGTGGAGTCGTGGCCGCGCTTGGGGGCGATGGAGTCGAACTCGTCGAAGAAGAGGACACAGGGTTTGGCGGCAGACGCGCGCTCGAAGAGGTCACGGACGCTCTTTTCCGAGGCACCAATGTACTTGTTGAGGATCTCGGGGCCCTTGACGCTGATGAAGTTCAGGCCGCACTCCCCAGCCACAGCGCTGGCGAGGAGGGTTTTTCCGCATCCGGGGTAACCGTACAGGAGGAGGCCAGAGCGGAGGCGGAGAGGGCATTGCGCAAAGATGGGGGCGTACTTGGTTGGGTATTGGAGTGTCTCGAGGAGAACTTGACGGGTCTCTGTCAGCCCGCCGATAGAGGAGAAGGTGGTGGTTGAGCTTTGGAGCGTGACGTTGCGCAGCGAGGCTGGTGTAAACCCCTTGAGGGCGCTGTCGAAATCGGCACGGCTCAGGTGGATGGTGGTCGCGTCGGGGTTCGACGACTCGCCAACATTCCGGCTCAGGGCCTCATTGCGGGCTCTCGAGATGAGCAGGATCAGATCGCCTGGCATGTAGCCGTCAGTTTGGCCGGCAATTTCGAGGAAGTCAAGGTCCTGGTCAAGGATGAAGCCGCTGGGCTTATCCTTGGGCACTTCCTCGGTCGTACGGGTTGGGCCGTCCATCCACCCCCCTCCATCACCGTCTGTGGTACTACCATCTGCGGTCGTCGGGCGGCTGCGGTCTTCAACCTCGGGCTCGACTTCCTCCGGGGAAACAGAGCCCTGCTTAGTGAGGGCCTCCATGACGCGCCGCCTAGTTTCCTTATCAGGGGCACTCAGGTCAACGATCTCACGGACAATGTGGCCGCCCACGAGGACGTTGTGCAGCGAATCCTTGCCCTGGCAGGTGGCGAGCAGGACCACATTACTGTCCCTGCCGCAGTACTGCCTAACCATAGAGCAGATAGCCTCGCTGATCTGGCGGCTCCGGCCGTTCTCGTTCCCCACCTGGAGCTCAGTCTCGGCCGGGCAGAGGCGGTCGAGGTCGTCGAGAATAACGATTGCTTTTCCGCCCAGCCTGGCGCCCCAGCTGGCAGCCATGAACAGGCGATTCAGCGTCTCCTTGATGGTGGACACCCTGCTTTCGTCATTGACGAGCTTAGTACAAGGGAAGTAATCCGCATAGTAAAGTTGGGAAGCGCGCATTGCACGCACGACCGTTTGTGCGACGGACGTCTTGCCGGATCCCTGGCCGCCGGTCAGGAGGACGGATGACATATGCGAGAGGTGCGACTTGAGCTTCTCCAGCAGTGAGTCGATGCCAACCAGAAGGGTATCGGACGAGCCCAGCTGGCCAGCCTCGAAATCTGTGAGCCACGAAGGCATCGGGACCGGAGGTTCGACCACAAGGGGCAACTTCCAGTCAGCACCAAAGATCCAGCTCATGGGCTTCTTCCCCTGTCCTTGTGGCGCCGAAGAAGGTTCGAACTTCACAATAGCCCCTTCCCACCCACGAGGGCAGTTCAAACCGTGGTGTACTCCAAGGACCTGGCCATCTGTGAGGGGACCCTGCAGTAGTCCGTTTCCGTTTGGCCCGTAGATATGCTTTACCTGGGTTGCTGCCTCCTCTTTTTCGGCCTTGGATTGGCCACCGAACTTCAGACCTGAGGTTTGGGTGGGCTTCAACGACTGAAAAGGGTATATCTTGAGCTTTTGCACCGAGTCGCGGGGAATGCCGTCGTGGTCGGTGGTCCTCCGGGGGGTCGGAACCGGAGCGGGCTCAATTTTGACCACACCACCAACCATGCCTTCGCAGCCAAGCGCAGCGCACAGAGGCGATGAGAGGGCTGTTGTTTGCCCATTGGGAGGGTCATCCCACGGCAGAAGGGCGGCGACGATCTTGGTGGACGCTTTCGCTGCAGGGTCTGGTTCTTGCGGCTGGTTTGCCGAATCAAGTGGCTGTTGAAGACCGGCAGGCCGTACAACGCTGACCGACACCCAGCCCAACCCCTTCAGGTCTCCGGCGGAGAGAAGATCACGATCGATCCAGACATTGAGAGCCTCGGGCGGGGGCTCGTCGAACAAGTCTTGGCAGTTGGCACGGTCGATACCGCGAAAGAACAAGACTAGCTTCTTCTCCTCTCGGGCGCTCTTCCTCCTAGCCGTGGTTGTTGAGCTCTTGCCACTTCTCCGAGACGCGCTGCCCACACTCCTGTCGTCTTTGCTGCTTCGCTGCTTCTGCCTCGTCTTGGGCGCCACGATGACCTCGGCGTCCGGAGCGATTTTGGCGAACGGTGCATTGGCGGGAAGAGCAGGCTCGAGCGATAGGACCTTGATGTTGGCGGTGGATGTAGGTGACAGATGGAGCGTCAAGGGGTGCATGTAGCGGGTGGGAGCGCGAGACTCTATGGCATGCACGGGATTAGGGACGGCGCGGATCTGGAAGAGCAGGTTGTCCTCCAAAAAGGTTCCGTGTAGCTCGATCATCTCCCAGTCGTCAGGCGTCAGGGGCTCTATGTTGACGGTGTGGACCAGGGGCGGGTCGAAATGCACAGTTATCGTGATTTTCTGGCCCTCGGCGAGTCCCAAGGTTGCGCCGAGTGTGGTATCCATCTCGATGAACTCCGGATCGCGTCCGTCGCGGGATCCGCCGATGCCGTCCCTCCCAACGACCGGGGCGGCTCTCCGTAGTTTGCTCGGCATGCCGGACCATCCAAGGTACACGTGCTTCATCGATGAGGTGTTCGCCGGATCGGAGTTGCTACCAGGGGGACTGGAACGGGCGCGGTAACGGAGTTCGACGACGACATTTTGGGCAGGCTAAGCACGGCAATTACACGTCAATTGCATGCTCCATATTAAGGAGAACACGACCCTTACTTTGTTAATATTGGAGAGGATCGTGGCTATCGACGGCGGCAGGTTGACAAGGCAGTTCTGCAGATGCACCAAAGCGAGAGTCGCCGACGATGGCTGCATCGGCGCCATTGCAGCTCACGGGGACCCGGGATCGGGCGAGTTGGTCGGGGATAAGATATGTTGACTGCGCGATCTCAAGGTGGTACTGTATTTGTGTTTTCGAATGTAGCGACTCAAGATAAAGAAAGGACGGATGTTGATCGATGCAACATTTCATCCCACTTCCACTTCGGCGCGCATATGATTCCAGGCGGTTTCGGGAGCGGCAGCTTGGAACGGGGCAGCTTCCCGGCAATCTGCATGTGCCGAGGCAAGGAACCAAGCGCGGGTCTGCAGGGCCATGCCAGATCCCCGCGAAATGCCAAGAGAGACTGCAGCTCCCAGTGCCCAACTGGCCACACCTGCCAGCGCCAGCTGTGGCCTGGGCAGCATGTTTAATCACCCCTAACTCGGACGCGCGAAAAAGCGCGTTGGGCATTCCTTGGACGCGTCCCCCTGTCATTGCTTGGTAGCTTGCCCAGCCTCCCGCCCAAGCGCCTGCATGTGTTTTCTTATCGCAATCCCAATCCCGCCCAAAGCCCCGGCTCGTCGCACAACCTCCCCGCCTCCGTCGTCGACTACACCAAGTAAACAATCACCATCCCCGTGCGGAGAAGAGGTCTAAATTACAGCCGCAACCATGGCGCTCCTTCAGATGAAGGCGCCTGTCGACTATGAGGTGCAGCTGAGTGAGTACCTCCCTAGCAAACACTTCAACTTGACAATTTCAAGACTGATGCTAACGGTGAACTAGGCGCGTTCGAGAACTTCCTGTCCGATTTCAAGACCTCCCCGCAGGAGACTATCACTCATGCCTTGGGAAACATCACTATTGATGAGGACGACCTTAGTGACGAGTATGACTTTATGGACGAGGATGACAACGCCCAGCAGCAACGTCGCCGCGAGAAGACCCAGAAACAACCACCCCGACACAAGTACCGGGATATGCTCCAAAATCTGGCCGACAGAAAAGTCAGCGAGGTAGTCGTCGACCTGGACGACCTTGCTTCGTACGAGAAGGAGCTGAACGAGGGGCTTAAGCTGGTCGAGTGGGTCGAGCAAAATACGCGACACTATGTTGAAATCCTCTCACGGGCCGTCGACAAGCTGATGCCCCAGCCGAGCGAAAATGTCACGTTCAAGGACGACGTGCTCGATGTTCTCATGTCGAACCGGACACAACGCAACGAGATGCTAGAGGGGATTGCCGACAGGGAATCGGACCCAACTATCCTCAACGACCAGTACCCGTCGCAGCTCACCCGCCGATACAGCCTCGTCTTCAAGCCGAGGACGTCGACCCCTGACAACCCGGTCAAGGCGCTATCAGTGCGCCAGGTTCGCGGTGACCACCTAGGCCACCTCATCACCATTCGCGGTATCGCAACAAGGGTATCCGACGTCAAGCCCATCGTCCAGGTCAGCGCCTACACTTGTGACCGCTGCGGCTGTGAGATCTTCCAGCCTGTCACCGACAAGCAATATGGGCCCCTCACGATCTGCCCGTCCAAGGACTGCCAGGAGAATCAGGCCAAGGGGCAACTGTACCCGTCATCGAGGGCATCCAAGTTCTTGCCTTTCCAGGAGGTCAAGGTCCAGGAGCTTGCAGAGCAGGTACCTATCGGCCAAATTCCCAGGACTTTGACCGTTCTGTGTTATGGCAGCTTGGTTAGGCAGGTCAGCCCCGGTGATGTGGTCGACGTCGGCGGAATCTTCCTCCCTACCCCTTACACGGGCTTCCAGGCCATGCGCGCCGGCCTGTTGACCGACACCTACATCGAGGCGCACCACGTTGTCCAGCACAAGAAGGCATACGAGGATATGGAGATCGACCCCATGATGGCGCGGAGGATCGCCAAGTTTACGCAGTCGGGGAACCAGTACGAGTACCTCGCCAAGTCGATTGCCCCTGAAATCTTCGGCCACCTCGACGTCAAGAAGGCGCTCCTCCTGCTGCTCGTGGGTGGTGTCACCAAGGAAGTCGGCGACGGTATGCGTATCCGTGGTGATATCAACATCTGCTTGATGGGTGACCCCGGTGTGGCCAAGTCCCAGCTGCTCAAGTACATTTCCAAGGTCGCCCCGCGCGGCGTGTACACCTCGGGTCGTGGCAGCAGTGGTGTGGGTCTGACGGCCGCCGTGATGCGCGACCCAGTCACGGACGAGATGGTGCTCGAAGGCGGCGCGCTGGTCCTGGCCGACAACGGGATCTGCTGTATCGATGAGTTCGACAAGATGGACGACAACGACCGCACCGCCATCCACGAAGTCATGGAACAGCAGACCATCTCCATCTCCAAAGCCGGCATCAGCACTTCCCTCAACGCGCGCACCTCCATCCTGGCCGCCGCCAACCCGCTCTACGGGCGCTACAACACGCGCCTGTCCGCCGTGGAGAACATCAACCTCCCCGCGGCGCTCCTCTCCCGTTTCGACGTCATGTTCCTCCTGCTCGACACCCCAACGCGGGAGACAGACGCACAGCTCGCCAAGCACGTGGCACACGTGCACATGCACAACCGGCACCCGGACCTAGGCACGGCCGACGGCATCGTCTTCTCGCCGCAGGAAGTGCGCGCCTACGTGGCGCAGGCGCGCACGTTCCGGCCCGTGGTGCCGCAGGCCGTGTCCGAGTACATGGTCAAGACGTACGTGCGGCTGCGGGGCAGCCAGCGGCGGGCCGAGAAGCGGTCGCAGGCCAACAACTTCGGCCACACGACGCCCCGCACCCTGCTCGGCGTCGTCCGCCTCGCCCAGGCCCTCGCCCGCCTCGCCTTCCGCAACACCGTCACCCAGGACGACGTCGACGAGGCCCTGCGCCTCATCGAGGCGTCCAAGGAGAGTCTGGCTGGCGAAGACCAGTCGCGCGGCAGGCGGGGTCTGAATGCGAGCAGCAAGATTTATAACCTCGTCAAGGGGCTTGCCGATAGTGGTGCTTGCAGGGCGGATGATGTGGAGGATGATGAGGACGAGGAAGGGTATGGCGTGGAGATGAGCCTGCGCAAGGTCAAGGAGCGCGTCATTGCCAAGGGGTTCACCGAGAACCAGTGGCTGGGTGCGTTGGAGGAGTATACCGACTTGGATGTGAGTTCTATCAACCCTACCGGCCCTACTTTAACCTGTGAGAAGAATGATGGACTGACTGGCGGATGCTACAGGTCTGGCAAACGGCTGGCAACGGCACGAGGCTGGTGTTCGTCACGTCTGGCAACGCCGAGCGGGAGGGGAGCCAGGAGTTGTGAGCGTGTGGCTTGGGGTAGTAGTTCTAGCTTTGGGTTCCAGCTGTTGCATTTGCGCGTCTTTTTTTGGGTGTGTTGTGTGTATGCACTCGGCGTTGCCAGGGGGGTAGTTATGGAATTGAATAATTGTATGGGATTCGTTTCCCGACTCATGTAGCGGCTTCGGTGCTGCTAGCTGGATAATGAAATGAGTCAAGTTAAACCGATGTTGTGTTCCGTGCTTCTCAAGACGGACAGACAGAATAGTTGTACGAGGGCGTCCTCAAAAGACTTGCTGTCAGGACACTTGGGTCAAAACCCCCCCACCGCCGAGTCCAAAACTGCGACACTACAAGTACAGTCTCCCATTTCTACACAGCGTCTATCTACACACCGTTTCATAGGATTACAAGCCTGCCTTCAAATCCGCATCGTCAGCAGCGCAGCGCGCTCCATCTCGCCGAGCACGCCGCTGCCGGCGAGGGTCCACTTCTCGGTAACCGTCTTCTCGTCAACGGTAGCGCGCAGCATGCCGCTGGCGGCCCAGTACTCCATCAGGGCGCGGGCCTCGAGCTTGTCGACGCCGGCGACGCGGAGCACGCGGACGGAGCGCAGGACGGCCTCGACGCGGTCGTCGTAGCCGCGGAAGAAGGGGTCCTTCTGGGGCACCTCGACGCCCGCCGCGCCCGCGCCCCTGCGCGCCTCGGCCTCGCGCTGCGCCAGCGCCAGCTCCATGCTGGGCGCCCGCGGCGCGTTGTTGCGGCTGGTGGCCGCCAGCACCGCGCCCCCCGCGGGGAACTGCACGCCGCCGCCCAGCGCGTCCGTGAACAGGCGCACCAGCGCCAGGTCGTGCGAGTGGATCCGCTCGAAGGACGGCGAGCGGTAGTCCGACACCTTCATCGCGTGGGCGAGCCCGTCGAGGCAGAGGAGGATGGGCGGCCGGTTGGCCTTTTGCGCCGTCAGCTCGTTCCAGAGCGCCTGGAAGACGGGCCAGGCGCCGTCGGCCTCCTTGGCGACGTTGGCGAGCGCCAGGAGCGGGGTGTTGGAGGGGATGTTTTGCGGGAGCTCCGGGTGGGCTTGGATGGTGTACGTCTTGGATAGCACTTGCTCGTTGGCGCGCTTGATGGCGTGGATCAGCTTGAGCACGTAAACGGGCTGCATGTACTGGACGGGGTCGGTGTTTGGGATGGGAGCGTATTCGGTGCTGGCGGTGGTAATTTCATGGGCTGGGAGGGGTCAGCATAGGTGGCAATCGGTAGCTAGATCAAGGCTGAGACATACCCTCTGGGAGGTTGATGACGATCCAGTTGTTGAGGTGGGCATGGGCCATGGCCTGCAGCAGCATCATGCTCTTGCCAGCCACCTTGTCACCGGTCACAACCAGACGTAGGGTCTTCCTGTTGTCGGCCGACTCCTGCATCTGGTTCGCCAGGTTGACCGTCTCCTTGCGCACCAACACGGCGGGTTTCCTGAACATGCCCCAGCACTGTGTCGTCTTGAAGGCTTCGCCGGCGCGCAGCTGGTCCTGCACCTCTTCGGGAAGGGCCAGGACCCTGGCGGTGTTCTCGGCTGCGGTCATATCGGCCGGGGCCAGGTCGGTAAGCCATGGCACGGGGATGGCGTTGTCGTTGCTAAGGGTAATGCGCTTGCGGTAGGCCTTGCGCTCTCCGGGCTGCGGGACCCTACCCCTCTCAGCGACCCTGTCCTTCTTGAACTTGCCGAGCTGCAGCTTCTTGCCCACACGGGAGTGGCCCTTCGTACTGGCGGCTGGCTGAAACGCCCTTCTGGGTGCAGCATTCGAGGCTGCGGTTGTCGAGAAGGGTGCGGTCAGGGTTCTGGTGAGAGGGAGTGCAGCGATGGGAGTAGCAGTAGTGGCAGTTCTTGACATGGGCCCTGATACCGGAATCCCCGCTGACGGCCGCACGAGGCAGCGTAGGCAATTGGGGGTCGACATGGTGTTGCCGGTATGTGTCTAGTCGTCTCTTTCGGCTGCAGTAACGGTTGCTTCTATTTCATCGTAGGGTGTGCCGTCCAAATCGCCAATGGCTGCCGGGCCGGAGCTGCTCAAAATTCGAGATAATCGATCACCAGAAAATCGAACCCAGCGCGCGAAGTCGAAGCACGGGCCTTGCCAAGCCTAAACTGCCCGCTGCTGTGGCTTCAAGCCGGCAATACTTCACCGCCCAAATGTCAACAGTGCCCCTGAGTGGTATCAACATCACAACGGCATAACTGCTTAGGAATAGATTGCTGGTTGGTTTGGAGCTGGTTCGACGGCTGACAAGCGATCTCATCGTTTAGGCTACGGCTGGTACGAATTGGGTACATGGCTATTGAGCACGTGCATCACCGTGGATGGTGAAGACCGTAGAGATTGACCACACAGTTTCAGTTTCAGTCCGTATTAACAACGCATATATTCCCCTAATTCACATGCTACCTTCGAATATTCAATGAATCCACAGGTTAGAAATTTGTCGACTCGGAGATGGCGGATGGGCGAGGTTGGTTTGCTTGCACAAGGACCCCTGTTACTACATGTGGGGTTGCTTTTCTACCGGTTTTCACCGCCTAAATTTCAGGATGTTCTTCGCAACTCAACCTTCTGCGCAATCAGAGCGGGCGCAGAGAAACCGACCTCGAAACACCAACACCATCCGATCACCAATCAACCACTCAAAACCACCAAACCACACAATCCACAACCATGGCCACCACAGCCTCAAAACCCGCCAAACTCCCCGTCACCGTCGACAAGCCGACCCCCTACACCTTCGACCTCGGCCTGCTCCTCGCCAACGACCCCAACCCAGTCGCCATCCCCGCCTCCGCCTCCGCCGCGACCGACCCCGCCGCCCTCGAGAGCCACCTCGCCTCCGTCGCGCGCGACGGCACCCAAGTGCTAATCAACCAGCTGCTCACCACCTGCGCCATCAGCTCCACGCCCGCAGGCGTGCTCCTCTCCCTGCCCCCGGCCCAAACCCCCTTACCGCGCGAGAAGCCGATCCCGGCGGCCAAGGCGGAGACGAAATGGTCGGCGTTCGCGAAGCGGCGCGGGATCAAGCCCAAGACGCGGGAGCAGCGGCGCAACCAGCAGTACAACGAGGCGACGGGGGAGTTTGAGCGCAAGTGGGGGTACAAGGGCGCCAACAAGGCCGGGCAGGACGACGCGATTATTGAAGTCAGTGCTGCGAAGGAGGCGGAGCGCAGGGAAGGGACGAGCGTGCGCGGCGACAAGCGGAGGGAGATTCGCGAGCGCGTGAAGCGGAATGAGCGGCGGATGAGGAAGAACCAGCGGAATGCGGAGGGGAGGAAGTAGGGTTGGGCTTGTTCCTCTTTTTTTTTCAAAGCTCAGTTTTCGTTGTATGAAGGCGGTGGTGGATGAGTGCATTACAGGCGTTAAACCAGGGTTCTGTGTTTGTGTTTGCGTACTTTTGCGGCGTTAGGGAGGAGAAAAGGCTAGGGCAGCTCTCGAGAATCAAGAGGGGTTTCAGCATCAAATGTGGCCTCACTTAATTGCAAATGTATATGCGCCTCGGGGGCTCGCCGCTCTCGCGAAATTCAACTGTCACCGGGACATCCATCCATTTCATTACCCCCCCAACCCAACCAAGCCTTCTTATCGTACAACTCTCTCATCTTCCAAGAAAAAGAAAGGTCCCGGCCCCTCCCGACATGCTTTTATCCCTCGTGTCCCAAAGAAAAAACAACCCCAAGGATATTCACGCTTCAGATAGATTCCGAAAAAAAAAAAACGAGTAGGCGAGGGTAATTGCCATCCTCCACCGACCAACCCCCATGCCACTCAAATTCAGGCCTTGGTATCCTCATTACTGCGCGCGGCCCAGCGGTATCAAGAACGAAACAAAAGAAACAAAAATTGCCGAAATCGATGTGAAAAGAGGAACTAGGCGGGTGGCCCGCGTAGGGGCAGTGCCTGCCTAGAACTCCATAAAAATGAAAAACGGGAAGGGGTATTGAAACCGGAAAACACAAAGGCCGGATGGGGAAAAGTTCGGACCCAAAGAACGGCCCTCAATGAATCGGCAGGCCGTAGTGAAAAGAAAAGGTGACGAGAGTGGCGACGCCGTGGCCGGACTTCCTTCGTGTGCTCCATATAGACCGTGCGCGAGAGATGCGGTTCGCGGTGACGAGTCTGTAGATGGGGTGCTGAGCAAGGGCGGGACAGACAAAAAGGCAAGTTGTCGGCGGCGTCGGGTCGTCAATGAATTGCTGATGATGAATGATGTCGCTCTTCGGATGTAAAACACAGACGCTCGCTATTCCCATGGCATGACGACTATGACGAAAACCTTCGCAGAATGAAAACCTGCTCAAAAGTTCAGCGGTGACAGCGGTTTGATGGGCGAGAGGGGCCGCAGGTCGCCCGACTTCCTCGGCGGCGTCTCTCGCTCGCTGCTGACCGTAAGTGTCGTCGATATTGTCGAACTTGTTTCGGCACTCTCGGTCTCGGCCACTGCCTTCTTCTTCAGCCGCCCCTTTTGCTCGGTTGCGCTGCGGTTCGGGCTCTTGTTGCTGTCTGACGAAGAAACGGTGCGCATTTCAGGCCCTTCCTCCTCGCCGCTGCCGCTTCCATTCTTCAACCCACCAACCGCTCCTTGAGGTGGCGGTGAGTCGAAGCGTGCGTACTCTTCTTCGATGTACTTGGCCTCGTCCTTGCACCCCTTCCAGCAATCGCGCCAGTCACAAACCAGGAACTTGAAACAGAAGGCGTCGATCTTCATACACGGCTGGAAGCAGATGCATAGGTTGCGGAAGTCCATCTTGTTCTTCTCCGAGTGTGCAAGCAGGAGGCTGAGATGGCAAGTGATGGCGAAGAGGAGGTAGTAGTTGAAGGGCGGAAGCTTTGAGAGCTCTTCGATGAGCAGCGGCGGCACCGTCTCCGCCCCCGCGCACTCCCTTGCAATCCTGTCTTGAGCCTCCTTAGGGAACAACTCGTCGGGGAGCTCCCGCAGCCACGCCTTCAGCATGGACCCGACGATGTTGATGTCGTAAAGGTCTTGTTCTTCAAAGAGATCCACATCCAACTCTGCAAATCAGTTAGCGATGTCAACACGGGAACCCGTCCAAGAGCCCGCCAAACGTACCCTCATCAAATTTCCGTTGCCACTTTTTGATCTGCGGCCCGCTGCCCGGAACCCGGTATAGGCCCTCGACCTCACTGCCCTTATAGTTCAGGTAGTCTATCGCCCTCCAGGGGAATGCGGGCATCCAAAATTCGGTCTTGTCCCGAGAATCCTCCAGCCTCTTGGAGATCCTAGTGAGGCGCGTTTGTTCAACAAGTGGTAGGTTGATGACCCTGAGAACGTAGTGCTCGTCGTCCACCGCCGGTTCTTTGACCACCGGCAGCTCATGCCTTGAGCCAAAGAAGCGGTTGCTGAGCATGCCTGCCGCCCGACTGTGCTTGAGGTTGCTGAAAAAAGCTCCTCCGGGTGTCGGGGCATACGCCGAAGCATGGTCCCTCTGCTGGGTTTCTTGACCTCTTCCTCTCCCGCCCATGTCCCTGGTCTGCGACCGCTCGGCTGAATGGTTCCTGACTGCCGACATCATCTCCCGAAACGACCGGTCGCGTGCTTGAAGCGGGGCTGTCCTCGGAGCTGCGGACGAAGCGTAAGGTCTCTCGGATTCGGCGGCCTTGGCCGGCGCCAGCGCCAGTGGTGGAACGTGATCTCTAGGGCTCGGGCTGTCCTTGAGGTCCTTGTCCTTGGTGGACCGGGTGCGGCTGAGTAGGTTGAAGGGCTTGGGTTTAGACCTCTTCGACGACACCGAATTACCCGGGCTCTCGTAGTCTACCGTCGAGGCTAGCGACACTTCGGATCGAGAAGGCAGTGGTGTGTTCGATTTCTGGACGGAGGGGTCCGGATGGGGCGATTCTATGATGCAACAAGCTGGTTAGCGCGACTTGAAACAAGGTGGAGAGTCCCGGTTTATTGTGGGATCGACAGGGCCGGGCAAGTCCAGACGACCATGGAAGATGGGACACAGAATGCTTGCGTACCTGAATGCTTGGTGCTTTGTTTCGAGAGCGACGGCCGGTCCGAGTCTCTCGACATGACTTCGGCGCGGGAATTGGAGTGTTGGTGCACAATCGGACGATCCGACTTCGCCCCCTTCCCAAAGTTGAAAAAGAAGCCCGATTTGGACGCCTTGTCGTCGCCGCGCCGCGGGTGTCTGTGGCCCAGCGGTGGTTGTTGGTCCGCAGCTTGGTCTCTTGGCGAGGGCTGCGGCGGGTCACGGGCGTCGTCTGGATTCCGCTGGCGCGGCCTCTGCTCCTCTTGGTGTTCTAGCGACTGTCGGGGCGGGTGCAAGACATCGGCAAGCGGTTGGGGCTCTCCAATGCTAGCAATTTCCACCTTGTTCTGGCCGTATCGGAAAGGGGAGCGTGGAGATCGGGGCGACGTAGGGTCGGAAGGGAGTCGCGCAGAACGGGGGACCGTTTCACCAAGACGAGAGTTGTCGCTGGGCCGCGTGGTCTCCGCCAGCGTGAGCGGCTGCGGTGCAGCTTTACGGCCCATTCCAATCGGTGCGAAATGCCAGGGGCGCAGGCGGGCCACCTGGCTCAGGACGGGCCTGGGTGTTGCAGGGAGGGTTCCTGATTTGCGCTGTGCGCACTCTGCCGCAACCAAGGACCAACAGCCTGCAGCTATTGCCGGGCGCGGAGCCGTCACACAGTGTCGGGGCTTACGGGGTCGGGTAAGGTTGGTCGGTAAGAAATGGAAATAGGCGGATTGCCGTCTGCGTCAAATGAGCGATCTCTCCGAACTTCAAAGAGGCACGGACGGGTGTTGGAGGGGTTCTGTTGCAAGGCGGGAGCCGCAAAACAGATGGAAGGGGCAGTCTGAAAGTGGCTCTGCCTCTCTCTGTGGGCCGTTGTTCGAATGAGTGCGCCAGATCGACCACCAAACAGGCATGGCCAAGGAGGCACACACCGCTGCCCTGTCTTGCCTTCCACAATCCGCACGCTAAACCGCCAGGGATCCCCAGACCCCGCCTGCTGTCAGAATGCCCACTTTGAGCTCTCTCTGCCGATTTGATTCGCAGCGAAAGGCACAGCCCGGGCCCTCTCCCTGTCGGTCGACCGAATTTCCGACGAGATCTGAAAAGACGTTGGACGGATGACGACGTGCCGTCAACAAGTCTCCGGGTCGCTCCCTGAGGGTGATCCCAAGCCGATCGAAAAGAAATTCGGAAGCTGAGCAAGATCCAGTCCCTTGGGAGCAATTCCCAGATTAGAATCTGCACGACTTTTAGGCGGTTCGTTATGGTAACCTCGGCCTCGAATACCCGAACGCGGCTCCTGAAACGGGAACCTCTGAAGTCGTGGGTATTGTGTAACGACCTCTCGTCAGTGGCGGCGTTCGCCGGAGAGTCCAGACAATCTAGACTCGGCCGACACAGTCTGCGCTATGTCGTTTAGCACAAAGCAAGGGAGACGTTGCGACAACAACAATCGAACGCGGGCGATAGCTACGCGAGGGCTACAAGCGCCTGGGGAAAGGAAGTTGCGGTCGGCTATAGTTATGGCAATTAATTGAAATAGTGATCCCTCGAACCTGAAAGAAACGAAGTTCAAAGCGCAAGCGGAAGACAACCCCAGCTGGCGACACAAGGAAAATGGCGCCCTGGTTAACAATGACACTCCGGCGGGAGGCTGTCTCTAGCCCTCATTGGCGACCGGACGAAGTGAGGGGTCAGCCAGCCGACTTCGCGATCACCCACCCACCCTTTTGTTCTCCTGACTCCCTGACTGCCGGCAATTGAACTCTTCTCAAACCCAGCCGAAGGGCAACGTACACCAAGACCAGGAATGATGCGTCAGCTCCCGTTTGCGCTACAATCCTCCTCGCAAACACGAGCTGTTGAGCAATCAAATCCATTGGGAAATTAAACAACAACACAATGTCAACGACCTGTTCTGTTTGGGACAGCTTCTCGCATCGCATGCCGCCCGCATGCAGCCTTCAACTTTCGACCAATTGAGAAACCGATGGCCCGCTGTGGCTCGCTGGCTTTGTTGGAAGATGGCGGTCGCCCAGGAGGGGTCGCCGGCGCTAATCCTATCAGAGTTAGTCCAGGAACACGACAGCTCTGAAACTCCCGCCGGGGCTGTGTCTTGGCCAGGCCAGGCCCGTCGGTTTTGCCATAAGAGACGAGGATAACTGCGACACCGACAATGACTTTCACTCGCTAATCCTCATGAACCCTCGCCTTCTCATCGAAATCCAGAAGTTGATCGGAGGGAAGCTTCCGCAGTGCACAACAGGCCCGGCCTGGGGCTAACCATCATCAAACTCCACCCTGATTTAACTCGTCCCGTTTCAGGACCAGGAGATGGCGGCCGGATTGGCGCACCACACTGAGACAGAATCATCACATCGCATTTACGCGCATCCCGTAGCGCCACTCGCTCATGAACAAGGGCCTCGTCGGCTCGTCCTGCTTCTTTTCCCCCATTTGTGAGAATAGTTTTGGCTTGGGCGGCAATGAAGTGCCAGTTCGAGAAGGCCCGGAGGTTCAACACCAGACCCAATCGAGAAATTCGAGATCGGGCTCAGTAGTGAGTTCGGAAGGAGCCGATTCCCATCAAGACGGGAGCAGCCAAGATCGGGAAATTCTTGATTCCCGCTTGATAAACCTTGCATCGTAACGTCGGGTCCAAGGTCTATCTTCGTTGGCCCGGCCCAACTTTCTCTGCCGCATCCAGTGATCTTGCTGGGAAGCACGTCCAGCATGAAGGTTGAGTATTACGTAATGCAGGTAGCCAAGATCCAGCTCTCTTGGCGGCCCCGCGATCTTCCCCGCAATTTCTCCAAGAGGCTCGATGAAATCGTGAAATCGCAACCGCTGCCGCAACTTCACAACAATGTCGCAAAGCTTTAATCAACTTCCCGAGGAACTCCAGCTGGCCACGTCAGCTCACGTCAAATGCATCCAAAGTTTGGATTCGAGGAAAGATGAATATGACTACTGGCTAACGGAACACCTCCGACTCAACGGGCTGTACTGGGGACTGACAGCCCTGCACCTCCTGGGCAAACCCGACGCCCTGCCTCGCGCCGAGACCATCGACTTTGTGCTCTCATGTCAGCACGAAAGTGGCGGCTTTGGCGCTGCGCCCGGCCATGATGCGCACATGCTCTCCACCGTCAGTGCGGTACAAATCCTTGCCACGGTCGACGCCTTTGACGAACTGGAGACGCGAGGGAAGGGCAAGGCACAGGTGGGGCAGTGTGCGTCTCCCGGCATAGCGTGATGAGAGTAGGAGTCTGCGTACTGACTTGATCAGATATCGCCAACCTCCAAAACCGTGAAACCGGTACATTCGCCGGCGATGAGTGGGGGGAGGAAGACACCCGGTTCCTCTACGGCGCTTTCAATGCGCTGTCGCTCCTCGGGCTTCTCGATCTCGTCGATGTCGATAAGGCTGTCAACCACGTTGCGGCATGTGCCAACTTTGACGGTGGATATGGCGTGAGCCCAGGTGCTGAGTCCCATTCTGGGCAGATATTTACATGCGTCGCCGCCTTGACAATCGCCGGCAGGCAGGATCTCGTGGACAAAGAGCGGCTTGGGCGGTGGCTGAGCGAAAGGCAGATTGCCGGCGGCGGTCTTAACGGCCGGCCGGAGAAAAAGGAGGACGTGTGCTACAGCTGGTGGGTTTTGAGCAGCCTGGAGATGATCGGCAAGACACACTGGATCGATAAAGACCAGCTGGCCGCCTTCATCCTACGCTGCCAAGACCCCGAGCGAGGCGGCATCTCGGATAGGCCCGGTGACATGGTCGATGTCTGGCACACCGTGTTCGGGCTCGCGGGGCTGAGCTTGCTCCAATATCCTGGGCTACAGCCCGTTGACGAGGTTTACTGCATGCCCAAGTCGACAACGGCGCGGGTGTTAGGCTGATGAGTAACAACTCAAGTTCTTTACCGCCCGATATCCATGCCCGTTGTCTCGTTTACTCCAGGTGACTTAAAATGTAACACACCTCCCACCTCATCCACCTCTTGCCGTCTATTACCTCCCAACAGTACTCCAGGCGTTGGGTAGGAAACAAACCGAGAGAACATAAATTCCCACTGGTTCCTTACCATTCCTAGCTATCGTACACTTACCAGCATGGAGTTGGTATGATATGGCCTTACCATGGCCGCCATGGTACGTGGAACAAGAAGCGCCCCTGCCCTCGTTTCGGACGAGGAGTAGCAACTCTTCAAGCATGAGCCAGATGAATTGCCTTCTGCCGAACCACTTGTGGAAAAGAATATTGGAGTTGCCCGGCATTCTTTGAAGTCATGTGGCACATGGGTCGTAATTAACGTTGAGACATACATACATAAGCCAATGAGTTGGGTCCAATGCCCTTTGTAAAAGCCGGTCGTGTCCTCAATGAGCTTCACACAGCTAGATTATGGAACTCGGCCTAGGTTGCTTGACACTATCACATAGCCTATTTCATCGAGACTCAATATAACAACATGTAAGATAGGTACTGCTCCTATCCGGGGTCAATTATCCCCCCTCTATTTCAATCCTTTGTGTAACTCTTAATACTTAATCTCTGATAACCACCATTTCAGTTTCTTCAGCCTTCTCGCAGACAGATATTACTGTGATCGTCCCCAATCCAATCCCGGCACTCGGCCGCTGGCCAGACATGGGGCTTGTTAGTTGGTCCGGACTTTACTCGAGCGTTTAATCGGATTCTTTCCCATCACATGCTAGACTATGGGATCTTTCTTTCGAATGAGGGGTACGCGCGTGGGCCTTTGGTTTTGTTTTCGCAAATCGAATCGCGTGGGAAGTGAAGTTCTTTACGTCTTCTCCTACCGGTTACGGTCTACTTGCTAAACTTTGGAACAACCTTGCCCCCAATACTTCCAAAACTCGCTGAGCAACTCTGAGCTATGATTCAAGGCAAATGGAATCTCTTCCTCTTTTCCGATACTCGTCACTCTAAAAGCACTTCCCATATTTCCCCTCTCCATTAGACCCGAGAAACACCCGCCCCGAGGCTTCCCTCGTCGCAAGGTCGCTATCTCGTCTTCGTCTTCAACCCTCTGCCACTCGACACTCCGCACCACTTCAAGAAATTCCTTTTTCTAACATCGCCTCTGACCGTCAACAGAACGCATGATTCATGCTTGGGGTGTATCCGTTTGCATCATTTGGATCCGGTCGCCAGTCACGGCGGAATCCCGAGCTGCAACCTCGAGCACCACTTTGCACGATTCATCAATTCATCGATCTTGAGGGCTGCGGCGAAGTCATCTATGCTCTCAAGATTTTCTGCGCTTCTCGCCGATTCAAATGCTACCCAGGTAAGAGAAGAGAAACCGAGCCGGATTTCTACAGTGCGTTATCTTCAGTTCCAGCCTGTTCCTTCCCTCTTGATTCTCAATTCCACTACCTATCCTAAGGCACCCGCATCTCATTGGAATGCACACCTAACCTGTCTACCAGCAGCTCCTTCCTTCCACGACGACTCTCCAGGTGACGTCCATGGAGATTGCGAGTCCTGTGGTCGCTTCCGATTTTGTCCCAGCCACACGCCATCGTCCCTTCTTCCAACACATCTTCTCTCGTTCAGGTTTTCCCTCGGATTTCTGTTTGAGCTGCGACTGCATTACCATCAGTCCCTAAATTGGCGTCCGGAGCCCAGATCTTGGGGTCAATGCAGGACCCGGCAGACCCGCGATATCTGTTGCATTTCAGATCACATCAGTTCTTCGTCCTGCCTGGCTCAGAGGTTTGAGGAGTCAGTTGTTGGACACCTATCCACCGCTCCTTACTTTATACCACACCACCACCCATCGCATCCCCATATCTCCCATCCCGGAATTCTAGGTCTCTCCTGCCTTCAAGACTGGAATCACGTTGTGATCTCAGCCTCTCCACTGGACTCCGTTCCCTCATCGTCAAGCTATTTTGCGGTTGGCCCTGCCAACATAGCCGCATCCACCTATCTGTAAGTTACCCCCAGACCAAGCCTGGTCACTGATACCTGCATTGGAAAACCCTAACAGACACTGACTGCTAGAAGATCATGGCTGCGGTCGCCCCCATGGATCTGGTTGTGAGGAACGACCCTGCCTCCATTCCCCTCCGATGCACACTCTGTCCCAAGAAGCCCGGCTTTTCAGATCTCTCCCATCTTCTTACCCACATCTCGTCAAAGAGCCACCTCGCCCACCGCTTCAAGGCCGAACTGAAAGCACGCGACGACCGGGTAGCTCTAGATGAGGTCCGGCAGTATGATAATTGGTGCGAGCAGTATGGAATCAACGCTCTTCTTGCGGAACGCATGGCTGCCAAGGAGCAAAAGAAGACGGGCAGAAGGGGAAGACAATCAAATTCAGCTGTAAGTCCAACTGCTGTATACGGATAAACCCAGGAACTGTAGGCTTACACCGGACTACAGAGCAACAAGTCCGATGCTGCTGCCAGCCTCGACCAGGACCTAGTGAAGCCCGACCCTGACGAATACATCGACCCTCTGGCAGCCGCCGGTCACTGGGCCACGTTACCTGGCCATTTCCAGGATGGTCATCATGGCCATTTTGACAACTCGAACTACCCGACCCCGTTTCTGAAGCGTTCTCGGTCCGATCTCTCGGTTCCCAGCACCCCGGAGAACGACACGCGTGCCAAGTATTATCGGAGGTGGCCCTCGGAGGCCGAAACCGCGGACAGTGTCCCTGTTTCCGACCTTCCGTCAGAGAGCACCGAGTTTGACGACGAAAATGATGCCAGCAAGTTGAAGGGCGTAAGATACCCCGGAATGGGCCTCTTCGACTCGGCAGATGAGATTCAGAAGAGGATGCGCAACCAGCGAAAGGACGATTCTGTTTTGAAACAGATGGAGGAGACATCATCGGGGATTGTCCCCAATGAGTTTGTATGGGCGGAAGACGGCGAGTTCCAGCGCATCCGCGATATCTACGCTACCCCGTCGATCGAGGGAAGCCCAGTGAGTCACGCTCCAAGACACACAGCGTCGTACTGCCTTCGGTTGAGGACCCAGCTCTGACACCTATCGCTATCTAGGACCGCAAATTCGAGGACTGCGATGCTCCAAAGCCAAAACGGGGCCGCCGTTCTGCTGCAGCCGTGGCATCGGGGACGGTCCGCACGCGAGCCTCGGCTAGACTGACTCGACAGACGACATCCCGAAGCCGGCGCACCCGACATGATGACAATGTGGAAGTCTCTGGTTCTGTTGATAGCTATGACATCTTCCGTGATCCGCCGAAGCATAGTGCCGGTAAGGAGACACCCGCCACGGTACTGAAATTGGCGCTAATGGTTTGTAGCCCAGGCCGAGAGCTCACCCAGGGACTCTGGGTAAGTCCTGCTTTGTGTGGTAGACTTCCTCTTCTCACCTGCTGCAGGTTTGAACTCCGCCGCCGTCCTGCCCTTCAGTCCCTGAACTCGAACCTGTCATTAACATCGGCAACGCAAAAGCCCACCAAACCCGTCTCGTACGTCTCCGCTCAAGAGTCCAGCACATCGTTGTTTACGTCTCAACCCCCCTCTTCCACCAGCAACTATTTTCAGCAGCAAACCATGGGGGCCGGCACGTTCAACCCCTTATGCGTACAGGGTAGAGGCGGATACTACAACCCCTACGGCTTCCCAAGCTTCGGCAACGAGACTAAGCCGCCCGCGACGAACTTTCAGGCAATCAATGCCATGAACTTGGGCAACATGTCGTTTAATGCCTTCGGTGGACCTTTCGCTTCAGACTCGGCACATGGGGGGGTTGACCAAGAATTTGACCTGTGATTCGGGAACCGGCATCGCCGTGTCGTTCATAGTTGAGATGGGCCATTTTTACATCTCACTGTGTGTGTAATCTTACGGGAACAAAAGTTGCTACTTGGCTCGGAAGTGCTTGGGCCGATAGTTATGACTCAACCGCAATTTTCTTTTTCCTGCATCGGCGGAATGGGAGCGCTTCCGGTGCGATATTGGTCGCAAATGGTCAGGTTATTGACCACAACATGGAGGGGAGGGGAACAAGGGGACAAGGGATATGGCCCTAGGAAGCAGATCTTTTTGATTCGTTATCCCCATCTTCTACATATTCGCATGGCGTGCAAGGACTCGGGACCACCATTATTAATTGGTCGTATTTAGCACGGGACCTTGGTCGATAGCTGGCTACAGAGTTAATCACATATCTTGACTTTGCCCTAATACGGAGGCCTTGGTTGTGCTACGGTCGTGACTGGCCCGACGAAACAGCGAAGCAGGATAGGATCCACATATATCAGCCAACTGACTTGATACCATCGGGCTGGGTGACATCGAGAAATAACTGACGAATATTCATTATAGGACTGAGCCGGGTCATGTCATAATATTACTACTCGCCATGTATTCGGCTAGACCGAGCAATGGTAACAAACACACATACAGATCCCGTACAGACAAACGACTAGGTAGGTAGCTAAAATTGTCTGCCAACCCCCTACAACTCTGTCGAAAGTAACTCCCTGCCTACAGCTGCTCAATACTCGACACCAGATGCTCCAGCTGGTCCTCCCCATCACCACCACCTCCGCCGCCACCACCGGCAACAACATCCTCCAGCAGGCGCACCGCTCCCCGGAGCCGCCGCGCCTTGACGCCCTCCTCCATCTCGCGCGACTTGCGCGCCGCCACGTCCAGCACCCGCCGCGGGATCCGCGCCAGCCGCGCCACGTTGAGCCCGTACGACCGGTGTGCCACCCCGTCGGCGACTTCGTACAGGAACGTGATCTCCTCGTCACCGACCCCCTCTTCTCCGTCCGCATCCTCGTTTCCATCGCCATCGGCATCGCCGTCCCCGCGGGGGGGCAGGAGGCGGTCGTTCTCGCCGGGGCTGGCGGCCTCGAAGCGCATGTGGACGCAGCGGACGGCGCCCCCCAGCCCCTCGGCGACGCGGGCGAGGCTCTGGTAGTGGGTGATGAAGAGGGTCAGGCAGCGGGTCTCGCGGGCGACGTGGGCGAGGACGGCGTGGGCGATGGCGGCGCCGTCGTGCGTCGACGTGCCGCGGCCCAGCTCGTCCAGCACGACGAGCGATCGTGCCGTTGCGCCGCGTAAAATCGCCGCCGTCTCCGACACCTCCACCATGAAGGTGCTCTCGCCCGCGAACAGGTTGTCGCGCGCCCCCATCCGCGTGTAGATGGCGTCCGTGAGGGTCAGGGACATGGCCTCGGCCGGCACGTACGATCCGATTTGTGCTAGGAGCACGAGCAGCGCGACGGCGCGGACGTAGCTGGATTTGCCGCCCATGTTGGGCCCCGTGATGAGCTGGGCGAGCGGCGAGGGGGAGGCCAGGGAGGTGGTGAAGGGGATGTAGCCGTCGGGGAGGGTGTGTTCGGCGATGGGGTGACGGCCGGACGTGATGGAGATGGTGGGCGGGGTCGGAGTGGGCAGGAAAGTTGGTTTGGAATAGCCCGGGAGGGCGGCGACTTGGGCGAGGGAGAGGAGGCAGTCGAGGGTGGCTAGCGAGGCGACGGCATCGCGGAGGGGCTGGTACTCGGCGGCGATGGACTTGAGGAGGTCTGTGAAGGCGGTGTCGCAGGCCGCGGCGAGGGCTTCCTTGTGCTGGTCCCGCTCGTTCATCAGGCGCATTACTTCGGGGGTATGGAAGCGGGATAGCTTTTTGGTGCCACTGATCTTGGCCCACGAGGCGGGTACGTGTTTCAGGTCCGTGTTGGGGACCTCGATCAGGTACTCAATGCCGGACACGGTGACATAGGTAACGGGGGTCTTCTTGGATAACTTCGCGGCGGCGTCCTTGCGGTGGACATCCAAATCCGATTCGACGGCAGCGATACCCAGCTTGTGGTTGGTGATATCATCAGTCTCCTCATCATCGCGGAAGAAGGTATATTTGTCATCTTTCCTCGCGGCTTCGGGGTTGATCTTGTCGAGGTATGCGCTAACGATTGTCCCTATTCCCGGCAGAGAGCAAATTGCTTCGACGATCAGGGGTGAGCTGAAGCCCGTATCCTCCGGCGTCTTCACCCTAGAGAATTCGATAGAGATCCGTTGGAGGATTTGTAGGGTCGAGAGGAGTTCCGGGCGGGTGCATTTCCCGTAGTAGATGCGGATCAGGCTCCGTTCGAGATCGGCCTTGATCGAGTTGAGCAAGCCGCCTAGCTTATCGACCTTGATGGTGGATTGGTGTTCGAGCAGCTCCTCGACGGCGGCGACTCGCTCCTCCAGCCGTCCTTGATCTAGCAACGGGCGGCCGATCCATTTCCTCAGCAGTCTCCGGCCGGGGCGAGTCCGTGTCTTGTCCAACGCCCACAGCAGGCTTCCCTTTTCGGACTGGTCTGTTGCGTTCCTGTAGATCTCCAGGCTCTCCAACGTGGTACCGTTGATCAACATATGCTGTCGCGTGCTGAACGATTGAAAGTACTTGGTCAGGTCGAAGATGTGTTCCAAGCCGTACTCGGTCAGATGGGTGATCATGGCCGACAGGCATATCGTCACAGACTCCGGCAGTTTCAAAACCTTGTCGAGGAGGGTTGACGAGCGTTCGTCGTCGCCTTTGGCCTTGCCAGCATAGAACTGAGTGACGTGCGAACAAGCTTCGGCAGCCATCGTCTTGCTCTTTGGCACCCTCTCCACACGGCTCCTGTCCCCAAAGACGTTGGTGCTACTGCCGGCGAGATGCTGGACTAGCTTGTCGGTGGCTTTAGAAAGCTCACCCACCACAAGAAGCTCGCACGGGGAGATATGTAGCAGACGCGTCTCAATCTCACGCCTCATAAAGCCGTCTTCAAAATCGTCGTAGATGATGTCGCCTGTCGCAGGCTGCACCGCGATGACGCCGATATGGACGTTTTCGTCCGCCCCCAGACCCTTTGCCGGCGACTCGGTCAGGCAGAGCAAGTAGCCTCCTGCGGAAGCGCCAGTGCCTTCTCCGGACTGGTCAAGCTCTCCTGTTTCGTCGATGTAGGTCCCCTTGGTGTAGATATTGGTGAGCTTCCGGACAAACGGTGCATTCCGGTTATCGCCGGCTTTTTTCAGCGCTGCCGTCTCCAACTGGCGAACGACACCAACTTTATGCCCCGCGGCAACAAGACGTTTGACATGAACACTCAATCGATGAACGGGTATGCTGGCCGAGGCAAAGCGGTCGATATGGGCTTCTGATGGGTCTTCTCAGCCGTTAGTATGCACCCAAGGGAGACAAAGGGTGGGAACAGCGCACGCTCATCGTATCTGAATTTGCCGGGGATGCAAACGATGCTGAGTTCCTTGGCCGCAATCCGGGCGTCCTCGCCAAAGAACCTAAACTTGTAGCCAACCTCAACCACCAAAACGGTATCCATGTGCTTCCTCTTGATATCGAGGAATTGAACCTCCATGGGGGTGAGCTTGCCAGTCTTGGCGCCCTTCTTCTTGGTTTTTGTTGGCGGAGGGGTCTCGTCCTCCTCAGCGTCGCCGCCTTCCTCTTCGCCCTCTCCATCCACGCCAGTGTTTTCACTTTGGCCAAGGAGCTCGCGTCTCCTGAGCGAGAGCAGGCTGTCGGGGTGACCGAGCTTCTTGACGAATTTTCTATGCAGCTCCTCCTTCTTCCGCTTCGACGCCGCGTCCTCGTCCCCACTGAGCGCAGACAAATCCGAGGCGGGGCGGTCTACATTATAAGTGTACCGCTCGGTCCGAGACGATGAGCTTGGGGGTTCGGCAATGGAAGTGTGGTCTGGTGATGCCTTCACGGGCGCGTTGGAGATTTCGTCAGAGTCGTCATCGTCCAAAACCGACCTTGCACGCTTTGCTGAGCGACTCGATCTTCCGTTTCCATTGCCAGTGTTGTCTTGCAAAGGCCGTTTCCGGGTGGAATCCGAGACGGACAAATTTATCGACAAAGACTTGTCCTTCCCCTTCCCCTGCCCGATAGTCTTTTCCGTGTTTTCTTCCTCGTCCTCGTCGTTCTTGTTCTTGTTTGTGGCCGAGCCTCCACCGGGAGACCTTGCCTGCTTCTTGCTTAATCCATTGGCGGTGAAAAAGCTGGTCAGCGAGGCCTGTTTCTTCCCAGGAGTTCGAGAGGGGCCTGCCATGGCGTCGTGGTAAATTCCGACGTTGGGTTTGTCGATGTCACGCGTAGTGCTTCAGACGCGGCGAGGCGGCGTGGTGGCGTGGCGGCCCACTCACTACTGAGCTGCTGGGTTGGCACTGTTGGATCCCCTAAAATTTGGAGACGCGCCATGAGCGCGTCTCCTGATTGAGTGGTTGCATGCGGGGACACGTGACATGCTCCAACGCCAAGTTCCTGGTTCGTCCCCATTTTTGAGAAACCAATTCTCCCCCTTTCCCATGGGGTTTTGTTGCAACTCTGGAGTTCTGGACTCTGGGGATTCTGGAGATTCTGGGGATTCTGGGACGGATACCCAACGAGATGGATCAATGCTGCTGACCAGCCTCCATTGGCCCACGACAAAGAGACCACCGCTCCCTGTCGGCTCTTCGGGGCGCATCTCGCGAAGGCCAATCCTTCGGGATTTTTGAAGGGCGACATGCTTTTCAGCTGGTCGACGGTTTTTTGACTTCTCTTCCGACAGGATGCCGCTCCATTCCCAGAGGCGGAGCTCGAAGGGATCGTGGCTACACCAAGCAACCCTACCGTGGTATGGAGTCACTGGAGTGCACTCGCAGAGTCACACGCAGGACCTGGCGAGACCTCCGTCCCGTCCTGAGGCCCCGCAATCATATGCTAACGGCATCCTTGCAATGTTGTCTGCCTGTGCAATGCAACACAACTTCCCGGTTGAGACGCCAGAGAGCCTTCGTCGTCTTTGGCGCCGTCCTGGGCGAGCTCCATCTTCCGGATCCGGGGAGATGGAAAAGCGCCCTTCAGGACCTTTTGAGAGCCAACAGAGAGTGGCCAACATCCACACTCGCGTGGAAAGTCACCCGACGATGCGGAGCAGAGTCACGACTGTGGGAACTGGGCAGCTGAGACGGTTGAATCCTGTTGGCGCTTCGTGATGAGGTCTTCCCGTTCGTCTGTTCAGAGTCGCGGCCCGGTGAGGGGAGAAGCGCCAATGAGTGTCCGAGTGTCCGAGTGTCCCGTTTGCGCTTTCCGTCGTTGCAGCATCGAAAATGCTCACAGGCTCGCTGCACTGAGTTGCCCTCTGTGGCCACTTGCTGCATGACTGTTTTGAGAAAGAGCAAGTCACTCACACCTTCCAGATGCCAGCAAACTTGCCCTTCTCGGTTGACAGCTCGACCTCTCCTTCCCGCATCCTTCGAACTCCAGTTTTTTTCTTCCATGCGTCAAACTGTGGGCTGTCAAGCACCGATGCCTGGGCCCGATCTCATCTTCCCACCTTACCCAAGATTTGTCCCCAAAACATTCAGCCGCAGCCCTATTATCCCGGGTTGCCAGCCGATGCCCAGAGATCAAGCATGATCATGAGGAGGATCCGAAATCCAGACCCGCAGTCGTCAGCTTGGCGAAAAGGAAGAAAACAGAAGCGTCATGAGATCAGGTGTCGCCTCGGCAGAGCGCGCCTGGCCAGATCCACCAGCCCGGCCCCGATGCCTTCCGAATCAGCTAACATATCCCCTTTGAGGCATGGAGATGTCCGAGGACACCCTAGAACTCTGCAGGCTGAGTTCGAGCTGGGCCTGAGAGCTCGGTCCAGGAGTCCAGCTCGCGCCAGCCACCCTTGTCCTCTCAACAGCCGAGATTTTTAGGCTAAATGTACGCCAAGACGGGTAATGCGATGTTCGCAAACCTTCGCAGCAAAGACCTTCGCCGGCCTCGTCTGTGAGAGGCCAGACGAGGGGAGCCGCATGCAGGGAACGGCAGCCCGCAAGACTCGGGTTAGCGTCGTCGCTTCCCCCCGAACACACCCCAAGATTGGCTAGCGCAACGGCCCCGCTCCCCTTCTCGAAGCCTGGTGAACGAGGGAACCCGCCAGTCACCCGCCGTCGCCCGCATGAGACCGGCCCCACACATCGCCGGCTGGTAGTCGAGAGCGGGCCAAGGACTCGACCGCGAGCAACTGGGAGCCCCGGATTAACGGGGACGTTTCCTGTCACCCAATCATTTTCTCTCGACCGCGAGCTCATCCACTTCGCCCACGCTTTCTCCCCCGTCGGTTCACAGGTCGACGAGCGTTTCAACGGCGCATGTGGCGTCCTTTTGGTGCCCTTCTTCGAGTCCTTGGAGTGCTTGGGCACGCCGGCTGACCGGTCATCCCCGTCCCTGGTTTTTGGCTGATTTCCTCGATCCCCGATGCTTGGCGTTCCCATCGCCGAGGCGCCCCCCATCTTTCCGGACGCCTGGTGGGTGTGCCTTTTTGTTCCTGTTTCCAGCCGCCGGGTCATGCCCAGCAACGCGATGCCCGTTTGGCGCTCTGGTGTGTGTCTGTTCATATCGATATGCATGCCATCATGCAACTCCGAGGTACCTCATCTACTTGCCACGGCACACGGCATCAACCCCCTGAGACCTCCCTCTCCCCCCTGGTCAGCGCCCAGAGACACCCCACTACTTCGTACATACGGTGGATAACCTTCCATGACAATTGGATCGCGCACCAATGCCTTTCATGTGCCATGCCCTGGGCGCTCAAGCAAGCGCAAGCAGAGCATTCCACCGTGCTCCCCACCGTGGTCGTGAAGTCCCTTGCTATGCTCACCGCCGCCGCTCCCAGGCCTCGAGATCGGGTATGTCGTTATCGCCTCAACCGTTTAAACAAGCGCGCCACTTTGATGAATGCATGCAAAACGCCCATATCGGTCCGCTTCCACCGTCAGCGCATTTGTTGGCTTCCAGTGGCTGCGGGATGCCCTGCTCTCATTTGTTCAGGACTCTCGCTTGTCCTGCCGAACCAGCAAACCAACGCAAAACCGGTCCGATCGCCCCTTCTAGGGTGTCCCTCGTGGCCAAGGCCAGCCAAGTCTCGGCAGGGAAAATGCTGTGGGAGTCCCGCGAGATGGGGTGAACTGTGGGGTGACGAGGGTGACTTCGGTGCGGGGGACGCAAAAAGTTGGGGAAAAGTTTGGAGAGAATCTGGGGCCTGTTCGCCAGGTACGACGTTCCTTCTGTGGGCTCGCCTCTGCCTCCCATGCGCCAGCTTCGAGAGGTCTGGAACGCTGGAACGCTGTGGCGGCTGGCACCGACAAGCAGGTCTGAGTGATGAAAGGATGTGCTTCTTGGCCATGTCCATTCCTGCCTCGATGACACCGGTGATGCCGCCGGTGTCTCATCGTCCCACATCAGCATGGTTCTCGTCGCGCAATATCAGTGAGCCCCCTCGAGAGGAGGAGGGGGCCACGATCCTCGACGACGAGCCTGGCTGTCAATCTGCTGCCGCACCGCTCCGTCCCGGCCTCGCAACTCATGGATGGGTGTGTACTAGTGTACTTGTGTATACATGGTATACATGTCGAGGACCCCAGCTATTTACAGAAGTGGATATCCCGTAGCGTGGTGTCTCACGGAGGTGCAGAGATTGGTTAAGCTTCGCTGCAGTCGGTCTAGTCCCCCTTCCTCCCTCGTCACCCTAGCCGCCCGTGGTCGCCTCCCCCAGTCGCTTGCACGGTCCGGTTGTCCGTCTGGCGGCCCTTCCCCATACCCCAGAGTTGCTCCTCGTGCCCTCATGTCTTTATAAACCTAGCATCCCTCCGCCGATCAGATGGTCCCCTCCTTCTTACCTCCTCGTCACGGGTCCAAGGAGACGGGTCACCTTCATCGCCAACACCTCACCCGACAGCCATTGAAACACCACACCCGGCAAGCTCGACAAGATGGGTATCCTCGAGTTCAACAAGAAGAAGCCCGGCGCTGATGCGCTGGCCGTCGCCCAGGAGGAGGCGCCCGAGTTCGAGAAGGTCCAGTGGACCAAGGATCCCGGCCTCCGAAAGCTCTACTTCTATGCCTTCGTCTTGTGTATTGCGTCCGCGACCACTGGTTACGATGGGTGAGTTGGCCCCGCACCGGGACGCGCAGCTAGGGTTGCAATGCGCTGACTGGGACTTCAGCATGTTCTTCGGTTCCGTCCAGAACTTCGAAACCTGGAAGTTGTACTTCGGTGACCCGCAGGGCTCCTTGCTCGGCCTCATCGGTGCCCTCTACCAGATTGGTAGCTTGGTTTCCATCCCTCTCGTGTAAGTGGTAACTAGATTGAGTCTGGGCTCCGGGGGGCAGTATCTTGTGACGAGGTAGCTGACTCTTTCTTTTCTCCAGCCCCATCATGGCCGATCGTGTTGGCCGTAAGCTCCCCATCGCCATCGGGTGTGTCATCATGATTGTCGGCGCCGTTCTGCAGGCTGCTTGCCAGAACCTGGGTACCTTCATGGGTGGTCGTGTGCTGCTCGGTTTCGGCAACTCGCTTGCTCAGATTTGCTCCCCCATGCTTCTCACCGAGATTGCCCACCCCCAGCATCGTGGACGTCTCACAACCGTCTACAACTGCCTCTGGAACGTCGGTGCCCTGACCGTGGCCTGGATCTCGTTCGGCACCAACTTCGTCCAGAACGACTGGTCCTGGCGCATTCCGGCCTTGCTCCAGGCCGTCCCCTCCGTCGTCCAATTGGCCTTCATCTTCTGGGTGCCCGAGTCGCCCCGTTACCTGATGGCCAAGGACAAGCACGAGAAGGCCCTCCAGATGCTCGCCAAGTACCACGCCAACGGCGACGTGAACAACGCCACCGTCCAGTTCGAGTACCGCGAAATCAAGGAGACGATCCGCCTCGAGTTCGAGTTCTCAAAGACCAGCAGCTACCTTGACTTCTTCAAGACCAGGGGCAACCGCTACCGCTTCTTCGTCCTCATCTCTCTGGGTATCTTCTCGCAGTGGTCGGGTAACGCCATCATTTCCAACTACTCCAGCAAGCTGTACGACAGTGCCGGTATCACGAACTCGACTCAGAAGCTCGGCCTTTCGGCTGGCCAGATGTGCCTCGCCCTCATCATTTCTATCACCATGGCTTTGCTCGTCGACAAGGTCGGCCGCCGGCCCATCTTCCTGGTTTCCACGGGCGGCATGTTCTGCACATTCGTCTTCTGGACCCTCACCTCTGGCCTCTACGACGAGCACGACGCTCCCGGCTCCAACTACGGTATGATCTTCTTCATCTGGGTCCACGGCGTCTTCTACTCGCTCGCGTGGTCCGGTCTGCTCGTCGGCTATGCCATCGAGATTCTGCCGTACAAGCTCCGTGCCAAGGGCCTCATGGTCATGAACTTGACTGTTCAGTGCGCCCTCACCCTCAACACCTACGCCAACCCTCTCGCTTTCGACCACTTCGAGGGCCACACCTGGAGGCTCTACATCATCTACACTGTAAGCTCTACTCCCAAAACACGTATTGGCCTCGGGAATCGTTTGCTAACTCATTCACCCTCTACAGTGCTGGCTGTTCCTCGAACTCTCATTCGTCTTCAAGATGTACATCGAGACCAAGGGCCCCACCCTCGAAGAGCTCGTCAAGATCATCGATGGCGACGAGGCCGCCGTCGCTCACGTCGACATCCACCAGGTCGAGAAGGAGACGCACATCGGCGAGGACAAGTCCGTCTAGAGGGTTGGCTTATTCTCCGGTGTTGGTTGATCCTTTCCGTCGACAGGTTGGCTTGGTTGTTTGGCTTGGTTGCGTGCGAGTTGCGCAATGTGTTTAAAAATTCCCCCATATGCTCTTTTATTAGGTATATTCTTGTTGCCCAAGCGAAAGACTCGTCTTCTGACTTCAACCCTGCTGTCCACGTTTTGGGTGACTTGTCTCTTGTGTTCTGCTGACGACCATGGCCCGAGAAGGTCATGCCGTGTCTGCATGGTGCTTACTGGCCGCTCCCGAATTCGGGGCCAGCGACAGGATCGTCTGGGATTACGCCGGGCAAGTTTGGGACTACGTAACCCTGGTTAAGACATCGCTTGGGATTGATTAGGGGGTGGGAGCTGGCGAGGACGTCCGGTACTCGCCGTGTGTAATTTCTCGGGTTACATGGCGGGCTGTTCTTAATTTGTGAAGGAGACACCCTGGGATGCCACTTTCTCGGTCTCGGAACACGCTAAAACGCGCGGCTTTGTGACAGTGACCAAGACTGAGCGGCCGTCTCACCCTTACTAGCGTGTTTCTCTTGCTGCTTGTGGGTTGATCGATCCCGAGAACGGCAAAAGTCACGAAAAGGTACGTACCCATGTACAAAGTTCGCTACCCGGAGAAGAGACCAAGCTTTTGAATTTATCCAAGGTGTGGTGTCCGCGGCGCTGGGTCCGGGACCGGGCCTCAGCGAAGCCTCTTTTCATCACCCTTCTTCACCTTGGCTAAAAACCCACAAGACTGCGCCGGGACCGCGCAGCAAATCGGGGTACCCGCGCGGAGAGACTCCACCGTCCCCGGGCCCCATGTGTTTTGTTCGGCGTGGATCGACTAATGATTGTCGGGGGGTTCGCGATCGCCGTTCTCCTGAACGGGTGGATGGATGGAAGAGGTGAAGATCGAAGAGCGGACCTTGCCCCTCTCCCCCTGATTCGGACGGACGCCCGTTTTGGACGATTTCGCTACGCGGACATGTAAGCTGTACGAAGGAGGATGTATGTACATGTACATCCAATCATCCCGAGCCCGTCCCGGGTAACTTGTGAGAAACAGGATTGCATCGGCTGGTTAGAGGGGAGGCCGTCCAGGCCCGGATGGCGGGATGTTGGGCGGATTTCTACTTGTAGAGGGCAAGAATAAATTGATGGCGAACTTGGACCGTTCGCTGCGCCAAGGCTACCAAGAAGTGGTATCCGTCGAAGCGGTCCGAAAAGATTTGTCACGGACCCGTCTCCAAAGGTTATCTATCTATCCGCCCACCACAGTATACCTCCATAGTCTGGATGGACATGCGTCTCGTTGGACATGGTTTGGAAGCTTGGCTCGTATCGCCTCCCGTGCTGGGTACTTGATGGCGCCACGACGAACGAAACGAACGAGAAGAGGCAAGGAATGGGTCTTTGCGGCCCACCAGGCCAGAAGGTCTGGATGTCTTTCCAAACGTTCAGCTGAGACGACATGGGTGGCAAACGGCCTCGCTTGAGATCCCGCTCAGTGGCACAGTGGTCAGGCGATGATCGCAAGAGAGGAATGGGTGCTCCGTCGCTCTCCACCACAACGCCTTTCTTCCAGCGGCAAAATGCCACAGATCCGCCCTGCCGCTTGGCCCGGCCACTCACCACCGAGCAACGCGCGGCTGGATCCGTCCAAAACGGCCAACTATCTGTTGGTCTGGATCGGGATATTCCAGGACAAGAGATACTATGCGAGTACATGCGACGTGCTTCCCCAATAGTCGGGTGCGTGTGTCGTATCGTGCACCTTGGCAGGAACCTCCACAACTCTCCTTGGGTCATGCCCCAATGTTTCTCCCGGTCTCCGTTGCCGCTGAGATCCTCCGGACGGCTGGAAGGTCTCGATTCGCATGGTGGTGGTGCGCAACCGTTGGCTGCATGAGGAGCATGGGTGTGGACATGTCACCACGTCCAGCCCAACACCATCGCACCAGACCACACCAGGCCACACCAGACCACTATAGGGGAGCGGCGATGATCCACAGTAATACCGAGTTCACGTCCATCGGTCCCGGTTCCGCGCTCTTCCCGTGAAGAACCATCATGATTCTTCAATAAAGTGCGTCTTTTTCGCGCGCCATACACTGAGCAGCGGCAGCAGCATTGCACAACCCGTCCTGCAAGGCACTCCTCTCTCGCCTCCGTATCATGCTCACACTCGCTTCCAACAGCGGCTCAATCCTCTCTGTTGTGCTCGGCGATGTGAGCGGCAACGCATGCGGGCAGAAACAAGAACGAGGGCGAAATTTGACCCGGAGACGGGCTGCTCGGAGGGCGGAATTAGCCGGGTAGACCTCTCAAGCGCTCAGCTCATCCCCGCGTCTTCGAAGCGAGGGTGTGGGAGGCGAGATGACAGGAACTCTCACGGAGCTGATGAGGAAGCAAACTTGAAATGGGCGTCAGGTAGAAGTGATGAACACCGCAAAAATATCATGGCGGAGGTCACAAGCCGTAAAAGTAAAAGTAAAGGGTCCCCGATACATTACGATGTGTGAGTTGAGTAGCGTGTGAGTGACACTGGCGATAACCAACTCGGGTAACATCTGGAAGTGGTAATCCCCTCCGCGATCGTCGTCGACTTGGATCGCCTGACCCCTCTTCAATGCTGTTTCGGCCACCACTACCTCAACCCCTGAGACAAATTCATACAGTGGTACAAAGGCCTTCAAATGCGCCAACATCTGGCCCAAGGGTAGGCCGTATATATGGCCCTTAGTCCCTGAGGGCCCCGCGGCCGTTCGTGTCAGTCGTCCTTGAGTGATGCCGTTTCGACGGAATCCACCAACACCCTGAACCCCTGCCTCTGCTGCCCCCTTAAAGGTCAACGGCGCAGAGCCTACGTCTAATATGGCTCTCGGCCATTTCAGGTAGTGACTTGCGACTTCCGCTATCCGCTTCCTCATCGTAACAGCGCGTTGTTCTTCTTCGAGACTCCATTCTGTTGCCGCATATCTTCCATATCGCTGAGCGCAGACAAAACACCGCTGAGGGCTATCTCTGACGTCGAGATTGTGAGCGTGAGTTGGGTCGATGTCTCGGCAGACTCCAGCCCAAGGGCTTTAGTGGTTTTTCCCGATGGCACGGTCGATGAGCAGGAGAAAGATTCTCTAGGCACAGCAACAGCAAGTTGAGCCCGCATCAGCATCGGCGGCATATTTTGCGTTGCCACGGTCCCCTCTCTTGCCCCCATCAAATGCATCGGAATCAGGGGGTTGCCTCGGGTGCGGTTTCGAGAACCTCGCTGGCGTGCTTCGAATGCCCCGAATGCCCGTTCTCAGCCTTTGCATCTGGAATGACAAGGTGCCCGTCCGGTGACGCACCGGGGCCGGGAGTGTGTCCGTATGTGTTACTAGTACCCTCAAAAGGATGTCGAACCGGCGCCGGTGGGATGGTTTACGGGACATGACCGAGGTGATCCGGAAAAGCCGCGGCAACCCGGGAGTTGTGATGAGAGAAGCTGGAAGGCGTAGAGTGGCAAGGTCTCCAATGGGCGAACAGGGTACTCCGGAGCAAGAAGGTGCAATGGGCTATTTTGACTCCCATTATCCCTTCCCGGAATGCCGCCTACAGCGGCGCCTGCATTGGAAGGAGCAGTCGGGAGCTCATTTGATGTCCTTAACTCCAGGAGACGAGTAGATCTCGAGTTGTCGGCGGCCTTTTCGCAATAAAAACTCAACCGCGCCGAAGTCTCGTTTATCAATTCCCATGTTCTTTTCGAACTCATTCCTATAGTCTTATGAGCACTGCCATCATTCATGGGGCCAAGGATGCATGCCCTGCCTACCTCGCAAAGACCTGAAAATGCTTGCGGCTTGCCTCGGGCTTTTTGCGACATTCGCGGACACATTGTCGGTACAGGGAAAGTACCTCTTTTTGGAGTCCCGACAGGCGCATTGTGGCGATGATAGGAGTGCACGGTGAAGGGTGGTTGTTGAAAAGTTTATTCAGCAAAAGAACACACCAAAAATTGCACGCGTCAAAGCCTCGGCACGTCATAACCCGAGCCGACAGGGGGTGGACCGGGCCGGGGAGGGGTCCACCCCCGAGTCTGGCCGGGCCTCCGTCTCGGAGCGCCGAGCTCGGCAATGCAGGGACAACGCGAGCGCTGGTGGCTGGTGGAATAATTACCCCGAAACCTTATTTCTTCGTAGTATTCCGCCAGCTGCACGAATGGAAGGGGCTCGGGGGGGCTCTATTCAGGCTCCCAAGGCGGAGTTATTCACGGCTTCTCCAGTGAAGTCACAGGGGGGAGCAACCACGGATACAACTCTGTAAATAACAAGATATCTCCGCCATCCGCTTACTCAGGCTGATCAGGTCTCAACTCAACGAGTTACTCCTATTCCTAGATCGTGAGCCTCACTCTGCACCTGAACACTTCAACGCCTTAGATATCTCCTTACCATGGCCACCTTCTCTGTAAGTCCGAATCAGTCCTACATACTAAAACACAATGGTCTGACCTTTGGTGCCAGCGCCTCGTCCGCTTCCTAGCCCGGGATGGCCGTACCTACTACGGAGATGCCATCCTGCCTCGCGGCATCAGCGACATCAGCAAGGCCCGCCAAGCCCGCATCATCACCGGGGATATCTTTGGCAAACACGACGTTACCGACCAGGTCGCCGACATCCGGACGCTCCTGGCCCCCTTGGCTCCGGAGGATGTCCGGACGGTGCGGTGTCTGGGGTTGAACTACGCCGCTCACGCAAAGGAGGTGAGCTCACCACTGGTGCGAAGCGCTACGGAGTAAAGGGTTAACCAAAAAACAGTCCAACATGCCCATCCCGCAATACCCCGTCATCTTCGTAAGCACCCCCAACCCCACCCTCCTTTTCTCCCATCCCCCCCTCCCACCCAAGGCAACCCCCACTAACACCCCCCTCCCTCCAAAAAGTACAAACCGGCGACCGCCCTCACCGGCCCCACGGACCCGATCCCCATCCACCCCATCGCGCAGCAGCACAGCGGGCTGGACTACGAGTGCGAGATGGTGGTGGTGATCGGCAGGCGCTGCGCCGACGTGCCCGAGGCGCGCGCCCTCGACCACGTGCTGGGCTACGCCGTCGGCAACGACGTGTCGCACCGCGACTGGCAGCTCAAGCTCGGCGGCGGGCAGTGGTCGCTGGGCAAGGGGTTCGACGGGTGGGCGCCGTTTGGGCCGGGGATTGTGAGCCCTGCTGCTGGTAAAAGTGGTGGTGGTGGTGGTGGCAGTGGTGGTGGTGCGGGTGGTGGGATTGTGGATCCGCAGGCGCTGGCGATTCGGACGAGGGTGAATGGGCTGGTGGTGCAGGAGAGCACGACCGCCGATATGGTGTTTGGCGTGGCCAGGACGGTGGCGTTTTTGAGTCGGGGGACGACGCTTATGCCGGGGGATGTTATTTTTACGGGGACGTGAGTGGTTCTTTTTCTTTTACCCTTTTGGTTTGCTGCGGTGTAAGTGTGACAATGGCTGACCTGTCTCTGCTACTTATTATAGTCCGCAGGGCGTCGGCATGGGCAGGAACCCGCAGGTCTGGTTGAAGGATGGCGATGTTGTCGAGGTCGAGCTCGAGGGTGTCGGGACTTGCACGAACAAGGTCGAGTTCAGCCCTCTGAGGGATGCTAAGCTGTGATGGGTTGGGTGGCTAGTTTTGAATAATCTACGATGCCATGTTGTATTGAAAACGGCTGCTTCGATCCGAACACTTGCAAGTCGGGCTCCTTCCCGGCAGCCTGTGACTAGTCCATGGTGGTATATATACAAGTTCCGCATGCCACACTGTCACCGACCCTCCCAATTGAAGTCGGCACCGGCTGGCTCAGCGGTATTGGGAGGGGCCCGGTTGGAACGACAACCGAAAGAGGCCGTAAGTTCGACTCCCCCCTCGCGAAGATAAAACCCGAACAAGGTTTTTCGTAGCCTGTAACCCCCAGGTGAGCTTTTTGCCGTTTTCACCACCTTAACTTTACATTCTCCTCTATAATACCGTTCTTTTCTCGCTCTACTACAGTCCTCTAGGTATTGCCAACTTGTGATGTGGTTGAAGAGCACCCACCTCCGAACCCCTTTTCCGTGTATATTTAGGTACTTTCTAAGAAAATATCAATAGACATCAATTCCTTAACGGAGTGGTGGGTCTTCATTCACAGTAAAGCTGCAAAGGGCTCCTGCTGCGAACAACTGTCGGGTCTGTGGGTGAACGTGGGCTTCTGGTAAGATATATTTGACATCCCACAGATATTTTTATTACCCTGGGCCATAGCCCCTACTGTAGAAAACTGACGACATTCAAACCTCGAAAACAAGCGTTTGAATGTGCTCGCCCGATAAGCAGCTTTCAAAGCTAACCTATCTCAAGTTTGGCAAGGGATCGAACTACCTATTTTTCCTATCGGTTTTATGATTGTGTGTTGGCGTGTAGGTAGCAGAAGTCGCATATTGCACCGAAGCTTCTTTGGAACGGTCCCGAGGATAAGAAGTAATTTGATTGCTGGCCAGCAATATAAGTGCTATCTAGGTAACGACTGACTTGAAAACAAAGAAAACCTCCTCCGAAGTGTCGCTAGTTTGACAACACCGTTGTAACTTGCCACAAGCGTGAGCTTTCCCTGCCGGTGTTTAAACTAGGAGGTCGCTAGTTTAGACCCCGTTTCTGGTCTTAGGAGCTGTGCTGGGTTCCATCTGTGGGTGGCTCCCCCATTTAAGAGCAAGCAACGGTCCCGCCGGACGAGCGGCATGCTGAAGTGATGTGTCAGTACCGGTCTGTATGAACATCCACGAGGCTCGGTAGGGGGGGGTACTTACTTCCATGGAACTGGCCACCAGCACCGTCGGTCCAGTAGATGCAGCCCTGGTTAACCAGGATCGTGTCGCCGTCGTTCATGATGGTGCATGCTTCATGCACACGAGCTACACAGGCGTCGAATTAGATCCAACTGGGTTCACTTGGCCCCCTATCATAAGACATCGCCTGAGCTGAGGTACTTACTGTTCCTGATGGTATACCAGTTGTTGTTCGCAACCCAGTTTCCGTTGGCATCCTGGGTCCAGGCGTAAGCGCCAGAGGACAGAGCAAGGACGGAAGAGGCGAGGACGGCGAAGAACTTCATGTTGATGGTATGATGGATGGATGTTGCGAGGGATGTGTCTGTTGCAGAGTGTTGATGTTGTAGAAGTGGATGTGCTGGCTGCTGGATGCTGAGGAGAATATTGCCATGGAGGGAGGAGGAAGCCCGTATTTATAGCCAACTCGAGATCCATCTCCCGTCAAGGACAGACAGCTTTCTCTTGCTCGCTCCCCCCATGCTTGCAGTGTCGGAGCTGACGACAGGAAGTCTTCTCATGCGGAATTCTAAAAGAGGTCTCAACTTGCCTTCGGACTCGTGTCGGACTAGATAGAAGCGTGTTTACAACCAGTATAATCCAGGGATAGGGCTCCACAGGTTGATCATTGTCTTGATTCTACGAGACTCGACGCCTCTTGCATCAGAACAGCCACGGTTGGCCTGTAGGTAGGATTCATCACATATTGTCTGTGTAACACACGCTCCTGTGGTATTCTCGGATTGGCTGAGTTTCTGTTGACAGGCAGTGCCATGATGTGCATCGCAGAATCTTATAAGATGGTTGGTTGAGGTAGGGGGGTAGGGAGGTAGGCAGCCTCGGACTCGCCTTGGGCCCACATTAGACCTGGAGAGACAGAAGAAACAAACCTCTCTCGCACAACAGACTCAACCAATCCAAGACATCAGACTCCTTCGAATAGTAAGCACAATGGTAGCCATCACCCGGAATCTGAATCAGTCACGTGCCCGGTCCGAGGGTTACACAACAGACTCAGGAAACAGTAACGAATCAGGCATCTTGGCCGCTCTTTGCCAGGTGCATTCAAAGTCAAGGCTCAGCCCCGAATAAGAGCCAGGGGTTTCTCTAAGACGAGGCAAGACTGGAAAGATGACAACATCGCCGTATTTGAGCTGTGACGCTGTCATCATATCATTTCGTCGCCCGGCCACACATAAGCGACATAACATCCATGGTTTGCGATGTTCTTCTTACTCTCCCTCAAGCTAGGTAAACTTGTCGCCATCCATCTTCTCATCGGGTTTCATCGACGGCGTGGGAAAGGGACCTGTTTGGTTTGCGAGAAAAAAAATAACACTGGGACCATTCCAGGCTGTGGAACTGAGTTACATTTGATTTTCTTGTGTTAGCCAATTTTCAGCTCAGTCGGTCAGTCTGGCCCAGATCAATACTAATATTCTGTATACATAGAAGGTAGGTAGGGAGGTCGGGAGAGAGTTTGAGCACCATCCCTCCACAGCACGTGTCTCTCTCGGAGCAGATGCAAGAGGAGACCATTTGAGAGCGCTGATTCGTTAGTTACGTAATGGTGGGATATCGTTCTCCATGGATCTCGCCTAGCCTTGACAGGCCTTGGCACGCGCCTTACCTTATCGTTATCTCTCTCTGTTATCGCCTTCGAGGTTCGTTACCAGGAGCTGTCATGGCATCTTTGTCTACCAATCCAGCTGCCAGGTTCAAGCCAGGAAATCTTGCGTGAATCCCTACCGCCGCGGCTGACTTGCATTATAAGGCGTGTCTCACCTCCGGTCTCGCCTTCCTCCAGCCTCCTCGACTCCCCGTCCCTCGGTCTCTTCCTCTCTCAACGACCTCATCGCTCGGTCACCGGCGCAACCATCTAGTCGCTTTCACACCGAACACATCTTTAGTTTACGCCGACGAGTTCAACAACATGTCAGCCCCCGAAGTCTCCCACGGCCGCGGTGGCGCCGGTAACATCAACCCCGACAACACACAATACGTCGACGGAGAGGTGGTTCGTGTGGGCGCACCGGGCAGCCATGGAGACGGAGCTTTCAGCACTGGCCGCGGAGGTACGATTACACCCATCTCCCCAAAATTCACATCCAGGAGGAGACATGGAGAGACATGCAGAGACATGCACATATTTCGGAGCATCGTCCCAAGATTCCACCAACTCCAAGTTTTGGGGTTCAATCTTGAGACGACCTCCGGACTTGATCATCCCGCCCCCCCCACAGCGGGATGCACGCCAAGCCCCAGCTTGCGATAAGCCATCCATCACCCACCATCCCCGCGCAACCCCAACCCTCCCCCTCCAAAAGGAAAGAATACCATCGCTAACCCCTCCTCTTCGTAACCCCTAAACAGGCGCCGCCAACATCGGCGACGCAGGCGTGAAGCAGGTCACGCGCCTGGACCAGGACCTTGTCCCCGGGGTGGCCGTCCGGCCGAGCCACGACAACGCCGACTACCACACGGGCCGCGGCGGGGCCGGCAACGAGCACATCGCCAAGAAGTCGGCCGGGGAGGGGCCCGCGGCGCCGGTCGGGCTAGCGGATAAGCTGAAGAGGAAGATTATGGGTTTTTTGGGGAAGAAATAGGGGGGGATGCTGCTGCCGCTCTGGGAATGCTATGGGGTTAGGTTGATTTTGGTCGTTGTTGTTGTTTTTGTTCTTTGCGTTGATACCACCGATGGATCGATCGGGCGCTCAGTTTTAATTCGTGAGTTACAGTGAAGGAACACACCTCTTCGGAATATTAGGAACGTGTCGTTGCAGCCGGCATTCGGTGCATCCCTGCCCGCGCCATGATCTCCATGCCTCAGCACCTCAGCCGCCCTTTGAATGGTTGGGGAACCCTGCCTCTCAGCACGGTTGCTGAGAATCTGGACTGTGATCGTCGCCGGATCTAGAAGTAGCTGAAGATGGTCCATGAGACACCTCCATGCCGCCGAGCAGCATCGTCATCTTCGCCCCATGCTCGTCGTGTTGAGCGCTGAGCTTGGCAGGAATGGGCGCCAAGAGGCGCAAGTCAGCGATCTGTTGGCGACAGCGCCCCAGAAGAGAAGGTCACTGGGCTCCTTTGGGCGTGGTAGCTCTCTCGTTCCGGGTTAGCTGCCATGCAATCGGCGCGCTGCGCAGGACACCCGCAGGGAACCCGCAGGAGCCCGCAGGAACTGGCACCGTTATTGGCAGTGTGATCAGGCCGGCATGCGCTTGTGAAATCGCCACCGTCGGAGAGTCACCGTACCCATCGTGGAGTCGGGGGGTCGATCTTCGTGTGTTGGTTTGGAACGTCGGTAGATAGGTTTTCGTGTTTCGAAGCTTGTGAAACGGAATGGAGGCGGCCAAAGCAAGACATATACCTTAATAGTAAATGCCGCGATTGGCGCTTCAATAAGAGGGAGGGGTCGGAACTCGTATGTCAGGGCCTCGGGGCCTTCTGGTCACAGGTTCGAGATCTGGAACGGGTGGTCGGCAACCATACATAGCGGCCCGTGATCAACACACCCACTTTGATCCCCGGATTCGCACACCAACAACCTTGTCCATGCGGTGGGGGTTCCCACACGGCGGTGCCTGTCCTAAACATAGAGAGACCGAGTACTTAACTCGGACCCTGCCCGGGCGGCGACGTTGGGTTAAGGCACCCGCTCGGCTTCTTGCGACTGCCCTGAAAGATTTGAACATGAAATCGCTTCGATTTGATATCGCGACGGCGACAATACCTCCCTCGACCCGGATGCGCTCCCAAATACCCCAAATATACGTACCCGTCCTCGGCTTGTGAAGATCAACGGTGGAACTCGGCAATCGACGAAACTTGAAACGTTTTGGTTGTCCAAAGACCGAAATATTGCGAGCGAGGAAACAGGGGGATTTTATTTGGTAACTTGAGATTTCATCGTCTCAAGTTCTTAATTCCCATCAGGAGCGGGAACGCTCTCTGACACCGGTGACGTCGTGCAGCAATCGACTGATTTGTTTCGCTGTGCTGTAAAGGCAGGTTGTCCATCCCCTGTGCTGCCTGCCGGTGGTGGACAAGGGAACGGCTGGCTAGCGCCAATGGCGCCCTGGAACGACGCTGAGTCTGGGCGCCCGCCACTCGCTCCGCGCCTCTTCTCCCGGCTCTCACAATTGTCAAAGCACTCTTTCCACTCATCCTCATTTGAAGCCGACGACGAACGATCCAGCACCGGCTCGGTGGAAAACTTTGGCATCATGAGCCCCGGCCGCAGCAGGAGCAATAGTGGTAGTGGCAGTAGCAGCTTCGGCGCGATCCCACCGCGTTATCCCGGAGACGACACCCGCCCCACCAGTCCCAAGGAGCTCGCCGGTTGGTATGCATATGCATTTGCCGCCGAAGTCTATGTAATCTGTGGTCAGTTTTCTGCTTTGCCATGCTGAGGCGAGTATTTGCATACCGGTATCAAAAGCTAACATATTGGTGTAGGAATCGGTATGTTGCTGACCGCCCTGCTCACCGTCTCCGGAGCTCGGAAACTGACCGCAAATAACTAGGCTCTTTTATCCCAATATTACTCGAGAGTCTGGCCAGAGAAAATGGCGTCCTTCTTTCCGATCGTATATCGCCCTGCGGCTCTAGCTCGGATAAGAACGGTGGCAACGGCGGGCAGTGCGTCGTCTATGTGCTCGGTCTAGAGATCAACACGGCGAGCTTCGCCATGTATACGTTTAGCGTGAGCGTCCTGATCCAGGCGCTCCTGGTTGTCAGTATCAGCTGCGCCGCCGACCACGGAAACTACCGCAAGAAGCTGCTGCTCGCTTTTGGCTGGATCGGGAGCATTGCCGTCATGCTCTATATCTTCGTCTCGAGCAAATTCTATCTTTTTGGCGGACTGCTCGCCATTATCTCGAACACCTCCTTCGGCGCATCTTTCGTGCTTCTAAACTCATTCCTGCCGCTCCTTGTCAGACACCACCCCGAGATCATAGACAAGGAAGCCGACCTCATCCCGAATGGCCAGGACGTGGAGGATCACCAAGACCTGGATGGAGAGACAGCACTGTCCGACTCGACGGCCGCTTTACTGCCACGGAACACACTGGAGGACGGGCACGCTATCACTCGGGTGCAGACGCGCGAGGAGCTGACCTCGCACGAGCTCACCTTATCGACGCAGATATCTGCCAAGGGGATCGGGATAGGCTACATCGCCGGCCTGTTCCTCCAGTGCATCGCCATCTTCATCCTCATTCAGATGAAAAACACGACTTGGTCTCAACGCGTCGTCCTCTTTGTCATCGGCGTTTGGTGGGCCGTCTTCACCGTCCCGGCCGCCATGTGGCTCCGTCCCCGACCAGGCCCCCCATTACCTGCGTCGTCGCGCCACAGCGGCATCCGCGCCTTCATCTCCTACACTCTCTACGCCTGGAAGTCCCTGTTCCGCACCATCCAGCTCGCCCGTCGCCTCGTCGACATCATGCTCTTCCTCGGCGGCTGGTTCCTCCTTTCGGACGCCATCGCCACCACGTCCTCGACCGCCATTCTCTTCGCCAAGACTCAGCTACACATGGAGCCCTGGGCACTCGGCATGATTAACGTCATCTCCACCGCCGCCGGCATCACGGGCGCTTTCTCGTGGTCCTTCATCTCGCGCCGCCTCCACCTCCAAGCCCACCAGACTATCCTCGCCTGCATCGCCCTCTTCGAGATCATCCCGCTCTACGGCCTGCTCGGCTACCTGCCTTTCGTCAAAAACTGGGGTGTCTTTGGTCTGCAGCAGCCCTGGGAGATGTACCCGCTGGCTGCCGTCTACGGCTTCGTCTTGGGCGGCCTGAGCGGATACTGCCGCTCGCTCTACGGCGAGCTGATCCCGCCCGGCTCCGAGGCCGCCTTCTACGCGCTGTATGCCATCACCGACAAGGGCTCCAGCGTCTTCGGCCCGGCCATTGTCGGCGCCATCATCGACGCCTCGGGCGAGATCCGCCCTGCCTTCTGGTTCCTCGCGGCTATCGTCGGCCTACCTGCGCCGCTTATTTGGTGTATCGATGTTGAGAGGGGGCGCAGCGAGGGGGAGAAGCTGGCCGAGATTATCGAGGGGTTCAAGGTGACGCGGAGTGCGGAGAGGGAGAGTGATGAGGAGAGTCGGGCTATTTTGGACGTTTATGATGAGGAGACGGATCAGTGATGGGCGTTGCTGGGTTTGTTTTACACTTGATGCATAGCGACGGCGTTCGTTGTCTCGTTGTCTGGCTTATTCGTTGGAAGTGCCACCAAAGAAGTCGTCATCTGCTGGGTTGACTCTGGTATAATGTGCCGATGGAAGGAGGGGCGTGCCACGAAGAAATGGTATCATGGCATTCGTCGAGGCCTCTGGTTATCGTTACCTTGCTTGGTCCGCTGGTGATTCCAAACCCAATTACACATCTTACGGGATGGGTTTGTCTTCTTCGGTCACGGTAACTTAAGTGTTGTTACTGTGTTGTAGCAATCAGTCTCTGGCACTTTCCAGGTTGGTCAAGCTGGCTCTTGCGGGAAGGTCATGACGTTGGCGCCACCCCTCCGCCCCTTCTCCATCAGCGTCGCTTTCATTCCTTGGCGTGGGCATTGGTAAGGAAGCGCCGTGCTCAGCGTCTCCAGCCACATCATTTCCCCCCAATTCCCAGGTTCTCCTCTCTCCCCTCACAAAATCACGTGGCTGGGGACCCCATTTCCCTGCCCCCGGTTGGCGGACGCGGAATTCCGTAAATTTTGCTGTCATCTTCGTTGCGACGAGGACGTGCCGACTGACTGCCAACTGCAACTGCAACTGCCATTGTCCATTGACGCAGGAGCATCGCTCGCCTGCACAGCAACGGCCTTGGGGAAGTCGTGTGAAGGCTGCCATCAGCTTTTTGATGTTAGAGAAGACCTGAGGCACACCGATCAGTGTGGTCCGACTCTTCCCCCGTCGGTGTCGGTGGTATTCCCCAGCCACCGAGGTGACCGCACGCACTGCCTGTTGCTCCCCACGCTCCTCCTCCCGAAGCACGTACCCCCGGCAACTCCTTCGCGAGCCAACCCGTTTCCAGACCCTTCACCACAACCACGACCCTTTGCACATCCGCATCCACGCGTCTGCTTTTATCGAGCGGCCGTTGCTACGCGCTGATTTTCTGTACCCGGCACCCGCGATCGAGACGGAACCCCGTCACAACCTCGACCCAACGCCAATTCATCCGGGCGCAAAACATCGCAACACTTGGCAGCCATGGCGTCCGCGCGCAAGAGGCCGAGGGCCGAACCCGAGGACAACCGTGCGGAATGCCCCTTCACCATCAAGATTGTCGATCCCAAGGACAAGGAGCAAAAGAAGAAGAAGCGCCGGCGCACCGAGAATGGTGATGAGGAGGACACAGCCCAGAGAATCAACCTGCAGATGTCGCCCTTTGCGCCCTGTGGCAAGTTCAAGACGCACGAGACCATGGATCTCTATTACCAAGTCGACCCCTCAAAGAGATGGACGGACATGACCAGATACAACAGCTTCGTCCGTAAGTCTATCTTTTTCATCCCTTCGGTCTGCCCTACGCGCCGGGATCGGACCACGTTGGACTAACAGCAACGTTTGCTTTGACGCGCAGTGAACGGGATCAAGTACTTCAGCGAAGGCTTTATCTATGTCGCGAACGACTTCAGCATCGAGCGCCAGAAAGCCGTCAATAACAACGAGCCCATGCAGCCCAGGAAGAAGTCGGACGACGACTGGGTTGCACGCATCTTGGAAATCCGCGCAAGCGACGAACACCACGTGTATGCGCGAGTCTACTGGATGTACTGGCCCGACGAGCTTCCGCAGGGGACTCACGACGGCAGAAAGACAGTCCAGAGCCGCCAACAATACCACGGCATGAACGAGCTGATCGCCTCGAATCATAGTAAGCACTCATGGCTGCGGCGCATATTATGGGGGCGACTCCAGAAACTGACGTCAGGTAGTGGATATTATCAACGTCGTGAGCGTCACCTCCCAGGCGCAAGTGAAGCAGTGGTACGAGGAAAACGACGAGGAGATACAGAATGCACTGTATTGGAGGCAGGCGTTCGACGTCAGGACATATGAGCTTTCCGTATGCAACCGCTTTCCTACTACCTAATTTTCCATGAGGAGATTGCGCTAACCTCGCCCTTTCTCTAGACGGTCGAGCTCGTCTGCAGTTGCAACACACCGGGGAATCCCGATAAGATGCTGATCGGGTGCACAACGGAAGCATGCAAGAAGTGGATGCACGAACAATGTATCATTGACGATGCGCTCAAGGCGGTATACGCACGATTGGGCACCGACAAGCCACACCTTGCTCCAGTACCCGCGAAAAAGGAAGAGAACGGTGACGAGGGAAAGCGGCCGTTAAGCCCCTCCGAAACCGGCGCCGAGGGCTCCGCGGAGCAGTCGATTGACGTCAAGTCCGAGGCTGCGCCATCCGATGCGGTGCATGTCGGCACGAAAGACAATGTCGAGGTCAGGCAGGCAGCCGACGACGAGGACGCCCAGGCAGCGCCGGAGGATTCGCTCCCTCTGCGGACCAGCGATCGCCCACAGCGAGGGGTCAGCGAGAACACCACCAACACAGACACACCGAGCAAGCCGGCCGGCGGCAGCAAGTCAACCCCAGGGCGCAAGCCGGGCAGACCACGGAAGAAGGGGGGCGCGGAGGCCAACGGCGACGGCTCGCGGCCGTGGGAGGGCCTGTTCGAGGCGGCGCTGAAGACGGCCGACATGGGCCCACCAACGATCGAATTCCGGGATCTGCGCGAAGGCGTGACCGGTGGAGAGAAGATTTGGACGGAGCCTGTCAAGTGCCTGCTTTGTGGGGATCAAGTCAACTAAGGGCCGCCACAGTTCTGTGAGCGGTCGTAAGCCAACCGATTCGAGGATGAGGACAGAGGGCGGGAGAAGGGAACGGTACTGAGGAGTATGGAGAGGACCAAGGGGAAGAGAGTGTCGATTCCAAGGGAGAAATCGATTTGGAGGAAGAGATTGATGTGGCGGGAGGAACTCATTCTGGAGAAGGAACTGATGACGGGCTGTCGAACTCACCTGCCCTGGTTCATTGGGCGCGGCAAACACCCTCGGGCTACATGTCAAGGGTCCCTTTTTCTCATCGACCATTGTGTACGGGAAGACTGATGGGGCGGACACGCGATCCCCGACAACCAACCCACGCGGAGGACGCGGCGCAACAAAGGGGTGCGGAGAGTCGACTGTGGGATATGCGAGAGTGTGTGGGGTCTTCTAATGTGGGACAGGAGTAAAATGGGTCGGATTCGGATTTGACTAACTACGAGGAGGAGGAAGAGAGGTTTGGAGTTGTGTGGTATTCTTATAGCCTGACCATCACGGCAAGGACTCGGCAAAGGCGAGGGTAGAGTTTGAACCCCGAGGCTTGTTTTCGCTGTCAGTCGGCCTGTCGGCATGTGTTTTACCTACCTATCTATTCCGTATAACCACCTATCTAGCGACAATCGATGCAGGAGTGCTTTGTCTCCTATGGGTTATTATGGACGTCCCTTCGATGCAAGAACAGCAAAGACACGCGGCTTGTTACTCGAGCCCGCATTTTCTCCTGTTCAGCCTCCCCTATCCACCACCCTCGCCATCAAACTCCGCCAACAACTCTCTGCTACGAAGTAGTTAGTGGCGTCCCACTCCCCCGTAATATCTTAATGCTCAATCTATCACCCGATCGTTGTCTTTTATCCAAACCTCGCTGTTGTGCGCTCTTGCCACTACAAAGGTAGACTAAAAAGCAACAACCTCACTAGAGGAGAGAGGCAAAAGAATGACCGCGGCAGGGCTCGAACCTGCGATCCTCTGCGAGACAAATATCCTTGTAAAGCAGATGCCTTAACCACTGGGCCACGCAGCCGTTTTAGAGGTGACTGTGATGCACAGAATCACAGGAGCCTTTGGGCTCCAACTGCAGACCCCTGACACGCTTGATTGGCTCCATCCAAGTTAGGTCCCCGCGGTCAACTCAAACACTTCAACACCAGCGCAGGAATACACAGAGCAAAGCACAGAGATACCATGAGACACCTGCGCACTGCCAACAACATACTCCGCAGCAGCGCGGTCAGCGGGACACCGCTAAGGTTCGTCTGACAGCCCAATGGCTTACCAATCACGAAGAATGCAAGCTCACGTTGCAATCACAGGACCACTTCGTCCTTGCTCCAAAACCAGAGGCCGTTGTTGGACCAGCCCACACTCTCCTCCCACTCCGTTGCCGGCGCCATCGCCGTCACCCGCAACGCACCATGGAACGGCCCGCTAGCCCGTCCATTCTCCCACACGGCAACATGCCAAAAAAAGAAAGGCGGCAAGAAAAACCACAACAGCGACAGCCCCGCCGACAACAATAGCGCCGCCGAACCCACCCCCTCCTCAGGCGGCGCCGGGGCGGAAGCGGACGGCGTCAACCCCTTCGACTTCACCGACCTCCAAAACGCCTTCGACCGCGCCGAGTCGCACTTCAGCGAGGAGCTAAAAAAACTCCGCAGCGGCGGCCGCTTCAACGCCGAGGTGATCGGCGCGATCCCGGTGCAACCGGACAAGAAACAACCGGCCCAGACCTTCCCGCTCCGCGAGCTGGCCACGGTGGCGCCGCTCGGCGGGCGGCGGTGGTCGATCCTGGCGTTCGAGGAGGGGTCCGTCAAGCCCATCGTGAGCGCGGTGCAGCGGTCGCCCGAGTTCAACCAGCAGCCGCAGCGCAGCGCCGACAACCCGCTGGAGCTGACCATGACGGTCGAGCCCGAGCGCGCCGACGCGCTGGCCCGCCGCGCCAAGGAGGTCTGCCAGGCCTGGCGGGTGCGCGTGCGCGACGACGCGCATCGCCGGGCCGTGCAGCACAAGAAGTGGCGCGGGGAAGGGGTGGTGTTGAGTGATGATGCGCATAAGCTCAAGGATAAGCTGCAGAAGCTGCAGGATGAGCGGATGAAGGGTATTCTGGCGAAGGAGAAGGAGGTTATAGCGGCTGTTATGGCGCGGGCGAGCTGAGAGGTGGAAGGCAACCTGCTGGTGATGGAGCATAAGGAGATAGATTCCCCCGGCAACGTGGAAGATGGAATAACATGTGTGTTTCTATGCTACGTGGATAGACCTCTGTACAAATAGACCAACAAAACATGGGGCGAGACGGTATTGTTACATATTGGGACAAAGAGCCCTGGCCCATGAGCTGAGTCCTTTTTTCTTTCCCCTTTCCTCCGTCAAGGCTTGGCCTGAGAGGCGGGCTTACCACCCCGTTCCGCCGGCAGCAACGACAAAACCTTGTCCATGAACTTCTGCGAGTCTGCCGCCATGTAGGTGAAAGTCCGCGAGTGGTAGTTGGCCATGGTACCCGCGACGTCGCTGGTTTCGGCAAAGCCGGCCGACTGGTACTTGCCCAGAACCGCAGGCTCGATAATCGCCTTCTTGGTGCCGGCGTCGGGCCCGACCAGCTTGAGACGGGGCTGGGCGCTCTCGATCCACGCCTTCTCCTCCTTGCTGTGCACGAAGATGGGCTTCTTGGCCCGGTACCGCTTCATGACTTGCTTAACATCAGCCGTGACGCCCGAGTCCGAGTTGAACGCCATGCCGCCCGTCATGAGCCGCATCGTCCGCAGCACCGTCTCGACCTGACCAATGGACGCGTCCGTCGCCATCGCCGCGCCGTACCCGGTCAGCGAGTCCATCGTCAGCTTCGGATCAAACGGCACCACCTCGCCCTTCTCCAGCCGGTCGATCACGGCCTGCTCCTCGGGCTCCCAAACCAACTTCCCCCCCCTCGCCTCACGCGGCTTCCCGTCCCCCCCTCCCCTCCCCCGACCACGCTGAAAGCGGCCACCCCGACGACCATTCTGACCACCACCTCTACCCTTAAACCCCCCAAACCGTCCCGAACCACCCTTGAACCCCCCACTCCCCAACACCACACGCCCGCCAGCCCCACCACCACCACCACCCCCACCTCCAAACCCAAACCCAACCCGCCGGGGCCCAGCACCGGGCGCACCGGGCGCGAACCGCCCCCCGACACCACCGCCGCGCCCAAACGGCATACGCCCGCGGATGCCCCCGCGCAGGCTGCGTATGTTCAGCACGCGCGGCCCCGAAGACGACGACGACGACGACGACGACGACGTGGGGCCCCCGCCGGGCGACACGCGCAGCGAGCGGGCGTCCACGCCGCCCTGGCCGCCGCTGCGGAATGGTGATGATGATGATGATGGGCCGCCGCCGCTGCCGCCGAAGCCGCCGGGTGAGTCGCTCCGGCGGGAGGTGTTGAGCTGGCTCAGGCGGGAGACGGCGGCGGATTGGGAGCGGGGTTTGCTGCTACTGCTGTTGTTGTTGTTGTTGTTGTTGTTGTTGTTGGGGGGGTCGTCCGAGGGCCGGGGGCCGGTGGTCGAGAAGAAGGAGGAGAAGGTGGTCGGGGTCGTGGTGCTGACGGGGAGGGTCAGGGCGCGGGCCGTGGTGGTGGGCGTGCCGCGCCCGAGGGCGGATCGGAAGGCGTGTCGGTTCATTGTTGGCTTTTTTTTTTTTGGTGTATGTGTGATGGCGGTATGTGTAGGCGCCTCGATGGAACGCGGCGCCGAGGGTTCGGTTCGTTTTCTACCCGTCCGTCCGTCCGTCCGTCTATCCGTCGCGAGGTCGGGAGACGACTTGCGAATTTGGACTTTGAAGCGGGAACTTGAAAATGGTTGTGGTTCCAAAGTTGAAAATGTTAGCGCAGCTGTGGTTGGTCAATCGTGTGCCTTGGGTGGGGCTGGAACCAGGACCCTGGTTTCTTTGGGAGCAACTCCACCTGCTCTTGCCTTCCTCAACAACCTCTTTCGAAATCCAATGGTGAGACAGCAGTTACCTACCTACGGTATCTAACCGCCCAGTCAGTCTGTGTGCAGAAAGAGAGATAAAAACCGAGACGCGAAGGCCAAGCGCTCACCATCCCCCGAATCTCGTCAGCCTTTGTGACCCTTTCCACAGCGCTTAAACTTCCTCCCGTTTTTTATGTACCTACCGTACCTCCTGTTATTTCTCACATACGGTACCTAGAGAACACGAGTGTAGTCGAGACTTATTATGTTCCACTGCCGTCGGATATCTACAGTAGGTACCTAGGTATTGGGCGTGGTATGGATTGGGGAGATCAGCAGTCACGCCCTATATCTGCCCATACTCGACAAGGCAAGGGTGGATTCTTGACTCATAGTTCCAAGTTCCTTGCGATAGAGTAACTCCGTGAAAGGAAATACTCCACGTGGGAGCTATGTCCAATTGAGAAGTCTATTGCAATTAGGAAGACCCGGACATAGACCGATGGACAGTTCGTCTCAAGACTGAAGGCATCCGATCTGTTACTCGCTCAATTCACTCAGAGGCTACCCTGCAGCCATAGAACAACACGTTCCGACTTGCTGGGTTATCCATGACCAGCCCTCCACTTAGCTACGTTTCAAACTTGGCTTGGTGCCCGCCTGCACTCCCCACGCGTACGTGGCAAGTCAGAGGCGCACCTATGACGGTTGAGGCTCCCATGGGGACACGAGAGGGGCCCGGTCTAGGGAGCTGGCATGGCGTTTTTTGACATATCATACAGTTCGTCACATCCGTCATTAGAGCTGTCGAATCGGCGCCTCGGGCTTGGGGACAGAGTCACAAACAGTTGGCTTTCTTTCGTTCTTCAACTCATCTCCCCCACTCATCTCACATATCCTTGTTCGTTTCTGCCCGCCTCCGCCTTTATGTGTTACCTGTGAAAGTGGCATATTCGTAAGATAGTATGTACTTGCCCGTGCAACTAGGTTCATATTGCCAAGCAATGATATATCGACGTTCGATCAGATTAGATTATCTCGTCAAGAGGGGATCTCGGAAGGGCTTTGATGAATGGATGGCAATAGCATGCCGCTTCGCTGATCAGCAGATGCTCGATGCCTTACCGGGGACGTGAGCCGCCACTATGCAAACGACTATTCGAAATATTGCATGTCATGCAAGTATGGCGTATGGAGTGTGCCTGCAGGTCTCCTCGGTGGCAAGGTTGCAGAGCCTAAATTCGCGAAGGTCCTCTGAATGCAGGCAATCAACCCAGGGGGTGTAAGCGAATGGACGGCATCCCAAGCGTCGGCACTTGAGTTCGTTGGTCAATAATGGCTTGTGTCCGCCTTATTTGGGGCGATGAAGGGGGGTACCCCCGGCACGTCTTTCCGACAACTCGAGATGGTGGTGCGGGCGGAAACACTCTTGACTTCGAGCCGCCGCCATCAGTTGTTCGAGAGAAGACGGGTAACCGAGAAGTACACCCTGGCACTCTCTGACCAAAAAGAAACCGGACTTCGAAGAACAGGTAGGTACCTAGCTTAGGAGTCCAAGTAGCAAGAACTTGAGTCGAAAAAGACCGAGTCAAGCAAAAGGACAACCGAATAAAAAGAAATGAAGCGGAGGAAAAGAAACCCAAGTCGAGTAAACCTAGCGCGAGAGCAAAGCTAGATGTATACTCTTTAACTATAATCTGTAAAATTCCTTGGCACTTTCTTGAACTTGCCGAATAACCTTCGTTTCGTCCCGACAGTTGAGCATTTGGAGTCCGGCTTTTTCGCCCATGCGGTGGCTGGTAACCGACACCCAACATCTCGGCGTGCCAACAAGCCCGAGGATCAGCAAGATATACCTTGCTATCTGCAATACAATCACTGTGGAGCTGAAAGCCAGCCCGGTTTGGCTTAAAAGCCAGGTTGAGTTAAAAGCCCAGTGTCTCCGAGTCGTCTGTCCCGGGTAAACATCCGGCGAGTGGCCCCGCCGCCGGGCCGTTGAGGTTCGGAGGGGTTCGTCGCCGTACCGGTCCGGGATACTTCAGCCTCGGATGTGAGGGAAGGGACTGTGTAAGCGAGTTCAAGGAAGCTTATCCTAGGCCGCGGCTCGTTAAGCGCGGAGACGCGAGTGTCAATGGGACCCCGGCGATGTCTGACATGACCCCCACCTTCTAGCTCCAGCGGAAAGGCATCCCGTCATTGTGGAACAGGCAGTGTGTTTGCTTTTAGAAAAAGAAAAAAGAAAACGGTGCGGGAAGAAGATCGCTGTCCTTGGATCGACGAAGGATGCAGAAGAGTGGCCGCCGTCACGGCCCCAGGCCGGGTTCGCCTACGAGATCAACCTGGCCTCCGAGCGGGAGGTGTCGCTCCATTGGGCGTGTCGCCAGGTCCATGTGACCGGGGAAGGGTGTGTTTGGCTGGGTGAGGCTCTCTTCAACGTCGCATCCCCCAGCATTGCTGCTGCAGGTTGGGGGAAGAGTGGGCAGGAAGGGCACCACCCTTGGGGGCAGACAGTATGCAGGCCGCGCCCGGGATGCAACTGTATCAAGCCTGATGAAGCAGTATGCAGAGCCGGGAGTCGACACAGTATCCACGACCGAAACGGGGAGAGCTCGCAGCGTGTTGAATTCCGCATCAACTTGCAGAAATCCGCCATGAGCTCGTGGTCCGACAACCCGAAGTACCGAGCACTGGCTTTGCAGGAAAGGAAAGTATTTCGTCACCCTGTCGACTGTGGAATTCGAGTTTGGCTGGGGGAGAGAGGTTCATGTTGACAATATATTATGTGTCCGAGGTTGAGCCTCTCAATGGGTGATCTTAGAGCGGCGCTTAGCAGCATAAAAACGTTGTTAGAACACGGGCTCCAGTTGCTTCCAAGTCCCAATGTTTATTTCGACACAATTACCGAGTCCATTCGTCAACGGAAGGAAGGTAGGTGGAAGTTGGATGGCAGCTACGACACGGAAGCACGTGAATCGGAAGGAAGCAAGCCACAGCCGAAACGTGGTTGTGTGTGGGTGGGTGGGGCCATGCGTTTCTTCCCGAGTGCCTCAGCTGCATCTGGCAAGCTCCCCACAATTTCCCAATTTTCGGACTTGTTTCGACGAAATGGCACAGCCGCACAAACGCACAGATGGGAGCTTGCCCCAGATATTTCTCCGATTTGTTCGACATGGGAGGAAGGGTGCCATTGAGACGAAGTTCCCGGCGCCAAACATCAACACCGTTAGTTATCTGTACGAAATACCTGCGCTGGATTGCCGGGATGGTCTGCAGTCCCGATTCTCCGACCAGGGCCACGGGTTCGGTGCTGTGTCCCGTTAGTTCCTCGTGAGTCCCTTTTCTCCAACGTGGTGCCGCCGAGAGCTCGCCGTGTTGGTTCTGCGACGGATCTCCGATTCTCCATCACAATGCGGCTTCTCCACGCTGCCGCAATACCCGCCACACACGGATTCGCGCTTAGGAGAGCTGAGATGGAGACCCCAAGACATGCTGTCGGCCCTACCCAAGCCTTTCCTGGGATCCTCCTGAACTGGGTTGCATTGACTCGCCTCTTGAACGAAGTGGATGGAACATTGCAGGTCGGAACTCTCCAGCTTTGGACTCAGCCGTTCGGTTTCCCGGTCGAACTCGTTGCTCGCCTTGTCAGTCGCATGGCTCAGGCTCTGAGAGGCCTGCCAGCGGGGCAGCGCAGGGCCGACGATCAACGGTACACCGGGCATCGTCCACGGAACTTGACACACTAACTCTTGTCATGCATGGCGAAGCTGCGGGCGGCCAATGCATATCACTTCTTGTCGTCTCTCGTCCACACGCCCATATCAGACCGCCAATATATGAAAGCGCGGCAAGGTCGTCGCGAATCATACCCAGTGGAGGGATGTTCAAAGATACGTACCCCATCGGCCAACCAATCCGCATTGCCGGCGGCGCCTTGTCAAGGAAGCCGGCCCGCCGTCCCGGCCCAGGAAAAGGTCGCACCGAATCTGATCAGGACTCCTCACGAATACCCAGTTTTTGCAAAACCTCGATTCTTGATTCGGTCTTTGCCATGTTTCGCCATATCTCGGCTCTGAGGCTCAACATTCGAGCCATTCTGCCGACTCTGCTCCCGTGTTGATCAGCGGTCCAGAGTGGATTC